AAAATAGATAATTATAGTATGGTCACACTAATATTGAGGACGAAAATATTCAAAGGAAAGAAGGTGGTGATGGAAACTAGGTCTATAGTGATGGTGATCGAGGGAAATGAAGAATAATAAGGGAGAAAGATAGAGAGATATTAAAGAGATATTGATTTCGGCATAAATTTATGCCGAAATAGAGAGAGGGTGACCGACCGCGGTGGATGCCAAGACCTTGCTGACTAATATGGCGGTGGCGAAGCGATGGCGAGAGCCGGCGACGACGAGGTCGGAAGATCTTTTGAGAAGGGGGGACAGGGTCGGGCGAGGATGAGAATGCTCTCGAGGGAAAAAGATCGCGATTATCCCGTGGATTGGTCTAACCCTAAGGCGAAGTCACCCATTAGAAAGGATCGCTAGAAGATAGCGTTTTATATATAATATAGTCACTATAAGTATTTAGTTATATTATTCGGGCTCACTAATATATTAGCAATATTTTAGGCTTATATAAATAAGGCATTAAGAGACCTTCTTAACGATATTTATATCGCGTTTATAGATAATATCCTTATCTTTAGTAACAGCGTTATAGAGTAACGTAGACCACAAGCGAGTCGGCCGCACAAGCGAGTCGGCCACTTTCCTGCGAAACGCGACCCCTTCACTTTCAACACTAATTTTTCAACAACAAAGCATGAAATCGTCTTCTCAGGAAAACAGAATACTTTTAGCTCTTAAGGCAATCAAACCATACAAAAATCTCAGCATTCGCCGCGCTGCAAAAGCCTATAACATGCCTTACGCAACATTACGCGATCGACACGACGGTAAACCTGCACGACAGAATACCATGCCTAATTCGCGAAAACTTACAGAATTGGAAGAAGAGACACTTATTCAATATATCCTCGACCTCAATTCGCGATCATTTCCTCCTAGATTAAGTGGTGTTAAAGATATAGCCAATAAACTTCTCCATGAACGCGACGCGACTAAGGTTAGGGTGAACTGGGCTGCAAACTTCGTCAAACATTAACCAGAGCTTAGGACACGTTTTACTCGGAAATATAACTACCAAAGAGCTTAATGCGAAGATCTAGACGTGATTAACACGTGATTTAAGCTTATGAAGAAGATAAAGGCTCACTATGGGATTATGGATAATGATGTCTATAACTTTGACGAGACCGGCTTCATAATGAATATTATCTTGATAACTATAATAGTCACTACATCTAAAGGACATGGAAAAATAAAAATGGCATAGCCTAACAATCGAGAATGGTCGACAGTTATTTAGGGAATTAATTCCCAAGGGTGAGCGATCCCATTATTTATTATCCTCGCAGCCCAGAACCACCTCGTAAATTAGTACACTAAGACTAATCTCTCTACAAACTGGGTAATCACAATAACCTACAATGACTAAACCAACAATAAACGAGGTCTAAAGTGGATTAAGCACTTTAACAAGCACACTATATCTCGCATAAAGTTCTCTCATCATCTCCTCGTACTTAACGAACATAAGAGCCATTATTCATTAGATTTCGAGCTCTACTACTAGACATATAATATTATCACGCTTTATATACCTTCACATTTATCTCATCTCCTTTAGCCGCTAGATATTAAATACTTTAGTCCTTTAAAGAAGATATATAGTCGACAAATTAAGAATCTTATACGGGCTCATATTAACCACGTGATAAAGGTTGAGTTTCTATCCACGTTTAAGGAGGCCTTTTTCGCTTCTATAACTGAAGAGAATATTCATGGAGATTTTCGAGGGTCAGGACTTGTACCACTTAACCCAGAGAGTGTTCTCTCGAAACTGAATGTTAAGTTACGGACTTCATCACCTCCCGTACCTCCCTTGATGACAACCGACTCCTGGGTCTCGAAAACACCGCAGAACACCTTCGAGGCTAGCTCACAATCCGAATTCATCAAAACTCGAATTGCTAATCATTAGAATAGCTCTCCGACTCCAATTTACCAGGCAGTAGACCAATTTATGAAGGGTACACAGTTAATAATGCATTCAGTCGCGCTACTCAAGAATCGAGTCGAGACCCTTGAAAGGGCAAACCAAGCCCTAAGTAAACGTCGAAGGGCCAAAAGGACACGTATTCATCAAGAAGGATCACTTACCATAGATGATGCACAAGATCTACTGGTCCAAAGATTCGCGGATGAGCAGATACAGCGGGAAATACAGCAAAATGGTGGTCTTGGCCGGGGGGCTCCAAGGAGAGAAAGGCGCTGTGGCACTTACAGTAAGACAGGACATAATGCGCGAACCTGCCAGGAAGATAAAGAAATGTCTAATGTATACAGTTCTGAGTAGATATGATATAGTCCTGTTTTTTTGGCGTTGTAATGATATTAGATTGTGGTGGGATAGCGAGAAAGTGGCTGACTCGCTTGTGCGATCAACTCGCTTGTGGCCTACGTTAGATATAATGATAATACTCTTTAAGTAAGTAATATAGTTCTCTTATCTTATAAAGTCCTTATTATTATATTCTTACACTTCTTTTACTCGCTTTTCTAGATATATCGCTGCGATAGCGATATATATTATATATTGGTCTTCTATAACTTATAATATTGTTCGAAAAATATAGTTTTAGCCTATTTTATATTTCTAAAGGGCTTTAATTAACCTTCTATCGAACTTTAGGGATTAAGCGAGTTTAATATATTTTAATAAGTGAGATTCATTATCTATTATTAACGCGTTAATAAAACACTTATATCTTAGTAGTATAGTGTTAATAATCTCTATATATTAAGTGAGTTCTATTCTATTAAGCTTATTTTCTATAGCTTAAGCTTTATATTCTAGGCGCTTTCTAGCTAGAAGCCACTAAAGTTCTAAGTGCCTTATATAAATCATAATCTTCTTGTTTATAGATTAAGAAGCACTAGGCGAGTCGATTTGATCGAGTCCGCTTAGACTGAGATTCTCGTTAGGGGTGCTTCCCCTAAAAGTCCCTTATACTCTTAAGTCTCCTAATGACTTAACCTAAAGATCCCTTGTAGGGACTAATTCTACGCTTCGCGTGTTAGGCGCCATTATGTTATATACTCTGATCAGTTTAGAGTGATACTTAGAGAATATTAAAAATGCCTCGAGGAACAGGCAGAGTGATAACACAATAGGGGGTTGAGATATTTCTATCTAGAGGTGCGCTCTAGTACAAGACTCTAAGCATAAGGAAGAGAAGTTCCTCGTGTGGGTAGCTTGCGTGAAAAGTGCGAAGCTCAAGAGTCCGCTAGACTATATTTGTGTGCGCTGTCTTGGCGCGCGCTTAGGGGTGCGCGCTATGCTCCCTGCGCGCCCGTTGGAACGCTTGTCCTGAGTTGCGCTCATGACAATTCATTAGCACCAGTGGCGTGAATTGCCACTATGTTGACCATAGACCTGTCGCCAACTAGATAGTGAATCATTATAGTCCCATAACTGAAAAGTAAGTGAGGAATATAAGCATGTTTCTCACCAAGCGCTTTAACAATAGTTTCAATTGGAAACATGTGTCGATACACAATGTCGCCTGTGAAACGAGGCGGGATCTCCTTCCCAGCAATCTTTGCTCTAGTTAAGCTCTTAATATCGTCACAGCCTATAACAGCATCGGCTTTGGCATTGGTATCATCAGAGAAAACCATATTCACTCCGTCTCCTTCAGCTTGTGAAAGCTCTTCAATGTCGACCAAAGTTTTGCGGAAGAAACAGAGGATTCGGAGGGAGGAGACCAACCATAACCTCTAAGAGTCTTGCTCGATGAATATACCCACATTCTTCCTCGTCCCGAAGCTCATACAAGAGATCGCCTATTTTGTAGTCGTTTTGACCCTCATTTCCAGGCTTGGGGTTCACAGCAAAGCGAATGTTCATGAAGAATCCTGGCGAATTTTTCTTGAAGTGTTTGCGAAACCCGACCACAAGATCAGGATCAATTAGGCCAAGAGCGCGGATAGTATTGGTCGCGAAGGTGAGTCCTGCTCCAATGTCGGAGAACTCTGGCGCGGATTCGTATACATGTATTGGAACTCCTCGTCGGTAAAGTCCGATGGCCAATGCAAGACCACCAAGGCCACCACCCACTATTGCTATCTTGAATGGCTTCGTGCGAGACATTTTTTATTGTTTTCCACGGCAAGTTAGATTCACAGTCAGCTCATCAGAGAATTTGAAGCCTTGCTTCTACATCGGTTCTCGGGAGAGCTGTAACTTATGGCATAGTCATTTGCAGATGGTTTGGTCGATAAGGCCCTTAGCCAAGACTACTAAAGGCTCAGAGACACAGTTATAACCACATGGATGGACTTCTGGAAAATCGGTCCGCGGGCCGGAACCCTTTTCGCGACACAATCTAGACCCATATTTGCGGATAGAGCACTCTCTTGATCTCCTAAATAACTTAACTATCCTTTTCACTTTGATGATACAGCATTGTGCAATCTCACAAGCGTGTTAACGGGTGATGTGGTCACTGTATAACGATGCCGTGTAATCGCTTCTGTGTCCATGCTTTCGATTTGATCAAACCTTTGCACAATTCTGGCAATAACATAGCCAGCTTCAGTCAGAGCAAATTGTTGGCCTAGACAGATTCGTGGTCCGCCATTGAAAGGGAGATACTCCCACCCAGTCTTGCGGTGATTCCATCTCTCAGGTTTGAACTCATGGGCATCAGGGCCCCAGATATCTGTACGTCGATGCATGATATGCACATTGTAGGCCACCTCCGAGCCTTTACGAATGTACACTGGCGAAAGACCGTCCACGCCGCCGCCCCGTGGAAGTGTTGTATCTCTGACGGCACGTCGACCGTTCTCTGGCACGATTGGGTGAAGACGTAGGACCTCTGACATGACGTTTTGTAGATACGTACATGATTTGAGAGTCTCAAAGGAGATGTTTTCTGTGGAGGGGTATACACCAAAATGATCGATAATGGCTTTGCGAAGGATAGTGTAGATCTCTGGGTTTCGAGCGAGGAGGTAGAATGTCCACCCGAGTAAGCCCGCGGTTGTATCTCGGCCAGCTACAATGGTCAAGTCAGTGAAAAGTGAAAGACCTCGAGGAGAGTTTTCTTGCATCAAAGGAGGGAAGTAAGCCAACTTACCAAGTAGAATATTCAAAAGCTGACCTCGGAGTTCTTGGGGGTCTTTTGTCACTTTCACGAGCTCGTCCAGAAAGACATAGGTGTGTTGCTTCGTGGCCACCTTCTCTGCGCCGTTGCTCGATGATAAGTCCGATTCCAGAGCTCGTCGCACGTAGTAATCTGCAAATCGGTGGACCTCTCGACAATTCCTACGGAATGACAGAGGCGAGTAAAGGTAGTATAGGTCCATTAAGCGAGAACGATAACACACCCCCAAGTTGGCATTGTCAAAACATTGCCCGAAGGATGCCCATTCGAGTTCTTGCTGACCCGTTTCTTTCGTCGCTATCATTGTGGCAGCTTTCTGAGAGTGCACGCTTTGCCCGAAGAGGAATTCCGTGGCTGAGTCAAGTGTTAAACGGAAAAACAGAGGAGCAAGATCGACCGTGGCAGTCCATGAGTCTGGGTTCACGGGCAAACAGTCGAAGAGGGCCTGGACATGAGTCTCTTCCAAAGCCAAGTCAGCAACCTGTGCTCGCGTAAATTGGGGCCTCAAGAGCCCTCGGGAGTGCGACCTGCGTCTTCACATAAGCATGAAACTCGTGGACGGTGAGAGGGATGATTATTCAACATACCATTCTTTGCCATCGCTAGTGAAAATACCTTTTCCAATGAATGGGCTGAACACCCCGGAGCGCAGAGGACCAAGCTCAAAATTATTGAACTGTGTTGCCAGTATCGCTTGCACATTCTTCGGGTCCACGGTCACATGGTGCCAGTTGCCTAGTATGTTCTGATACCATGTAGGGCGCTGATCAAGTTCATCGTAGACGACGAGATCGTCATTTTGTTGATTTTGTGCCTCAGTAGATCTCATATAGCGAAGCATGATATCAATGCCGAAAGGCAATCTGCTGGGTCGTACAAAAGCCGGTTTGCATCCTAACTGACGTGCTCGTCGTGCATGATGAATCTCGCGCCAGATATATCCCAAGATGTATGCAACACTAATTCCCACCACAACGGCGGGCCAGATAGCGATAATAGAATTCATGGTTTACAATGAGGATGGTAGAACGAGTTCGGAGCCAAGAACAGATCTGGTATAAAGAAGCTGTTGTTTCTCACTCATCTCTGCTATTATCATATTCTTATATGCGTATTTAACTGTTTTAAAGGAGCGGTTGGCATGGTCTGTTGTGTTTCCATAACTTCGCAGTTTCACCGGAGACTCACCACAAGGCACCCCACCTCGCGAGTCTCCCCGCATCATAGGGCCAGTTTGTAACGTAGAGTTTCCGAAATGGCGGTTAGATAACGATCAGCAACCAAGATTGGGGCTTGACCACATAGCGTTCGCCAGACTGAAGGGATCGGTCCAGATGTGATTTCCGACCGCGTATCTTGGTTTGGTAGATGCCCATTTAGCTCACGGCTCATTCTGGTGGCCAGTGCGGCACGTCGGTTTCTTTTACGGGGAGACAGATTGCCGATTGGTTCTTTGAGCCGTTAATACGAAGTCCTCTCAACTCATCTTCTAGGATGCCATGATGGCTAGCTGGTCTCCTTCCAGGTTAATGGTATAAAGAGATCGTGAGAGAACATGTATGCCTCGTAGAGATACCCCATGACTCGCCACACTGATCCCTTTCACCGCACAAACTCGACATATCAATTCAGCGATGGACCAAGCCAATATGAGCAAGCAGGATATCATGACTTGGACTGAAAATGATACTCAACCAAGCGGTGACGGCGAAATCATGGGCGAAGTCCAGCCAAAAGTCCATTTCAACCTCTGGCATTCTCTGGCCATGAACTTTTCCATCACATGCACGCCTCTCGCCATTGGGGCCTATTTGTCTCTTGTGATTGGTCTCGGAGGATCGCCATACTATATATGGGCATTCCTATTTGGTTCATTCTTCCAATTGATTCTTGGGTTAGCGGTGGCAGAGGTTGCTTCCTCGATCCCGCATTCTTCAGGTCAGAAGCCTGTAGCCTCAGTTACTCATTCTGTTCATTCCCCCTCTCGCTCATAGCATTCTTCCCAACTATCTGGCTGGCTAAAGCCGTGACCAACGTTACTGACATCTCTCACTCTACAAGGACCGGCGTACTGGGTTCAGCATCTTGCTCCTACAGAATGCGCAAAGTTCTTCGGTTTTCTTGTGGGCTGGACAACAACGGCAACATGGTGGTTCATCGCCATCGCTTCTGATCTCTACCTGGCCCAGCTCACACTTGGGCTTGCAATGGCACTTAACCCAGGATATTTGCCACCTCAGTGGCAATACTATCTCGTCTACTGTGCCTGGGCTGTGGCAGGCTTTGTGATCAATCTCCCATACATCTTTCACGCGTTGGGCCCGACCTTGATCGGCGCGTTTGGAGTGATCAATGTTACAGCAATCTTCATCCTCGTCAGCCTTCTCGTCCGAGCTACCCCCAAGCCCCCCGCCCACGAGGTTTTTGTGGACGTGGTCAACGAATCTGGTTGGTCATCTAACGGCGTCGTCTTCTTCCTCGCCCTGTTACCGTCTGTTCTGTGCGTCAGTGGATTTGACGCCATCACGCACATCACAGACGAGCTTGACCGGCCAACGAAGCAGGTCCCACAGGTCATCATCGGATCATCTGTCATCAGTGCCATAACTGGATTCGTCATGACAATTGTGTATTCATTCTGTATAACCAAGCCGGAGAATCTCCTGGCGCCAGTGGGACATCAGCCGATCATCCAACTCTTGTTCGACTCATGTCGTTCCAACGCTCTCGCAACTATTGGCGCCATCGGCGTCATCCTAAGCTTCTACATTGCCAATGTCTCAACATTCACCAGCTGGAGCCGGCTTTACTGGTCTTTGTCACGAGAGAATCAGTTCCCTTTTTCCAACTGGACGTCAAAACTGTCAGCCACCGATAGTCTTCCCTGCAACGCCATGGTAGTCAATCTACTTCTCGTGCTCGCGCTGGGTGCGATCCAGCTCGGCTCTCTGACAGCACTGAATGCAATACTAGGGGGTGCCGTTGTTCTCGGAACAGTCAGCTACTCATTGACCTTTGGCTGTGCCCTCTACAGAGGTCGGGATTATCTGCCTTCCCAGAGATGGTTGAACCTTCGTGGGTTCGGCACTCCGATTATCTACGTTGCTCTTATATGGTGCCTTTTCATCAGCGTATGGCTTTGTTTCCCTCTTTATCTCCCTGTCAAGCCGGAGTACATGAATTGGGCCTCTGTAGTGGTGGTGGGAGTCCTTTTAGCAGCCACCATTGATTGGTTCGTACGTCCTTCGGCTAGATCTCGAAGTGCGACTGAGGTCAACTGAAACGAAGACAATAGTTGAGCGTACACTGAGACTGGAAAACAATAGGGGCAGAGTTGTTATCTCGTTGTGGGGGTGGGTGTGCTTAACTAGACAAAGGGTTAAGCGATTGCCGGGCACGTCCAGAACATGTTACGTTAAATTCTTCCCGTCGTTGGCAGAATTCTTGGGTAGCTACCAGTCAATCTTATTTGACATCAACCATTGTTTCATCATCTATAAGTATTTCGTTACACTGTGCGGCCCGGATATGCCAGAAGCTAGTCTAAAGTCACGCATAACACATATATGTCTTGTGTTGTTTAGCGACGGTCCCGAGACCAGTGATCCCGAACAAATTTTTGTCGTCATCTTCCCAGACCAGGTTGAGCAGCCGGACTATCTGCTCCGCGAGCGCGGTGTGGGTGTGGTGAGTTCTAAAGAGACTCAGTAGACGGTGACGTTGCCTTTTTTCAACCATCATCGAGCCTGTAATCATCATAGGCCATGCGAGGACACAGCTTACCGGCTCTTTACTAATTATTTCGATGAGCGACATGGTCTCTTCAATGAGGGGTTGAATGTCTCGCATGACATGCTGAGGGCCTTGACCTTCTACAATGCGACATTCGTGAAGAAGCATGAGCAACGTTTTCTGCACAATCATGCCCGCCATTGTTTCAGCATAATTGTGTGCTTGATGTTCATCGGGTGTCCAGTCAGCGACGGCTCTCTTCGTGTCCTTGTAGAGAGCTTGCAATTTTGGATCGTCGTTTCGAGAGATGCTTCGCTTTTCATACAGGACCAATCGAGAGATGGTAGGGATCAGCTCGTAAAGCTGATACGCGCAGCCCATATAAGAGCCGAAAGTTTGATATGTTTTGATGCAGTCAATATCTGAAATAATCGGATCTTGATCCGGCATCAACTCGAGTGCTCGTCGTTCTAAATGGGAAAGGGCTGCAAAATAGGCGTAAGCTTCAAAGAGTATTCCGGCAAGCGGCAAACTCCTTGCCATCGGTTCTCTCGTGATGAGATGTGAGCAGAATTCACGTGCAGCTCTCACGTGGAGCGACATGGCGCCATTATCATTACCTCCCAGAGCCTATGTAGAATAATGTCAGATCAATTAGACCGGCATATCTCGACGGCTGTAGTGAGGTAGCCTACCTCATACATGCACATGAGAATAGCCACCAAGAGAAGACTCAGTGATTTCTCGGGTGAGGTTCTCTCGACCCAGTGTGTCAATGCGTACTTGAGTCCTTTGAGAACGGTTCCGTAGTGCTTGTAAGTCGTCACCAGCACATCCGGATCTTTGGTTAAATGCTGGCAATGGATCCCACTGACGGCTAGCACAGCGTGCATAACCAAGTTATCTGCAGAAGCTAACTCGAGGGTTGGGGACAAGAATGGATTTGTGTGGTTTTCACGACCAGTCAATGTGTGGCTAGTAATTTTGACATAGTGTTCGATGAGCATGTGGAAGTGATGGGAACCCTGCAAACTGATCGGAACACCAGGCCATCCGAGATCGCAAATGACATCGTGATCTCTAGAAGCATCCTTTATTATATTTTGAGAGGTCTCATGCGGCGGGAGCTGACGAGCACAGGGCTCGCTGACTGATATGGGCGTTTTCGAGACCCTTCCCCCTGCTTTCAGGTTGATTTGCCACGCAAATCCGTGCGACTGTGGGATGTCATGATCACCATTCGGCCAGGCACATATAAGCTGCTGTTTTTTGCAGCTTTTGCAGGCCGGTTTCTGCTCGTCACACTTCTTGCGTCGAATCCTACAGCCAAGACATCCTGACTTGCTTCGCAAGAAACGAGGTCGAATGGCCTTTGGATATCGGGCTTGATTGGGTGGCTTGTAGGGCTGTTTGTCCCCCATTGTAGATGTTTGTTGCTGTGGTGGCAATCCCAGTGAGCGTTCACCTCTATGATCACAATTGGTAGGGGATGCCAGCGATGAGGATGACTGTTTCGTTGTTCTGATAAGCCTTAGATGATGTTCAAGATATCGACGCTGAAAAGTATTGATTTGAGTACTCACTGTGCTTCAGTCCAGGTGAGCGCACGTAGGAGCCATCGGGTCAAATGAGCCCGGGTACCATCCAGAGCTTCCTTTGAGTCCGTAGAATGAAGAAGACGATTCCGGTGCAAGGGAGCGCACGAATCACTCGGGTACCTATTATGTAACTACTCCGTAGGACAGGTCGAGATTCAGGGAAAAGTGCGGGGGTGGCAATTCCTTCCGAGCTGACATTAGACTATACCGAAAGTAACCAGATTGGCGGTTAGATAAGATAGCCTGCGATAAGATGATAAGGCCCCTACGGATGATCCTGGTAGGTGAGAAGTGATATCCCTACCATGTCTACTGTAAGTCCTGTGAAGATCGGTGAGATACTGAAAGGTTACATTCATCTCTTGGCCAGGGCATATTTGTCGGAAGAAATCTCCCACAGTTACAATACAGTCGACATATATATGACCTAGTAGGAATACGAAGACTTCAAAATACTGGGCACGATTCCTGTCTCTCCCTCTACCACGGAAACTGGTATGGCCCTTTGCACACTGTACTGTCCGCTACATGCACGCAAGTATGCCAAAGCGGGCTCACATTCAAAGCATGATCAACCCTCCATTGGCGCAAGTGACGTTGGCCGTGACCCATCTGGCACTGGGGTCACACAGGAATGCCACAATGGGTGCAATATCGTCCACGAGACCGATGCGTTTCGCAGCTAGGGTTCGCTGGATGATGGGCTTTTCAACCTCCTCAACACTATCGGTCGCATTCCACCTATTCTATCGTTAGTCTACAGATCCTCTCACGCACGCACGTACATTCTTACATGTCAGTCTTGACTGGTCCAGGATTGACAGCGTTGACTGTAGTCTCGTGCGATTCACCTGAAATAACAAAGGCTGGTCAGAGGTACCACGTGATTGACGACGATATATACATACCGAGCTGTGCCGCTAGTGTTCTTGTGATACTTTCCAAAGCAGCTTTGGTTGCCGAGTAGAGAATCGAGTACGGCATGGCTACAGAGAAGTGACTGATTAGTACCTGACCTTACCTGGATTCGTGGGAAAGGCAAGAAAAACCACGTACGTGATCGCGCTCCAGACGAGGAAATGTTGACGATGCGGCTTCCTTTGCTCAAGTACTGTACACTCTCCTTGACCAGCAGCAACGGGAAGAGGACGTTTGTATGAAACATTGTGTCGAATATCTCGCGGTCGACTTCATTCAGTGTTTGATCGCTCCCGTTTGCAGCATTGTTGACTATAATGTCAATCCGACTTCCGAATTTCTTGACCACCTCTGCTACCAGTCTTGGAGCTGCCGTCGTCGGTTCAGCGCAGTCGGCTTGTATAGCAATGGCTTGCACACTCCCACCGGACTCGGACTCGATCTGAGAGATTGTTGCCTGTGCTCCCTTAGGTGATGAAACATAAGTCAGAGCGACGGAAGCCCCTCTCCGTGCCAGCTCTTTTGAAATCTCAGCGCCGATCCCTTGGTAGTATTATTAGGATTGGCCCATTCGTGTCTTGCATTCCTCTATACTCACCTCGCGAGCCTCCCGTGACGATAGCAACTTTTCCCTGTAAAGGGCGAGACATGATCAAGGCAACAAAAGTCTTCAAGGACGGGAGTGTTGTATGCGACAAATGAACCGGAAACCAGATATGGACAGCACTTCCTCCAATCAGCGGGCTCTCGAAGACTTAACAATGCATCTGCTAGTTTCTCACGTTTTAGATGACTCAACTGATCCGTGTTAAAAAGGATGAATCCTTTATTGTACAGCTAGGTCTAGGCTTTGGACGAAACAACGAAGGAAGTCAGGACGGCTATCTCTACCCTATCATGTTCATTAAAATAAACTTCGATGCCGCTCGGCTCTTTGACGATTTTCTGCATCGGTTTCGGCCATCTAGCTTGGGTGTTCGACGGCACTCGGCAAATATGAGTTGGGGGCTTCGAACCACACCTCAGTCGAATTCGGGTAATTTGGCTTGCTACATGAGACAATGATCAATTCGGGGTTGCCGAATATTTTTATCCATGCCATACACCTCGACTGCAAACGATAAAGACGCGCGGCCCTCGAAATTGCACTGCTTTACTCGAGTCGAAGTAATCTAGGCATATATATCCTCTTGTCCACAGGGTTGTGCCTCTAAATAGGGTATCTTAAATATGACGGACAAAGAAATTCCACGCGTGAAGGCATCCGTGGGTGCGGCAAAGATTCACGAGTTGATGCTAGAGTATGGGGGAGTCATCATCGAGGAATTTCTCTCCCCTGCCGAGGTTGAACAGCTAAATAGCGACATTGACGCACCGTTCGAGGCTCTCCAACACGGCTCTCTTAGTGATGTCAAAGCATTAAAAGACTTCCACGGGGAAAAGACGAAACGACTAACCAACTTGGTCACCTACAGCAAGGTGTTCCGGCAGGATATCTTGAACAAAGATATCCTACACGCCATACTAGAAATTGTCTATTCCCAGGACAACAGCTCGTACTGGATGTCAGCGGCTCAAGCTATCGAGATCCACCCAGGAAACGAAGAACAGAGACTGCATCGCGACCAGAGCCAGTTCAGAGTATTCAACTTGCTCGGCCCAGAAGGTCCTGAAGCTGTGATCAATTTCCTCACCGCACTTACTCCCTTCACGGAGATCAATGGCGCAACACGAGTCATTCCAAGATCGAACAAGTGGACAGATTTCACTGACATGGGACGATCTGAGCACACCATCCCTGCGTTAATGAACCCCGGCGACGCTCTGATGATCACCGGAAAAACAGTGCACGGTGGAGGTGCAAATAAAACCGTCGACGAAAAGCGCAGAGGCCTCGCGCTGACTTTTAGTCTCAGTTACCTCACCCCAGAAGAAGCATATCCATTTCAAATCAGTCACGACGTCGCGAAGACCATGACAAAGAAGGCTCAGCGGCTCATTGGGTTCAGATCCCAGTATCCGGCTTCCTCGGGCGGGTTATGGCAATGTGATTATGCAGAGCTGGCGGATTTTCTTGAATTGGACTCCGTGGAGGCACCTTCCCAGATCCAGAAGACCAACGGGTATCATTAGCTAGCACTTTGTACCTCCGTAATGCTGTATGATCTCTAAGTCAGGAATGTTGATGACAGTGTTTTCGAAGCCAATACTGGGACACACCCTTCAATCGACTGTAAACGTTTCAGACTCAAGGGCTTGTGATCACCACTAATTGCTTCCAATGAGAATGGCTTATCTGAACGGCGAGTGCGAAGGGTAATCACAATTTTTTCAGATTCCGTTGCCTCTTATCGCTTGCACTGTGTTCAAGTTTCCGCGGTTAGATAAAAAATAATGCTAGCTGGATCCTCCGTTACGTACGCACGTAGAGTGAGATTCAGTCTCGTGGCATGTGTCTCATCTTCTTGAAAGTCATCTTATCAGAAAACGGGTGTTTTACTCAAGCTTGCTCCGACCACTGTTTGACCCGGTGCTACGCCCTGTCGTTGTTGTATCATGCAGAATGCAGCTCCATTGCTGCAACCAAGGCTGAGAGTCACTCCTGAAATCAACATCGTGACTCATACGAGTGTACCGTTGCATCTTCGAGAGCCATGTCGTCAAAAAGGTCGTTACCGTTGAACAATGTGTCCATGAATGCGGACGGACCACCTAGTTCATCGAGGATGGACCTTGGCTCACCAAGAACTGTGTCCATGTTCCAGGAGTCCAGGGTAGGTGTCATTGAATCCTGCACGATGTCGGCATCTACACCTGCAGCTATTGTCTCGAGGCCGGGACACCAGTGGTTCAGTGAAGGGAAAAGTGCTTCCAATTCAGCCATTTCACTAGTGCCCAGCCTATAGTTGCCTGGGCCGGGAGATCCATTGGCTGTAGAATTTTGAGGCTCAATCACATTTGCTCGGTCAGACTTCAACTGGGCAATCTTCCGACTCGCCGTGAATGCCAGGCCAAACTTGTTCTCTAGGTTGCTTACAACAGAGCAAATCACGTCTAAGCTGGCAACACGTCTTGTCTCCCATTCCGGAGAGGCTGGTTTGTACTGTAGTAAGGGAATGGCTGCTACCGTGCAAAAGAAACCGTGTATCGCAGCGAGAAATGGTGCTTGGTCTCTGCAAAGAATGTCCTCGTATAGATCTGCCATCGTGACAGCGGCAATAACCGATGCGATTGAGCATACCAGCTGCTTTCCAGATCCAGGTGTGAGGACCTGCAAGAGTATAATGGTACCGAGATACGCTATGTGCACCTCGAAAGTGGAAAAGTGGTATGGCATCCTGATTCCTTCAGCGTAGAGGCTGATCTCAGCAGGAAGGCCGCACACCCATGACTTGAGGGACTCATGGAACTGCTGCTGTTGCTCAGAGGAGAGGCGACTTCTGGACGTCAATTCTGCGATTTCGCCCATGATACGAGACAGGGTCATATCTGCCATAAAGGCCAGTGCCCCCTGTGTGAGGACACTATAGTTGTCTTTGGTCAGAACTGGAATATCCAGGTCCTCCGGACGCAATAGTGGAGGTCGACCGTAGACCATCGACAGCACACAATCGCTGGCCTGCTATGGTTTAGCGTTGCGTAAGGGCAAAGGAAGTAGCTCAACTTACATGGAGCATCCAGATTATCTTTAGGCGGCAACTCGTATCTGCTTTACCCAGTAATGTAGATTTGCAATGCATTCCCATCTGTATAGCGAGGCGTAAAGCTGAGCCAGTCACATGCCAGGGCCCTACAAGGCTGACTCGGTTGGGAGATTTGGGACTCCAAAGAGTCAGAAGACACATTGCTTTAAGGACTGTGAGGGCATTTCTCTCGTAATGAATTGAGATCAAGAGCATGACTTTGTCGTACAATGCCTTTGTGTCGCCAAGTGACCATTGCGGGCTCGATGGCCGAATAAGACTGCCCGCGAAGCAAACAGCTTGTTGGAGTAGAGTCGATGCTCTGGGCGAGTCAAGTTCGTCTCGTTCAATCATGGGAAAACTATCAGCCAGGCATCTGAAGAATGAGTCGATCAAAGCTCCGCGAAGTGGTTGGGGAGGAAGAATATCGGCTTCTGATACCTGAAGGATCATGTCCAGGGTCTTTGGAGTGTCTGTTAGAAATGATGGCTCTACTACGGGGACATCTTGGGTATGTCCACCAGCCGGGGCTTGCAGGATTGAGTGATCCGCAATATACGCAGCGTCGTTGATGGAAGTGTCGAATGGCCTGAGATGATAATCCTTCACGGCAGTCGTGTTTGCTGGTTGCTTGGTTGGCTCTTTTGGTGGCTCTGACTCGGATTCTCCTAATGTTGGTCTACCATGTTCACTGGCTGTCAGTTCGATGGGACTGCGAAGCGTATGCATAGATAAATTTCTACGATTTGGGAATATTTTCTTCGGCGAAGTGTTGGTATCATCCCCGCGATTGCGCATGTGCCGGCGCAGTTTTCGTCTACCTTCGAAGATTCTGCAGTAGAAATCAGTAAGATGATGTGGAAGCATCTGGAACTGCACTCACCGACAAGTTGCTTGGGATTTGCGACAATTACTGCAGCGTCCATCATGGTCATCTTGTACATCGCATCGAATCTGGAGAGAATCAGTCTGCCGTTGAGTTGGAGAATGAACGATCGTTGCATACCTTACGTTCGTGACACCGTACACACACGACTCTGGCACGATCTTTACTGGCTTGATACTCCATGTGTTGTGATTGCAAGGGACTGAGTAGTTCCAGGCGTCAACACTGAGGTCCGGTCCCTGTGTCTGAGGTTGAATTGATATTGGGGTGTCAATTACGTAACGATTTCCGGGAGAAGAAGGGATTTCGGAACCCCTTGCCCTGTACCTTAGCTAAGACAAGACTAAAGTAAAACGAGAAGTCTGGGCGACAGCCAAGCAGCTTTACCGATCGCGTAGATAAGACTCCAACAATACTCTCAAGCTTGAGCACTGTGCTCTTCATACAGTGTGCCCTTGGAACCGAAACGCGTAAACTATGACATATATTTGGAACAAACAGATCTGGTCAACAATCTATGCTCTCTATGTACAATTAGAGATGCCCTTTAGAGCCCATGATAGAGATAACCTCGTCAGCTGCACGACTTCCCGCCCTCAATGCACCTTCAAGGTAACCCTTCCACTCTCTCGCAGTCTCACCACCTGCAAAGTGAACATTCTTCCACGGAGCACGGAGCTCCTCGCCAAAACGAGACAAGTAACCTGGAGGCATCGCAGACGTTGGCGCTCCCCCCATCCATTCCTCCTCGGACCATGTGCCCATGTTGAACTCGAGCACGTTGTCGACCAGATGTCGCTGTTCTGGCTCGACGAATTTGCTCAGATGCTCGAGGACGGCTTGCTCGCGAGCAAGAGGGGTCAATTTGTACCACTCTTCAGCAGCTTTACCGGCAATGAACAACGCCAGTGTGTACGAGTTGAGGTCAAAAACCGACAGTTCCCAGGAGAAGCAGATTGGACCTTGATAGCTTCTGAACTTGCCTAACAGACCTAACTCTCTCCACCACGGCTTTGCATATGTGATGCACGCTTTGGCATATATCCCAGGTCGCGTCTGGGTGACCAGCGTGCGCTTGCCCTGTGGAAGCGGAGGAGTAAACTTGATCTTTGTGTATGTGTTGGTGGGGTTGGCCATGATCACTTTGTTGGCCAGAAATCGAGAGCCGTTGACAGTGGTAAGCAATACTTGATCCCCATGTTGATTGATCTCGTCGACTGCACTGTTAACCAAGACCGAGCCTGGCTTCAATTCGGCGGCAAGACCTTGAGCGATTGCAGAAGTCCCCTCTTTGATGAACAGGTTCTGGGCTCCCAGTTCGTCATCAGAGATCAGAGAGTACAGACCTCCACCGGATTTGACATAGTCGGCCCAATAATGGATGCCTACTTCGTCAGGCTCCCTGCCCACGTTGGCACGACACAGTGCAGCGGCAGCTTGCTCGCCTGTATGTCCCAGTTGTCGCTTTTTCGCCCACTCTGCTACGCTGAGGTCTTCTGCATTGGGAAAGCTACTGGTGTTGTTGATGTCGATGTTCGGATTTTCGGTCAGTTCCCACTGAAAAGCTTCCAAGAACTTATTGAACGATTTCGTCTCCTTCGCAGAGAACTGTACTCAAAATGCAATCAGATGAAGTGTAACAGTGCTTCAGAGAACGGAATTTCTTACCTCTGGACCTGAATAAGCCGGATCCGATACCTTTGCACGCGCCACGACACCATTCGTCTTCTGAAAGACCCCAAAGGCCTCCGGTGGATTGTATTGTTCGATGAATGTCAACCCGAGTCGCTGGGCATGGGCGTATATCTTGGGCTGCGTGGTCTTGTTGATCCATGTAGCTCCGAGCTCAGTGTAGCCTGGACCACTTGCGAGCTTGATGGTTTTGCTCCGTCCACCAATACGATGAGTCGCTTCCAAAAGAATGACTCTCAGACCACTCTTGTGCAAGTCATATGCAGCTTGGACGCCACTGAATCCTCCACCGACAACGACGACATCTGTTTTGGTTGGTGCTGCCTGAAGGCCTAAGATCGAAGGCCCAGGACTGCTCCATACCTTCTGGCAACCTCCAGTAGCCGCCACGGCTTCCACTTCGAAGAATACCCCTTCTTGATAGAGTTTCAGGACCGGTACCAGGCATGTGGGAGGCTTATGTCCTACAAAATCCATCCATTCCTTAACAAGATGTTCCGTCTCGGTCCAATGCCAGTTGACTACGTAGAATCTCAGATGGAGGATATCGACTGGTCGCGATCCCGAAGCGGCCAGGGTGGAAGCAAGATTCTCGAAAGCCTGCTTGACTTGTGGCTTGAGTTCCTTAACAATCCGACCATCTTTGACTCCGACAACACCAGAAGTGAAGACTAGTCGCCCTGCCGCCGTGACGGTGGCAGAATCATGGTAAAGAGGCGATGCCTCATGCCCCGGAGTATTGACAAATTCGACTGACGGTCTCAGATCTCTGGGTGCCATTTTTAGATTCAGATGTGATAGATCAAATTATAGCACCGGGCGCGCTGAAAGAAAGTACCTGAGCAAGAGTAAAAGCCTTTAAGAATCCGACAAATCCTTACAGTGCTCCGAAGTTAAACATGCTTCGGCTCAGCCAATCTCTGTCTATTAATGCTCGGCCCATACAGATACTAGCATAATGTATGAGCCGCACCAAATTTGACAAAGTAAACGGCAGTCATAGGCCAAGGCATTTGATCAGGTTAGTTCCAGTAATGATGCTGTACTACCTCAGGACCAGTCAAGTGCGCGGCGATTCTAGGCCGATAATCAACAATGACCGACAGCCGACGGCTTACGGTTAATAACTTTAGGCCATCTCGGCACACGACTGTAGGCGCTTCCAGAGCTCTAGCTGAAAGGGCTCGCTCGTTATCTACTCGCCGAAGCTTCAGCGCTTAGATCGATTCGCACTCGATGCTAGCACGCCATTCAATGTCTAAGATCATTTAACAGGCACAAGGGTAGACAAAAGGAGGCCACCTATGGAAGGATTTCAGACCCTGGAACCCGAGCTGCTTAACATCTCCTCATCATCTTCGGAGATCATCATTACCAGGATGACACAGGGAAGTCCCAAAATGTTGTTGAGTTCCTTCCTGTGTCACGCGCAAAAGCCGAGCCACCTTCCAGGGTTTGACGATACCCGACTTCCAAAACTTGCACCGATTTTGAGTACAGCAAATTTAATCTACCTGTTAGCCGGAGGTGGTTGACACCAAGAACACCCGAGGATCAGGAGGCGCAACGGCAGTCCAGTGCACATAGAATATTTCTGAAGAAGCACAATACTAGCACTGTATATTCACACTGCCGATATATCACTGCTTATGCTCCGATGCGGGTCAAGCGAATTCGGAAAAATGAGTTAACAAGTCTATCTGTGGACCCAGGTTTTATTGTTGTCAACATATGAAGTTTGACATTGGCGAACATCCCACGTTCTCAACATCGCGACGACTGGGGGTCTTCCACTCTACGAGGATCGGCCTCATCAGCAGGTGAGATCTCTACCAACCTTAATCGAATCGTTTCTCCCTGCTCTGCCATATCGGTGTTCGTCTGCTTAACAAATGCGTCTTCTTCTCCTTTAAGGCTTCGTTCAGAGTCTTCGATTTATATTGACGTTTGATCGCTCGACTTCTTATCCGCGTACCAGTCCAGTAGATTGTCAAGGATGATAAGCACAAAGTATACTAGCATGACGAACGTGACAGTCCAAGCAGAGAATACAAACCCTCTGGTCGACGACTTATCACTTCTCAGGACGAGGGCGGGAGTGGTCATACTGTGAAACACAGATAAGTTAGTCTGGACATCCTAAAAGCTAACAGGTCTAGACCTACCAGAGCCCGATTCCCACAACAAGTCTGAGTACAGCGGTAAACCACTCCCCACGAGACTTGTTGGTCTTACCGAACGAGTAAAGCACGGCAAGTAGAATCACAAAGACGCCAGCAGCAAGGTAATAGTAGAAGATGACCATGTCGAAAATACCAAGTTAGGGATCCCAAGTAGTGTCTTCCTGGTTGACTTCGATACCAAAGGCCCCGAAAACCAAATTAAATATATCATCTCTTATTTCAACGATAGTGTTATTTTGGCCACTGAAATCGTTTATCGAAAGTTGACGAATATTAGTCAAGGAGCTATTGATGAAGCTTTCGATATTAATGTTACGATTCGCTCCACCAAGGGTGTCACCTCATGTATAGTTTCCTGATAAGTGGGAGGTACAGGGTATGGCCTGAGAGCGCGGTAGCGATGAGCGATAGTTCTTGAGCGAAGTGATCACAATCCAAAATATATAGATATAATCGTGAACGAAGTTGACTATATAGTAAAGCTATGAAATGACCATATATATATAGTCTAGAAGATCTAGGGCTCTGTTGAGCTCTAAGGGCTCTATAGTTAGAGCCTATAGATCCATAAAAGCTTATAAAGACCATGGCTCTATATTTATTATTCCTTATAGATAGAGCCCTTAATCCTTCGCTAGATTATATAACTTCTTTTCTCTAGAGTCTATATATATTAAATATAGTAACACTAAATGACTATTATTATAGCTTTATCTATGGCTATATAAGAGGCCTAGTTTATAACACTTTCTTTCTTCTAGATTCATTTATTGTCCTCAACATATATAAGATAAGTTCTCTTTTATGTGTGTCTAGTTCTTTCTTTAAATCATGGCTTATCATGCCATAGTATTATCTCTATAAACACACTAATTCCTTAACCTCTTATCGCCTAAATACCACGAAACGAATCTATTCCCTTGAGGTGAAATAAACAGAAATGGGTCGATATTCTTATTGTTAAAAGCAGAACTTAGTCTGCTATATGTCAAGAGGACCAGGTTATAGTGGGGAATGGTGAAGATAATGGCAGGGAATAGCGTGAATTGCCTTGTATACAAGGATAACTATGAATGAGTGTTGTGAGTGAAGCTTGGAGGACTTCATCTCGAGGTGGGTTGAGCCCTCCTTAAATAGCTAACGAGTGACGAAGAAACCAAGCATTATGAGTCATATCCTTCACTCGTGAGTCATAACTTAGCTGGCTGAGTGAGGCTGTGGTTAACCAGTTGGAGTTCTGGGCGAGGCTGTGGACTTTGATAGTCACGAGGCTTAGTCTCCTGGGTCCCTGGGGTTGGTTCCTTGCCTCGCTAACTATAGTGAGGATTCACATATAGTCAACAATAACTAACTATGGTGGTTTAGTACTAGGTGTTTAAAGTTGATGTGGCGCGATTTCATGGGAAAGTGGCCAGCTCGCTTATCATCCACGTTATAACTTAGTTTAATTATTGACAAATTGCTGTCGTGTGCGATCAGCTCTGCCTCAGTTCAGAACCCCCAGTATACACATCGAGTTAAACTTGTTGTCAGGAGTATTGCCACGATGCACGCTTTCTCTTCAAACTATAGATGCGGAGCCTTCATGTCTCCTTGAGCATTCCATCTTACCCCTTTCAGAGCCTGGCCATACGGTCCCGGAGGAAACCCATGGCGTCATGCTACCCTTGTCCAAGAATGCACGAGCATCTACGGGACGTCGCATGATTCTACACTACTCCAGGACTCTTTTTGCAGTACAGCGGTAGTAGCCCGGCTCTGACAACGGCAAAGGACTGCGTTTCGAACTTTCGGCCGTATGTTCGGGTGCTCGATGAATATGTCAACAGCCTTGAGTATTGGTAAGCATGTCTCAGGAGTCTTCAAGACTTCGGGCCCCCCGCAAGAAACCCTCGAAATCATTGCCGCTATAAGGAACTATTCTGCACGACCACCGGAAAACTAAAGATATTGTGGGTTTCTTAGCGCTCTAGATAGTGAATGTTAGGGAATGTTTTCGGTTAGTGTCGGAATGCGGAATTGCACCAACCTCCCCCTTCGATGCATACAGCTCTAGGCAGGTGATCCAATCTGAACAGCATTTAACCTCGGTACGCATTCAGTTAGCCGAAACTTCTCAAAGATAAGGGTGACAGTTCATCAGCGCGCGAGATCTGTCTCTGAAATCAGTTTGGCGAGCTCGCTGACTTTGATGAGGTATCGTCATGAGACTGATATGAAGGCCCGCTGCCATGCCCCTAGGCACTATAGAGTTCGTGATTGTACTCCTCTGGCTGGCTCTGCAATGGCACGGAAAAGTTCCGATCACCCGTATTGGATAAGTAAGCTTCGGGTTAACCTGGGGCTAGACGTGTGGGGTTTGGGGAAGGCGAATCCAACGTCGAGAACGGTCTCAACCGCTCAGCTCGAACAAGTTGGTGGTGAGAGCATCATGGGAGCCGGTTACACGGAAGTTCCGAAATATCAAACACCTTGCTTCCATCCGTTCTCACCCTGCATTGTGGTCAAAGCTATATAGCTGAGAAAATCAGCCAATATCAGATACTTTACCACAACAGGACCTCACCGCCATCTTCTTTTAGTCCACAATGGCACTCCTCGATGCCCCCCAGCTCCGCAATGCTGCGCAACTCTTTCTGCTGGGAGGGGCTGTTATCCTAATCACGGTGGCTTTGCGAAGACGCAAGACAAAATATCGCTATCCTCCTGGTCCGAAAGGTATCCCTGTATTTGGAAACCTCTTCCAGTTACCTCCAGCATACCCAGGGGCCAAGTTGATGGAATGGGGCAAGCAATACGGGGATCTGTATGTGATATTCTGGAGTACCTCTTGACCTAGGACGCTCATAGAGGCACCAGTTTTACAATGCAACTCGGAGCAAGAAAATGGGTGGTCCTAAATTCCTCGGAAACTGCTCGAGAGCTCCTCGAGCGGCGTGGCAGGCTGTACATTAGTCGTCCAGAATTTGCAGTCACGCAAGATATTCTGTCTCGAGGCAACCGGATAGTGATGATGGGATACACCGAGAGATGGCGCGCCTTACGCAAGATAATGCACCAGCTGCTGATGGCTAGCAACGTAAGAACCCACTGTACGGCGATTATGAATGGCTAAGGCACAAGAAAGTCAGAGATGTACAGGCCTTTCCAAGATGTAGAGTCTAGGGCCCTCGTCTGGCAGTGCCTCAAACGTCCAGATGATTTCTACCGTCATGGAGCTCGGTTTGCAAACTCAGGTAGGGCTGGAATGCAACACCAAGTTCCTGCTGCTAACAACGACTGCTCCTAGTTATCTTCTCAGTGTACGTGTCCTTGGTAGCGTTCGACTTGTACTGACCTCGATGAAGTGTTTTTGGTCGTCGAACGAGCATGAACGATGAGAATGTCCGGTTACTGTTCTCAACCATTGAAGATTTCCTTGCAACCCAGGCTTCACCCTCTACTACCTTGGTAGAGCAATTTCCTTGGCTTGTAAGGGTCATGCCGCAACCTCTTCAATGGTTCCGACCGAATGCAGAACGGGTATATAAGAAGACAATCAAGTAAGTTTTGTGAAGCTAGACGCTGCCTTCTATCTCAAGACAATCGAGAGCGGAGATTTCGGAGACTCACGGCATTAGTGTGTACACTGCCTTCTTCGACGACCTCGAGCGACGAATCAAGCAGGGAGAGAATCCCGAATGCTTTGCTAGAGGCATGGCGGATCTAGCATCAAAATACGGCTTCGACAAAACTCAGGCATATTTTGCTGGTGAGCCAATTACCTTACGTCTTGATTTTGCGCATTTCTCTGAGCCAGGATATCTTTGACTGACCTCGCGACAGCTGGAACCATCCTCGAGGCGGGGAGCGACACGACCCGCAATCAAATCAATCTGATTCTCGCTGCAGCTGCAAAATACCCGGCTTGGGTTGCCACCGCCCAGAGTCAACTTGACAACGTCTGCGGTTATGCTTCGAGACTGCCGTCCTTCGATGTGGGTAAGCTTACTAGTTGCGGTGCGCGTGTTGACTGATAATAATAGGATTGGGATCGACTGCCATACATTGTCGCGGCGATTAAAGAGTCACTTAGATGGCGACCGAATATGCTACCTGCAGGAGTGCCCAGAACGCTGATCAAGGACGACAAATACCGGGACTTTGTCTTTGAGAAGGGAACCATTTTTACCTACAATAACTTTGCTATTAGTCATAATGAGAAGGAATTCCCGTCCAACGACGTCTTTTCGCCGGAGAGGTTTCTGAATAAAGACTTGCAGGATATGCTGAAAGGCCAGCTGGGCTTTGGTACTGGTGGGTATCTCCGTGAGAGTTCAACGACGTGATCTGAATGTGACAGGGCGAAGGGTGTGTCCAGGATGGCACGTGGCGACACGGAACATGTTTGCAAGTCTCCCGCTATCCGGAAGGGATTTCTCGATAGAATAATGCTAACAGACTAACAGATTGCGTTCTCGCGGTTACTTTACTGCTTCGATTTCCGCGAGGTACCTTGCAACCCGATCAATGAGTGCAAGATTGATCCGCTGGCCCACGAACATGCTCCATTCAAGATCCAAATCATTCCCAGAAGCGAGAAGCATGTTAGGTTGATGGAAAGGGAATGTGCGCCAGCTGGGCAAGAGTTGGATTCAATGTGATTCGTGCAAGAGCGAGAACTAGCTCGAGACTACAAAGACGAGAATGCTGTCAGACTCAGCAGCAGGTGGAAACCTTGAGGAAGGAAGGAATTTGCCTCTCCTATGGAAGATGCGCCCTGTCCGAGGCCATCAGCCACATCCTTGTTCCGCGTCGTGATCAGCAGCCGTCTCGAGGAATCCAGTATTCGAGGCATGTAATCTATTAATGGGCTTCGTCGAGGGATACTCATCATTATCTACTTCACCTGATGATAAAGAACCAATCGCGAGATCGGCATTGTCCACGTTCTCGATGACTAAGAGCCACGGCCCATTCTCCTTGTCGTCTAGCTACGCTGCCACCAGTTCGCACGCATCTGTCTTGGGATTCTTGTGTTCGGATATTTCAATTTTCGCGCCATTTGCTCGTATGCCGGTACGAATCGACTTCTCGTGGCCGTGGCTGTCGGAATCTTATTAGTGGTATTGATATATATAGATAATTGCTAGCCACGATTTACTGAGCAAGTAACTTAGCATGTTAATTTCCACTATGGCATTCTATTGGGGTTGAGAGAGCGAAAACGAAGGGTGAAAGCATCTCTGTTGAATCTATCTGGGTGCTAGAGGACTTGACAACTATATAGACCCTAGATAGAGTGGTTGGTGGGTGGATGGGAACGTAATTCAAGGCCTGGTGTGCTATATTCAACACTACCCCGGTTCCGCCCATTCCATATAGAATAGCCTGTTGGTGTTGCTTAAGCTGCTCCTTAATGACCGATGAAAGGATATCTCGGGAGACGAGATGGGGACCGACCCTAAATGGTATGGTGGGCTTCGGTTTACGAGAGGGATATCTTACCATGCTGTTAATCTTTAGTTCCCTCAATAATAAGATCTTTTTCAAATAGCCCTCGAGGTTATTGCGCGACTAGAGGATCATATCCTTTTACACACTAGACCGCTTAGGCTGTAGACCACGAAGATAAGGGAACAGTCGAAGGCATTATAATGGGTTAGATTATTCATGAAATTGCTCAGAAGGTTCGATACATGGTCGACCAGTCAATTTAACGAGGCGATCAATCTCCTGATTCTATACACATCATAACCCCACATCAGAACTCGTGCCCTAGAGAGCCATAAACCCAGTAGACTCTGGGGCCATGACTAAAATTACCCCCTCTGCCGTCCATAGGGTCTCACAGTTACCAGCCAAGCCGCGGACGAAGCGGAAGTCGACTGTCGCGTCAACATGATCCTGGAGCTCTTGTATTCCATCCAGGAAGGATACAGTGGTGACCTGGCTTGGCGATGATGACCGAGAACTCTCCGCCTCGCGTTGTGGGGTCACAGTAGGTTTCAAAATTTTGTCCTAAAGCTTGCGCATGATGGTGAGTAGGTTCAGCGAGGCATAGGCAGAACGTAAACAAGGGCGATCTAGCGAAAGTCTAAGCATAAAATGAAGCACCTACAAGCACCCAGGGGTGAAGGCTTTAGAGCAAGCCCCTCACTTGCTCCAGTAGTAGCCTATCTGCATAACTTTTATGCATTTTCTAACACTGGACACCATAGACTCTCACAATATGCCTTCGTCGCCTCGATCATAAGCACGTGGGAGGTTTTCGATCTCGACTTTAAATGCGATCCTTTCCTTTTCCCAGCGCCGTATCATCAACCAAGGAAAATTGATAAATACGCGCACTGAGGAACTAAAGTACAGTATATTTGCCTTGCTTTGTTAGGGAGGCTACACATTTTAGGTAATGATTGTAAGGCCCATATCGTTCTCGACTATGTGGAGCTGACACCTACTAGTACAAGTTCCCCCGCATACTAACGTCTGGGGTAAGATTAAAGAAAAGTGAGTCACATTTCAATAGAACGATATGGACGGATCGGAGGGCGATTAGGCCTCTCAGTCGCGGCTGATGCTACCTTCGCTACCAAGGTGTGTCCCTATGCCGTGTAGTGGACCGTATCAGTCAAGCATAGTGTCATCTTTATGACTGGCTCTGATAGATGTTCAGTAAATCATTGATAATGTGTACTGTTGAAGACGCCCTACTTAACACAACTAATGGAGTCGGATGGCCCTCTTTGTCTGCAATACCTAAACTCTAGGCAGCGACCCCTGTCAACAGGCAAGCCACAGCACGAGAACCCGATTCTCAGGGTAGCGGGCACTCAATTCAAGCCGATGCAGTTTCCGAGTGGTCAGGGGAGCCAGATGAGCCGAAGCACCAAACCGTCACTATCAGGAGCAGCCAGTCAGGTAACGAGCACGAGGTGGGTTCAGGAAGAGGGACATGTATAAGCTGTGACATGTGCGACTCCACACTGTGCTGGAGTTGATTTGATTGTTACGAGGCATCTGTGCGTCAGTTTACCACTGGTTTATCCACCTTTTTGGAAACTTTAATCTTTATCAGCAGGAGAGGCAGCAGCCGAGTAACAGTATTTACAAACAGCAGTGCAGGGAAGTCACAGCGAAGGCAAGGTCAATGTGTATGAATAGCAAGCTAACTGCCACATGTTGATTGACAGAGAATAGCCATCACGGGGTTCCCCCCATTTTATGCGTGCTCGCTGTGAATAACACCCCTTCAACAAAGATCAAGCCCAACTTCCAATTGTGCCGTGCCAGCGTGACCAAGGTTGCGACAATTTGCCATGGCTCCTTCATCCTTTGTTAATTCCTTTCAGAATATGGACACTATCACAGCAATGGAGCTCTATGCTCTTCCGACAGGAATAATCCTTCTCCTCTACCGATAACTTTGAGGGACATGAAAACAGTAGGCTCCCTCCAGGACCTAAGCCATTGCTCCTGGTCGGCAACCTCAGAGACCTTCCCCCTGCCGGTAAGCCGGAGTATCTACACTGGTTTAAGCATAAGGCTCTTTATGGCCCCATTAGCTCCATTACAGTACTTGGATAGCCCATTATTATTCTTCAGGGCAGAAAGAAGGCCCAAGACTTGTTAGAGAAGCAATCATCCAAGACTACTTCGCGATCAGTGAAGGCATTTGCAGAATTGTCTGGATTTGTACCCTTCCTGCCCTTCTTGCCCCATGGCAATGAGTCTCGCAGCCATCGAAAGCTGATACATCAGCAACCCGGGACGTGGGCGACAGCCGCTCACTTCCACGGCGTCCAGGACGTTGAGTCGCATCGGTTCTTGGGGCGGGCTCTGAAACCCCCAGAGAATTTCCTGGAATGTTGGACAAATAGGCGCAGCATTTTAAGCATATTTCCAAGATCCCTAACCAGTGTATAGGGCCTCTGTGTTACGTTCCGCTCCACCTGAGGTGTCACTGCACGTATGGTTCCTTGATGAGTGGGGAGTATAGGAGACGAGGTCACTGAGAACGGAGTACTGGAGCGAGTACTAGAGCGAAGTGATCACAGTCCAAAACGTATGGGTATGATCGTGAACGAAGTTGACTACACAGTAAGTCTATGTAATGATCGTATATATATAGACCGTGGGTTTTAGTGGCTCTCCCGGGCTCTGTGGGCTCTGCGTGCGGAGCCTGCAGAGCCGTGAGAGCCATCAGGCTCTGCGCCCCTTATTCCTTTCCCCGGCAGAGCCCATGGTCTTGATCGGGTCACGTGATCCCCGCCTTCTTGGTTCACGTGCACCGGAGGTAATAACGCCGAGTGGCTGTCGTCACAGCTTGGTCTGCGGCCTCATAAAAGGCCTGGTTCGTAACACTCTGCCTCTATCATCTTGAAGATGGGGTACGGGTACATGGTTGATCCACACTCAAGCGACCATCTTGTTACCAACAGTGAGACAATGATGTCCAATCTCAGCAACTCAACTGTCCCTTTGAGCTGGATCTGCGACATAATTCCTGCGGTCAGATTCTTGTCAGATGGGTTCCCCAGTACCGTATATCGACACACGGCTCGCCAGAACGCCAAGATGAACGGATTTGTCATCGACGTGCCATTCTCCTTTTTCAAAAAACAAGTAAAGAATGGAAGCAATCGTTCCTCATTTGTATCTGATTTACTATCATTACTCAATACCGCGGATACACAGCTCAGCACAAAGAATGAGAAAACAATTAAAACGACCGCAGAAATACTGTACGCCGAAGGTTCTGTCACAACGGTTGCTTCTTTGACGAGTTTTATGCTTGCCATGATCAAGTTTCCTGCCGTTCAGCGCAGGGCTCAAGCAGAGATCGACGCGGTCGTCGGTACGGATCGTCTTCCAGGCTTCCACGACAGAGAGCCGTCTGCCATATGTTGACGCTCTTGTGAAGGAGACCATGCGCTGGATGCCCGTTGCATCGATCGGAACAGCCCACGTGGTTGAAGAAACCTTCGAACACGCGGGATACAAGCTTCCCGAGGGCGCTATCCTCCTCCCTGCCCGTTTGGAACACACTCTCCTGTATACTTTGTACAATGCCTCCGCCGCAACAACCCAGAACAACCCCAAAAGAAGCTAAAATACAGCTGGCGAAAAGAGCTACCGAATAAGACTAAATTCACAGTAGTCGGCAGGCTGCAAAGATGCATGGCGCACCGGAAAGCACTTCTCCGTAGTAGACGCGCCGGAATCAAACCACGACGCGATTGTATCTCCAATGCAAGGTTACTTATAGATCTGGAAGAGAAGGTGCTAGTTGAGCGTATTCTCGACCTGGATTCAAACGGAGACTCCCCTAGTCTTCGCCGTGTTGGAGATATGGCGAACTTCATCCTCGCGGGTCGCAATAGCCGCAAGGTCGGTATAAATTTGCTATCAGCATTCGTTAAACGGCATCCTGAGCTTAAAACGCGGTTTAATCGCAAGTATAACTAGGTTAGTAGTCTATAAAGAGTCGCTAGTAGACGATGAAGAAAGTGTCCAACTTAAATAGGCAGTTCTCCCGAGTGGGGTTACCACATGGCCTCATGCGCAATCCGTGTTGAAGTTTATCATGTGAGTTGGATTTGTCCATGATTCTCCCAGCTTCCGAGTATTTGGGGTAGCCAGGATACAACTGGAGAAGCCCAAGGACATTGATGGCCAAACAACGAAGACCACCACTCAGGTATATATACTGAGCTACGTGAAATGTGAACGATGGCATTGCCGGAAAGACGGCTATGGATCTCCGCCGTAATTGCCAGGAACCACAATTGTGGATTGCGTCATATAATTTTCGACTGGTATTCTAGCTACTAGACTAAACATAATCTGGATCTATCTTTTTATTCATGTTCACCCCGTAATGACCACTCTATTGCCGCCGTTCTTGGGCTGTCACGCTACTAACTACACTCCTCTTATATGCCGGTGTTCTGTGATTCTCTGTGAGGCTGAGAGACGGTTTTCGCATTGATGGTTACATGATAGAAAACGACGGCTGCCTGGTCTAGAATTTCCTGAACCGACAGCTAGAAACATGGTCTGAACATTCTAAGGACCGAGCCGAGTACCGCGTGAAAGCTGGTAATTGCGTCAAACAACCAACAGCTGAGAATTCCCGAAGATTTAGATGTTCAAGCTTGTTAGAATCTTTCGAATATTCTTCTATACAAGCTACGCAGTCTCAGCAATTTACACGATGACCTGCTATCCATCACCTACTCCGTCAGGTTATTCTTCAGCGTCTCTGCACCAATCGTATACCCCTTGAATTCCTTCGCCTTAACGCGATGCTCAAACAAATAATCAATCTCCTCCACCGTCCGATACTTCGTCTCGGGCAACCGAAAGAAACACCACACGAAGCTGATGACGGATAGACTGCCCCAGACGAAGTTTGCCTTGCCGCCCAGATTGGCACTGCCAGGGTTAATGAGATACGGCTGGACAGTGGAAGTGACGATGCCGCAGCACGCGTCGACAGCGATGGCCACGCCGACGGTCTTGGCGCGTAGGCGTGCCGAGGGGACTTCTGTGAGCAGGATGTACGCTAGGGGTCCGATGGTGGCTTGGAACGTCGCGGTCGAGACCATGGTGATGCCGACCTGGGCCCATGAGAGGGCGGGGCGGTTGTGGTAATTGGGCGCGCAGTTCAGGATCGCGACGAGGAACTGATAGATGACGATAAGGCCCATGCCAACCACGAAAATGGGTCGTCGGTGGAGGTACCGGATCAGCAGGGCCGAGAACATGGCTGCCGCGAGGCCGATGGCGGAGTTCCCAATCGCGATGTCGAACGCTTTTTGCGTGCTCAGGTTCAGCTGCTCGAAGAAATACGCGTTGTTGGTCGCGAAACCCGCGAAGTCCTGGCAGAAGAAGATCATGATGACGATCTCGGTGCGGCGCGCACTGGCGCCCTTGAAGCATTGCCAGACGGTGGAGCCCGTCTCGATCCTCTTCTCATACAGGATGGTCTTCTGCATCAGGGCGATGGTTCTGCGCACGTCGATGCGCGGCGAGTCGCTGCTCAGGCGGCGGAGGGCCTTTTCGGCTTCATCAAGCCGTTCGTGGCGTACCAGCCACCAGGGACTTTCTGGCGTGAAGACCAAAGCGGGCAGTACCATTACGGGCCAAATCCACTGGATGGCGAAAGGGATCCGGTAGCCCCAGACAGTTGTCCAGTCGTCAAACGATTTAACCACTCCGGCGAGGATGAGGTTGCCAATGCAGTAGCCCAGATTGATGCCGCCGGCCAGGTACGGCCGCAACGCCGTGGGCAGCATCTCAGACGAGTACGTCGGGATGAGGACTTGGTAGAAGCCCCAAATGACGCCGGATAGGTACTCCGAGGCGGTTAGGACCTCGATTGAGGGGGCGAAGAATTGCATGAATGTCAAGGCTGTGGTACCCAAGAGAGAAATCATCAAAGTCCACTTCCGTCCGATCCATTCCATCGGGTATGCGACGGCAAAGGCCCCGATCACTTGGCCGACGAGGCTGGCGTTGCCCAGCGCAGCCTGCCAGGGAGCCGTGATCTGATGCCCGTTGCCTGCTACTTCGACCCCGAATTTGTTGCGGAAGGCCGGGAGCGCGAAGAAGCTGTTGATGATGACAATGTCATACACGCGCATCACGATCGTGAGTGTGATGATCGTGGTGAATATCACTCCTCGCCCTTGTTGGCAAGACAAATATTGTTAGTAATTTGGCGCAGATGGATCCCTTTGTGTTTCGCAAAGAGGTTTTCGCGCTGAAAGTTTTGCTCACAATAGATCTTCAAGGCCTCACGGACGGAGAGCTCATGCTCGAAGTTTGTCGCTTCGGCGGCAACTTCGACGAGCATCTCGTCTGCTTTGCCGACATGTCCTCCATCTTTGGTTTCAATCGTGAAGCCGGTTTGATGCTCCGCGTGCTCTGTTGCCAGAATTTTGTTGTTCTTTAGGTCAGGAGCCATGGCTCAAGTTGGATGTTGCAAGATTCTGGATTCCGCTCGACGTTAGACATGGAGGAGGGCTGGCCGCTGCTGCTGGCTGCCGCTGCTTGCTGCCGTCTTTTTATACATGATCGTCAGACTCATGGTGCGGGGTCCTAAAGGTCGAGATTCCCTCTGTGAGTGGTCGTGATCTACTGTAATGTGCCATGCGCTCCGCGTCAACAGCCTAGATACTCTTCTATGGTGCAAACAATTTTCCGCCATCCTGGACATGTTAGTATTAGGGGCTTCACTCCGCACACGGAGAAACCCCGTCGACCCTCGGCTATGAGAGTGTGGAGATCTGGGGAGGCCATTCTAGCGGTACCACCGCGTTTTGGTTGGATAGAGAGGGGGTTTGGACTCTTGCGATTAGATGTAAAAGTTGAAATATCCGTCGGCTCCAAAGATTGGAAGTGGTAGTGCCTCTTAGTCTAAATCACCGTAGGGTGACGGGCATATTGTTTAAGGTTTTGAGAGCCTGGCAGACGAAGCAGGCGAGATTCTGGGCGAAACTTCGATGTTTGGCACTATCGAGTGGCGACTCTGCGATGCGAATAAACGGTAGAGAATTTCTAATGGCAGACACTCGTTTCGGAGCTGGCCTCGTTCTATCTGGATACTCAGGGATTAATGCTCAACAGTCGAGCCCATGGCAATGGTTCATCGCTAGCGAGCCGTTAATGTGTACTCTTGACCCGCTTTCGTTGCAAAATGAACCTTGCCTTCACGCTTCTCCGCCACGAAATCAACACATTCCAGCTGTTCGAGACCTTTGGATGCCAGTATGCAATCTCGACCGAGCTTGGATCGCATCTTGAGAGTATGGACCGATCCCTTTTCCCAGGTGACATCGACCTCGAAGCCTCCACGGGCACAAAGACCCGTGACCGAACCATCAGTCCAGACGTTCGGTATGGCAGGCAAGATTTCCAGCTGGCCTCTGTGGCTTTGAAGCAGCATTTCGGCCATTCCCGCCGTGGCGCCAAAATTACCATCTATTTGGAAGGGGGGGTGTGCGTCTAACAGGTTTGTATACGTCGAATGCTGAAGCATCTGACAGAGATGATTGTATGCCTCTTCGCCGTCGTACAGTCTCGCATACAGCGTGATGATCCAAGCTCGAGACCATCCGGTGTGTCCACCTCCGTGGGACAGTCTTCGCGTGAGAGTCACCTTTGCCGCTGCAATCAGGCTCGAGGGGACTGGGAGAGTACCCGGTTGCACGAAGAATAGCGGTGATAAGTGACGATGGCCTGGCTCGTACTCGTCGTAGTCGCTCATCCATTCCATGATTTGGCCGTGTTTGCCGATTCGAGGCCTCGGGATGCGATCCAGGGTAGCCTGGAGTTCTCTGACACTGTCGTCTGCGATTCCTAGAATACTGGCAGCGCGGACGCAGGCTGTAAATAGTTCCACCAGAATCTGATTGTCCCATGACGCTCCTGCACATATACTGCCTTTCCCTCCTCCGGGCAAGAGAAAGCTGTTTTCCGCCGAGATGGAAGGTGAGACCACGAGCTGGCGGTCGGGCCCGTCCTCGATCAGGAAATCTACAAAGAACAAAGCCGCGTCGTAAAGGATGGGGTACACGTTTCTCAGAAACTCGACGCTTCCATTGTACTCGAAATGCTCCCACAAATGGAGACTCAGCCAAGCACCACCAAGCGGCCAATAGGTTGCCCAGCCTGCGCGATCTTGAGGAGCGGTGTCCGCCCAAATGTCGGTGTTGTGATGAGCCACGAACCCACGACATCCATACATCTTCTCTGCCGTGATCTTGCCGTTTTCTCGCATCCTTCCCAGCAGCTCAAAGAGTGGTGTGTGGCATTCGCTCAGATTGCACGATTCAGCTGGCCAGTAGTTCATCTCGGTGTTGATGTTGATGGTGTACTTGGAACCCCAGATGGGATCAAAATCTTCGTTCCAGATACCCTGTAAATTAGCGGGTAAGGTACCAGGGCGGCTGGAAGAAAGCAGAAGGTAGCGTCCGTATTGAAAGTAGAGAGCAAACAAATCGCTGTCCTTGAAATCGCCTTTCTGCATTCTTTCCAACCTTTTCGTTGTAGACGAAACTGAATTTGTAGGAAGACCCAGAGTCAGTCTAACACGGTTGAAGAGGCCGCTGTACTCGGCAATATGCTTCGATCTCAGCTCGGCATAAGTTTGAGCGCGAGCCATTTGCAATTGCGATAAACACTTCGCTTTTGGGTCATCGTTTCGGAATGTCGTTTCCGCCGCAAGTATGATTGTGGCAGAGCTCGCACCACGCACAAAGACAGTATCGCCAATGGCCTCCGCTTCCCCGTCGATTACTTCGGAGACTGCACCACAGCTCACACGGACAGATCCTGGACCTCCAGACGTCGCATTGAAAAGCGTCCCGCCTGGGAGTTTCTCGAGCGTGTCCATGAATTTGTTATGACCTTTGTTGATGTCCGCGTGGGTCGTTCGATCGAGGTACCATCGAAAGTCCAACGGACCACCCTGTGAGGACACATGAACCACCAAAACTTGATCTGGTACACTGCAGAAGACTTCACGTGTATACAGAACGCCATTGTATTCGTAGACGACCGTCGAGATAGCCGTTGATAGATCCAACTGACGGCTGTAGTCCGAAACTGTCGGGGCCTTTACTGGGATCTTTGCCTCGGACGAGGAGCTCACGTACATGACTTGACCAGCCGTTTCTTTGGATTTGACGTCCTCACCATGGTCAAAGATCAAGACCAAGTCTCCCAAGCTGTCATAGTGCCGCACGGACGCAGGCATTCCTGTGAAAGCAGCTTTGATCAGAACTTCCGCCTCGATATGCTTTCCTGCTGCAACAAGGGCTCGTATCTTTGGCAGATTCGCCTGAGCGTCTGGATTGATGCGATCACGAGGACCTCCGTACCAGACACTGTCCTCGTTGAGCTGGAGAATTTCGGTCCCAGTGCTTCCTCTGACCATTGCCCCTAGTCTACCATTGCCAATGGGGAGAGCCTCATTCCACGAGGCACCTGGCTCGGAATACCTCAACGACGACATGGTGCTCTTGCAAAATCTGGTGAGTAACTTCTGGTGCTTGCGAGAGATCGGAATGGCCGTCTATATCGACCGAGGGAAATGCTCTGGAACAATCACAAATCTACGCAGAACGTGTCAAGACGTACTTGAGTAACTTTGCTCACGTCGAAGCATGTGTGATGGCCTTCTAGTAATAATGGTGCAAAGCCGGGGTTCATCCGCATACGTCTGTGGGTTGGTTAAACGCCGTCGGGGTCAAGTCGGCGAGTCTCCGACCTCCATATTGGGGCATTCTGATAAGATCTTTCCCGTCGCAGTTTTCGGCTCTTTTTGAAAGCAAAGACCACCACCTTGCTACCCAGATCTGCGGGGTTAGACATGTGGCCAAGTGGACGGACGATCTCCGGTCTTGACCGATGGCTTCACCAGCCTTCAACGTTTGGTGAGTGAGTAGAAACTTGACACCGACATGGGACCAGAGCTAAAATTGGCGACTGTGCTCTTTTCTATAAAATTGTCCGTCGCTTAATTGGGAGCTGAACAAAATCGATCGGATCTCGAAATTGTTAGCTGTCCGGGAGATACAACGGCTTAATGAGCTTACAAGGCTGCGGAATGAGTTTCGCATTAGTGTCATAGATGTCAACGAAAGTGTCAAGACTTAGCCTCGAGAGAGAGCTTAACCACTTACAGCTTTACCAGATGAATTAGGATTCTTCTTCCAGTAAAGTTGACTTAACAAGTCGATCTATAGAATGAATTGTGGTACAAGTCTATATTAATCAAGATGAGTGAAGTCAGAACCGCTTACGGTGTGGAATCATCTACCACCAGCACCATTTTGTTCTGCCAATGGAGAGCCGCGACGCGATAGTGGCCAGTCTCAGCGTCTAGGAAATTTAAAACATAGAAGCAGCTACTATGCGGGATTTCAGGGTGTCTAGACCTGGTAAAAAAAGCACCATCTGGAAGTCTGACCATCCTGGGCCAGTCGTGGTGCTCGTATATGCCTTCGACCACCTCGTAACCGGGATCTGGCGAACGGGTGCTTACAAATCCGAGCCGTAATACTCCGTATGCTGATTCAAAATGAAGGCCTGGCTGAACAAGGGTATTTTAGCCAGACTACCAAGTAAACGTGCTCTAACGTTTTCTCAGTCCCCTCGGTGTTGCGCGCCCTCGGGGCACTTGCCCGTGTTTTGCACCTTGGCGCACCTTCCCGATTCAGGGATAGCATAGTTACATAGATCACTTCTTGCGTCTCATGACTGCATCTTTGCAACAACATACTCTTGACAATACAAGACCTTACCAGGCCCTTGTTTTTCCTCTCGGACCTCGTAGGCCCCATATTGGTGTTTTAAGATCCCGCTGTAGCGCCGCTCTTTCACTGTACTGGAATTTGCCGCTCGGGTGTCATGTTCCCACTGGACTGCTCTAGATCTTAATCCACGGGGCTGAGGATCTAATTGGCTTATGCTAGCCGTATCTCGATGATGATTTTATTCTCTCTCGCGAGTTCCAACAGTGACCTTTAAGAATCTACTGTCGACCCTTTTTGGCATTCGACATGAGGTTTGACGATCTTGGCCGATTACTAATCTGATTCTGGGCGGTAGCCAGCCACATCCTATCTCATCAAGTCAGGCACACCTGATTCGACAGAGAGGGCATGGAGTAATGGAAAAGGGTGAATGAATATTAATCACACTGATCACGTCCCATCAAGCTACCTCGGCTGATTGAATTTGTGAGCCGAGATGAAACAAGCTCTGATAAAGACGACGGACGGGCTCTTGAGGGTTACCTTCGAGCCGACAGATTCCCGGCAAACAAATTAAGCTTTCTCACTCAATATCTCTGCCTTCTCATTATGTCAAGAACTCATTCAAATCCTGGTGAGAAGACAGACAGGGTACTGATGTCTCTGGGAAATGACTCGGATCAGGCTAGAAACGCAACTCAGGACGGCACGAATCTCGCATGGATCGACCTGAGGGAGAAACGAAACCCGCACCATTGGTCATTTCCCAGGCGACTCTTTCACACTGCAATTCCGTGCTTACTTGCTTTTCAAGTGTAAGACTCAGCAAAGTCCCGGATCGAAAGGATATCTAACCGACGCAGAACCTTTGGCACATCCGTAACGGTGCCGGCAACACAGGCTATCGGGGCCCACTTTGACGTTTCCCGGACGGCGTCCATACTAGTTATCACCGTCTACACCGTCGGCGTGGCATTTGGACCCCTCTTCTTTGCGCCACTATCCGAAATCGCTGGCCGCCGTCGCCTCTATGTGGTCACCACCTTTTTCCTATTGGCCTTTACCGCGGGGGCTGGCGCGAGCTACAACTTCTCTACCCTGTTGGTCTGCCGATTCCTGGCTGCCTTTTTGGGCTCGGCGGGCGTGGCGGTCGGCGCGGGCACGGTGGTTGACGTGTGGGGGGTGGGCAGGAAGAGTGGCATCGCGGGCATGTTGTTCATTCTCGGACCATTTCTCGGCCCTGCCCTGGGTCCGCTAGCCGGGGCCTACATCATGCATGACCGTGGGGGCGACTGGCGATGGACTCAGTGGCTCTTGTGTTGCGTCGGGACCCCGGTTTGGATCGGCTCACTCGTTATGGGCGAGACATCGAAAGATCAGATCTTGCGCAACGCCGAGAAGAAGGAGAAGAAGAAGACCGCCGGACCACTAAATGCACCTTCGCAGAACCGCCTCTCCCGGGCCAGGGACGTTGTCGGGTTCTCCATACTCCGAGCTGCGAAGATGCTATTTTCCGAGCCCATCGTCTTCTTCCTCACGGTCTACAGCGCCTATGCCTACGCCATGATATTCAGCTACTTTGGGAGTACCGCCTACGTGCTCCAATTGAAATACGGCTTCAACTCCCGCCAAGTCGGTCTCAGCCTGATCAGCGTGATCATCGGCTTCTTCCTGGGCAGTGCCCTATTTGCCACCTTTGACAAGACTCTCTACGCACGGGCGACTGCGGCCTCGCCGCAGGGCATGGCCGCGCCAGAGCATCGACTGTATTCCGCCATAGTCGGCAGTTGTTTTCTCCCCCTCAGCCTGTTCTGGTGAGTTTATCCGAAGCTTGAATCGGTTATGCTTTACAGAGCACAAGTTGATCCCAGCGACTGACCAGTAGCTATAGGTATGCATGGGAAGCCCATTCGGGCGGCCACTGGGCTGCATTAGTTGCTGCCGGGATACCTTTTGGATTCGGTGCACTTTCACTGTTTGTATGCGGCCATCTCAAAGTACTTTGGGAAACTACCTCCGTGCTGACTAATTTCGACCAGCTGTCGACCATCACCTACCTCGTGGATGTTTATGGGCCTCGAGGAGCCGCGTCAGGTACGTTGGAAAAAATTTGGAAAAGTGTTGCTGTCGCTGATACTGGAGTTTATAGCACTATCTGCGAATGGCACCCTTCGTTATACACTGGGAGCCACCTTTCCACTCTTTACGGTCCAGATGTACGAGAAACTCGGTGTCCACTGGGCTGGAAGTCTCTACGCCTTTCTTTCTTTGGCGTTGATGCCCATCCCTTGGCTACTGTTTCGGTATGGTCCTTACCTAAGGTCCAAAAGTCACTTCGAAACCTCAGTTGTAGGAATACGGAAGGTTGATGCTCCGCCAGTACAAGAAATACTCTCTGGATAAATATTTTGAGTTGGAAAGATGGAAAAAATAGCCCGCACATCCCGATAGACAACATTGAAGGTTAGACAGTGAACGTACATAGAGCATCGATCGAGCGCTGATGGACATAGAACGACTGTTACTGACGACTTGGACCTTACACAAGGGCTAAGAATTCTTGAAGACCGTGCTGCATTTGTTGAGCGTTAAAGCCGAAGGACATATACTTGTGCGTTATCAACTCATCTCCAAGAAGATACCCCAAGTGGCTTTTGGGGCAGCAAAGAGTATACCAATCAATCTTCATTTCCTACAATCGAGTGCCTTATTCATAATGTCAGGATTGACGCAAATTCCAGAACAGCCTAAGATTATCACTTTGAGCGAGAAGGAACTGGTGACAAAGTCTATCGGGCCGCATAATCTTCAAGCTGCTCTTGAGGCACTACATAACGACGTCCCGGTTGTACTCCAGAATGCGGTCGACCCTCCTCATCTGGACCATCTCAATGGACCGAACGGTAGCCGATACGGAAAAAGCTCAAAGTCCTGCAAAAATCCTATGTCATCTTTAGCACGGAAACACTCAATTTTCAACAAGAACCTGTGTCGGGAGAGGGATATTCTTTGACGATGTGATCGTGAGCCCCTGGGCTGCTGCAATTCTAGAACACACTCTAGACCCAACACTCGAGGTTCGCCTTTACAGCGCCAACACAGCACTTAGAGCAGAGGCCCGGCGGCCCGTACACATCGGTTTGAGCCATGGCTACACCCATGCCCCGTTTTGGTTTTTTGTTAACATCAACCTAATGTCAATCTCACTGGAGAATGGGGCCATTGAATTCTGGCTCGGCACTCACAATGATCCAAAGCTGTGGCTAGTCATGATTCATGGACATGGTGAAGTTGGTCAAAGTCCCGATATTACCCTGGAGAAGAAGGCCGCCCGGGGTGAAAGCATTGGGACTGCCAATTGAATACGCCAATAATCTGCTTCAAGAACGCCGCAAAGTACGACCGCCTATCCAGGCGAGCATGCCTAAGGGGTCTCTGATCATTCGCGACATTCGCCTGTGGCATGCAAGAATGCTGGATCGGACGGATCGGACACGGCTCATGCTTGTCACGATGGCCATGGCTCGATGGTACCGCAATAGCGAGACAATCATACTTCCCAAATGTTGGCAAAGAACATATCAAATGGGGCAAGTTGGATCCATGCATCGGAAGGGTGGAGAACGATCGTGACTATCTTATCGGCGCCCATGATATCAGCCTCGCCCGGGCTGGTTAACAACACTGCCCATCGACGGGTCGCAAGGCTCGAGAGCCTGTCGAAGCTATTTCGACATTTACAGCTGGGCTGGCAGGGAGATGTCGAGTGCTAGAGCCAAGAATCTTCACAAACTAGTGGTACCCATACAGACTCATGATAGCTACCATAGGCATAGGTCTCTCGTCTAGGGTACAAGCTCAGCAGCATAACTCCTGCATTACGCGTCTCTTACCTATAAGCTTCGTCGTTGCTGTCGCATCTACGCGTCCTTGTAGGAAGAGGCCCTTGGTCGGTGATCTACTAGCTTCGTCGAAAAATCACTTCGTTAAAGGTTCATTACGTTTACAGACAGTGTCCAAAGTAGGTTTGGTACGGCGGCAATGCGTCTAAAAGAAGTGGAAATGCTACCACGTTCATAGCTGCAAGTGCCTGAGCCAATTGACGCCAGTAGATACTGCGGATCTTTGTGGCACTGACAGCTGCATAAGTTGAGAAGTCTACGTTTGGACAAAAGAGGAATATTTAAGGAACTGGCCAGCTCCAGCTTCTGTGTACTTGCGGAGTTCGGTCCCTTCTAGATAAGCTGCGTCGAATGCGGTCTCTGTGCGCAAAACAACAATTTAATTCGGCATTCTAGAATAAATGAGCATTCTCTACAGGTTTTAGGTTTAACGCGCACCGCATTACACAGCAAAGCGTGCCCTATGTGTGTAGGCAAGGAGTTCCGGAAGAACCCTGCATCCTCCGCTAACCCCGACTAACAGTATGCCCCGAGAGACATTCCCTGATGCTGGCGACGTAAAGCGAGCGTTACAAGGAAACAAAGGATGTCCTGCGAGTGAATCTCTACTCCTAACTCATGTCACCTGGTTGACGATAGCCTCTGTATACGTAGTGCTTCCCCGTCTACTCGTTATAATATATAGTCATCGTCAATCAACATGATCTACTAGTGTGGCCCAGCTGGGCTATACTAGTCTATCCTGTTCTAGGCCCAGATTCTCAGCCTCGCGTGCTGCCCGTTGTAGCCTTGTGATTTCTTGCCTCGGCTGATCTCTCTGGTTCGTGTATACTGTCGTCACAGCTTCGTGTGCGACCTGCGGCCTGGCTGGTTTATAGCATATAACCATCAATGTCCACAACTATAAACTCACATTGAAACATCAGAAAGCCCATCAATCACAACCCACAACCTACTAATCAAACCTCCCGCCGTAAGAATCACATCTGCCCCAGTAGCCATAACCTTCACGGAGCCTACCTCACCTAACTCCTTGCCCTCGACCGCAGGTCCAAATTCCCAAGCCAAGTAGATCATCTCGCCATTCTGCTTGACCTTCCCCTTGGGAGTGAATCTCCACCCAGGTTGCTTATCAAGTACGTCGCCTGCTTTCTCGCTCACGGCCTCGTGGCCTACCAGAATGCCGTCGGGCTCACTTAAATGCACGTCCAGGGTGTACGTAGCTTTCACAGCTTCGAGCCGTTTCGAAGCATCGCGCTCGGAGAATACGTGGAGGAGGTTGTTGATAGCAAGTTTGTGGGCGGTCTGCGGGCTGACGACGTTGGGGTTGGTAGACATTTTGGACTATGGATGAGGCGTTCTCAAGTGTCCGGTTAGTCTCTGTTCGAGCAGACTAGAGCAATAGTTGATATTGGTTATTCAGTGGTTCCCGACAAGGATGGCGCTGGATTGATCAAGAGAGATGGCAGTGAGTTTCGCATTGTCCTTTCTATATACAGTAACTATGCTCTTCCACCTTTCCGCAAATGCCGCTTCAGAGTTACGTAACGAGGTACAATCCAGCGGAATCCCCGGACCTGAGATACAACTTACAATTCTGTGCATCCCGTACGAGGAAAGGGACAAGATTGTTGGAACAACTAGAAGCCCATAACCCTGTTAGGTATTAGGTCACATCTACCCTGCTAGTTCTCTACAGAGAAGGCGTCGGTTCCACTATCAATCTAACGAGATTCAGCCTTTCAGACCTTCACTTCTCCCATTTGTAATCATTGAACCGTTTCACGCCCAAGCGCCGTTTGGGTTCACAGATAGTTTCGAAGGATCTGAGTTCTACCGGAAATGGTAATCACTTCTGGCGAATGGAAAGGGAGCATTAAAGTTCGACCTATCAACCATGACATGTGCTCCAAACTGTAATCCCCGAGGTTAGTATTAGTGGATGCTACAACTACATATATCTTGCTTTTTGCTCTGTCCGTTGAGAGAAGTGTCATTAGCGCAATTCAGAACAGGCGCTCTGACAGGCGTTCAATGAGCAACACTCATTGAGAGTGCGCGCCAAACAGGGTCACACCGATAGAGCTTAGCAGACCCCTGACCTTCGCGCCTTTCAAGCAAGCTACTCGTACAAGGAACTTCTCTTCCTTATGCTTAGAGTCTTGTACTTGGGCGCCACCCTAGATAGAAACGCTCTAACCCTCTATTGTGTCATCAGCCAGCCTGTTCCTTGAGGCACCACTAACACTAACGGTAGAGCGTAGTCACCATGTGGAAAAGGTCGCCGTAGATTTGGAGAAGCTTGGTCGAAGTCTACAGTCTTGGTGTATCTTCTAACACTGAGTGAGAAGAAAGGCCCGTGTTCGTGGTGCCGGGTGCTCTCCGGACAACTTTGGACGTTGCATTACGGGGGATAGGTGTAGCTTCCCACACGCCGCCTCTCAGCTTCTTGTACCCGGTGACGTTGCCGTCTACAAAAGCATGAATCTTTCTCAATACCTCTATCTTCTCTCGCTTGCCACCAACACTCGGTTTCAACACAACGTATGCGGTGGGCAGGTCAGTTAGCAATCTCTCGTTCCATACTCCTCCAACCGCATAATCATCGACTTCTGTCCAATGACTAATATATGCTTCAACACTCCTTAGCGTTTGCTTCCAGCAGCAGGGGTTGCTGATAACCTTGCATTTGTGATTTGATCAGACTACGAGAGCCGGAGGGGTACGACGCAATATTCTGCGCAATCGAGTAACTGATATAGACATTTCATGGTGCTGCAAATATTCTTTGGCTTAGTCATGAATATTAGCGTCGAAACGACTTGACACTGACTGTTTTTTTATGAAACCAGTAGATATTAGCTTCCTTCTGACGCTATGTCATGATCCTATATATAGTCTTCAAGGAGCCGGAGCCGGAGTAAAGGAGTCATCTCGTGAACACACTGGATCCCTGTTGGGTTGCCAATGACTCCGACAGTCAAAGAGAGACAATACACGTTTTAGAGTCCTGCTTGGACAAATGAAAGGCCAAACTTCCATCCAGTTTCAATCCACGGTATACAGGGCGAAGCTTTTTCTACCGTTCGATATCTTCAACCTTGGCCATCAAGTGCAGACGCGGCCGCTTAAGTTACATCCAGAATGTCAGGCTAATCCTACCGTCTCATGCAGCTGTTGCTCAGCACTTCTAGTACCATGCGGGAGTAATGTTGGCGGTTTTCAATCCTCACCGCCCCAAAGAACAGCATGTTTTCCCGCCCTCATGGCCGTAGCATGTGACAACAACGAAGCGCTTTCGTCTACAAGGTCCATTACGAAGTACAGATTCATCCTGGAGTTCTCCGGAAGGGGAGTCACTGAAGCGCAAACCTGGTAGGCCAAGCTGTCGCGACTGACAACGACTTCTATGTCAGTCGCCACCTGACCCTTGTTTGTGTATGCGTGGACAAGTGTAGTGTGGTATGTATTCATTTAATGTGAAGCTGCCTGCGTGCTTCGCAGGATATATGTAGCGTCTCAGCGCCCCGGATTGAATGATTATGTGCGAGCCGGGGTAGAAATACTGGTTTTGGGGGACTGCGGGATTCACAACCCTTTTGTACGGGGATGGGGAAGGAGGCGAAGACAGATTAGGCCTTGGGCCACAAGGCAACTCCAACGTCGATCGGTGGGCTCGAATGTGGGTCCCTTCGGCAAACCTACCCAGGTGTGGCAGACAGGTCATGAGCACCCGGAAGTGATAATCCACTGTAGATAAGATTTCCCGAACGTTGTGCCGCAACGCAACGCACATTCTGATTATTTCCAGCATACCGAATTATTGATATTCCATTTCCCCCACGGCCAAGTCGGTGAAGATGGCTCATGGAGATTTGCCTGGAGCTGAACAGGTACTGGGCGAAAACTTGTTCGTCAACGATGGACCACTGGGGCCTGACGAGTGGGCTGTCTTGACGCCCACAACACCGGATACACCTATCGAAGAGGTGCGCCGGCGATATACAGAGGACGGTTATGTGTTTCTCAAAGGCCTCCTGCCCCGTGCGGACGTTTTGAAAGCCAGAGAAGAGTATTTCAAGCTGCTGGCGCCTAGCGGCGTGCTGAAGCCAGGGACTGATCCGGTGGAAGGTATCTTCGACTCGTCCAAGGACAAGGCCGACTTCCCAGGCATCGGCGCAGGATTTGCTGATGCAAATGCGCGTCCAACTGGAGCCCATCCAGAAGTCGTGCAATTATTTGTCGACCTAGCCCTTCAAGCCCATACAGAGCACTGGTACAAGGAAGAATTCTGCAAGCATCCCGCTCTCCGGGACTATGTGGCGAAATTGACAGGTTGGGGAAACAACACGCTAGGTATCCGCCGGACACTATTACGGAACAACACGCCAGGGAATCACGCGATAGGGGTGCACTACGACCAGATCTTCTTGCGGTACGGTGAGGACACCGCTGTGACTGCTTGGGTGCCGATCGGCGACGTTTCCCGGCAAGGCGGTGGCTTGATATATCTCGAAAAGGGCCACACTCTAGGCGCAGAGATCGAAAAGCAGTTCACCAAAAAGGCGAAAGTCAGTGGGCTTAGTGATGAAGAGGCCAAAAATGCTTTCAACCAAAACATGATGCGCACTGGACTCCTGGCTGACGGTCCATCCGAATTTGGAAAGCGATACAATCGTCGCTGGCTGTTAGCAGAGTACGAAGCTGGAGATGTTGTTCTTCACAACGCATATATGGTAGACAAATCTCTTTCTGGCGGGAGTTGATCATTTTTAACTGACTACAATAGATCCATGCCTCGACGATCAATTATGACCGAGATAATAAGATTCGGCTAGGGACCGATTTGAGATTTGTTGATCAGTCCAAACCGTGGGATACACGTTGGGCGAAGGATTACAGGTTCGATGATGGTGTATAGTAGGGTAGACAGAAAGTCGTGATAGATTATGTTCTGAGTTGGTCGTAAGAATATATGAGATAGAGGCTTTTGTTAATTCCGTCGCATGCATGTTTTATGGTGAGTCGAACCCACACTAACCCGCAACGTGTTGCGAAAAGTTTTATAGGTCAGACTCTAGGTCGTCAATAGATAGTCATGCCTGGACTAATAATCACCATGATTGGACAGACATTGCAGACATCCGCCGGCTTCTTGGGCGATATGATCATGAGACATGTAATGTCAACCGTCCCCGTCTGGCGCGTTAGTCAACACCTTCACTCTCCTCTTAGAAAGGCCAAATTGATCGACTGAATTAGGCTGAGATAGTCCATGCTTCACGCAGAGGTAAAGCTGGCGTGGCGTTGCTCTTAGCAGCTGTCGTGGGATTAGTCATCGTACACTGAGTACATGTCTACTTCTGGAATCAGCGCTCTTATTGTTCCGCCATGCTGGTTTACTGACTATGGCACGGGCATTCACAATTCGTCCATTGTTAGCAGCGTTTACCGGATGTTCAAAGGAGAACTAGACTCCCACAAGGCTATATGTCTATTGTTAAGATCAGAATGAGTTGACAATGGAGAATCTTCCCTGGGATCTCCTTTTTCGGCGATTCAAGGAACGCGGAGAGGTGGTTGCAATTCATATTGAAATCTCCTGGTGACAATCGGCAGAGAGACAAGCCCACCTTGCTTCAATATCGATTCTAGCTCCAAGATGAGATGTGGAAACTCAGGAAGATGACTCTCATAAACTATACTAGATGAATTGCGTAGTAGAGGCCTTCATAAGCAGCTCATTCATGAAACTCTAATAAACCCAGCCGCCAGTATATCTCCTTCCTGTAACAAGAGCCTTCTCAAAATTCCGAAAGTTTCTTGGCTCGCAAGAGGGAAATAGAAATCAAGCCAGGGAGACAAGGACATAGTTCTTTATGTCGAAGGCCACTATGGATGTAGTCACTTGTCCGGACAGTCATTCCATTCTGTCGTTCAGATGGCGGTCTGCTACTGGGTTTCATCTAGGACAGACTAATCACTCTTGAATGACCTAGAGAATTACGGCTTCAACTGATCAAGTCTATAGGATCATGAAATTTTACGAGAGTAGTTAATTACTATTACACTATAGCTTTACCGTTTTGGAGCGGCGTGAGAGATAGGCAGAAATTTCGAGAAGTCTGGCCAAACAAAGATTTCCGGGGGCGCTTATTTACCCCCGCTTTCAGCAACTACCGCCGTCAGATCATCTAAAGGCCGGAAAACAGGTACTCTTTTTAGACATCTCCATCACTCTTCCTCCCTCACTTCCGTCACTGCTCCTTATACACTCCTTAAACACCCGGGTCATTCGTCATTCGATAAACTTCCTGCAGATAGAAGGGCGGTGTTCTGGAGGCGTTGAGAGTATTTTCTACTCTCTGTGACAAGCAAAGCAAGGGACACCACACCTCTCTGTGCAAGAAGCCGATTCAGGAGAGAACATATCATGGTTGATGTTCGTTTGAAGCTTAACACGGGGGCCACCTTGCCGGCCCTGGGGTTGGGTAGGCCGCAAACCACACGACTGCCTCAAGACCGTGAGCTAATCACTTCCAGGCACCTGGCAAAGCCCCGAGGGTCAAGTCCGCGCCGCTGTCACAAGTGCCATCCAGTCAGGCTATCGTCACCTTGACTGTGCTTATGTCTACGGAAATGAGAGGGAAGTTGGCGAGGGTATCAGAGAGGGTCTAGCAGCCGCCGGAATCTCAAGAAGCGACCTGTTCATCACTACCAAGCTTTGGTGCACATATCACACTCGAGTTGAACAGAATCTAGACAAGAGTCTAGAGCTGCTTGGCCTCGATTATGTCGATCTCTACCTTATGCACTGGCCGATTGCGATGAACCCGGATGGCAACCATGAGAATTTCCCCAAAACATCCGATGGGTCGAGGGATTTGATTCGCGATCGATCCCACATCGATACTTACAAGGATATGGAGAAGTTACTGGCGACAGGGAAGACAAAGGCAATCGGTGTGTCGAATTACTCCAAGGCATATCTAGAGCAGCTGTTGCCCCAGATCAACATTGTCCCCGCGGTCAACCAGATTGAGAACCATCCGCTACTACCCCAGCAAGAGATTGTCGATTTCTGCATGGAGAAGGGCATTATAATTACTGCCTATAGTCCGCTAGGAAGCGCGGGAAGCCCATTGTTAACAACGCCTGTTGTGGTAAAGTTGGCGGAAGAAAAGAACACGACTCCGAGCTCGATCTTGCTCAGCTATCACATAGCCCGTGGGAGTGCTGTCCTGGCCAAGTCTGTTAATCCTTCTCGCATTGAGGAGAACAAAAGCATTGTGAGCCTTTCGGAAAGCAATCTCGCTTCACTGGCCGAAATTTCTCGAAATGGCGTCACTCGAATTGTGTATCCTGATTTTGGGGTCGACTTGGGCTTTCCCGACAAGCGTTGATGCTTCAGACCGCCATGGCAATTCCAGTGGTATGATTAGGACTGAATTTATCAGCCAGCTGCCCATGTCGAACTAACAGAGAAGGATGGGACACCAATGGCACAGCCAAAGTGTGCTTCGTCTCATCGTGTGGGCCGTCGATCAAGAAGGTCTTCAGGAAAGGAAGGACACCGATACCTAGAAGAAAAGCAGGATGCAGCCGCAAAATCAAAAGTACAGATCGAACACAGTGGCACCGGTCCGCGCGTTGGTGAGATCATTATCTTCCTTGACCTCCATAGCCTCAAAAGACGTGTCCGGGAACCATCTTACTGCAACCTATCTCGAAAATACTAAGCTATAATGGAATCTGATTGATTGATGGGGCAGAGATACTCTATTAGTGGCTGGAAAATAACGTTATAACTAACCACCGTCAAGGTTGTGCCCACTTATCTTTTTGATTCGAATTATGCTTGACCACGTCAAAACAGCACATCCAGCAAATCTCTTGGCACCCATAGAACTCCTTCGTAGCGACGGTGTGGGCAAAAAGATACATAAAAGAAGAACAGGAGATGAGAGTCAAGGTAGCACTAAGTCTCTGTCTGTCAGAGCAGGTTGCTCATCGAGAATACAGCCTTGATGGAATCGGACCAACAGTTTGGCGGTACTCCAGAAGTACTTCGAGGCTAGGAAGTAATGACAACCTTGATAGGGACTCTACCTTCGTCTTCCCCTGGTCTTCCTTGATTTGCTGCCAGCCTAAAAGCCTTTTCTCCATCAGCAAGCTCAACTCGATGAGTAACAAGTTCCTCCACGACTCCGTCTAAATTCCCACTTGCAAGTAGAGCGAGAGCAGTAGGATAGCAATTCGCGTATCTGAAAACTCCAATAATGTCCACTTCTCTTAATGCTGCTGCTCCTAAAGGTATTGTTTGAGTTGCACTCCCCATGCCGACAAGAATTAGTTTTCCTCCAGCTGTAGCTGCAAATATACCTAGCTGTACACATGATGGGACACCCGTGCACTCGAATACTCGATCGAATCCTGTCTCTAGATGAGCTGATCGTGAAATATTCAGTGCGAGTTCTTGGGCGTCAGTTAACCCCTCCTCAATCGTAGAAGTGGGTGCCTTCCTAGGTAGAAGAAAAGTTTTGAATCGATATTTCCCACCCCTTAGAGTTGTAGCTAGTTGTAATCTTGCAGCATCGATATCAGCGATAACAATATTTGTAACGCCAGAAATCGCAAGAACAGTAGCGGTGAGAATACCTATCGCTCCCGACCCGAGAACAAGTGCATTTGATCCGGCTAGAGTACCAAATCCTGCACCTCCTGCCTGACTGCGATTAACAGCGTGTAAGGACACAGCTAGAGGTTCTGCGAGAGCACCTTGCTCGAATGTGACATTCTCTGCCAACTTATGGCACATATTCACAGGGTGGGATATTGTTGTCTGAAGCGTCCCATCAACATGAGGAAAGGTCTTCGCTGACGATCTAAATGATAGTGTGGAGCAAAGATTGTATCGCCCTGTTGTACATAAAAGGCATGTTCGGCAGGGTATCCCGACTTCCATTGCTACTCGGTCTCCTATACGGAGGCTTGATGTTGCGGCTATAGTGTTGATAGCATTGTTCGGAGACTCGGAGACAGCAATGACCACGCCTGAAGCTTCATGGCCCAGCACCAGAGGAGATTGAACAAGAAAGTTGCCATTGCGACCGTGGTTGTAGTAATGTAGATCGGAACCGCAAAGACCAGTTGCCTTAACGGCAATCTGTGCTTCTCCAGCTCGAAGCGGGGGCTGAGGTCTGCATTCCTGGAGAAGGAAAAAAGTGAGTACTGAGCCTTGAATTCGCATCCCGCGCCTCTTTAGGTTGTGATGTTCACTCACCAGCCTTAAGTCTTTGGCACCATGTAGGACCAAGGCTTGTACGGTTGCTGGGGGACACATGTCGGCTTGCATCGACATGACAGTGATAGGAAAATAACCGTTTGACTATTGGGTCAATGTTGGGCTTCCTACAGAACTCCTTTATCGAATGCCCTGGGTGACAAAGTACCGAATCAAAAGGTAGTTCGTTTGCCTCATATTTGTCCCACCTGAACTCTGGTCGAAGCGCTTACCATCGAAACAAGGGCAAAGGTTTGTTGGGAACAGGTGGTAGAAGAAGCCGGTGGCCAAGAGGTCATACAACTCTCACTCATACTCTGAAAAGGGTGCTCGGGATTCCGTAACTACAAGCGCTCCGAGTCCTTTCACGTTCTCACAGACCCTACCCACCTTGGGAAAACGATCAGTGCCGGGTTGTCAAATTTGGAAAGTATACGCCGAGCCGTAGCAAGAGCAACTTTGTATCAGAAGTGACGTACTTGACAATATCTCGAAATCTGAGTATCCATGCTACAGGTACTGATATCCTATTTGCGCGAAACTTTGAAGGTTACCAATTGCTTTCGTCTTAGGAGTGCTGCCGCTGATGCCGCCTAGCTCCTACCCGTGCATCTTCTAGCAGTGTATTGTGGCTGTCCAAATCCTAGTAACTGCTGGGCCGATAGAAATCTTGCGCTCAATTGTCTTTGACATAATTTGGAATGTGGCCAGGAGCTTCACTTAGTGGTTGTCGTCATATGCTGGGACTCCTACTACGCGCTAAATCCTCATTTCTAAGCGACTATGGGCAAAATTACACGGCCTTAAGGCCATCGGCCAAAGAAGCAGTACCGTTGCACTGCGGATAGTTGGAGTCGAAAACTTAGTTCAGTGGTGCAGGTACTCTGTCAGCCCAGGCTCGGGGTTCTAAACCTTGGTGAAAAGGGGCCATGTAATCCGACGCTGCAGAGAGACTGCACCCGCTTTACGAAAAGGGACATCTTGGTCCGATAGCCCCGCGCCAGGTCCAGACCCCAGATGAGCCCCGGCGGGGAAAGCGAAAGCGAGTTGATCTTGAATCTTCTCCTTCTAATATAAGTATGTCCGTGTTGCCCACGCAATGCTATTAAAAATACCCTCGTCCAAAGGCATCAACATCACTGGCCTTTGCAAGTTCGATAACAAGCTCCCATCAGATTAAAAACTCTGCACTCTTAGGGCTTCCGCCACATCCATCTCCTTGTTTATAACAGAGAACTTCCCTCTGCACGGTTCGACATGTCTTCGCAGGTACATGCCAATACCAAGGAAGAGGTCGTCATGGTCTATCCCCAAAAAGAAGATCATGTGGAGGATGTCGAGCGCGTGCGCACCACAGCGGACGAAATTGCTGAACTGTCCGGCATCGAGAGCGAAGCGACTTCAAAGGCTGCTTGGCTGATCTCCTTGTGTGCTTCGATTGGAGGTTTCCTGTTTGGTAAGTTTGCTGCTTCTGACAAAGTTACCACCAGACTAATGTACATCGCAGGCTATGATACTGGCTACATCTCGGCAGTGCTCGTTACCATAGGCACTGCTCTCGGTCATGAGCTCAGCTCCAGCGAACAAGAATTAGTAACCTCCCTGACAAGTGGAGGCGCGTTTGTTGGTGCAGTCGCGGCAGGTCTCACCGCCGATCGCTTTGGCCGCCGCTTGCCTATCTGGTGGGCGTGTGCCACTTTCGTCGTCGGAACCCTTCTACAATGCGTGGCATATTCTCTTGCGCAGTTTGCTGTCGGCCGCTTTGTCGTGGGACTTGGGGTGGGATCTGCCGCCATGATCGTGCCTCTTTACATCTCGGAGATTGCGCCTGCCAAGTATCGAGGCAGAATGGTTGCCTTCAACAACACCAGTGTCACCCTTGGCCAGCTTGTTGCATCTGCCATCGGGGCAGGCTGCGCGCACTTTCACAACGGGTGGCGACTTACCGTCGGGATCGGAGGATTTCCCCCCATCATCTTAGCCGGTCTCCTCTTTATCTGCCCCGAATCTCCTAGACAGCTAGTCGCTCATGGCAAAAATGATGCTGCTGATGCTGTCCTGCTGAGAATCTACCCTACCTCAACAAACGAGCAACGAGAATCCAAGTTGAAGTCCATCGAGTTGTCAATCTTACAAACAACTGACTCTATGACCCAGGACTCACTCTGGATGTCTTTCAAGCACATCCTCAATAACCCTCCCATTGGTCGCGCAGTGTTGACTGCTTGTACCATCATGGCCATTTCACAGCTTGGAGGCTTCAACACTCTTATGTACTACGCCGCCACCCTCTTCTCCATTGTGGGCTGGAAAAACCCGACTGCGGTTGGTATCACCGTTTCCGCTGCCAATTTTGTCTTTGGCATAATAACCATCTTCCTCGTCGATCGCGCTGGTCGACGAGTGCTGCTGTCAATCTCTGTCGCAGGCATGGCCATCTGTCTAGCCATCGCCGCTATAGCGTTCCACTATATTCCTATTAGTAAGGATCTGGTGGTAGAGACCGACAAGGTTGGCTGGCCTGGAATCGTTATACTGGTCACGATCATCTGCTACGTCGGATTCTTCTCTAGCGGTGTCGCGCCCATCGCATGGGTTGGCACAGAATTGATGCCTCTGGAAGTTCGAGCAGTTGGGACTATGCTGAACACGGCAACTTGCTGGGGCACAAACATCATCATTTCCTCCACCTTCTTGTCCATGATGAAAGGGATTACTCCATCTGGAGCTTTTGGATTCTATTGCGGCATTTGCTCTGTGGGATGGCTCTTCATCATCTTCTTCTATCCTGAGTGCAAGGGCATGCCTCTAGAGGCTGTTCGTGAAGTGTTCAGCCATGGATTCGGGGTTAGGTACTCCAAGAACTGGCAAAAGGAAAACAGGCACCTGAGAGTGCAAAGTCAGGTGGCTATTGGCCACTGAGAAGGGCAACGCAAAGAGGATGGGGAAAGCCATTGTCTGCAGATAAGCAGGGGAATTCATGAGGCATTATTACTTTATGCCCAACGGAAGGTAATGTACAAGTTTTTCATAAATGACCTCCGTAACTGAACTCTTGAAATGGAACAAAATCAATTTTAGTTTTCTTAAATTACCTCCAGACTGTGTCTATGTCGCTATCGCATTAGCGAGTGCACTCATCAGCAGGCTTACTATGTAGGATACTTCCCGCGGGATCGTATAACTTAGTGAGTTGGTCTTAAGCGATTGACTATACATTTTTAAGAGTCCTGTGGGGTGCTTACAAGAAGCGGCTGCTCTCCTCGTCCCATAGTGCGGCATAGCTTCGCGATACTTTGGTCTTCCATAATCTTGTCTCTATAGCTATTTGCCAAACCGATCCGAGTTTCTGACCCGCTTATCTACCATGTCTGACTAGGCCGAGCCAGTAAGAGATCGTGGCAATGACCCCTCCAAAAAAACTCAAACGATCGGGGTGTGACCGGGGCGAGACTTAATCGCGTCGATAGCCAAGCGAGTTAATACAACTCAGCACCTGGAACAGTCATCGTACCCCAGGGAAATATTGGTTTTACTAAAGTCTTTCTAATACCCTTCCCATAGATTCTGGACTTATTTCAAACCGATCTGCCACTTTCCAGAAGGGCCAAGCGCAAAACACAAAAGTTGTCGTTTCCAAGGTCGCTCGAGCGACTGTCCTGGGGCAAATGTTGTATTTGAACAACCCTTCGGCAATACGTCTCTCCAAGTTCGATTATAGAAAGACAGTGTCTAATTTGCAGTCGAAGATCATGACTCGCTCGTAGGGATCTATCGCCCCAAGAACTTCTCAGAGAGGAACTTAGGAGATCTCACTTTTGTCTGGCTCGTAAAGGAACTGCCACCCAGATCATGGAGTGCTTTTATAATATAGTGTCAGAAAGAGCACTGAATGTGTATACACAAAGATTAATGACTTGAAGCGTGGTGATCTCAGTATTAGGAGAGGCTGGTGCCTGGGAAGCGCGAAAGGAGAACAGCAATATGAGCAGTTACGCTTATCTGGCGGAACATATAGATTAAGACAATGGAAATCGAATTCCCAGACAGCAAACTTAGATAACAAAATTAATAGCTTGAAATCAGGCTCTTTCTATTCTACTCTGGCCACCAATGACTCTCCACCGCGGATCGCTCCCTCTACTTGAAGCAGTTTCAACTAGGACTTTATAGATAGAGACTATCAGAGCGCGCAGTTATAATAGTCGCCGCCCATTTTCATCAAACTCGATCTTCTTCCCCGACCTAAGACTGTCCTGGAGAGCCTTTGCGATGCTCAAGCTTGTGACGCAAGACTGCATGGGAACTGGCAGCGATCTTCCTTCTAGAATCGCATCCGTAAACTGGATCACCTCTTCCACAAAGCTTGGCTTATAGCGATCGGCCCAGCTGGGAAGCGCCGTGATATGAATACCGTTGTTGTCTGAGATTTCAACTCTGTCGCGCTTAGATACCAAATTGACCGAGATCTTACCCTGCGTGCCAAAAATCTCGGTCTGGTTGTCGTAGCCAGCGGCGGCTGTGCGTGAGTTATAGTGGAAGGAAATTTGTCCACCCCAGAACTGGATCATTCCGACAGCATTGTCGGCATCTCCGAGCTTATCCAGCTCCTTGAAATGGGCTGAAGTGCCGAAAGCGCATACCGTCCGAGGGATGGGAATTTGCCCGTCCGCTTCTAGGAACGCAAGAGAAAGATCGATGTCGTGAATGAACGAGTCGAGGAAGAAGCCAGATACTTTGCCAGCACCAAGGAGGTACGTGCGGTTGGCCTCAGAGTGGTCGAGTTTCTCGCACCCCTGGGACCTTATCACAACAGGGGAGCCAATGGCACCTTCCTTGATCTTGCGTACCGCTTCCAGATAGTCTTCATGAAATCTGCGAGTGAAACCACACATAATTTTGGTGTTCGACTCCTTGGCTACCGTGATAAGATCCTCAATCTCTTCCACGGACTGAGAGATGGGCTTCTCGCACAGGACGTGAATTCCGCGCTGCAGACACGGCTTCGAATGCTCATAGTGGAGGTTGTTGCTAGATGAAATGATCACAGCATCCAGCCCCGGAGTGTCAATCATCTCTTCGAACATGGAATAAACAGCGACGCCATGAGGGATGAGGTTGGTCTCCGCCCAGACGAGGTCTTGTGGAGCAGGGGAACAAGCACAGATGAGTTTGGCATTGGGCACTCGGTACAAGATATTGAGGGCATGTTGTTGACCCATTCTTCCAATACCCACAACACCGAGTTTAAGAGTGCGTTTCGCGGTGCCGTTACTGGTTCCATTGCCGAATGTCTTAGAGGCACCGTTGGCGACAGCAGTGTGTTCAGTACTACTAAGCGCCATTGCGTGGCGGAAAAGTGAAGGATTTCTTGAGTCGAGCGTTTTTTTTTTCTGAGGATTTTGATAATGATCGTTAAAAATCTTGAGCGACGAGTCTTGATAACATACTCAAATCAAGTAGTCCCTACGGCATAAATCTCCTCTTTGGGAGACCGGAGAAAATGGCACCAACTCCCCGGACCCAACTACCCCACCCCCCCAATCGACACGCCATCCTTTCGTGATCGAGAGAAGCCCAACTGAGCCCCGCACTGAGAAGGCTTTCCCCTGGAGCTTCTCTGGGGTTTGCAGCTGGCACTTTGTACTTGGACGAGATTTTATAGCTCTGGTCACAAGAGGAGCCCACTCGCCACCGATCGGAAATAGACTAAGTGATATAGCAGAGGGAGCGAAAACCAGGGGGAACAAGAACATGCGTCTGGAATCCGGGAATGGGAGGGTACATGTCATGAGTGCAACTCAGGACAGGCATTGTAGGAGGCACTCGAAGAGCAACACCCACGGAGAGAGCATTCAGAAGACTCATCTCAATATAGCTTAGCGGACTCCTGAGCTTCGCACTTTTCACGCAAGCTACTCGCGTAAGGAACTTCTGTTCATTATGCTTAGAGTCTTGTACTAGAGCGCACCTCTAGATAGGAATATCTGAACGCCTTCATTGTGTTATCACTCTGCCTGTTCCGCGAGGCACTCCTAACAGTACGCTACATAACGCACGCGGACATCGCGGATTTCCGTCAGCTCGTGACTGCAAGGCAGTAGCCTGCGACTCAGCACTCACTGACTGTCAAATATCGATACTGCATAGTGAATATGCAGCAACAGAAACGTTGTATGACGACTAAAATATACGATCTCATTACATTTTCTATGTTCGCCAATATGAGACTAGTGTATCTAATAAATACACTGTTTCCTACGTTGAAACTTAGTCGTAATGTTAACGGCAGGATGTCGGAATATGATACTCATCATCGCATCGTACAACTTGCCGTAAGTTGGTGGACTGATATCAGAACGATGGAATCCTGTAACGCCTCGAATAGCTATCTTAATCTGCTCTGCCACAGGTTACATCGTTCAGACCCTCTGCAGACCACCTGACACTCTCAAAGATCTTTTCACCCTTCTCCCTGCTTCCGCATCTCTCTCAAGCCTTAGACTGTTAATCTGTTAACTTACAATTAAAACAAGGCAAGAGCGTTTGGCGGGGAGCCAACACAACCTGCCACATTCAGAGGCGCGCTTGTGAGTAAGAAAGAATACCGGCCGAGCTCCTTGCACGTCTGGCCGAGAGCTTTCAGATCCCACAGTTCGCCAATATTGAGGCCGAAGAGAGAGAGAAAGTATGGGTGCAGCACTGTAATACGTCAGACAAAATTCCAAACCAGGCCGTCACCTGCTGGCAGCCTCATGGGAGACCCAGAGAGGAAGCTCACCCATCTCATCAATACCGGCCACAGTTCCATCTGCTCTTCTTGGCGGTAGAGTCTCAAAGGCCATATTATCACCCGCAACAGCTGCAAAATGTTTGTTCCAGAACCATTTCGCGGTTTCCACGGTCCCGTCGACACCTACCGCCTTGCCGGCGGCAAAAATTTCGGTGTGCTTCTCTGCACCGGCTTCATCGAGCGCTTGCGTGTACCCTGTTTTCAAAAGGAGGATGTCGCCATGCTTGAACTCTGTGCCTTGATATTTGGCGATTTCCTCCAATTCTTGAACGGTAATTCGATGACTCGAGAAACAATCGTACTTGATGCCATTTGCCGCGGCATATTCTTGGTAATCGAGCAGAATGCCACGACCGACCAGGCCTCCTCGCTTGTGCCAATGCTGCAGGGTTGGCAGGTCGCCGTTTTTGTCCTCCTGGCCGAATGGCTGTTCAAGCGAAGTCACTGTTGGTTGACAGCCGTTGTAGCCAGTCGCGGTAGGTTGATGATGATAATGCACTAAACTGTCCCATTGCGAGGAACATTGCGTGTTGTACTCAACCTCGTCGTCAAATACATGGATGTTGTCGGGGCGAGTCTTCTCGGATATGACTTTATGGACAAGTGCTTTCTGGGACCACGTCAGAGGTGTCGCTGAGATGAAAATACGCTGTGGAAGCAAAGGAGAAACAAATTGAGCCTTGTAAATGGCGCACAATCGAGTATGTTGAACCTCTGCCCTCCGAATGACGATGTTTGCGATGCTTCTGACGTGGGGTCCCTCCAGGCCGGGTAAAAATGCAGAAATCTAATCTCGATCGGTGGACTGTACTTACACGCCCGAATGCCGGCTTGGGGATTGCATTCATCTCCCAGTTCAGTGATACAGTTACACCTTTCCTGGCTTCTTTATAGGCTTCCTTGATGACCTCTGGAGTAAGCAAGTTTAGACAACCAAACTGATCCTTCTTCCCATTCTTATCGAACAACCCCCATGCACACCCTTGAGGCATGCCCTTGACAGGCGGGAGAGAATCAAAATCGGGGACGGCGGAGCAGTCGCTCATGCTGTCGATCACTTTGACTTGTGTTGACGCTGAGCAAACTTTCGATACGAACGATGCCGGAGTCAGGCAGATATATGGCGACAAAGCCTGATAAAGAGGCTACGTACCAGCGAGCTGACCGTCGATATAGTGGATATCGATGTCTTCGTCTTCCGGGAAAGCTTCGGCGACAAAATTTGTAGGAGTCTTCAAAGTCGACAACTCTTCTGGCTAACTGAGCGGCGTCAGGGACAAACTTGGCGCATTACAGTTTACTCTCCAGTTTTCGGGGTTTGACTCTCATTTCAGCGCACGATTCGTCACGGTCCACAAAGGTCCTAGCGTTCACAGAGCTCCACGGGTTTGCGTTCCCTTTTGGGAAATCTTTTTCCGACATTAGCGGCAACAGACCTGGAGTCCAGCGAGTTTTGCTAAACCCAGAATTACTCTTAGAGAGCGGCCGAGAAGATGATTACTTTGGACGGCAGATGAATGTGTCTAAAGGCACTATATTGTAGCTTTTCTACTCGTCTAGATACCTTAAGTCACCCACCCCTCCCCCCCCCCCAAAAGAAACCCCATGACAGGCCCTGTTTGCCCACTGGAGGCCCCCTGGAGGCCCCTTGGAGGCCTGACTTCTCCATCTCGGACTCCCCGAGTGTACTTCTAGACTTGTTGAACAGGCTGAGTTGCTGGTATCACCCATGACCGTCTTTATAACAGTGATACTCATACCTAGCGCCCCCAGCTAAGGCAGACGCCCCGACGCCTCTTTGCAACAATCGCATCTTTAAAACACCATCAATTCACTCCTTTCTCACTGTATTATGCTATATCACAAGCTTAATTTCTCTCTTCTCCTTCCACATCGCCTAGAACTAAGCGTTGCATCACAAGACTCATCTTTTCATACCTTATCCCAATCGGACCTTTCTTTCATTAGTTGCTTTCATTAGACCTAGTGCATTTATGAGACCCCTCGGGACTAGGCTTGAAAACCAGGCATGAAAGGCCTGATTTGGGAGTGCAAACTTAACGAAGTTCTCTTCATCTGCAAACGATAGGCTAGACTCCGCACTCGCTATGTCTTTCACGAGAGCAATCAGTACGTTGCGTACTGCTGATCGATACGTCTGTCGATTGTCATGTCCCCTTGCGGGCTTGACGAATCTATGCCGCATCAGCGAAAAAATGTATACAAAAACGGTCTTGCCACAGCAAGGTTGATAAGGGTAACTCAACAATTTGGCCACTTGCGAGCAAAATACGCAGGCCTGTTTGACAGGAAAAAAAAGTAAATGATAATATTGTGCGCGTACTCTAACCAAAAATGAATCGATAATTACGCCTTATAAGGAGCATGACCAACACCTTCCTTCAGAGCCTTCAAGCGCAGCGCGAGCAACTTAGAGTGATAACGAGTCATGGGCAGATAGCCGATCATGAACCAGAGATTAGGAACCCCGGATTCCCGGTAGGCGGTGCGCAATTCGCCCTCTTCATCGATGCCCCAAATAGGGCCACATCCCGCAGCGATCTCCTCTCCTAGGGTTGCACGCACAGAATCAATGACATTGGAAAAGCCGGTGGCGAAGACAACTAGGTCGAATTCCCGTTCCCGACTCCCGGAAAGAATTACCTTGTCCTCGGTAAAGCGCTCGATAAAACCTTGCTCGACCTTAATGTTGCCCTTGATAACCTGCTCGCAAGCGCCAGCTTCGAAGTAGAAGCCACCATTGCGAGTCGAGCCAAGCGTAGCATTTCCAGTGCCACGCTGACCGCGATAGGTTTTCAAGCCCCGAGCGTGGAGACCATCAAGCAGAGGGCGATCAAGGTCTTCCAGGACCTTGGCACCTCGTCGCGCGAGCTCCTCACCGGGGCCGGTAGGAGTAGCGAAGAAGAGACGATCCAGCTCTTCGTGGCTGCGCCGGTTGCCGTGGCTATCAGGTGCATAACTCCCAATCATCCTGGGCACCGAGTTTGTAAGAGACATGATATATGTGGGTGAGCGCTGAAGAAGTGTAACGTCGATGCCAAGTCTTGCGCATTCGTAGGCGGTGTCAAAGCCAGAAGAGGAGGTGCCAACAACGCAGACTTTCTTGAAGCCACGCGAAGAGTCGTGTGCGGTCGAGTGTCGGATGGTGCCCTTGAAATCAGCCATGCCTGGGACCACAGGGGTCGTCGGGACACCGCAGAGAGAAGTGGCCATCACCAGCTGCTTTGGGTAGAGAGTTCGCTGCTCTTTACCCTCCTTATTGATGATTACCGCCCATTGTCTGTTAGTTTGTTTTGCCTCGACCACCGTGGACTTGCACCAGACGTTGAGCTCCAGGGCTGAGGCATACCACTCCATGTACTTTCCTTGCTTCTGGGCCGGAGTATAGGTCGGCCAGTGCTTGGGGTAGCTAAAGTAGGGCAGGTCATCGGCCCAGTGGGGGAAGTGAAGTGAGAGGTACTCGTAACGCTTCTTCCAGACGTCTCCAATCTCCTCATTTCGCTCGATGATGAGACTGTCCAAGCCAAGAGCCTGGCAGCGAGCGGCAAGGGCGAGGCCACTAACGTATCATGTCAGCCCTCTCTTTCGAGAAACGAGAAACGAAAAACAATCGAGGATATCGACTTACTTCTGCCCACCGCCGATTATCAGAACTTCAGGGTTGGCGGCATCGATCTCATTCGCACGTTGCTTTTCCCAGCTCTGAAGGCCAATCATATGTCCGTCTTTGGGGGCCTTCTCTGGAAATTGCTTGAGCTCCTCCGCAACGGAATGCATCGTATAAATCCTCCATCCATCCTTGGTCAGCACCGCGTTGATAACGGCAGATGCAATGACTAGCTCAGTCTCAAAGGACACAACGAACTGCAGCTGCGAGAAATCTGGATAAGGGCGGGATACTTGGGGCGCAGGGTCGAGGAATTTGAAGCTGCTGGCGGTCGTGTTCGCAAAAAGATCGGTGGCGGCTTTCAGGATTGCTGGTCGAAAGTTGAAAGTACGGTAGTCCCATGTAAACGAAAGCTTGTCACGCCATACGCCTGTGAAGGTCAGACTCGCGCCAAAAGTTTGCGCAGGGAGAAAACTCACCGAATTCCCAGAAAAGGTCGGCGAACCCCGCCGCATTACGCCCTCCCATCACTTCAGAGAGCTGGGAGACGATGTTGTCGGCCTCCTTCTGAGCATCACAGTCGAGTGGAACCTCGACTCCGAGGACGTCGGAAGTTGGGAGCTCATGGTTGTACTTGAAGTCATACATAAAGTTGTCTGCAACGACGGGTGTTGGTTCAACCTCGACCGCATTCGAGACCACTTTGACCTTCAAGTCATTGTAGTCAACCGCGCTGTGAAGAGCGGGTTGTGGGAATCCTGAGAGCGCGATAGGTGCCATATCGGCTGTCAAGCGGTTGTTGGGCAGTGGACGCATTTCGAGAGCCTCGAGCATATGTTCGCCCGTTATATATAGTTACATTGTATTTTTGCCCGCAACTGGGCCTCATTCTTGCCGCTGCTATTCTTCGAAAGATGCGCGACCATCAGGTGTTCGGACAATGCTCAGCTGTTTCGAGGATAAATTGCTCCGTTTGGAAGTCCACATCAGGGAACATTCACCGACTCTGGCTTGAGCCGTCGATCCGGTTGCCCACCCAGGCAAGGCAAAGCCTGGCTAGACCTGCCCGCGCTGGCAGCATTTTCTCCAGGATCAGGCCCACAATGTCGGGGGCGCAGTGAGCCGAAGTGGGAGAATTGAGGGGGGCAGCCAAGAGACGTCGGGGTGCAGAGAATCCCGCAGATAGAGCTCGGGTTAACTTTTCCATCTTTGCTATCTTCAGTCACCTCACCAAGTCCACACAACATCAATCAGGTGGCAGGGCTGGTATCATGCCATGCGTGCCAGGACCGGCTGGTTAGTTGGGAGGCCCCTCGCTAGTCATCAGACGCTAACTCTTGCACCACACCAGTCAGCCTTGTCGTGATCGCCATGTGAAATGTAAGGACTTTGTTTCCTGCCTCGGATAACGCTCATGGCAAGCAGGCGTAAAACCCGTCGGCTCTGAAAATTGCATACGATGCCTCCAATCCCACCGGAGCTGTGTCTCTGAGACTCCTCTGCAATTTCGCCCCGTCAAGTCCATCCACTTGAAAACGACTGGAGGACGAAGGGTTCGGCAGGATCTGAGGAACTCCCCACGGCAAATATGGGTTGACGTGCCGGCCGACGGCAGGTCTCATGTGTGAAACCATTTAATATGCTTCAAACTGACGGAGATATCCAGTCCGCTTTCTCACGAACGAAATCGACTTCAGCGACGAGCCCAGACAGACCAAACAGAAAAGACAGGAACAGGAACAAGAGCAAGAACCGGCACTGGAAGAAGAATATGAACAGGACCATGACCACGAACATGAGCAAGAACTTGACGAAGAACCTGACGAAGAACCTGACGAAGAACCTGACGAAGAACATGAGCAAGGCCATGACCAAGAACATGATCAAGAACAGGATCAAGAACAGGATCAAGAACAGGATCAAGAACATGACGACGAATATGAACAACAACATGAACAGGAGCAGGAGCAGGAGCAGGAGCAGGAACAAGGAATTCTGGACGCAATTCAGGTGGTACCCACTGGTAAACTTAGCATCTCGAGCCCTACGAGTGCGATTTCCAACGCTCAATCGAACAATCAACCGACATCATATGCTGTTCCTCGACAGACCTCCGTAACTTTTCATCAAGGTTCTTCACCACAGAATTTGCTATTCGCCGGCGCAGGGTTCGCGAGTGCGTTGCGCAACCACAGTCCTCAATCTCACTTTTCAAGTCACACCCCTCTAGCTATTGGATACTCGCCGTCGGAGCCCGCAGAGAGGTCCTCGAATCTGAACCCATCTCCCGCTCTTCTTCGAGCAGGCTCATGTGTCACATCTCCCTCGCTATTATCAGGCTCGTGGCCATTTCAAAACCGCCATGAGGCCCGTTTGATGCACCACTATATTGTCAATCTCTCCCTACAGGTATTTCCGACACCTCCCCCTTGTTGGGCATGCGACTAATCTCTGTCCAGTTCGACTCGTGCGACAATCTAATGCACTTCTTCAAAGAAGTACCTCGACGGGCCTCGCACCATCCAATCATCAAGAACGCCATCTTTGCGCTCTCATCCCTTCACTTGTGCCGTCTCTCTGGGCTTGAAGACCACGAGTCTCATGTATACGTCAACGAATGTCTCCAAACCCTGATTCCAGCCCTCGAAGATCCGCTGAGCCATCTTGACGAAAATCTTCTGGCTGCGGTGATTTTGCTAAGAACTCACGAGGAGATGTCGGGTAAGTTGTTATCCCTGGGCTCTCAAATGCCCAGAAAAGTGTAAAACTGAAGTACAGGAAAAATAACAAAGAGAAAAGATAATGACACGTGTTGTCATCTGCTCGGGGTGACTCGAATCTTGAATTCAATTGCTTCATTCGCTGCCGACGGCGGTCTTCGAGAGTCGGCGAGCTGGATATCTCTGCGACAGCATATCTATGTGGCCCTAACGTCTCAAGGCCCGCTCACCATTAACTTGACCAATTATCGCCACTCGAGTGTATTCCAAAGGCCGGACGACGAAGCTTGGGCTAACCGAATCATATTCATTTTCGCGAGCATTTTGACCCAGATCTTTCTACCCGATGGAGAACGGCTCTCACTTGGTCAATGGGATGAACTGGACGCGCAGGTCACCACTTGGGACTCATCAAAACCATGGCACTTTTCACCTCTATATATGGAAGCCTCGAGCCAAACCCCGTCTTCACTAGATCGGAAGTGGAGCTTCTGGCCAGAGGCATGGGTCTGTGTTCCAGCACAAGGTCAGGAAGCAAATTTCTCCCTCCCAAACATACTGGCACATAAACTAAATTTTCGTTCTCTAGTTGTCGGTCTTCAGCATTATTACCTGGCCAGAATTATTCTGGCTATCTACGACCCTCGCCTTTCGAGATTGGGCTTCGACTCCTACAAGCTAAGGCGGTCTTTAGAGGTATGCTTTGACTTACATTCAACCCCGAACCATACCAACATAGTATCGTCGTAGGATATTGTACGGCAAAACCTCCGAATGGTGATAGGATTGGCTGCCAGCAACAGCCACGTCTTAACGGGCATGTTCCACGCATCTCACGCCCTGTCGGCATGTAGGTTTTATTCACCCGCGCTATCGATTCTCATGAAACCCTTCCACTAATTACGACCACAGGCGGCATGTACCTCACCGATCCGCAGGAGCAACAAGCAGCTGTCGAGTTCCTTGAGAGCATGGAAACAAGTATGGGCTGGCGAACGCAACATATCATCCAAAATTTAAAAAGCCAGTGGCTACTCTAGAGAGGTTTAAATCTAAGCCTAAGCCTCGGTCGATCGATTCATTTTAAGTAACTTGATATCAATTAATCAAGTAGTTAATCAATCTATAGGCATCTCCATCTCTAGTATATATCATTTCTACTCGCTACCTATTGTGAGAATAAATGATAAGTAATTTCAGAGGAAAACATCCTCCTTCTGTCTACGAAGCGGAAAGCTGGAGTTTTAGGTGGATTTTGCTTGTTAGGCAATGGTATAAATGTTAAAGATTTGTCCAAGGGCAAGCCTCTTTCTTACATGGGGATAGCGGTACCTGAAAGTGAGAAGTCACAGCTGCTCTTGAATGTACACGATCCTGATATGAAGGCCATTGCCCGGTCCCGAATTATGTTACTGGTATGGGTCCGTATGGTCCGCTGGGACACGGGTCTTTCTTACCGGTCGTGGAATTGGTTCACAAGTATTTTGTCTCGGTGATCAAAAAGTCCAAAGCGAGAATGCCGAGTCAATCAAGCCGCGGAAAGGCGTGATCGAGGTCTTTACTAACCATGCGGATCGCTTCTTCAAGACAACAGCGTGGTTAGGACCTTGTCGTATTTAAGTCACGCAAGGAAGGCTTGACGGACCAGTTGCCTTCTTCCCAGGCTCTAGATTGAAGTTTTTTGATGTTCTGTCGACGCCCTAATATCAAAGCGGGAACCCATTCAGCTGGCTGGGCAACGGATTCTCTGTCCGCGGATATGATGGAGGTGATCCTATCGTATCATTTGGGAACCAACTTAATCCCGGTTGGATGCTCCCTGAAGCTACAATTGAGGGACAGATGTTTCTCAGGATGTAGAAGCCCCTTCGCTCCTTTTTGCATTCCTACTTCCAACAGGTCACCGAAAAGAGGCAGCTCATGAGTACGGGAGACAGATGCAGCAACACGAGTGGTTGCCGTGTCTGGAACGATGCCAGAGGGACCAACCAGGTCAGTTTCAGCAGATGCAATGGTGATTCATTGGTGCAGGCCATGTATCAATTGTTGAGTCATTTGCTTTTCAACGGAGAATGACTACTGAGAAATTTCGTGAACCTTGATCAACGTCGCCCGTGAGCCTCGGTCTGGACAGGGGTACATGTTCCAAGAATATCATTCTATACAGCCACGACTTAAGCTGGGTGGTTCAAATTCTTATACAGAAGTCGAAAAATTGCCGACAATGGTTCTGGGCGTGTATGGTGTGCCTTCTCAAGAGTTGACGCTCAAGTAAGCTTGATTCGGGGACTGCTACCATGCGCAGCCACCCCAGAAACAGATATCGTGCACGTCACTCAAGAGTCTACAGATTGGACAAAGTTTCAACTTATGGGTCCGGTTTGTGGGCAGATCATTTCAAGGGTGATGAATCTGGTATGGCATTCTCTGTCTCCGCGAATATGCCGTTGCGTCATGATCCAAATCTACTCTTTAAAGTTCTTCTGTTAACAGAGTGATGTGCCTAGGCATTGACTCCCTAAGCTCTTTTTGTCCGGATTGCGTTCAAGGTTTCCTTGGTGTCTCACATGGGATACACAGCCACAAATCGACAGAGTATCCTTGGCAGTTGAACTTTGTGATCCCCAGCTCACACGATTGCTGCTCATGTACCTGACATATGGGCCACAATATCAACTACCTTGACCTCTCTAGCTTTAGTGGTCTATCCATTCGCGGGTGCTTTGCAGGTCGCCCCGAGGTCTCGAAACGGTAGCGTTCAGGCGGTCAAATGCAATGCCGCTCAGGGGACACTTGCTCCTGGTTCAGGTATCCTACAGTGTTGCCGATAAAAATCAACAAGAAGGCCCATGCTTAAAGTTGGACCCAGTCTCACCCCGATCTTCCCGCCGTGTCGGATGCGAGATTACCGGATACTAACTTAGTGCATCAGATCCCAGATCAAGCGATGCCCCGGACACTTGAGGAAATGGCGGAGATCTTGGCGTCTAGGCACGTCCAAATCTAGCTGGATATCACTGATGCCCTCTCCGCAGATCTGAGTGGCGATCGACCTCAAATGCCTGTAGGTAGTCTCGACTTCTGTCCACATATAGCCACCACCGTGGTAGGAGGATCAGCTGACTGTTCTCCGCTACCATGAGAGTTGTCATCGCGGCACAATCATACTGCCAATATTGACCATAGACGCTTGGCAGCTTCATTCAAGAATTCTCACTGATGCGGACGGTGTTTGAACGTGATGATTTGCACTGGAGTTACTCCTTCGGCTCAAAAACAAGCCGCCGAATATGAGTCTACTCTGGGCATTGCATCGATCCACATGCAGTAAACGGGACTAGGGAAATGAGGCAACACTCAATGAGCACTGCCTTGTGCTGTTCTCTTACGCTGACAATTATTGGCATTCCTTCATCTATAAAGTGTCGAAATCCTCTCCCCGGTGTGAATACTTGAAGTTATCTTCCCTTCGAACTTTCATAACAATACTTATCCATACTTAGGACCACCTGCTCTCGCACATCAATATGAAGGCTTTTACTTACGCCAGTGCCTTGTTAGTAGCACTTCCGGCTCTAGCCAACGCTAGCCCTGTCGGTGCCGGCGGGGGTGGCTGGGCGGGATGGAAAGACTCGCCATTCCACTTCACCTCCACATACAATGTCATTGCCACGCCAGACCAAGTGATTAATGGTACCAAGTCAACGCCAGGCGAGCCTGGGGCGAAAGGCTACTACAATTATGGCATCAATAGCCAACTCGAAACGATCTGCTACGTACGTCTACTGTTTCCAGCAATCTCTATACGACATACTAACTCTTGAGCTCAGAACATCACGCTTGTCGGAGTCACTGGTGACTATCGATCTCCAGCCCTCACAGCGACGCATATCCACGAAGCTGCGGAAGGCAGTAGTGGCCCACCACGAATCGTGTTCCCAAATCCTCTTCCTATCAGCGATGACCCTTCAGTGGTACGACGTTCGGTCGGTTGTTTGGTTGGTCCGTTCAAGACAGGCATCCTATCCAACGGTGTCGACACTGGAGCAGGATTCACTCTTGCAAAGCTCGAAGCAAATCCTGCTGGCTTCTTCACTGACTCGCACACGAAGAAATATGTACCTGGTGTGGTCCGGGGTCAGCTTGCATAGATGATAAGTCGGGAGATATTATAAGCTGTGTTCTCAGTATTATTTTAGTTCATGACGCTCCTAGAGCTAACGCATGAATATGCGCAAGGGATGCTACTCCATCTGACTTTACCTCTCGCAATGCAACATACTACAATGGAATCTAATCGTTTCTCATACAGACTGTCTTAAAAGGTTGGATCTGACTTGCTTCACGGAGAAATATTAACCTCAATTATACGTCTAACCGACCAAAGTATACTTCATCCATGAACGTTGATTAAAAGCTCCGTGCGATTTATCACCTAGACACTAACTACGATGGGTCTACGGAATACCAGCTTAGACTCCGTGCATGAGCCCGATCCCTATGGGTGGGAGCTCAAGAAGGCATCGAAACTCCAAGACACCCCAGGGATTTTGAACCTTAGCTTGAGATTTTAAGGCCATTGCTGAGGCGTAATATTGCACATCTGCGCCGTGGCTTGATACTTCTTTGACCACGCGGCACAGGGTATAGCAGGAAGTTGGGAATATCATCACGCTTGTAAGGTGACAAGGACACGAGCTGGATTTTACATTGCCAAAGAGATAGGAGCAATGCAATGAGTTGCTTCCAATTTGCTCCAACTGCTCACGTGCGTGGTGGCGCCTGTGAGTATGTGATATGGGCCCACTTCAAGCCATTTTTTGGAGGGAATGGCAAACATAATGAGTCGGCGAGAGCGTCGGTGAGATGAGGCACCCATTCAGCCCCGAGTTGTGGTGCTGACATGTCTGTGCCTCAGAACACAACAAGTTATGGAGAAAGACTCTTTCTTTTTCGATGGAGGTAGTGAACGCTACATTTAATAGGGTCTGTGGTTAATATGAAACGTGAATCTTTTCAAGGCTTTACGTTATTAATTTCCAAGTGAAGAGAGAGATATATTGCTAAGTGAGAGCCAGTTTTAAAAAGAAACTACGCACAAACTTTCAACTTATCACCACCACACTAGTATATGAACCCTCTCATGCGTTTTAACGAAGCTGGGAGATCATTCCGCTGATACCCATACGTTCTTCCGCAGTAAGCTCGATCCCAAAGTATGTCTGTAGGGCGGCAATGCGATCTGCTTCGCCGTGGAATGTCGCGATGATCCTGCTCTGGCCATACTTCCGTTCTTTCACGGTATCACCTCGAAGAGTGATGTCACCGATGATGACCTGGTCCGCAGTACTAGAAGTAGTATTTGGATCCTCCAGGAACTTCATACATACCAGAATCTGTGTGAACCACGACTCCGGGCTCTTGCTGATATAGAAGTTCATGGCACGAAAGTCATTGGGCAGAAACTCGATTTCACCGAAGCAGTAAGCAGGTATCCACTGCATTGAAGCCTTGAAGCGCACGTAGTAAGTCCAGAGAAGTTGTTTGGGAGTGCTACTGCTCTCTGAAATGCTCTCATGACGGAGGAGCATCTCACTATTGTTAGTGTTGTCGCCGGTATTGCGACATGTAAAACCATCTCGCAACGGAACTGGGCGAGTCGGGCCATTGTTCCCAAAGGCGCAGTCCACGGCGTATCTTTGGTCCTCAATGGTCACAATATTAACCATGTGAGTCCTATACATGTACGGTAAAGTTAGTAGGTCAGTGCGGAACGCAAATGTACACGGCAACTCGATGAACAGAACCATCGATCGATGGAGAAATACTTGTAAGGGGGCATTATGTAAAAAGAGTATGATGTACTTACCAGCCACCGTATTCAACTTGTTTATTCTTGTTATCGGGCTTGATCTGGTTGGATACTCGACCTCCGACGGATATCACATCAAATCCCAATCCTCGAAGGACCAGAGCCATGAAAGTGTTAATCTCAAGGCAGTATCCGCCTCGGCGCTGTTCGACGATCTTGTGAAAGAGCTGACTTGGGTCGAGCGAGATCTCACGATGGCGGGAATAGTGTAGGCCAATGTTTTCGAACGGTACGCTGCATATCTGTCGACGGATTAATCTGGCCAGGAAGTCATATTGCTGTTCTGGCGGAACTTCAAGGAGGGAGCCACTGAGGTGGTCGTGGTCCAGAGGGAATTTTATCAGGTCAAGGTATTGTTGAATCTGGTATTTACTGTATGAGGAGGAGTGGTTGGAGGATTGAGAGGCGGTTTCTGAAGCCATAGTCCGAGGCGGATGGATTGATGAACTACCTGAAGATTTAGGCTGCCTGTGGAAATATTACGGGCACTGACAACTCCTTTTTATGGCGCGGAAAACGTACGTACAGGAACATCGGAATTTCGGTGATTCGCGTAAGCGGGAAGGTCGAGATTCTTCCATTTTATGTCAGCAGGTACATACCCAGGACTACCGAAACCAACGGTAATACTACGTCGTACGCATTTTATTGCGTAATTCAGAGTGAAAGGTCGCAATATTTACGTACATACCTCCTTTTCTTGGTTATCTATTGTACGAGGTACCAGTACAAGTATGACAGACAAGAGAGAACAGCTTACCTTTGCTGAACAAAGCCCTTGAACAACTACCTCGGCATGACTCAGTCTCGCTCCTATAGTCCAAAGGCCTCCTTACCAACCACCTCAACGTCACCATCTACAAACGGTCAGAAGGTCTGAAGGATCACCCTTGAGAGACACCGCTAAAACTCCTCCCCTTTTACTTCGGGCTGATGTTCTTAATCGCTATTATGGTCCAAAGAGTATTATTTCCTTAATAATTTTCAAATGTCTTCAGCCTGTGCCACACGTTTCTTTGTAGAACTATATCGCCTCCGACTCATGAGGATCCATCCTCTGATGACATTGCTCTCATCACCGCAACATGGGACGCCTAGTATGCACGCGTCCTCGTCCATACTTTCACTACGCCGGGCCAGAAATCTTGACAACAATCTTTACAAAGTTATCTGGTTGGCTTAGAAAAGGAGAATGCCCAGCGGCACAGGTGAACGTTTCCACTTTGGCGATACACCTCTCTACAAAGAATTTCTGGATATGTAAAGGCAAGGCTTGGTCATTTTTGCAGTGCAAGTAAGTGACTGGGATATTCTCGTACGCGGCCTTCGTCATTGGATTGAACTGATATGCCAGCGGTTGTGGTTTTATGTGAGTAGCCCATTTCGTTTGATCATCGACGGGTAGATCCTGGTAGAAGATTCGTTCCGGGTTCATCGGTACGCAGATGCCGTTTTCCTGGACAGAACCAAACAATCAGAATCCATTAACACGATACTTACTACCTGTGGAAAGATAGACCTTACCTCTTTCTTGATAAACGGTGCCGGGGCTCCTCCAAGTGTTGTACACAGATGCTCGCCTTTTGCCAGATGAAGGCACAGACGTACAGTAAGCAAACCACGCCTCCTCGTTCTCCTCGTTGATCATATCCAGCCTGTCGCTCGACCTTACCTAGGCCCACAGCTGCTTGCGTGCCTACGATACCACCGTATGAGGGCATGACCAGCAAGACATCTTGAGCTTGTTCCGCGATCAGATGCTCAAGTTCACGGCGCATGAGGTCGGCGTCGTCGAACATTGTGTTGTCGTGGTTGTCAGCGCTTGTAGATGGTACTTGGGGGCAATATGCCCTGTATCATAAAGTGCCTAAAGATGGTAGTGGATAATCAGCAACTCTACTGCCCTGCTCGCTTACTGAACACGTCATATCATCTAGAATCCGCTCCTTGGGATAATCAATCTCACGTGAAGCGGGTCGTGGAGCGGGTCTTTGGCTCTGCCTCTATCTGTTTAAACCAGAAGACTCACACATATACACCCAGCCCAAGAATTATGTCATCTATATCTCAATCGTAGATGTGATGATAAACATCATGTTCTGCCACTAGAGTAACCGTCTTCTGGAGTATTCTCTTGCTGCTGATAATAGTCCGCCAACAGTTTCTACGCGAGAGCGGCATTGTTCGTGCTGGTTTCCAAGGGCGGCGGAGGCCGGAAAATCAGCTCTCACAGTGCAGGCGACGATCTTGTGGATCTGTAGTGAAGTTAAGATCGGCGGCGTGTGCATGTCAGGCGTCCTGCGCTGCAGTGAGAAGAGAGAGTTTCTAAGTGTCCTCATCAACGACAAACTTCTTTGGTTGAGAAAACTCGGCGTGGGACACCATCTTTCTGGAGGGCTATAATTTGGTACTAATAAGTTAGGCGTTTCAGAGTTAGCTTTCTTATTCAAATCATTTGCCGGGGCGAGAGAAGTTGGTTTTGCTTGCCTGAAAAGGTGCCAGTCATACCTCTCTACGCCCCATCAGACGCTTGTGTAAAAGAATCCCGAGCCTCGTCTGGTGAGTCCAATTCCACCGTGAGGATCTTTATATTGACTTAACCGAGCCATCGGAATCGAACGTTGTCGAAGTCGGTGCATTGGATATTTCTCTGACCCCGCATCAAAACATGGATGATCGACACGGCTGAACCTTTACCGGGAGGAACTAATACGCCGTAACTCAACTACCATTTTCCTTGCTGTTCACCACTTATTGCCTATTCAGATGGTACAGGGGATAAACAAGGTAAAAGGTAGGGAGTTTAATCGCACCTAAAGAGGGTCGGATTAAGTTGTCACACTAGCTCCTGGTTATGACTTAATCGTATTGAAGCGGACGCGCTATCAAGGTTGCCGACTAAGGAGACGGATTGTCGACACTCAGTAATAAAGAAGCCGTTGACAACAACAACGATGGCGACGATGATGACGATGACAACGGCAACCACCCAGACATACATGGAGCCAATATCGCCCAAAGTCGGTATACCCCAATTACGAGGTACGATGAGATTCCTGAATGGGCTACCGTGGACTCCCCAGCAAGGCTTGTTCAAGCTGCGGGGCCAGGAGAATCAAGTTGGACGAGATTATGCCACTGCGGTCGCCTTATGGAATATGTATTGCGACAGTGCGACCTTGTGCGCCCAGCTTGTGGACAGCGCGTGAGAGGCTGTCGTACATGCTGGGGGTATCGCGATGCGGCCGACCTGCTCTTTCACGATCTTAGAAGTCGCCCGCAAGGTGGCGCGTCGTTAACCGAAACGAACTCCCCCAGGCGCTGCCGTCCTGGAGACTGCCAGGCTGGCTGCCACACGGGAGCTCCCATCAGAGGTTCTCATTCGACGAGAATTCCTTTTCCGCCTTCATGGTACAGGTCAATGGCTCCCGAAAGTCAAGCTTTGTGCTTCTGCTTCTTCCGCAAGCACCCCGGCCGTGTCGTGGTTGAGGAACTTTAGAACTTTATACGACATCATTCCAGCCGTCTATTACTCCGCGAGGCGTGGGAAGGGTCCTCTGTTGTGCATATTGACGGTCCTGTGCTTGGTACGTTCAGCATGTGACAGGCCAATCGCGACCTTTGAGATGGCCTTCGGGTCACACTGGATGAGACGGTCCTCGCGGTGCTATTACTAGTGTTATGCGAGGTGGGTACTTTCAGAATTACCCTAGCCTTTCCTCTCAACAGCAGGAGCCGATACTCGTGTCAGACCAACACTTGCAGAGCGTCCCGATCAAGGCGATCCTGGCTGAGCCACATCAAAGGTGCGACGGCCTTGTTACAGCGAACTCAGTCCTAGTCTGTTTATCCAGGCGCACATACATGTCGTCACCGGTTGTTACCGGACAGGGTCGTCCATCCCGGACACATCCATCCGGCTTTCTCGAGCGTGGGGCTATCGTCTTACGAGTTCCGGCGCCGTGGACCAGGTCGAAGATCTCAACACGGTCGACACCGAATTTTGTAACGGTCGATCTGTCATACGTTTTCACCCTCCCATTACCCAGTCAGAGTCGATGGCAAAGAGCCGCAATCACCCAATACAAGTCAATCGCACAAGCCTAAGAAGATTAATGCTGCGCGTCAGCAACTTTTCACCCATCAACAGTCTACTACAACGATATAGCCAATCCTGGAATCTTGTCAGTTCATTGTGATGCCTACCTTGGCATGTTGACAACTGACCTCGCTAACAGCTACAGGGGCAATGCCATCCTCATCCACGAAGCTTTCTTGAGTCACTTGAACTTCTTCCAGATCCACTATGGCCACAAGGACCACCTGGACGACCAAGTCAAGCAATCACGCGGCACGATCATATCTGTGATCAACACAATCTGTGCCAGTGTACGGATCTCCTCAAGATCAACGAACATTGCTGCGGCTGGTATCGGACTCATCAGAGTCCTCTGGCCACTGTAACGGGCGACACAGCTCTCGCCACGCACCGTTCGGGTACCAGATGTCACGCGCTTCTGCTTGCTAACGGAGCCTCGAGTCTTTGATAGAACAGGGAGATAAGCACCATGCATCCTCTGCCCCAATTTCGCGTCTGACGAATGTAGCAGGGGCATAATCTCCTCCGGAGGTCTCCTGATCGATCTCAAATTAAACTCAGTGCATTTAGCAATGGCCCTATCATAATGGTGCCCAGGATCGGCCGTCCAAACTGTGCAGTGCCGATTTCCCTAGAACTTCACCTGTATCTCAATCCTGAGAGCAGATTCTCGAGCCATCCTATTCTCTACGCGGATAATGCAGAGGTGGATGGTGCGACCAAAGCCTTGTTGCTATCAACCCTCTCTCTGAGAGCCTCCTGGCTACCATACTAATGCTGCCACGGCCGCCGGCCAACATAGGACTTTTAAAGTTGTTGTCGAGAGACTCCGGAATGGGCAGATATCACTCACTTGCACTCGGTTAGTGGCCTCACATAACCGCATACCATCATCGGCCAGAACAAATCCGATTTAAGAAGATGCCTGGATAAATGGAACCAATGAATGCTACTGTAAACCTGTTGGGCAGACCAAGCGCTAGGAGGACCCTTGTTCAGCATGCAAACATATAGAAGAAGGCATCATTTGCACACATAACCACTATGCACAATCTTCTTCGATACTGCCCCTTAGGTGTGCATCGTATTCGACTCTATCCAACAACATCTGCAGCTGCACAAGGTGATTAAAGACTACAGAACAATCTCCTTCAAGGCAAAGCAAAAATGAGACCTCCTTGACTCATTTGTAGCTTCGTGTATCCTCCTCGAACCCGGGACGATGCGGCTCATCGGAATACCCGAAGCTTGTTGCTGATCATCGGCACTTTCACGGATCTTCGAGCCGTTCATCCCACATGACGGACTATGCCGCATATTTAGATTGGGATTTACAGACCATTGTGGAAGCACAAGCTCAGCTTCTGCTCGGTATTGATGAGTTAAGAATCTCTCTCCGGACAACGTCTGGAGATCCAGCTCCTTTTCATGTGCGTTGCCTGTTTATACAACCTCCATGGCATCACTTGACTGTCGACATGTCGTCTGCAACAAGTGCGCCAAAGTGAGCAGCTCCTTGCTCGGCTATCTTGACGGTAATAGCGTGGGGCCTCTTAGCTAGTACTATTTCCAACTAGGTGATGGAGCCTTTCCTTATCACCGAATCATGTTAATATGACAACCAAATTAAAACTGCATGCCAAGATCGAGAACCCTGGAATTGAGCAGAGCGAGAGATGGCGGAGAATTTTATGTCTCAACCGTTATCAATTTCGCCGAGCGCAACGATGCAGCAGAGAAGGGATTTGAGCTGCGAAGGTCTATGAGACAAACTGATCTATCTACTGCGGATTCCTTGTTCAAGGGCAATGCCACAAAACTTGCATTGGGTTAGCTACAATGGCGATACTGGTCGGAAAGATTCTCAGCAGCGATCCCAAATAAATTCTTTCCTTAACCGCACAAAGAGCAGACAGAAGTATGAGCGCTTACGGCTGGGCCCCTCCCTAGCTGTGAACTGGGAGGCTGGCCGATCTCGCTATGGTCACGATGAGCAACCATCTTTACCACCAAAGACAAGCCCTGAAAATGTCCTTCCCTTGGGTATCTGGAGACAAGAGTTACCAAAGTCTACCAGAGCGACCTCGAATCGCCACAGGTCCAAAGATAATGACCATAAGAGCACGGCGATAGTTTCGATCGAGAATCATTACATCACATCGAATCCTGTGGAGCCTTTCGGCGCGATGGCCGTTGAGATTAAGCCTGAGTGGTACACTGGCCTTGAGTATTGTGAGTTAGCTACGAAAGCAGACTCATACTCCGATTTAACATGAAGCCAGGGATCTATGGTTTTGATCCAGCCATTTGTCGGCAGCAAAGGGTTGCCGGAATCTACAGCGCTTCCCGGGCTGGGCATTTTGCGCTGAGATTTCGTAACGAAGCTTTATTTCATGCGACAATGGCCGTGGCGTATAACTCGTTCGACAATCTCAGTCATTCCTACGATGCCCAAGCTCCTTCGATCAGAGTTTTGTATCATCGTGGAAAGGCACTCTCCTCTCTGTCCGCTCAGCTCACTAGCATGCAAATAAAGTCATCAGTGATATTTCAAACAATTCTCAACCTTATGGTCGTTGATGTAAGGGGTTTCACAATCATAACGGAGACCAGGTAACTGATATTCTTTGCAGTCCACTTGGCTAGATTTCGACTCTCTCAGCAAGCACCAGGTTGGCTTACGCAGCTTAGAGCGCTTGGAACTAGAAGATCCCGTTTGGAGCAAAATCCTTAAGAGGCTTATGGAGACGTACATGCCGAATGTTTTGTGGATCGAAAACATCTAACAATTATCGCAGGTCAATACAAACGAATCAGAAATACCTGTGGCGAACGATGAATGGTTACAAAACGGTCATTTCGAACATAACTATCGACGAGCCTCTCAGCTATCCTGAACGTCCCTTTGACATCGACCTCTGCGAAAAGATATACCAGCTTCCCACTGCGTTCCAGGAACTGGCTCTGGCACAACGCTTGAACACAGAACTCGTTACAATTATGGCTTCTCTTGGGAAGTTGCTCAGGATTCTCTCGGAAGCACCGAGTAATGAGGAAGAGCGCACTTTTTTGCTGACCTGGGACCCCACAACGCACCTCCATCAACTGGCGGGTCTGCCGTCGCGGATGAAATTGCTCAAGAAGATTGTATATCCATCGGAGGCCATCATCTGCTTTGCACTCTCTTGTTTCATCACATTTTTGTTCCACTTGATGTCGACCGGAGACCTGTGGGAAAGAAAGAAGCTCAACCTTGTTTTGTCTTTGTCCTTCCCTATGATTGAGGACGGGAACGACGAGATCCTAGACTGGTGCAGGGTTCTTGCCTTGACTCTTTGTGCTGACGCAAAGAGAACTAGGGCTTACACCGTGAATCGGAAACAACTGCAGAGTTGGCGGCTTTTTGACTTAGAATGGGAAGAGATCGTCTCGAACCTCCGTCGGCACTTCTGGTTACCAGAACTCGATGAACCCGCCAAACGCGCTTGGATAGAAGCGAGAAGTGAAGCTTGAAAGGATTTCAAGAACTCTTATCGATCATGAGTCGTGGGGGCGGCACACCTGTCGCTTTAACGCAGCTCTAGCAATCCTATAGGATAAAGGGGAAGCTGTTGTTATCATGGTATGTCGAGGCCCCCGTCAAGAGTAAGACATAGTGAGGAAAAATCAGATTCATACTATTCTCGTTGCTTGGGCTGTCTTCATTCTTCTTTCGTGCTTGCCAAAGTTCTAGAGAATATCATATGATAGTAGTTACTCGATCCCCAAAGCTAGGTTTACAAGCCAGGGAGCTCCGAATACCCTCTTGCAATGGTACGGTGCCAAATATCAACAGTCAATCGGCCATCTGCGTGATCTGGTCAATGCCTCTGTGGAAGTGCGCACTTAGGAATACAAGTCCGATGCGTGCAGACAGCGACGTGTTAAAGTTAACACCTTCAACTTGCCCTAGTCGATTGTACAGACAAGCTTTCCCTGCGTGGTATTTCCTTCAAGGAGCTTGTGGGCTTCGATTATGTCTGTCCATGAGAAAGTTTTCTCGATATGCACTTTGAAAGAACCGTCCCGAATCTTCGGAAGGGCATGTTCAACAAAGAGGTCCTTGAGCTTGCTTTGGTAGTCGAGATCGCGACTTCTGAGGGTACTCCCTTGGAAATGGATACGTTTCCACAGCATGGGTCCGATGTCGGTTCCAGGAGGCAACACGGTTCCACCAACTTGACCAAGGTGCGCGATCCTGGCGTCCCTGCTTGCAGCCTGGATGTTTCCCTGAAAATGGCTCGCACCAACTAGGTCGATGATAACATCTACACCGACATCTTTGGTAGATCGCAGAACTTCGTCAGGCCAGGGTTGTGTCTTGTAGTTGAAGGCGGCAGTCACACCGAGTTCTTCAACACAGAATTTTACTTTCCCATCCGAACCAGTTGTTGCAAAAACCTGTGAGGCACCACTCGCCCTAGATAGCTGTATTCCAGCTATTGCAACTGCAGAGGCTCCTGCATGCCAGAGTATCGACTCGCCTGCTTTAAAGTTGCCTACAAGAAACATGGCTTGTGTTGCGGTCATCCATGTCTCAGGGATAGCAGCTGCTTTCTCCCAGGACAAATCTTTTGGCTTAGGTATAAGCATTCGTGTACTGACGGCAAGGTATTCGGCGTATGCTCCTCCATACGCCAGTCCGAACACTTCGTCTCCAATGTCCCATCCATATCCTGATTCGACTTGTGCAATCGTTCCGGAAAATTCGACACCAAGGGTCTCCGGCGCTTGCGGTGGAAGCACATATCCACCGTTACGTTGAATGATATCCATACGGTTGAGCCCAAAAGCTTTAACTTTGATTAGGGCTTCCCCATTCGCAAGAGAAGGCACCGGGGCTGTGCCCTGGTATAGCGATTCTGCAGGCCCTTGACCGCCTCGTACTCCTTGTAAATTGATTAGTTCGTTTCAATCTACAGCAGTAATATCTGGAGACGAAGTACTTATTGCTTTCATAGTTGAGACTGCCCCCGCCATTGTTCTCGCCCACGTTCGAGCACTTAAGTCGAGTATTCGATAACAAAGTAAGCGTAGACTGGACAGACCAAGTGCATATGCTATATCTCGTGAAGGACTGAGTCTCGTTCAGCATCAGAAAATCTGCCTCAGCTAAATATGACACCAGTACATGACAAACCCTGCAGGGTTATATAATGCATGTAGTTTGTCACCCCGGCTAATTATTTAGGTAGTTGGTCTGTGGACCCTGGTGAGGTCACTGGTACTGTATTACGCACAACGACAACCCACTATACCTAGACAGACGTTTGAGATTTAACTAGTGCCACCCCCACTTATAGGCATAGCCTTTAACTAAAACAAGCTCCCTCTCAGGCATCACATTTAACTAAAATCAAAGCCCTGATAGGCGTCGCCTTTAACTAAAATCAATCTTTCACAAGTGATAACCTCAACAAAAATCAAAACCTTTACAAACAGCAGCTTTAACTAGAATTAGTCCCCTATAGTCGTTATCATAAACTAGAATTAACCCATTATAGGTATCACCTTCACGTCAAAGTAACCTTTCACGGGAATTTTCCCTAGTTGGAAGTAATCGCTTATAGGCACCCCTTTTAACTAGAAGTCAAGAGATGATGATTAGTGTCCAATGAACACGTCGAGTTAGCACGCAGCCTTGCACAGCCTTGCGCAAATACTCAATTACGTTAGAGTACTGTGCGTAATACGGTGAATGACAAATCCCGCACAGAAACGATCGCTCGTTAAGCATCTACTTGAGGTTACATTACTGGACCCAATAGTTACTAAGCTGGCTCTTAATAGTGGCTATTGTTTGAGCCGCCCAGTAGATGTTGATTTGATGGAAGCATTCGACCTGCAAAAGATAAAAAGCCCCAAATGGCCGCTTGCCTTGCGTTTCCAACTTCCAACAATTCAAAAAACAAACATACAGCCAACATGGTAGCCAACAAACCACTCGTGCTTGTCACAGGTGCGACAGGGTTCGTAGGTGCTCATGTTGTGAGACACCTTCTGGAGCTCTCTCGCTACCGTGTTGTTATACCAGTTCGTTCTATGGCCAAGTCTTCCTACATCAAAGAACGATATGCTTCTGAAATAGCTTCAAAAGACCTGGAGATGGTCAGCGTTGCGGATCTTTCGGCCCCTCATGCCTTGGATGATGTGCTGAAGCGATTTCAGCCCGAGTACATTGTTCACCTAGCCTCTCCTTACTTCACAACGACAAATGACCCGATCAAGGACCTCGTTCAGCCAGCAGTGGGAGCAACGCGCAATGTGATGACAAGTGCCTTGGAGTATGGCGCTCCAGCACTTAAACGATTCACTCTGCTCTCCTCATTTGCTTCTGTGGTCGACCTCTCGAAAAACCCACGACCAGGTTATACCTACACCGCGTCAGACTGGGATCCTGTAACGGAAGAACAGGCAGCAGAGAATGGATTTTTTGGGTATCACGCCAGTAAGACGTTTGCCGAGAGACTGGCGTGGGATCTGCACGATCACGGTCTCAATAAAGAGCTCCCATCCCCCCCTACGTTTGGCTTGGTCACACTTTGCCCACCTATGATCTATGGCCCCCCTATCCATTATGCGCCTGGCCATTTAATGCCTAAGAGCATCGAAGAATTGAACACTAGTACGGCACGGCTCATTTCGGGCATTACTGGAAAGGATCCTGCCTTCACCCCTAGAGTAGCGACCCCGGGTCTACCGGCATGGATCGATGTCAGGGATATCGCGAAAGCGATTGCGGGATCTTTGACTCTAGATCCTGCAAGAAATGAGAGAATATTATTATGTGGAGGGGTGGACTATTTTGAAGATGGCCTGGGACGGCTCAGAACCCAAAACATTTCTGGCCTCGGCGACCCAGGTGACAAATGTGACCCCAGTAACCACTTCGACATCGATCGGACCAAGATGAGGGATGTTCTGAATCTCCAGGAAACTATTCCTTTTGAGAAAACTGTTGAAGACACCTTCAATGCTGTTAGGGGTATGTCTTTGGTGTGATGGAAGGCTACTAGCAAAATATCACAGTCACGCTCGTTGTAGGTGACCAGGACCTCTGAAGGCGTCAAACTGCTCGAGGCGATTTCCAGAGCGGCTTGTTCGAGAATGTCGTGGCAGTCTTGAGTTTCAGAAGAGCGAGATGAGGTTCTCAGCACGAGCAAATAGAACTAGTACCTTAGAATGAGAATGCTTTGTCCTCAAGAATTACTCGTTATCATCTTCAATGCCTAATCAGTGACTTACAGGAAGCATGGAAAGATTGGTGTTGATAGTGATTATTGTCCTCGCCCCATGATTGTAAGCTGACTCTGCCTAACGGTCGCTACGGCAACAATCCAGGGAGGGGCACTATGCACTTTGACGTCTCGCTGCCATTCCCAGGCCAGTGTATTATGGGGCTCGACAGGTAAGACGCTACGGTACCGGATCGATGCACTACTGACAAAAGCAGTGATGCGTTGAGGATGTTGTCGAGCCTGTAGTCTCAAGCGCGTTGACAACCGGCCACTGTGTGCCTTTCCCGAGGTCTGTCGGCCTTGTCGGAGGAGTGAGATAAGCATATTTCATGATCTGAGGACTATGTAGCTATCGGTAAAGTGAGCTTTTCTTCGTCAGCCAAGGGTCTCGTCGCCGTAGAGTTTGGATATAGAATGCGGTCTCTTGGAAATTACACTGAGCAATTTCGAAAGCTATAGGTTATCTGAGATCTGCATTGGAGACGATAATTTCTCATCAGAGGGTTCCCCTTTCAGCGGATGAAGATGGATTTTAACCCATCATACAAAACCGGGGTATCGTCGACGACCAAGTTGGCCGTATGAATCGCTGAACCTTCTGCCCTACTTAAATAAGGTCTCAATGCAAACCTGCGTCTGCAGATGGGTGACCAGCTTTTGGCCTGCTTCATGAGCTATATGATTTAGGCGAGGCATCTGTAAGGCTGTGACTGCGAATCAGTTGCAATGTGCTGGTACAGTCCATAATTTAGGCGATGCAACGTGATTTTATCCCGGATCCCAGCTCTGGCCGGTAAAGAAGAAAACGACAATCCTTTCTCATAAAGCGGTAGACTCAGTCGTCCCAACCGCAGACTCCTGCTGCGCCTTAACATTGCAATACTTTTCAGAAATTCTTATTCATCGACGCAGAGCGGACGCCTACAGCACAGAGTACGTACATTGGGCATAGAAGAGCAAGGATTAGAGAGGGAGGGCGGGACAGGTTTTGCAACAGCCCTGGAAGGGACCAAAGATCAAACCCATTCGTTCAGAATGTACAAGCATAATTGGTTACAGGGAGGTCAGCTGTGGGTAAGAAGCGATAGTTACGCGATGGCAAGAGTCTGACTTCAAGCGAAGGAAAGGTTCTGCCTCCAGATGGGAGAATGTTATTGACTGCTTAACTTGACGCAGTTTCATCAAAGCGCAGCAAACTTGTTGCAGCTAGTCATTTACGGGATACGAACCCCCAGGTCCTTTGCAAGGGTTCCACAATTTATACATGCACGTCGACGCACTGGGAATTTCATCCCGTGAATCATTATGTGACACGTCAACTTAGGCTGAGTATGCAAATGCAGCTTCCTGCAATCCTTATCTCAGAGTCATAAGAGTTGCAGGAACAGGTGTCAACAAGGTTAAGAACTAGGTTCCATGAAAAAGAAATCTTTAGTGATTGATCTGCATCCCAATTCTGAAATGATTTTGAGCTCACTGCTGGTATCATGAATCAGAAACAATATGCCAACACCAGCTGGCATCTGGCCATAAGTGCTTTTGGATTCATCGAACCGTAAAACAATAAGTCTCCCGGCGGTTTGTAAAGTAGTTGATGAAAGAGCACTTATAGGAGACATAAACCTCAAATCTCAGTCAGCGCAAGGGAATGTTGCTTGCCGCATTCCATGGCTATACGAAAAATCCTCGTATGTAGCCTTAGAATGCATAATCAGCTGCATCATTGCATTAAACCTGCAGTAGCTTGTGTTAGGGGTTACGAGCTTTGAGGCTGGGTCAGCGAGCCTCAAAGTAGTTTGCTTGTTGCCTGACTGTGTAACCGCCGAGCCCTTCAGCCTCACATCTCTAAGACCTCTTCTGTTTTAAATTCTTGTGTGTATTGGCAACTACCCTCCCGATTGATTATCTATCGGCTCCAGGAAAAGAGATCCAGTACGTGGATATGGACAATTCAGACCGTCGGAACCCGTCTCGGGGCCAGGGAGCATCATTGTGGAAGAACAAGAACATGTATAGAGGCGCAGGACCCGAATGGCGCAAGAGCGAGACACCACTAGGGATGTGCCGAGAATTCCAGATGAAAGGCCAGTGCAAATATGGCAGACGCTGCAAATTCTCTCATGACCGTTCTCGAAAAGAGAGTGACGCACCGTCGCCGCCACCGCGCATGCCCAGGGCCGAGGAGACGGACGAACAACGGCAAAGCAAGGCGGACTACCACTCCTGGAGAAGGCTTCTGAAGACCCCACCCCTATCAATCTACACAAAAGCAGTTCAAGAACTGTGGGACGGTGCGCTGGCAATACTAACAGGAGGTGAACGAGAGTGGAAGCAGATGCTCCCCAGGGACCTGGATGACGAAGAGTACTACGGTCGCGATCATATCCGAACGTTGCTAAACCTGCGCACAAGATCTGAAGATCACAGTGGGTTTATTCAGATTGTTCGATCTTTCCTCCTGGTCATCACCCATGCGGCTCTCCTAGATTGCCTATCAGTTGATACCTTTGTGGGTGGCCTATATAACTTTATCAGTGGCACGAATGGTAGCAGAGCGGTACCTTTCTTCCAGCATCTGTGTGAGGCATTGGTCAACGGACACCTTACTTCGATGTCTCCAGCGGACGTGGCTATACGGGAAACCACTCTCGTCGCTGCATCGACTGCCATTCGCGAGCTCATCAAAAGAGAGTCTCGATCCAGATTCAACGATGATCTTCCAACTCTAATTGACTCTGTGGAAAACGCCGCGCAGATTGTCGCCGAGGACTCCCATGCACCATTTGTGACAATCGTCCTTCGCCACATGTGCGAGGTCCGTGCAGTTGTTTCTCGTGCCAAAGGGTTGTTAATTCAGGAGGAGGAGCCCTTAGAAACTTTCCCTACCACCACGGCGACCTCACGATACCCTCAGACCTTGATCATGCCTCGAGATCGGCACGACAACGATAACATAGACATGACCAAAATCAAGATTTTCCCAACCCGCAAGGAGATTCTATCCGATGAACCAGAGTTCTTGCCATCAACCGACCTGGACATGCCCCATTTCCTCACCAACCCAGCGGAGCGTCACCTTGACACACACTTCCGACTCCTCCGCCACGACACATTTGGTGAATTGAAAGACCTTCTCGGTGGGCTTATGCAGGCTGTGAAGGATGATCCCACCAGCCCCAAACTGAGTTTTGGTGACTTCCGAGCCAACCAGTATGCGGGCGCTTACATCAGTTACATTTCTTTCGACAACCGCCGAGCCCTGGAAATGCACCTAACCTTCACACAGCCTGGCGCTGTGCGAAGCAAATCCGCATCAGAGAGGCGTAAATGGTGGGAGGAGTCACGACGGCTAATCGAAGGCGTCCTTCTTTCCTTCATTTCATTCCAACACGACGAGGTCCATCATCTGTTCTTCATCGTGACACAGAAAAACACGGACACCGGGAAGGACCACGGTCTCTCCAAGAAAGACTACCAAGGCACCATCACTGTTAAGCTTGCGAGTCAAGACCAGATAGAGGTTGAGTCCGCACTTCGCCTGAGCACCGACAGGACGTGAGGGCGGCTGATCGAATTCCCTGGGGTCCTGCCTGCAACCTTCATCCCCATACTCGAAAATCTGCAGGGGATGCACCGTTTGAGCCGCCTCCCATTCCAACAATGGATCCTTCCAGACCGGATCAAGGATTTTCAGGGCACGGCAACGATTAAAATGCTTCCGCCCCTGTACACCCGACAACCCGGTTTCCGCTTTTCCTTGAGCCCACTTCTCAAGGGTGCCATTGAAAATGACGGGGATCTTTGGATCGACCTTGCTTCATCGCCGGACAACTCCTCCCTGATCGATGAAATGGAAGACCAAACAGGGTTGGATCGCGGTCAGTGTCGGGCATTACTTGCAGCGCTAACCCAAGAGTACGCCTTGATACAGGGGCCGCCAGGGACAGGGAAGTCGTATCTCGGTGTTCAGTTAATCAAAGTCTTGATGAAATGCAAGCAAACCGCTGCTTTAGGACCCGTGGTTGTCGTGTGAGTATCTTTCACCTGTTTGCTGTCTCTGCTAACAAGGGGCAAGCTGTTATACAAATCACGCGTTGGATCAGTTCTTGGAACATTTACTCGGGGTGGGCATAAAGAAAATAGTCCGGATCGGTGGCCAGAGCCAGTCGCACCTCCTGGAAGACCACAACCTTCGGAAGATATCTCAAACTGAGGGGAAGACGAGGTCGGAGAAATATCTCGCTGCGAAACACTACGAGGCCTTAGATCATGAGGCAAACAGCATCTCAAGAGACCTCGGTCGTATGCACGGCCTTTCGCAGCGATGGAACTGGGCCAACTTTGCACACTATATTCAGCGAAAGTATCCTCGCATAGGGGCACAATTTCGGAAAGTTGATGAAGAAGGGTTCAAGGCCGCCGGACGGCATCCTTTTGAGCAGTGGGCACCATCTGCGAAGTCGGTCATTGGAGCAAAAACAGTGGACGATCCCAGCGCCATGGCCGTCGACCAGCTAGATACCCTTGTTCAGAAAGCCGAGAACAACGTCCACTCGCTGTCCTTAATCGAACGGCGTATTCTGTTGCAATTTTGGAGCCAACAGGTTCATGAAGAGGCCCTAGACAACGTCTTCGAACGGGTGAAAGAAGCTGATTCCATCCAACGGCATCTTACCAACATACATGACGAGGTGGATCGACGGGTTTTACAGAACGCCGATGTCATTGGCCTCACGACGACTGGCCTAGCGAAACGGATCTCAACCCTCAAGCGGATTAGATGCAAGATAGTTATCTGCGAAGAGGCTGGGGAGGTCATGGAAGCGCACATGATCTCCGCTTTGCTTCCCACCGTCGAACATTTCATTCAGATTGGCGACCACGAGCAGCTGCGTCCCCAGATCAACAACTTTCGTGACTTGTCGCTGGAGAGTAAACAGGGGGTACTGTACCAGTTGGACCGCAGCCAATTCGAGCGACTTTCGATTGGACAGCCGGGAAGACCTCGGATACCTGTCGCTCAGCTCAATGTCCAGCGACGAATGCGCCCAGAAATCGCGTCACTGGTTCGCGAAACTCTGTATCCCGACTTATCGGACCATGTGAGCACGACTGACCTACCAGACGTTGTCGGCATGCGGAAGAATCTCTTTTGGCTTGATCATGATCATGTCGAGGAAGGACAACACTCAGAGACACACCACAAGTCACATTCTAATATGTGGGAAGTGGAAATGGTACATGCCATGGTCCGCCATGTCGTCCGTCAAGGAGTCTATCGCAGCAGCGACATAGCTGTCTTGACTCCGTACACCGGCCAGCTTTCTAAACTCCGTGCGGCAATGCGCAATGACTTCGAGATCGTCCTTAGCGACCGGGATCAAGAGGCACTGGAGAAAGACGGGTTCAACCCAGGCGCCAGCAGTTCCAGCAACACCGCAGAGGACCAGTTTAACCAACCAAGGAAAGCGTCTTTGGAGAAGAAAAAACTTAGTGAGCTCCTACGGGTCGCTACCGTTGATAACTTCCAGGGCGAAGAGGCTAAGATTATCATCGTATCACTGGTTCGGAGTAACAAGGAGAAAAGGGTCGGCTTCCTCAAGACGACAAATCGCATCAATGTTTTACTCAGTCGAGCCCAACATGGCATGTATCTCGTGGGCAACGTCGACACCTATTCGAAAATTCACATGTGGCAGAAAATCATCGACATGCTCCGGAAGTCGGATTCCATCGGCAGCTCCTTGGGTCTCTGCTGTCCCAGGCATAAAGACACCCCCCTCCCCGTCTCAGAGCCAGATGATTTCTCAAGGTTGAGTCCTGAAGGTGGATGCCGTCTATCCTGCTCCTGGCGTCTTCCGGACTGTGGTCATATGTGTCAAGCCCGATGCCACTCTGAAAGCATGCATAATGTCTTCTTGTGCCACCAACCGTGTCAGCGCCTTCATGAACCATGTAAACATGCATGCCAGAAGACAACATGCGGAGAAGATTGCGGAAAGTGTTGTGTTAAGCTGAAAGATGTATTGTTACCTTGTGGTCACTCCAAGGATAACATTTTGTGCCACCAAGCCCAGAACCCTGCCACCATTCGTTGTGACGCTTTGGTCGCTAAGATGGTGCCAGGATGTGATCATACCGTGGAAATCGCTTGCCATTTGGATGTGAGCGCAAATCAGTTCCAGTGTCCTACCCATTGTGCTGCAGTGCTCTCTTGTGGCCATCCGTGTCGTGGAACGTGTGGACAATGCAATACCACGGCTGAAACTGGGAACAGGTCGATCTCTCACCAAACCTGCCGGAAGGTTTGCGGGAGAGCATCTCGAACCTGTAACCACCTCTGTTCCGAACCATGTCACGAGGGGAGGGATTGTGCTCCTTGCTCCCTTCCCTGTGAAGTTCGCTGTCAACATTCCGGATGTATGCTACCCTGCCACGAAGCGTGTGCTCCGTGTATCGAGCGATGCACATGGTCTTGCGAGCATCAGGGATCTTGTACCATGCCATGTTCCGCTCCTTGTAACCGACTTCCGTGCGACGAACGGTGTACCAAAACACTTCCTTGCGGTCACCAATGCCCAGGGTTGTGTGGCGAGACGTGCTCCGAGGAGCATTGTCAGCAATGTGGCATGATGCCAGACAGCCGAGTGGATCTCCTCGAAATGAAGACGTATGCCGAAATTGATGTAGATGAAACCCCAATCGTAGTGCTTGGTTGTGGGCACTTCTTTACCGCAGAAACGCTCGATGGCCTGGTCGGAATGAAAGACGTCTACATTGCCGACACATATGGCCACTTCACAGGATTTGCAGATATCTCTGGCGCGTTAGCCTCTCAAATTCCCAGGTGCCCAGATTGTAAACGTCCTGTGCGGCAGTACGCCACGCGGCGGTACAATCGACTCATCAACCGGGCTGTCATCGATGAAATGTCAAAGCGATTTCACGTCGCCGGGAAGACGGAGCTCAGGAGACTGGAACTGCAGCTTGATAAGCTCGAGAAAGAGCTTGAAAGCTCTCGTTCCAATATAACCCTTCGCTTAGGACTCAGTACCGAGGCCAATGACGACCGAATAGGATTTTCAACAATTCGAGGGAAACAGATTCAGGAGCGCTACAAATCGCATATCGTTCTATACAAAGATATCAAGGCGTTCCTTCAGAATTCTGCCGACAGCCATCAGCCTGCTCAGAAACTTTACGAAGCTCAGATCCACGCTGCCCGAACAAAATTGTCAGCGTCTGTTGAAGAAGCATTGACCAGTCTGAGCATCCATGAATCGGTTTGTCATGTCGAGCGCGACCGCCGTATTGCTTTGGGTGGACGTCTGACGCAAATCAAAGCGGACTGCATTGTTCTCGAGGACAAGTTCTGTATTGTAGAGGCTACTGGATTATCGGCTAACACTCTAAAGCTTCCGGGCGGGTCTCCAGAAAAGATGACAAAACCCTATCTCCAGGTCTGTGCAATGTTCATCAAAGACTGCAATGTTGGAAACCTTGCCAAGCTGGCGGTCGAAGCTTCGCTATACTTTGCTCGTATAGTTCGACTTTACCGATCTTGTCGGCTGGCTAAGAGCGACAGCGGGGCATCAGAAGACTACTCGAAGCAGGCAAGAGAGCTGTTGGAACAGGCCGTAGAGCTCTGCAAACAGCCCTTCCAGAACGCCGAGCAGCTCCGTGCGGCGGCTGAAGAGAGCATCAAGCTCTTGCAAAGGGAATGGTATGAAGCGGTCTCGTCCGAAGAACTTGACGCCATCAAACGGGCCATGGTTAGTGGGCCAGGGGGAATTGCAACGCACTCAGGGCACTGGTACAATTGTATCAGGGGGCATCCGGTATGTGTCTTCTGAATCCTTCTTCTCCGTCTACAGGTTTCATTTGTCACTGGCTCGTTGGATTCGCAGAATTAAAGCTGACAATCACGCAGTTTGCAATCGGTGAATGTGGAATGCCGATGGAAGAGGCTCGCTGTCCAGAGTGCGGCGCTCCTATCGGAGGCTCTCATCACCAAGCGGTTGCAGGCGTCACCCGTGCTATAGAGATGGAGAGTTGAAGTGGAAGTCCAGCTGTTAAAATACAGAAGGACCGTAGACGGCTCGAACCAGATTGGTTAGGGGCTGTAGCATCTAGTTCTTGCTCAGCCTTGTTCCGTGTCTGGCTGCTGACTATCTCCGGATATCATTCAATGTCCCACATGAGTGATGAGCTCAACAAACCTCTAATAGCGAATGCATAAGAACTCAAGAAACTGACAGTTAGTGTAAAATTTTCTCCTATTCTATACTCTCCATTCCACCACATAACCTACTATCAACACACAATTATCTGGCGAACGAGTACCGTTAATTCCAGAGTGCATAGCTTCACCTCGCTCGTCGAAGGGTAGTACATACAAGGGTAAGACATATGGGGCCTTAAAATGATGCATAAAAGAGTGTAAGGACTGAGGATATTCCCGCTCAGATATTTCTGCTTCATCTAGGGACTCTTTTCGCTACATATTACCGAGGCTCCTGTCTAACAACGGAGACTGTAGAAGGAACGGCTTGCGATTGATACAGTTGGGAAAAGGGGGCTTGCCATGTTGCCGGTGAAACTGCTTCCTCAAGCGCCATTATAGGGGGATGTCCATGGGTCAGCTCGCCAGCCTCGTCAGTCTCCAATCTTAGGGATCGTCCGCTGGCGGCTATTTAATCTCATTGTTAAGTCTGTTTTTTAGCCTCGATGGCCACAATTACAATTAAAAATGGTTAAGCTTTACTTGGCACTGAGCTTAAGAGGGTCAGGGTACAAAGTGCGAGAACTAAGCAAATATTACTCGCGTTCGATTGGCTCTGTCTCTAAATTCCCGCACTTCTAGCTGCGGCCACCAACCGTCGACGTAAGCACTTCGGCACAGCCCACTTACGAGGATCCTACAAAGTTATCTGCTGACAATATCTGCAAGATAACAAGACTCTTCTTCGCAAACTAAGGATCAGTCATATGCTCCAAGAGTCTTGAACAACTTCCAGGTACAATATTGCACAGGGTTCAACACACTATGGCTTCTCAGTACGTCTGCGGCCAGTGTAATGAAACAATTGAGTCGGATCGAAGGGATGAACATGAAGATTGGCACTTTGCAAAGAAACTAGAAGCCGAAGAGCAAGTTGAGCATCCGCGGCTAAGTCAGTCTCAGAACGACTCGAATACTCGAAAATCAGACCATAAGCAAAGAGTGGCTGGGACAAGAGACCAGCCGCCAAGTTATGCGCCACCGTCATATTCACCACCACACAGTACTGCTCGAGCAACCGCATCGATTCGGCAACATACGAACCAGGTCATCGAAGCGGCTCAGATACGGGCTAGAGATGAGGTTCAACTTACGTTCCAAGGCTAAAGTATCCTTCAGCTGACTACCTGGCAGCAACAAATGCAAAATGCTCTACAGAGTCTTCAGTTTCAGTACCAGATCTACAACAGCGAAATTGAACCCGAACATGAAGCGGACTACTATTGTAACTGTCCTATCCACAATTATCAGCAGATGAAGTTCCGCCGGTATGGAGTGCAGGATATGTGGTCGAAAGCAGTCATGTATCCTGGTAGGCAAAAATGGTTCCCTACTGTTCACGCCTCATTTTTCAGCTGACGCCTTTGGTATTCTCAACTAGGTGAGAAGGCTTACAATGACAACAAGTTGGGCATGGGCCTGGCCCTGTTGAGTAGAAATCCTTACAGGTTCCGAGTAGTGTCTCCGTATGGCTACTATCAGTCTTCGTGGGGCGTACAACGCCCAGCCCCCGGTTACCACGCCCAATTCATTCATCAGACCATCGCTCTCAACAACAGTCTTAACAACGATGCCCAAGGTAACGTTGATGCTCAAGAGCCTCCAATAAACATCTGGAATGATGAAACTCCCAATACCGCAATGTCTCAAGTCAGTATCGCTCAACCTAAAGACAAGAAGGAGTCTATCAATGTTTCCGACAAGAAACATCTGGAGGATCAGACCACGTCTTCCGAAGATAGAAAGCCTGAGAAACCCAGCAAAGTTTCGAGGCTTTCTAGTTTCAAGCAAACCATTGGCATAAAGTCTTCAGAAGAAAAGATGGCGAGCAGGACGCAAAAGCTGATGGCCAAAGGCCGTGAGTTACGCGATTCAATCATTGCTGAGGAGAACGGGAGGTGGCCTGACGAGCAGTGGCGGCATATCGTGGCAACATACCAAGAAAAGGTTGGCATGATCAGAAAGATTGCTGATCTTCGATCCCGGCAACCCATTCAATATCTCCACCTGCTCAGAAGTGGCTATTTCGAACCTATCCCAGTAGCATGGGCCAACCAAGCTTCCAATCCGCTGAAGTTCACCATCGACGCTGCTGCAGGTTGGAGAGGAGTTACCCCTGCGTGGAGAGGCTACGAGGATACTGCGGAAGAGAGGCTTTACTGGGTATTGAACCATCGAGAAGGAAGTACAGGAGTCAGAATGAAGCCGGATTTTATTTCCGCAATGGACATGGCACGAGCACGAATGGCTACCGCTGTTGAGCCACCACCCGAGTATTATTCTAGCACTGATACCTGTCACATCCAACACACCTCGGCCGGATATTCGAAGCAAGTCATGCCAACACCTTTTGTGGCCTACGACCGACCTGAAGTACCAACCGACGACACGATGATTCTGCTGGATGTTTCTGGGTCAATGGATTTTGACCCGGTAAGACCAAACTACAACCAGTACCTCATTACAGGATATTCTAAGTCCACGCAACCAAAAAACAAAGGTAATTCTACAATACTCCGTCTCTGATCAATAGTAACCGTGTATAGATGTTGCAAAGGCAATCATCCGGCGCTTCAGTGATGCCATGGCAAACCATGATCACGACTTTCGTGGCTATGATCTGACTACCTTTGCAAACTCAGCCAACTATATCGGAACGATAAACAACCAGAATTTTGATAAAATGTGGCGTAGGGTCAGAATAGGAGGGGGAACACGGGTCATGACCGGATGGCAAAAGGTCAAGGAGTTGCATTTCCAAAAGCACTCCGAGTCGGCGACATATCATCCAGTATATGGATGGCAAGCTGGGCCCGACACGCCAATGCTGCGCTTGCTTCTGCTACTTGATGGCGAAGCCACAGACATGGACGAGTTCGAACTCGATCTCCTTGGGCTGTCGTGGGCCCATGTCACCATCTTCCTCATCGGTGTGGATGGGTGTCCGCATCATCATCGTCATGCGAATGAACTACAGCGCATCAGCGATGTCAATCATCATGTCTCTTTCGTTGATGCACAGGGCAATACTCCCGAGCGCTTTGTCACACACGAGCTCCTGAAGAGACATTTGGGATACGAGCTATCAATGGCGGAATTCGAGCAGCTGGAAGAATTGCCAGGGTACACGGAATAAGCCAGCTCTCCAATGCACAATCGTGAATTTCTCTTCATTGAAGGTTGCTCCCATTAAGATATACGGATATGAGAAATATGAGAAATTATATCATCCGTGGAGAGTCGTTCGAGCAGCCAAGGGGCAAGTTTGAATTGCAGTGAGTATCTTACTTTCCTAACTATTGAATATACCTATACCTTTCCAAATCTAGAGAAGCGCTAAGTGCACAAAAACCGCTAGCAACCACACAAATGCAATAAAGTGAGTATCCTCATCAACCCCAAGCCAACTTTGTCATGATGCGCTCAGTGTGACTGGTTGTCGGGCGGTGACTGCACCTCCTTGAGTGAGCCTTATCGGCACCATCATGTTATTTGTAGCCGCTCGATCGCCAAATAGGAGGTCTACGCCATAAGCAATAGCCCATTGGGTGATGGTGGGCCAAACGCTGGAGTTGGGAGTCCGAAGAGCCCAAAGTCCGGTTGCCTGGACTGACTCCGTGATAGATGCCACAGTCAAGAGCTCGCTTGTGTCGGCGTTCCAGAATAGACATGAGTCGAATTGGAAACACCTGTAGAGAAACTTGTTGATGTTGTCTGGAGAGACTGTTTGTCGATCTCTCTCGTCGTCCTGAGGTAGCTCGCCAAGGGCCTGTAGGAGGACTCGAGCTAGGGTGCTGTTGGAGTCAGAGATGCCCGCGTAGTTCAAAACTGCCCGTGCATTTTGAACAAGACTCGCCGTCGACCCGGTATTGCTTCGAAAACTAAGCGTCTGGGGAAGCTGCTGCTCCTCAGCTTCGAGTCTGTCCAGGAGAGGGCCGTCTGGATTTGGTCCATTGACGTCCCACGGATTTGGATTGGTACTATTGAAGTCGAAACCACTGAGATCAGGAGTGTTTAACATGTCATCAATAGTCCAGGCCCCATTGGAGTATGCTGGTGTTGGCGTGCCGCTGGGAACAGATGTTGTCGAGCTGGCAGGGCCGACGGAAGAAGAGGACAAGATCGAAGTTGACATTGAGGATGGGGATGGGGAATGGGGCAAAGATGAGGATGAGGGCGGCGTGGGTGCTGAACAAGCTGTGACGGTGGGTGCATGGGCCGACCAATCTGTCCAAGCCGTGGGACGAGACGAAACCTTGACAACAATACCAGCCAGTATGAGGCTTTGCAAGACCCTCGAAACTGCCATGATGTTTTATGCTTAAGTTTGATCCTTGTACTAGCAATGCAAGATGCCGAAACGTGTGAGCAAGTCTGAATAGTGATGAAGAGATTGAGCTGTAGATGGTAAAGTGCATCCATGATGCTACATCTCGTCGACATTTATAGACAAACCCTGGGGTCCTGATGCCTGATAGACTCACAGAAACATACGTGGCCAGTATATCGTCCACAGACCATATTGACGATGAAATTCGTTAGAATGAGACTTGGGAGGTGATAGTGACTTCCAGCCTCGCTGTCCGGAGAGTGCACAGATCGATTTAGAGAGCGAGCTCAACTCCCAATAACAGCCAAGAAGAACTGTGCACAGTAGTCGACCCATGAAACCTTGCCAAAAACGCACTGGCCAGCTAGAGACTGACTTCAAGGCTTTAAAAGGTCGTGCTCATGACTTAGTCTTGGGAAGAGAAATTGAAAATGCGGCGCTGTGCGCATAGTATACACAGCGCAGTTCCATATACTAGACCCATTATTAATGACATATAATGTACCGAGATTCTGGTGTCGGTAGAGTTCTTGATGCGATTTGCAAGATATTGTTGACTATCTGTGAAATTGGGCCCCACTTTTGGCTCTGTACAAATTAGCGGGCTGGTTGACTTCGTCTTTTGGGGGTCAGCTGAGTGAACTTCACCTAAATTCTCCTTCCTCGTCTCAAGATGTTATGCAACACTCAGTTCTAGGCGATGTCGGGGGCTAAATGGGATGTATTGACGAGTCTGACCTCCAGGACTAGGAGGTCGCTATTCTATCTATTTATATGTTAAAGGAGTGAAAGTTTTCTCGTCTTGGTGGAGAGGTTTTTCTCCCGGGCATCGGCGGCGACCGATGAGGTCCTCGTCGGGGGCCGGCGTCCTCCTTGTGTCGGGGAGGTCCTGTTCCTCCAACCTGAGGACTATGATATAGCGAAAATGTGACTAAAGTGAGTGAATTCATGGTGTTGCAAGGTTTGCAAAAGGAGCGTTCTAGGCGGCGAAGTCCCGCGGAGGCGTTCGGCGCAAGTATGGAGGTTGTAATGACCCCGTCACAACTCAGCCTTGTTCAACACAAGATTTCTCAATCACATTGGTTGCGGCAAGGTATATGTTTGGCGAATACTTCAGCAGGTCGCCACGTTAGATGTGGTCTGCCATTCGCGAATAACCCTGGATGCCATATCCCAGGGCAGACGCACGGACTCCTGGTTCTCGAACAGGGGTTTGTGCTTTGGGCGTGGTTTACTAGCAGATCTGATCGGATCGGATCTCTGTCAAAGTTCGGTGGGGTGCTGGGACAACGGTGGCCAAGCCTGTCTGTGTCCGACAATGGTTCTTACCAACCCCCCATTAAGAGTCAAAGATGATCTTGTCACTGAACGTGTTTGGCACTCGTGATATTATCCACAAGATAAACACAGACCATATCACCGCGGTGACAATACGGTTGCCTGGCCTCTGCTATTCTTTCACCACCTCCACTGACAATGTGATCAGCATTGATAGACAAGAATCACCATGTCGCCTATAAGTTATGTAAGTTCGCTGGCCCAGTCAAGTCGTGCTCCAGCTCGGCAGACAGTATTTGCCATTGCCTACTCCAAATTGACATGTATTCTCAAACTCCATTGATACTGCTATACCTGGCCCCTTTATGTCGGGCTGGACTTCAGGTCCCTCTAACGATCATCAATCTATCACCTTTTCCTGCAGTCATTGATATGAATGGTGATTCCAACTGCATCAAACAGGAATTCAACCCGACAGACCTCAACTCATACTATTCAAGCTGGACCAGCTCCGACCTGGTTGCCGATTACGGTGATGGGAAAATCTCCTCGGACATGAACAGCTTTCTACAAACATATAAAAGCATTTTTGGGATCAACAGTCTTGGAGATCGGCGGTACTCCATGTACAGTGGTGCCGTAACTCTCCCGGCAGCTGCTGTCAACCAAACTACTCCGTTTGGTGTCTTTGAAACTGAAATGGCTGGTAGCGGCGGTTGCTTCGGGTCTAGATCCTGGAAAAAATTCACAATCACCGCTGGATCGACAACAACGTCCCTTCAGCTGTACGATCCCCCTACGTCTAATTGGCAGATCATTAAAGACCCCGATGGAGACTCTCCTCTGGCCGTCGACATCGGCCCGGGCGGAAAGGCTAACGTGGTTCGTGTTGTTATCGACGCCGTCTTTGGCTCAGCCGCAATAGCCCTGACGTTTTTCGGCCTTACAGAACTGGGGTTGGCCGCTCGCGCAGGCGCTCTGGCATTGTCGGCGGCGACTCCAGCGCTCTATACCTCGACGGTGCTTGTCCCCGGAATAATAAACGCTCTGGTTGTTGGTGGCATTACCGTTCTCGTCGGGGCTGGCAGTAAGGTTCCTTTGCGTACTAATATCCAGTCGACCAGTGTTTGAGCTAATTCCTCTCTAGCCTTCAGCGCCGTTGCACTGGTCCCAGGACAAGACCAGGTTGATGGAGCACCCTCAACAGTCACGCCAAAGGCCATTGGCTTCTATGACGTCTATCAAAGCATTGGTCTCGATGATCGAAGTTGTTGTGTGATGGGTGACAACATCATGGGCGAATTCGAGTGCCTCGCCGCCAGCACCTCAATCGTGATCCAGGCTGATGGTACAACATTTGCAATTCCCATGCCCCAAATATCGAGAGCATGGTCGTAGAGAATGCTCACGGAAGAGCCGCGGGAAGAAGTTCATGCGGTGAAAAACAGCATGGGATGGTATACCAAAGGACTCTCAATGGCGAATGCTTAGAAGTCACAGGGATCAAGTCACACCCGCTGGAAGAACTTATCGCTGGCCGAGATGGTTAAGAAGATCACAAGTGCGGTGAGACCTGGCATATGAAACGCAGACTGCACAATAAGGATTATTGCCCCAAGACCGCGAATAACGTCAGGACCTAGCCTGATGCGGCATAACACTGTAATATAAATTATCGAGTACTATAGCTCTACACATATATATCCGAACCAGTACTTAGCATGAGCATATTCTTTGTTATAGATTTACGAATGGCCTTCGGCTCCAACTAACTTTTCGTCGCTGCGATAAGTATGTTCAATGGAGACCGTTGAGATATACCGAGCGGAGCTAGAAAGAATCAGAGTATCGTGCGATAGCCGACGAGTCCACGATGTCTTGCGTGATCACCGTAGTGGCTAGTACAAAGGTTAAGGATGTTCATCAGCATCCATGTTTGTAAGACCATCTCGCTGCTTTCAAGATGCAACCTCAGAGCCTCGGGGTGGGAATGCTGTCAAAGATCTCGCCAAAATGCCTGGGGTATACCAGTCACCAGAGATCATTCCTTGGCCTCAAATATCTAGCTCCCTCGCTGTTGACGTGGCCTAACCCCTCGAAACCGTCGATAGATAACAAGGAACCTTTTCAATGCCTCGGAGTTTGACAAATATGGCTATTTTCACCAGAGTCGAGACCGGCACAGAACCGGTCAAAACACGTTATTTAGAGGCGAGACTGATATGAGAAACTCGATGAAAATGGTTCACTGAGTAATGAACTTTGAGAGGGTAAAGTACAAGCGCGTTTTATGACGCTATACTCGGTGATATATATCTTGCTCACTCCTTCTGCCAAATGATGTATAGCCCTGACAAGGAGCTCTAGGTGGCACTTAGGAACGACGAGAGAAGACCACACGCGAAGGAGGCTTTCAGCTCTGAACGACGATATTCTCCAGCACAATGTATCGCTGGTAACGAAAGTCCTGGAAGAACCATTTACCATTTTTTGATCCAGAATGTCTCGGTAACTCCATCAAGGTCCCGGAACTACCAATACCTCTACTATGGCACCAGGATAAGCCTCTTACCGCCAGGTTGCTCCCGGCGGAGCAGGTCCCAAACTTCGTTGACTTGCGCTAAGCCTTGCTTCACCTCTAACGGGAGCGATTTGATTCGGCCATCCGTGAACGCGACTTCGAAGTAATCCCACCACACCCATTGCACAAAGTCTTTGTTGTTCGGATCCAGATAATCATCTATGAATCGTTTGAAGAATCCTGATACCCCAGGCGGGAACTGCATTTCCGGTCGGGCCCCAGTGGCAAACAGGATCCTGCCTCCACCGCCTGCGGTAGGTAACGAAGCCGCCTCGTCGAAGCTCCTTCTACTGATCTGTCACAAAACGATCATCTGGTCAGATCTGTGCGTAGTTCAAGGTTTCCATGGGAGCTGCATGCTGGAAAGCGGCCACTTACCTTGGCAGTCATCTCTTGACGTACCAGAGCGAAGCGTTGGTAAGCGCCAAAGCGTGCATCTTTCCGCAGGACCCCAGTGGAATTACTAGCGACATGGTCTCCTGGAGCAAATCGAGAGACTCCAGAACCAATCTTCTCGACGATAACCGACAATAGGACTGCATTTCAAACTCATCAGAATCCAAGACGTTTACCAGGGAAAGTGACCTCGTCGCGTACGTCCAATCATCGTTGGATACGTCAAAGTAGCAGAAGTGAGGCCAGCCTGGATTTTCCATTCTCCTAGCTGGACTGCGACACCTTTGACCTGAGGGATCAAGCTCAGCTCTTGTCACATATGAAACAAGGGACAGAGTGGGATAGGGGGCTGGGGAGCTGCCTACTCTCACCAGTAGATCGCCAGGTCCTGGTTTTGGCGTAGGCGCCGAAGAAATCCGCGGTGGTTTCCCAGGCCCAGCGAGCCACACAGCTTTATTTTCCATAGAGATTCAGAAGCTCGACGGGTTGAATATCATAGGGGCTCATATGCTAGTCGTCGCGCAAAGGACTCGGGAATGCTATAGAGTCTGAAGGGCCTAGTCACCAAGGCATCTATATCTGGAGGAGGGATAGCGAGATATATGTGTACATCGGTCCTCAATTACGTGACAACATTCTCCTTGACCATGACAGTATTGGTGTACGCGTATTGATTACTCTATTCAGGGACTCTCTTCAACAAGTTTGTCCGCGCTGTGGGCAGACGGCAGCCGTGACGGTGGCCGCGGTGCCCGTGGTGTGCGGGGCCACAGGGGGTCCGGGGTAGCGATATACTCTACGGTCTTCTAGAGAACCCTTGAGGCTTAAAGAAACGCCATTTCCAAATTACCGCCCATTAAAGCCTGTCCAACAAGTTGCATGTTGATGCCAGGCTTAAGGCCTCCATTGTATACACTGCTGGTCTGAGTGCAAGCAGCGTCCCGGTTGCTGAGCCCGTTTACTTCATGGAGGTGACCTTCAATTCACCCCCCTAAGTCAAAGTACTTGCTGCCAATACACGACTTCCATAATTTGGTGCAGTGAGAGAAATCATAGGACTGCTTGTTAGACCGTCAGTCGTTGTCGGTCGTCTTGCAAGCGCCGATGGAGAAGAAGAGCCGGTTGTTAAGCTTCCGCCGAAGTCGATCGAAGATCTCCAGAAATTGTTAGGATCCACATCGTGATACTACAGACTCAAAATCAAATGCGAAAAGATTGGTCGTGGGCGTAGTGTCGTTGCCGGCCTGTCCTACTATAACCCGCCTTTCACTGCTGAATGGGTAGACAGGAACAACTTGAATCAGGCCGTCCAGAGTGTGGCATGTAAGTCGGATAGGTCGGCCAAACAAGTTCAATTCCCATGGCACTTCAGGATATAGAGGATGCCGAACATGGGCAGCTGCATCTCCCAACTTATCGGGTTGAACAAACCATCAAAATCCCTTGGTATAGTTCCATGACCAGTAAAAATATCAGTCTGTACCTCAAAGTGCGTGCTGTACTGCATTTTCCAGGCCCAGCATTGGTGAATATTCGGCGTGGACTACGACGCCTAGCATAGTTGATACTCTGGAGGCCGAATCTTGAATTGGAAAGCCTAGCTACTACGCCCAATGGGATGGTAGAGATTGATAATTCAAAGAGCACAGCGCAGTTCAGAATGTATTTCCAAGGTTGCTTTCTGGAGCGCATTATTACTTCACTGGGGGTACACTGATCTGAACTGGACTTGAAACCGAATCATACAATATCAAGAAGTGAGAGGTAGTGAAAACAATCTCTAAGAATGGGAGATGTTGAAAAGTGTTCTGGTGTATATGTGGTATTCCGTTATTTTATTTAGTCTGCTGTTCCTCTGTCCTAGGCAGTGCATCCGATCTTTTGCTGTCTGCAATACACCTTAGCTTATCCAACTCCACCGTTCGATGCTCAATTTCTCGCCTAATCTCCTCCTCTGAGGCGATGCGGTGCTTCAATCGGAGAACACAGGCAGCGACAAGGACAACTCCCAACTCAACCGCGATGCCCCATTGTCCGACGGCCTGTGGGCTCTCAGTAGGCGTGCCATCCTGGTGAATGTAACGTTCGATCCAGATAATGAATGCGATAACGGTGAGAGGACCAAGCAGCATTGCCGCGATCAGTACTAACATGACCAGGAGATCAATACTGAATAGAAAGAGAGGATGTTGCCGAATTGGTGTAGTGATGTTCCTTTGTCGAGGTAAGTGTAGTGTTCTCAAGGCTTTCAGTGGACTCCGCAAGATGTTCGTAAGATGCGCCCATCCTCGCTTAAAATCGTCGTCAAAACTCCGCCAAATCTCTTTTCTCCTGGCCCAGATCTGGCGAGGTTCGTAGATGGGAACCCGCCTTGTGCAAAGTTTCAAACGGCCCATAGCCAGCAAGAATAGCTGAGCTGCCGTGAAGCAGGTGATGGCGGTATAAATCAAAGGTTGGAAATCATCTTTGCTGTAACCATCATCTGTATGCAGCCTGGCTCCCGGAGCATTCGGGGTGAATGCGGAAGCTCTCAGAGAGGACGCTTGTCGTAATATTTGAGAAGTGCTGAAGCACGGATACATGCAGTTCGAAGTATAGTTGAACCACAAAGCATTGTCGAGAATAGGTTGACCAAAAAGGCGCCATACTGTTTGATTCCATGTTTGATCCCAGTAGTCGCTATCCCAGCCATTGTTATTCTGGAACGAATCTCCATCATCGACATTAGCGTAACAGAAGCGATACTGGGCAGGGGCAACATTAAGATGAGGCCAGAGAATGAGTACCGAGATGGAAGCAGCAAGCATAACCAGATTCCAGGCCAAGACCAGTCTGTGGAGGGCTGTACTTGCGCGGGTGATTCGTGACCAACATTGCAATGGCAGCCCCACGAGATATGCGGTGATAACCACACTAGTCACGGCATCGATATCAAGCTCTAGGTAATCGGGCTGGATTTTGACATAATCTGTGTTGGTCACTAGGGCATCGATACCCGCGAAGTAGCCTGTCAAGTTAGTACCGGGAACGTATGGAATCGTTACGTTCTGAACAGGTGCCGGAACCAGTCTTGCCGAGAGCAGGATGAAGGCCTGAACGGCTGCAGTTGCAGCGTACGCGACAGCGACTCCGAGAATAGCATGCGCCAGCCAGCCGTACCGTGGAGTCAAGAAACTCAGGAACAGGCACGCGTAGTAAACGTATCTGGGGGTCGGGCCGTACACGTCACTGATAGGATATGTGCAGGAAATCTCTTGCGCAATCAGGGGAGGATTATAAGACCGAGAAAGATTAAAAGCGCCCAAAGAGCTGGCCATGCTGAGCTGTGTAGCAGACTTGAGCAACGATTTCCCGATGGTTGTCGGAACTTGGGATGGAGATGTGGAGAACAGGGTCGGCCGGACACATCCAAGAGGGTGTTGATCTGTCCCAAAGGGTATCAAGGGCGGACAATGTAGAAAAGCATCTTCTCGATACTAAGAGAGCAGGGTTCAGGCGTGCGGACTTCGAGGATGGTCGCAGCGATACATCACGTCTGCCCTGACTCTTTTTCTCTCACCACCTCATGAGTCTGACTGACCCGTTAAAGTTTTCCACTCTTTGGCAAGCTAAGCTACTATCGGCGGAGACTATTTTTAGACCAGCATTTCGGCCCAGGACTTCCAGGTACCTCGTTATTCGCATTGGCAGCAGCCCCATCCTCAACTATGGTAAACTGGAAGTCTCTGGGAGGCAGGAATATGCAATTGCAGCGTCATGTATCTCGGAGTCTCGCCCCACACACTCTGGCGGAGGCCTGGTAGACGGTGTGACGCGATGTCACCGAGAACTTCAGATTGAGCAAAGGTCAAGCGAATAAGGAACCCAAGGGATGGTCTTGAGTGTATGTCGTCTTGTTCAAATAAATCGTAATCGCGTGTTGCACAAAAGCTTCCATCTTGTTCACAGGAGAAATGCCTGAAGAGACGGAAAGTAGCCTCGCTCTAAAGCGGCGGCTCGACATTGCCACATTTGGCCGGGTTCTTATCTCTTATCACGCCTCGAAGAGACAGACCACCACTTCTCACATCTCATATCTCCTTTCTATTCTTACAAGCCGGCCAGCTCTACTATATTGTAGACGCCAACTTATGATCTTGCAGAAGTCTCTCAGGTCTCTCAATTGGTCCAGAATCATACTCGCTCCAGCCGTTCTCCGCTACAAGATACACATTCCTCGCCTTTCTGGCAGCCGGTCGGTAAAAGGGCATCGGTTTTCCATGTCAGTGTACAACAATGCTGCTATTCAACAATGGCGTCTGAGGATACAAAGCATGTGCTCGATCTAAACACACTTCTGACGGCACTTCCAGCATGCAAGCGGTGCAGGAAGAACAGAAGAAGGCACGTGGTTCCTCCTCATCGCTGCCGATTACTCTGACGGTCAAAAAGATGTGACACAAGGCTCGAGTCATGTGAGAATTGTGCCAAAGCTAGCGTAGAATGCATCTACTACGATCATGTCCTACAAGAGGAGCTCCCTCGCAGGTAAAGCGTCGACGAAGATACTCTTATGAGGCCTTCACAGTTCTAACTCAGCCTAGCTATGTCGCTTCACTGGTCAATTACCTGGACCGAGACATCGATGCTACAGTATCTGCTCCTGAGCGACCTCAACTCTCCGAGACTGCCATCGTTCCAGATGGCTCGGTTAATCACAAACAGTATTTTGCGTATTCCAAGGGCGCCTATCGGTATCTAGGTGCCCAATCACTCCTGCTAGATCTTGATGCCCTGGACGACTGGGTAGAGAGAGCTCAGACAAATTCGGCTCTCGATTTCCCCTTCCACACCAACATGGATTGTGCAGTGATAAGCCCTGATCTACATCGATATCTCAGCAGACATTTCACTGATTCCGTTCAAAAGATGTATCCCATTTTGAATCCTTCATATCGCTGGCTAACTTCGGACGACGTGGTGGATTTACATTCCGCCCCAAACGAAGCCTTCCTCCAGCAAATGGTCTATGCCATTTCGTGCCGCAGTAACCAGAACGACACTCTCTTCTTCCACCCTCTCGCAACAGTCGCTCACTCGAAAGCTCTGCAGTACTTCGAAAAGGCGACAGCTGACTCGTCCATCTCGACTCTTCAGGTGGCAGTTCTACTGGTCTTGTACTCTCTTTTTGACCCTTTGAGTGGAAACTTGAGCCAGCAGGTGGGATTTGCAGCAAGGCTTGCGATTGAATTGACGGGATCTGAACCTGACGAATCATCACCAATGCTTTCGACTCTCATTAAGGTAACTTATTGTCTGGAAAACCAGGCTTGTGGCTTTCTAGATCGGCCAGCATCAATGCAAGAGCCCGGGACACCATTGACATTATCGGTGACGGACCCTCTGGATTTCCTATGTACCTTGTATCGAATACAAGCTCGTACCCGAGCGGGCCTCTTAGATGATAATCTACGCAACACTCTTTTGCTGCTCGATGACGATGCACTCGAGCGCCTTCATCCGAACCTTCTTTCAACTTTGCGGGAGACACAGTTCATGTTGCATCCAACAGCGCTAGCGGCAACCGAATTAACTACTGTGTATTTGAATGACAGGTACATTCCCACAGTTTTGACTCCACATTGGGTCTTCAAAGCTGCTTCCGTAATCGTTGAAGCCGTACCAGCTACGCAAGATGCGTCTCAATCAAGATTGTTGCAGAATTATGGTCATGCTACCGCACTTCTGGGCAAATGGTCAGCAAGATGGGATGCGGCAAGGGTGCTGCTGCAGTGTCTGCAGTTGAAAGTGAAGGGTGGAATGTAATGCAGTTGAATAGCTCCAGCCAAACAAATGGGTAAGCCCGGAGCCTGATTACTCCCTCAAACCTCACTCGCAGTCACCAGATGCGTAAATTACTCCCAAGGTACACGATATCTTCTCTTTGGACAGCATCAACCCTACGGCACGAATACTTTATCATTCCTAAAATTAATCCGATTTTGTCTTCGCGAAATTCCATGTCATATGTATTGCAAATCCCGGCCAGCTGAGCCTGAGATCCACTTTTGCGCTCAAAGCCGTGTCTTATCGCAGCCACCAAAGTTTGGTGATTAGTTTACCCTACAATAGGAAGCAGAGCATCGAATCTCAATCTGTGAGGTTTACATCCTCGGCAACAGCGCTGGCAATCGTCGTTCCGTCAATTTTCCACGTATCCAGCGGTGTCTTTCTGACTACACCAGTGGACTTGAGCAACACCCAAGCTACCCTAGAAGATGGTTTCACTGACGCGATAATGCCACCGGCATCGCGGGTGCGGAGGCGCGCTCAGGCGTGTGCGCGCTGCCGGCTCCGTAAAGTGCACTGCGATGCCCAGCAAACAGCATGTACCCCCTGCCTGAAAGCTGGAGTAACTTGCGTAGCCATGGACTCGACCAAGTTACAGGCTCTGCCGAGAAGCATTGTACAATTCTTAGAGACCAAAATTGCCGATCGAGAGCGCGAGAGATCGTCCAAAAATCCCTTAAAGGTTTGTTAACAACCCCAAAGTCGGTCCGGTCTATTTCGGCTAATCGTGAAGCCTGTCGGCCACAGTGCCTTTGCGAGACCTATCGTGAATAAGCTAATTTGTGGGACGACGTCCTCGTTTCTGGGGTTGACGGCAGAAGTACCTCTTGCTCGGTGTGTCGTGGCAGGGACTCGGCTCCCCTCGGCCAGAAAGGTCCTTGGGGTGGTGAACGATTTTCATGAACATCATCCAAGGTCTATCATCAATCATGAGCCGAGCAAGACTTCGTTGTCGTCGATTCCAGTACATGTTGCCGATTTTCTCTTTGATAATTATGTCACCCGAGTCACTCCGCAATATCCAATTTACTATGTTCCAGAGCTGACCGCGATGCACAACGCCGTCTTCCACCCGGCAGACTTGGACGGAAGCGCCAGGGCCGTGAGTCCTTATGAGATGTTCACACTCAATCTGATCATGGCCATATCTCTGTCAACAGCTGCCAGATCGAAGCAGGCCCGTGCTTATTCAATTGCATCAGGTCTATTTCAGAACGCCATGGAGCAGATCTCGAGTGTGCTCTCAAATGATCTACGTGGCCTACAAGCGTTGACACTGCTCACACAATACACATTTCTCAACCCCAGCGTGGCTAATTTCTGGCTTCTTGCCGGCTTCATCAGCCAAGCATGTATAGACCTGGGTTTGCACCATGAACTACCAGACCACCCTTCTATATCGCCTCTGGAGCGTGACATGCGACGCAGAGTCTTCTGGTGTGCCTTCGAAATGGAAACCGCCGTGTGTGGAGCACTTCTGCGGCCGATGACGCTTCTCCGGAAGAATATCACTGTGCAGTTTTCCTCGCAACTAGAAGATACCGCTATAACAGCGGCAGGGCTAGATCCCAAGGGCAGATCGACGAAGTTCACATCTCACTATATCTGGCGGTACCGCCTTGTTGAATGCGACATTGTTCCAGTCCTTTTCCATCACGAACCGATTCCACCGACGTTTCGTTCCTTGGAGTCATGGATGGCCCACCAGGAGCGCATGATACTGGAGTGGAAAGCAGATATCCAAGATGCGACAGCTCAAAATACTGACCCGTCATGCCAATCTCAGTGGGATGAGATGAAGCTCTATTCTACCATAGCCACAGACTACATTCTTGTGACTCTATTCCGACCTTGTCCGCTGATCAAAGAACCTACTGCTGAGAACCTGCTCAAGGCCTTCTCCGCTGCAGTTGGCGTTGCTGATGGCAGCTGGGAGCAAGCTAACCTGGAGTTCGGCAACAGCAAGTACGTCTTCCACTCATGCTACCATTCCTTTTCTGCCGCAATTGCCTTCTTGCAAGCTCTACAACGGTTTAAGGCAGAGATCGCGGCATCCTACTCGTTGGAACAAGTCGAGTCATTCATGGACATATTTTCTCGGTTTTTCGCTACTGTTGCCGAGAGATGGCCCGCGGCGGCAAAATGCCTTGAAGAATACGAGAGACTTCTCGTCCCAGTGAGGACGGAATTTACAAATTTCGTGTTTCAAGAAGCACAACGCATCTCTGAACAATCCTCGTCGTTGAGTCGTCTTGCCGCGTCGCCAGCCTTTGACCCTTCGAAAGATTTGGAAGAGGCTATGAATTTGGGCACCTTCTTCAACGCGACCGGGTCAGGACTAGAGGATACTCTAAGCTATTATCCGTACATACCTATGGATTGGAACGCAGAGTTCAACTTTGATGTTAATACAGCAGAGCCTTATGAATGATAAGACGGACAAATCATATTCTCGAACATTGCTGCGTAACTCATTACTCTCGAAAGTTGCTGTGAGTTCAGTTCCCGGCCACAGATGAGTGGTTTTCAGGTCTCGTGAGAATGAAGGGTACCTACACGTCAGACCAATCCTGGCAGGAATTTTTAACGATCATGAAAGTCCGAACCAGGTCATCCCAAGTTGGCTCCACTCGCTCCCGCCCGTTAGCCTCGTGCGTCGTGGGCCGTTAGCTGTGCCTGTACCCCCCAGACACCTGCGCCCACAGCAATCGAAGTTTGATAAGGCTCCTCCAGATCCCAACCCTGGGCCAGGCGCTGAAAATCGTCTCCCATGCGCTCATTCCCGTAAGTCAGCTCTAGCCGCAGAAGGCTCTATATAATCCCATATTATTGAGGTGCTTGTTGCATATAACGACATTCTTCCACAAATCTTTCAAAATTTCAAACAATCGAATCGGTCGTCATTGGCAAAATGTCTACTCAAAAGCCCACACTAGAAATTCCGGTCATCGACATCAGTGGTTTCCTCCGAGGGGACGACGATGCGAAGAAAGCCTGTGCCTTGGAACTGCGCTCCGCTCTCGAGAATGTTGGGTTCTTTCAGATTTGCGGCCACTCAGTGAGTTCCGACCTTCAAAAGCGGTTCATTCAAAGCATTGCGGATTTCTTCGCTCTCCCACAGACCGAGAAGGATAAGATCGGCCAAGATAAATCCCCTTGCAACCGGGGCTACGAGGCGATCGGCGTCGAGAGGCTGGAAGAGCTGGAGGACAACAGCCAGCTTGAGAAGAAGGAAGGGTTCACTGTGCGATGCGAAAGGCCTCTTGGGCGATTCATGACGGGACCAAATCAATGGCCTGATCCTAGTCTGCCTGGTATGAGTAACTTTCGGGAGACGTATATGGAGTACTATGCAGCCATGCACCAATTGAGCAAAAGCATGTTCCGACTCATGGCTCTAAGCCTGGATCTCGACGAACATTACTTCGACGCCTTTGCTGCCGACCCCGACGGTAAGTCTTGTCTTCCTTGCGATTCTGCGACTAGTCCTAACGTAGCTGCCAGGCATTCAACTCTGTCGATCCCACAGATACCCTGCCTCGCCCAACGGCACCTCCGAACGGGGCCGTGGCATTGGCGCACATACCGACTTTGGCGCCCTGACTCTGCTTCTTCAAGATGATATCGGTGGACTCGAAGTTCTCGACAAGCTAACTGGGACATGGCACCCTGTCGTCCCAGTCGAAGGTGCCTATGTGATCAACATTGGTGACTTGATGCAGCGGTGGACAAACGACAGGTACCGTAGCACCATGCATCGGGTGTGGTCGCCTGTCTCGAACAAGGCTCGGTACTCGGTGGCTTTCTTCAACGACGGGGCATTGGACACAGTCATTGAAGCCATCCCGACATGTGTCCCGGCTGGTGAGAAGCCGAAGTATGGGCCGCTCAAGACAGAAGACCATCTGATCAGGCGGTACAAGCAGAGTTATTCTCTGGGTGGAGCAGATATCAAAACTCCTTCGCACTCACCTGTGTCGAAGATCGACAGTGTAGTGCAACCTCGAGAGATTGTGGCTTAGATAGCTGAGACTGGTATTGTCGAAGTTTGTATGCTATATGGTTGGTGGCTTACTTATAAAGAAACATCCAAACATATCTACACGCTTTGTTTTGGATCGAAATCCGAATATCAAGCACGAGAAATTATGACGACTTTTGCTCTCTTTCCGTAGCTTTCCCTCACTGATAGTAACAGATAGCCATGACTATATTAAACGATGAACGGGTTGCATAAACCCCAGCTTTACAGAGCTCGTTGTGTAGTCTCGTCAACATACTCAGCGTCAGGTGGTGATGCAAAGCCACAAACCGATCCATCTTTGATTACTACCTCTTGGTCCTCGGCCTGTGCGTACCGTCCCTGGACTAAATCCCTCATGTACGTGTAAGGACAATCACTTGCTCCGTTCTTTACCGCCACGTAGCCTCGATGACCTAGCTGGTAGAGGTTATTCTCGACACCCCATTCTCGTCGTCGTCGGCGGACCTCGTCTGCTCGGATTTCGCACGCGGCAATGTGGTCAGGAGTGCTGTCACCGCGTTCCAGGATGTTGCCCTCGGGGTCGACAAACATGGCCTGTCCCATGCTTCGCCAGGTTGAATCCGCACCCGCCAAAGCAACACTGACGGTATACATGAGGTTGGAGAAGGCATTGACTCGGTTTGTCAACTCCCAGCTATTCTTGATGGGTGAGGTGTAGCCAGCTGTACGCAGAAGCACTTCGGCCCCGAGGTAAGCGGCCTCCCGGGCCATTTCAGGAAACATGCCGTCGTGGCAGATGATGAGAGACATTTTGACTCCTCCCGGTCCCGTGAAAACGGATACACCCTGATTTCCAGGATACCAGGGCTCTACCGGAATCCAGGGATGCATTTTGCGATAGTAGTTGACCACGTCACCGCTGGAGTTGATGGTGAGGCCGACGTTCCAGGGATACGCTCCGGGTGAGATGGCGTTCTTCTCCATGATGCTGAAAACACCCCAGACACCCTCCTCCGCGCAGACTTGCTTGAAGGCTGAGACTTCAGGACCATCCAGAGTGCACATGATATCGGGATCTGTCGACATTGACAGCCCGTGAATACAGTACTCGGGGAACAACACAAGGTTGACGGCCGGATACTCTCGTTTGGCGCGACGAACTAAGTTGCAGACATGATTAGTTGCCGCCGACAGGTCATCAGGGGTGTCGACGCGGAAGAGCTGCGATTGCACTGCCGCCATGACAATGCCGCCTTGTGTCTTGTTCAATCCACCCAGACCGCTCATGGTGCAGAGGCAAAACCAGTGTCTATGCTGGGTATGCGACTAGAGATGGACGGCACCACCTTGAGTGCATCGATATCGCAACGATGCTTTAATTATCACACGTGTGCGCCAGTTCCATTTACTCTGTGTGCTATCCGTAGTTCGTTCATCAACAACAAGGCTTCCACCTCTGTTTGCCCAGCGCTCATTGCCGAGTGCACTTACGGTGATGACCGCCAGTTCTGTGGCGTGGAGATGGTGTGGTTATCGGCGAGTCTGGGGCTGGTCCAGGAACCTAAAACTGTCCGGGCGGCTCGCTTGACCAGTGAGGCCAATGCCCTTATCAACGCTAACGGCCCAGAGCGCTGAGTAAGTCTCCATCGATCGCGTTGTCGCCATTTCGCGCACGGGATGATTTTATGCGATCCCAGAAAGACCCTGCGAGAAAGGAGCCTTCGTCAATTTAGACTTCTGAGCACGTATCTTCGGACCTTAGTCGACGACGTTGGATCTTTGAACTCATCAATAGGATACCATGCATAGATAAGCATACCATGAAGATACATATCCCTCCACATGTGCACGGCCGACTGTCGATATATATAAAGGCTTATTGGGGATCAGTAGATCGTCTCTGCCCTTAGTTATCTCTTCTTAGTGTGGACCGGATTCATCTAAGACCTATCAGCACAAACGAATCGAGCGAAGCGAGAATGACTACCGAAAAGACCGACAGCACGGTGAATCCCGTGGAGAGTGACAGCCTACGGGGTGAGGTTCTCGAGGATGACGGCGAAGTGTTTAAGAACAATGCGGAACACGCGAATTTTCGGGCCCTGGGGCTGTGGGTATCTCCTGATTTCCGTGTTGCAAGTCATGCACTGATAGCTGATGAAAGGATCCCAACTATCATTGTGCTCATCAAGCTCTGCTTCGCCACAGGGGTGTTGTCAATTCCTGCTGCCCTCGGGGTGGTGGGCTATGGGCCAGGTGTCGTCCTTTTGGCACTCTGGAGTGCATTGACTATGTGTAAGTGGACAAGAGATGCTTCACTCGGTCGTATTATGCGAGGGAACTAATGGCCATGTCTGGTGTAGATTATGCCTTTGTGATGTACCAATTCCGGATGAAGTACAAAGGCATCCACAACATCGTCGATGCTGCGGCACTCATGGGAGGACCGATTGCACGAGAAGCCACTGGAGCTCTGTTCCTTTTGACTTGGACGCAAGTTCTCCCCTATCAGTGCGACAAAGGTGTAGTTGTATGTGTATCTAACATCGAATAGCCTCTGCACTGGCTCCGGCTTCGTTGGGTTGTCGCAAGGTCTCAAGATCCTCGCCAATGGCAAAGGGTGCAACATCGTCTGGACCCTGATCGCGGCCATTGCCACTGGAATACTTTCAAGCATTCGGACTCTCGGGAAGCTGGCTATCCTTACTTGGATTGGCTTCGCCAGTATTTTTACGGCCGTCTTCATCGTAGTGTAAGTTCAATAAGTCTTCTCTGTCTACAGGACTAATCTGGGGTTTGTACTGTATAGGGTTGGCGTAACAACCATCGACAGGCCTGCTGCTGCGCCAAAAGAAGGCCCCTTTGACCTGGGTGTCATCGCAGTTGGACATCCTGGATTTGTCGCAGGGCTCGTTGCGGCGCTGAATCTTTTCTGTGCGTATCCGTCTTGATACCTGCCCTTCTACGAAGACTCGATCTAACGTGAGTCAATAGCTGGATTTGGCTCGACCTCTACGTTCATGCCTGTCATGGCAGAGATGAAAGTACCCAGAACTTTTCCAAAAGCGCTCTTTATCTCCCAAGGCCTTTTAGTTGCCTGTTACATTTCGTTTGGCCTGGTTGTCTACGTGTGAGCAGTTATGGCGTCACCGTGACATTCTCTCTCTCGCTGACCTTCCTCTCCAGGTATTGTGGAATCTACGTGGCCAGTCCGTCTCTTGCAAGTGCGGGAGGGACGCTTGAGAAAGTGGCGTTTGGTATCTCCATCCCGGGGTTCATCATGACCTCGACGCTCTGGACCCACGTCGCTGCAAAGTTTGTATGTGATTTGCTTGATTTTCAACTCGAGGATCAAACAGCTAACAGTATAGCAGCTCTTTGTTCGAATCCTTCGTGGTTCTGATCATTTACAAAGCAACAGTGTAAAGCACTGGGTCTCTTGGCTGTGAGTGCAAACTTCGACCAGTTCCACTCCACATTCAGATTTGCGCTATCAAGGGGAGACTGACTTTGATGTGCCTATGCCAGGTCATCGACTATCTCCTTGACAATCGTGTCCTTCCTCCTGGCAGAGGCTATCCCATTCTTCAGCTTGATCTTGGGCCTCATTGGATCCTTGTGCTGTTCTCCAACCTGCGTAAGTACTCCCCCAATCGGTCATACTCAGAAATTCTGATGGCGCTTAGCTGGTAATTCCCGGTTGCATGGGCCTCTACATGCAGCGAGGAAACTACAAGTCCAGCAGAAAGATCATGGCACTTTGTACTCTGCACTGTGTCACTATCGTTGGAGGCTCGTTCATGGCCATTGCGGGTACTTATACAACCATTCAGAGTATTGTTGATGCCTATGCTTCGGATTCAGTTGCGAAGGCATTTAGCTGTTCATGATAGAGAGCGGAAATCGAATTGCCATGAGCACTCGCAAGCCTCAAATACCCATATAGACTGCCCCGTTGAAAAGCGAGCCATATGTCAACTTAGGAAGCAGGTTGATACCACTCAGTGGGGTTGTTGCGTTGAGTTTAGAATCCCAGGTGTCTCAGGAACTGATCGAGGAATCAATCATGACTCTCTATCATTTGAGTAACAATATTACCTATTCCATGTCCATCCGGACACACTCAGGCTCCCAATTCGTGCGGAATAATCAAGATCTGACGAAATTGGTAGTGAAATCCGGTGGACATAACCTTGACATCAGAGACTGTTAACTATGTTGCTATCATGATTGGACAAGAGTTCCGATACAGAAACAGCCTTTGACGTAGCCACATGAACATACAGTAGCGCACCTCGCTTTCAAGGGGCTTCCAAGGTCGTCCTCTTTGATCTGCAAGGACACCAAAACCTAGTGGCCTTTGGATGATACTCCTATCCACATAGTTGCCAGGGATCCGCCCGATAGGAGGGCATCCTCCGGCCAACAGAATCTTAGCTACGCTAATATCCTTTTCAGTGTTGTTGCTGCAAATCGAAAATTGAAAGCATCATGATGACGGCAACTGCCCCTGACGGACTATATATATTGCGTGATGCTTCCAACCTGACCGTGTTGACGGACTCGAACTCAGGACTCCAAAAACCTTGTGAGAGCATTCAATCAAATACCTACAATACAACTTCGAAAGAAAAAGTACACCCTCAATCTCTACCATGTCTTCTAAAGAGAATAATCCTGGAAACTTCGCCAATCGACCCAAGGAGGAGGTAAAGGAGATTGCAAGCAAAGGAGGCCACTCAAGTGCTGGAGGATTCGCGTCGATGGATCCTGACAAACAGGCAAGTAGCACTGTAGTCACTCAGTCGCTTCAAATTCAATATGCTAACCGGGATAAAGCACGAAATCGCTTCCGAAGGTGGTCAGGCCTCGAGTGGGAAGTTCGAACCAGGTAGCGAAAGGGCGAGAGAGGCAGGCAGGAAAGGAGGATCTTCAGGACGATCTGACGATTAGGATCTTTTGGTTTATATAGGCAAGCACAGGACACGTTCATCATCAGTGTTGAGACATTGAGTATAGCTGGATGGGAAGCTATGATAATACCCTTACATTCATTTGCTTCGTAGTCGCTGAGCTGATGTTTCGATCGTATCAGTCAGTGGCACCTATGACCGATATATCAAGTTTGGCCATGTAGATTTCAAGCGCAACAGGTATCGAACATATATACACTATATTTTGAGCCCACCCCTCCCTCTTTGAAAGTAGTATTATCTTACTCCAGCAATAAATATTTCTGTTTATAATCGTTGAGCACATATTTAATGGTAATTAGCAATTTAATATAGCGCTTACCTTTGATGTCAAAATCTGCATCTAATCGCTTAGTGATAACACAAACAATGATACTGAAATATATCCCTAAATTGATCAAGTGTAGAGAAGATTATATGGAATGAAGGGCATCAATAGTCGATATCTTGGAATTCGTACTGTCTTTTCGATATTTACGGGCTAAAAACCACACAGCCGCCATTGAGACTGTGTTCTCATTCCTCAAGTGTATTTCAACGCGACAGTGTTAACTTCACCCGTCAAGATCAACGCACGGCAGAAGTCCCGTCATCGGCCGGTAGGTCGTCCTCTCCCTCCGGATCCCGATAAGTGCCTTTGGGCTTTGTCGCATGTCGAGTTCGATCACCTTTGAGAATGTTGCGTTTGTCTATCGCTTCAGATTCATCTTGCTCTAGAGCAACAGTCAGCGACTAGAATGTCAAACTTGGATGGCACACGAACCTAGAGCTTGGGTTGAGTCGGGATTGCGTGCGTCGTTAGGCTGCTCAACCGGTGTCTCGTCCTTCACTACCGGTATATGCGACTGACCTGGGCGACTAGCATAAGAGTTGTCGACCGTGTCTCCACCCTGGGGGATGTCATCGGTACTAGTGTCCTGCTTGTCAAACTCTCGGTCCGCGTTTGTCGCCATTTTTTCCATGTACAAGTCTGATATTGTGATGATATATCGGACATTACTTCTGATGAGAGGGTTAAATAAGGGATCAACAGAAGATACTGCAATGCGAATGGCAGATGATTCCTGACGTCAAATCACATCAGAGGAGATGGGATCACGACAGCTCACCATGAATACGATGACTGCTGAGACTGAGGTAAAGAATAGCCACCTCCAGATACAATTCAAAAGTTCGTCAACATTGATATCGTCATCGAAGATGGCAATCAGAAGCTCTGACGGGTAATGGACAGGGAGTTTATTCCGAGTTTAGCGAGCAGTGACGCCGTCCACAGTCCATTATATTCCCAGCTTCACGTGGAACAAGGTTAAATAACCGTACTGACGCTACGATGACAAACAAAAGCATCCTGACTGGCGGGAGTCCTACCGTTAGAGATAGAGAAGCAGCAGTCAAGCTATGAGCACGGATGTCATTCCAAGGCACGCAATCCCAGCCAATTGTCATCACTCGCTTACACAGACTATATATCAGAGATCATTCCTATATATGCACGCTTCCTCCGGGCAATGTGCTGCTCTCATACATTGTTTCAAAATGGCAGCTACGAAATCCATTTACCGTGTGTCCATCGCCCGCTCTTGCTGTGCTCGCCCCGCATCCTTGTCGAGCAGTATACGACCTCTCTACCAATCTCGCTTCCAGACTACGGTGTCTCCAGACATTGTGAATAAATTGGATGAGACGACTGCAAGAATGTCTTCTGCCAATACTGGACCTGTTTCGGATCTAATCAAGCATGATCATGCGGAGCTGAAGGAGTTTTATGAGAATGTGCTGAGGGCAAGCGATGAAGATGCAAAGGTCCGTTGGCAGAACCAGTTCACCTGGGAATTAGCTCGACATTCCATCGGTGAAGAGCTTGTAGTGTATCCAGCCATGGAAAACTACATGGGCGAAGAGGGCAAGCGTCTTGCCGACAAGGATCGAGCTGAACATAACGAGGTACGTACCGTCCACCACGGCTCCACATCGCTTGAAATCCTTGTGGAAGGTTGGACTGGAGCTAAGACTACAGCATAGGTCAAAGAGCTCTTGTACAAGTTCCAGGGTCTATATCCATCTGATACAGACTTTGAACCGACACTCAAGTCGCTCTGGAACACCCTAAGCCAACACATTGAGGAAGAGGAAACAGAAGATCTCCCAAAGCTCGAAGATGCGCTGCGGGATTATGATCCGGATTACTCGGCCCACCTTGCAAAGAGCTTCGGAAGGACCAAGAAGTTTGTGCCAACTCGCAGCCATCCTGCAGCACCAGACAAGCCTCCTTTCGAAACTGTCGTTGGACTCATGACTGCGCCCTTGGACAGGCTGGGTGATATCTTCCGGCGTTTCCCAAAGGATTAGTCTTTAGTTTGCAAGGGAGGTGGTCATGATGAACCTAGAAGATGGATACCACCCCTCATCAATAGGATCTGAAGCCTTAAAGGATATGTTGATTTACGGTTGCTGTCTTGGTGGTGCAAAATGCTCGCTAGGAATATTGTGTAGAGCGCTAAAACGAGAACGTCACGACTATCTTGTCATTCGTCCAGCGACTTCATGGACTCCAAACGAGCCTTCTGATATTTGTAGCCCGGAACAAAAGCTTGCTTCGTATTGACAACCTCCATGTTCTCATGTGTGCTATTAAGCTAAGGCTTGTAGTCATGAGCTCATAATGACCACAGGGAGGCATTTCTTTCGCTTTTGTTGGGGAAACAGACGGAGCCGGAGATCAAATGTTCTCACATTTGAATCAATTATCTCATAAATACTTCCCAAAGCACAGGGGTTTGGGCGTACACCCCGCGAACTAGTATTTCGTAACTGGCTCCATCCCTTGGTTGCCCTGCATCATGCCTTGGCCGAGCACTCGTACCTGAACACGGCGGACTCGGTCAAACCCTTACTCTTTGCAAAATGGTAGTTATAAATCTGTATGTTTTGCTTGACGAATGGTATACGCTCCCAGTAGATTTATCTGACGGCCACGTTCATGCATCGTCCAACTTGACGTAACAATGATGTATGCGATGCGAGCTTAACTGGATTTTTCTCCCGCAAGATGTCCCATAGCTTTGCAGTTGTGAGATGAACAATGAAGACAAATTTCAAGCTGTGCATGACCAACCAAAATTGTATCCCATGAACTGATAGCCGAGTGATCTGGGCAAAGAGTATTGTCGGTGCGATGTGTGCCTACAAGCAGCGCTGCCCGGAGCTCGGAGTTCGGATGCCGGAACATACAAAGAGTGGCCTTACTCGTTGTGGGGAGGTCAGCGTGACTCCGAGTTCCCCGGCTCGATGGAACTCTAGTAGACGATCTAGGCCGGCGATGACCGTTTTTGCATCAAAGTCGTCGTCGGCTTTGACATGTGTATGTCATGACAATATCATGTACCGTTTCCTTCCTCTACACGTGCCAAAGCAATGAACTCATTGAACGCACCGGATTGTCTCAGTGCGATGCAATACCATGTTCAGGATCATCTCAGAGGACGTGCACGGGTTGGCGGATACTGAGAACCGCCGCAGAAAACATGATATCAAGTCAACTGCGGTGGCTATCGAGTGCTCTGAATCGATGCAATGCACACATGCGAGTGTATATACATTAGATCAAGGCCATCTCCTAATCGTCAGCAGATCACACTTTCCAAGTGAGCCTCAAAGCCCCTATCGACAGCACTATACTCAGCTTTCCATGGTCACCTATTGTGTGGGAAATGCACAGCTGGAAATTCTCATGCGGATCATGGAGTGTCACAGATATCTGCAGGAGAAGAAGCCGTCACCGTGGACTTAGCTACTACTCTTGGGTCACGAATATCATCTACACTCAATTCCGAGAGCACAGCGTCTTTCAATAAAGAGGCTTTACTTTGAAAGATTCCAGGAGTCTGCACTTTGCTACTCAGAGCGATCCGAGAAATGGGAGGAATATACCGAACCAGTATCGTGAAAGAACTAAAGTCGAAGTGGTAAGCTTTTAGTCCTGATTCACTCGATAACCTTCCTTTAATATCTTGTGTATAGCATGCCAACAACGGACTTGCAATACCCACACCAACCAGCGGTAGTACTGCAGCGGTGGAATCGCGAGTCGTGCCATTGGCTATGGAATGGGGACAATTCGAGTCGATGGCACCGACGCCTTTTCTGTTTATACCTTTCACGTCGTACAATCGAGAGATTAGACGACTTTAGAGAAATTTTACTGGATAATAACGGTATATATAGAAGTCTATATTGATAAGAACAGCTTCCCTGCTCGACAAGCCTTAAAAAGTCTTGCTGGGCAGTCCTCTCCTCGCCTCTTCTCTTATTCCGTGCCATCACGTGTAGCTTTCCAGGCTGCTACAAACCAAACTGAGCTTTTACTGAGAATGCTAATAATATTGTTGCCAACATTACACAGTCGCTGCCACCCCCAACAGGACTACTGCAATCAGAGTCGACAGACCAACAGTGTTTGCCATGCCTCCGTTGCCAGTTTCCGCTGCAGCTGAGCTTTCTGTGGCGGATGCTGTTGCGGTTTCTGATGCACTGGAAGAGATGCTGGAGGCACTTTCTGCTGCGCCGCTACTGCTATCAGCACTGCTGCTGGCTTCACTTGTAGCACTCGCACTGATAGCTGTTGAAGCTGGAGTGATGGTCTCTGCAGTGGACGCTGTCACAGTGGTGCTGGTCGAATTCGAGCCTCCAGCAAGATCAGGAAGGTCTAACTCTACTCCATACGCTATGCAAATAGCACTAGAGCCTTCGGCCGTAACTATAGTCATTCGTCAGTACGTTCTCACGGAATAAGTAACACATTGGCGTACGTCCACCCCGGGGAACTCCAGCGTTTCTTCGCTGCGGAGGAAGAGGGATCATGCAGCTTCTGTTCCATATTCTTGTTGTTGAATTGAAATGGTAAATAACTTACGAACGCTGTCTTCAGGACTGCAGAGTTCTGGGATTTGCGCCACGAGGCTGTCCACAAACTCGTTGTTATTACACATACAGGCGACATCCGTCAGTGGGCAACCTGAAGTTTGGATCGCTTCAAGAATGGCTTGTTGCTAGAAGTTAGACCTTGTTAGCTTTCAGATTTGAGCAGCATTATGAAAACAGCCAGCTGAGATAGACTTACGCCGCATTGTGGGAGGTCTGAGATAGTCCCAACTTGCGCAAGTACTGCGAGAGCAAAAGCCAACGTGGCTACGGCACAAAGCTTTACTGCTCTCATGGTTTTGTAACGCAACTCTGTTTTGCAGAAGCTGGGCGATTGTAGCTGTCTTGATGAGAAGAGAAAGATATATGCTGAAAATCGACAGACTCGGTTTGCAACTCGGACCTTCGATCTACTTATAACTAGTTCAAAGGGAGCGACGGTTCTAGATAAGTATGCTGCGCCTTTAGAGCCACCCTGTTGTGCCAGAAAGTATAGGCAGGCCAAGTTGCTTGGCCCGATATCGCGGAAGAAGTGTTTCTCAGTCGCCAGTTTACCAAGGTATTGGTCCCACTCTCCTGGTGGGTCCCTGCAGCCACTATTGCTGCAGCAGATGGTTATGGCTGCGTTTTCCAGGAATCAGGCCTCTTGCGAACTGTAGGCTGTTACACTTGTATCGCATGCTCTTCGGTTGAGCCCAGATGTAGGGGCCCTTTCTTGGTTCGGTGCATTTTGACTCCACAAGGGTGCAGCTGATCTAACTATGCCACATGTATTCATCCGGGAAACTGTACACTAACCGACAAACTGTCGTATCTTAACCTTACTGAGGCTAAGGAAATAAGTCTTGTTCATGTTGGCACAGACTGTGCCGAATTCGGATCCTCTCCTACAGTAGGTTTCGGGGACTCAAGTGCACAAAAATGAGATGCTTGGTGTCTGGCCAGATATATTCATCAACGATAGTGTATTGTCAGTTGAGCTGCCGAATACAGTCAAACCTCTTCGTTTTATCACTCCTGTTGAGCTATAAAACTTGATATATCAGATCTGTGCACGAAAGCTAGTCGACATGGGGGTCGTGGTGGCGCCTGCGCTCATTCCGGATATCGAGAAGGTCTATGACTGTTATTTTGAAGCCTTCAAACAAGAGCCCATGGCAGCAGTCATGCTCGACATACTCTTCCCAGGAGGGGTTACGGAAGAATTTCGCAAAGCGCATACCCAGGCCACGCTAGACTGGTGGCACAAGAGCACCACTCAATATACCTGGAAGGTCTTGGACACAGAAAAGGACGAGATCATAGGTATGATTCTCGCCGATGGATTCGTTAGTGAACGAAGCAAAGAGGAGCGCAAATATACTGGCCTGCCGTGGCTACATGGTCAAGAACTGGAACGTGCTGAGGCAGTCATTCGACCATTGTGGGAAATGAGGGAGAAACTTTGGGGTGGTCGACCGTACATATGTAAGTCTCCATCCTCAGTCGTGCGCGCGGCTTTCACTGGAAGCTTCTTGTTCAAAATGAATCCCCGTACACATAGACATGGTAGGCATTCTGAAGGCACTAGCTAACTAACAGATCTCCAGATGTTCATGCAATTGCTATCATGCCTGAGCACCAGGGCCTGAAAGCTGGTATGGCCTTGATGCTGTGGGGTGTGGATTTGGCGGACAGATCAGACTTGCCTGTATATATCGAAGCATCGCCGTCTACGTGGACGTTGTACGAACGAGTAGGATTCGAGCGCATCAACGAAAGATTGGTGCACAAAAAGGAGCTCCTGGGAACTGATGAAGATATTGAGGTGCCACTCATGGTTCGGATGCCTGCTGCGGCTAACGGCATGACCTTTGACGAATGGCGCGCAAATGGCTATCCGCCGTTCGAAGAGTGATAAGGTCGTGGAAATGGTGTGTTGAATAGGTCCTACTAAGGAGAAATCCATGTATTCTACTGTATGCTCTCTGGTAGTGACGCTTTAACCTCGTCACTTGCTAGAAAATCTTTCAAAATTGTCACGATTGTCTCTACTGCTATAACCCATTTCTCCATCGCCTGGACAGCCATTTCTGGATCAGTTCCCTTTCCACTCAGCCGGATGTACAGGTCTTTGCGTCGAGGTGATGCACCCATTGCTGCTCGGAAGATGGGTCTAATCATAGCTGTATGATAAGGTGACAGTGTGACCTTATAGCTGTCTCGGAATGACTCTCTCAAGTCTATCTTTGGAAATTTCTCCGTAGCTGAAATGCCATTGTTTTGCGTGAGGTCAGTCCGTAGGGCGTGGCTCAAGAAGTCTAGACCCCGGACCAACCATGTCAACCCTGCAGTTGCAGAGTGAGCACGGGTAGCGAGTTCATTCTTGACTAGGCCCTGCAACATCTCTGAGCTCCTTGGATCTTGGGCTTGCCGTGACCGCACCCGCCCTACGTTGAAGAGCATGTCATTCTTGATAGGTGTGAATACCGCAGATCCAAGCATGTCGAATATGGTTGTTGTCGCTTCAGTTGCGGAAAGAAATTCTGTTGTCGACACCTCTCCATCAGCAGAGACTGAAACGTCTGGAAAATCGGTATTGTGCATATCAAACCAAGTCTCGCCGGGAGGTATAGCTATTCGAGGAGCCATGCTTTACGGTTTGAGCCTCGTGATCGTTGACTATAGGCGCGTGGTCCGGATGGTCTATCGCCCTGTCAGAGCCAAACGTTGGCTTTGTTGGCTGCCGTGGTCAAGATATCTTAAACGAGGGAGTCGTTAAGGATCTGTTGGCAGATGGCCTAGTCAAGACTGTGATCGGAGTTTACAGTACTTCGACAATGCCTTGCGTCTGCGTCGCTCTCTCTCTGGGCAGTGAACTCGCAAAATTTGCCAAGCCCCAAGAAGCTCGTTGATTGTTTCCTCAGACTGATGGAACTCCTCCCGCCGATATCGCTGCGAGGGAATTCCTCTGTTGACCTGGTGCCCAGACATCGTTTTCGGACTTGTTGATAAGGATCGGACTGCTACGTATGGTCTTGGCCCAAGTTCCCAACGACGGAGTGGATATGTGTGGTGAAGAACATTCAAGCGAAGGTCAAAGTCGGAGCAAACGCTGTTGCGGGCAGCGACTGATTCAAGATGGCGGAGGCCAAGGAAGGCCAAGATTATCTGAGAAGAAAAATCTGATTAGATTAGATAAATGGCTCCACAACGGAACCTTGGCACTAAGTCTGTCTCGAAGTCTAGCTAGGTCGCCATCCTCCGTTCTGACAAGTCTCGTACGGCCCGTACATCGTGTAAACGTGAAATGGTGTTACATGTTACGCGAAGATGATACTGTTATGTTACCTCGCTAGCTTCCTTTGTCGGCCCACCTCCTTTGCCTTTTCTCTGCATCGATGATCGTCAAGGAGAACAGGACAAACCTTTAACAGGGAATTGAGTCAAGAGTATGGTCAGCGCTTTCTCACCCTTCACCAGGTCAGGGCAAGCAGCAGTTCTACTGTGAACCTATTTTCATAAGTGCAAAGACTGGTGAGATAGATTTCACCAAGTGCCAAGTCTGACTGTGAATCTGCAACTTGAGAGCTTGTGCCGTAATTTCTGCCAATCGGACATGATACAGAGAAAGGAGTAGGGTCAGCACAAGCCATTGGATGAGATCCATAAAGCTGCGTGCGATCGCGCAGATAGCACGGTCAAGGTGTGTGTGTGTGTTTGTGGTATATACCTAGATAACACGTCCTTTGACCTGTTTTATATCTTTGATGCGTATATCTCGCCACAACGCTACACATATGAATGCGCCACCCAGCAACGAGAGGCTTGTGATGAGCATGTATCGTTGTGCTTCCGCGTACGATCGATTGATAGCATCTCGAGCTGGCGTTCCAGGTCTGTAATAAAGCTGAGCAATGATTGATCCGTAGACTTTCTTTGCATCAACATCTGGAGGGAGGTACTTTTGGAGAGCCGAGGGGAAGACGCTGGTCCAGATAGCAGTGGCAACAGTTCCTCCGACGGCGCTGCCGACACTGCCGAACAAATTCAAAATGGCGATGACTGCGGCAATGTGTTGTTGGTTCGAGGGAGCCATCATCGCCAGCTCTCCGCAGAGTACAATAGTTCCGCCCGAAAAGGCGACAAAGATTTGGGTCATGACGATGTACCCAATATCACTGTCTGGTTGCCGGAACTCAATCATAAGCCCAACACCCAACATCATCAAGGGGATTGCAAAGTACAAAGCAAGCCATTTGAATCGACCAGTCCAGCGGATCAGAAACCCAACCGCCACGGCCCAGAGGCAAGAACCGACACGATAAATGGCGCTGACGTAGCTTGCATTAGTGATGTTGAGGCCCCAGACAACTTGCAACATGGAGAAAAAGTAGCTGCCCCATACCATTGAGTTGAAGAAGACGAAGACGAACATCAGTCCCGCACAGAAGACCGTTCGATCCATCAAAAGCTCGAACGGAATAAAAGTCTTTGGTGCCCAGAACTTCTCCCAGAGGACGAAAAAAATAAGCAATACACCACCAAATATAATCATACAGATTATCATCGGAGAGCGGAATTTGTCAGGTTGATACGAGTAGAGGCTGAACGGAAGCAAAAAGAGTGCCATGCCACCTGCGAGGATGATAATGCCCAGCAGGTCAACCTCAATTGCGTAGCGCTTCAAGGCTTCCGGACGGAGACTGACACGCGTATGCCCGATAAGGCCGTGCCTTTGAGCCTTCTTCTGGTTGTAGAGAAATAGGATCGTTAACGGGGCCACCACCACAGGGACAACAATTGCGAAGATACCGAAACCCCATCGCCAGCCAGGACCTTGAATGACATTTTGAGACACTGGGCCTCCTAGCCAAGTAGTGACGATGTATGGTGATGTCGCGATGGAAAGCATGAGCGATCGGTTTTTGAGTGTCGACATATCCGAAATAAAAACTGTCAGGCAGTAGCTAACACCTTGCGCACTGGACAGAACCAAGTTAGTTAAACAGGAATTGAGATGGAAATTGTTGCTTACCCAGTCACAGAGAACACCTGGGCTGCGGCGTATGTCTGCACGTTTCGGCAGGAAGCCATCATGATATATCCGATGACCCAAATAAAGGTCATCAATCCAATACCTTGGGGTCTTCCCCAAGTATCCAGAATTTTGGCAGTTGGGATCTTAGCCAAACCGCCGATGATGCTGGACATGATGTTGGTTGCAGAAGTAAGAGAATGCAACGAGAAAGAGCTGGTGACATAGGGATTCAAAGAGCGAAGAACCACTTCTTCCAGCGAGATAACAAAGTAGATGAACCAGATGCTATGCGAGCTTCAGCCTTGACATTTTATAGCATTGCGTAGAAGATATACGTACCAGAAGTGTGCACCGATGAGGTGCGTTGTGGTCCAGACTGTGGTTGCAGCCTGAACACGTTGCACACCAGCTTGAGCATCTTCGGAAATAAGTGCATCGTCGGGCTGATTTACATTCTCCTCGTCAATATGGTTGCTACCATCATTCCTATCAACCCCTCTGAAACCCGCACCAAAGAGCCCTTTGAATCTCATCTTCAACCATGGCTTGTCAGGGCGTTTACCAGTCAAGGACACCATACCGACAAAAGCGAACTAGTGGTAGATAGGTAGGCAAACTCAGGTCGACCACGACGTGATAAAATCCTAACCTCACGATTTTCTTCAACCACACGTCGAACCACACACCCAGAAGGCATCTAAACGTCCAAGTCCGGTGAGAATATTTGGTTCTGTCCTCAGGTCGCTCGGATAATGGAAGCTTCCCGCAGTTGGTAGTGACAACTTCCGTCAATCTCAGGAGCAAGGATATGCTATCTGGTGACCAGTTCGCTATGTGGCTGCAGAAAACTTTAGCCATGTAAGAGTACTTGTGGTGCTTGGGCGCATAACAACTAGTAGAACGACCCAGGAGTACTCACAGTAACAGGGACAAGTCTTGTGTTTGCACCAGACCAGCTAATACTGCCCATGCATAGGTGGGTGTACTAGGTTCCCAAACGTAACAGTCCCTGGTAGCCCAACTACGTGTTGGTACAACTCAAGAATGCCAAGTGCCGATGTCGCGCACGTCCAAGTGTCTGATGCGTTCACGGGCTTGTGATGCAGCACTGATCTTTCTAAGGCTGTCCAAGTGCGACCAGAGGCCAATTCTGGCTTCGCTAAAAGGGCACTCCACTGTCTTTACAAAAGCTAGAGGAATAGTTGAGTGGATATCTTTACTAACGGCCATATATGCCGAAGAACATGAGTCCCGAACGTTCTGCAGCGCCACGCTTGGCGGAACTACCTCGAAGTCAGGGCTCCAGTACAGAATCTTAATGTCTTGTCATCTTAATGTCTTGTCATCTTAATGTCTTGTCAGACGTGAAAACAACGGGCATAACTCTTACACATTTGTTCTTTGACCGACACCTGCTTCCACCACATACCCGTTGGCGGCGGTTCTGGCTACCGGAGACCATGTAGCCGCATGACTCCGTTCTTCTGGTATGGAGTTAACATGCCTGCACCTTAACCAGTTGACTATGCACTCATATTCCCGAAGCAGAAAAGGTTTTAGGACGACAGTTGCCCAATTAGATGTCGTATCTGGCGTCCAGGAGAGCGTACTGAGCCAATCTCTCAGTTTGTCAAACGATTGCAGAGCAACTTGGGCAGATCAACGACAAGGCTAAGAATCAGAAACCTGGTAACTGCCAGATACACAAACCTGTCAGAGAATGGCATCAGAAGCCGGTGCTCGAGAGCCTTCTGATTTCAGAGAGGTGACTTCGGGGATGAAAGCAGCACCATCTGGGTCGGTAAGCATCCTCCTTCAGGGTGGTCCATTTCTTCACCCATCTCCGGCACAAATGAGGATTATTCTGACCGGAACCAGCCTCTCCTGGCATATTTCCGACTGTTGGCCTACGCGACTTCAACATGGACCGACATTTGGCTGATGGCAACGGGGACGACGTGCGCCGTCGCTGCCGGTGTGCCATATCCCTTGATGGCGATTCTGTTTGGAGAGCTGGTCAATGACCTCAACGGAGCCTCCTGTAAGGTGGACGCCTCCGGAAACGCTTTAGTATATGAAGCTGCGATTAACGACAAGGTGCTGAAACTTGTTTACATTGCCATCGTAGCATTTGCCCTGACTTTTGGCCACATCATCTGCTGGAGCATTTTAAGCCAACGCCTCGCATCTCGGTTGAGAGAAGAATATTTCCAAAATATTCTGCGCCAGGATCAAGCGTTCATCGACCATCATCCAGAGGGCCAGTTATCTTCGCGTCTTAGCGCTGACATCCAGGCTGTTCAATCTGGAACGTGCGAAAAGGTTGGAGTTTTTATTGCGAGTATTTCTTTCTTTGTTGCCGCCTATGTCGTGGCGTTCATCAAGCAAGCGAAGCTTGCTGGGATACTTATATCCCTTATACCGGCATTTCTCATCGTCGCTATTATCGGAGGCGGCTTCTTTCAAAAGTTTTCAACTCGAATGTCTGAGTCTGCCACTTCCGCAGCGGCGGTAGCCTCGGAGTCACTTTCAAACATTACTATTGTGAAAGCGTTTAGTGCTGGTTCAAGGCTGGAGCGAAAGTTCGCAGAGTATTCAGCAATCAGCCGTGGACAAGGCATCCGCAAAGGCGCTGTCGTAGCTGTACAGGCGGGAATGCTTTACTTTATAGCTTACTCCGCAAATGCTCTCGCGTTCTGGCAGGGCAGCAGGATGATCGCGGACATGCTCAACGGAAAGGGCGACGGAACTTCTGTCGGGGAAGTTTACACCGTGATATTTGTGTTGGTTGATGGTATGTGGATACTCAACGTCGGCACAGATGACGCGTGTAGCTAACATGCTCCTGAATTCAGCTTGTGTGGTTCTTGGATCAACAGCTCCTCTCCTACCACTCTTCGGAAATGCCGCATCGGCTTTCGAGAAACTGAAGCAAGACATTGATCGTAGATCATTGCTAGATGGCACATTGACTGGGGGTGACGACTTGTCCCCAGAAACGCGAGGAGAGCTTGAATTTTGTAACGTTTCTTTCAGCTATGCTTCACGCCCAGACGCAATGGCGCTTCGGAATCTTAGTATTTCATTTCCTGCGGGAAAGCAAACCGCCATCGTCGGGGCATCTGGTAGCGGCAAGTCAACGATTGCAGCTCTGATGACCAGGCTCTATGACCCAACTGATGGAGAAATTCTTTTCGACGGGAAGAACCTGTCTCATATCAACATCCGAAACCTCAGAGGATTTATAGGCCTTGTACAACAGGAACCATTAGTGTTGCATCGGTCGATCCTGCAGAATATAGCCCTTGGCCTTCTAAACTCATCTAATCCGGCGCATGATAGGTTGAGGAACCATTTGGGAGACAATTTGATTTACAGTGGCGGTACCTCTTCGGCAATGGATCAAGAAGTTATCAACGAAGTTATTGATCTCGTGAAGCACGCGGCTCGACTGGCGGACGCCGATAGCTTCATCCAGACTTTCGAAAAAGGTTACGACACAATTATTGGGGCCAGCGGTCTTTCTCTAAGTGGTGGACAAAGGCAGAGAATCGCTCTCTCTCGGGCACTTGTTCGAGATCCTAAAGTGCTCATTCTAGATGAAGCGACAGCATCGCTTGATTCGCTAAGCGAGGAGCGCATCCAAGGTGCTATAACCAGACTTGCAGGCACACGAACAGTCATCTCCATTGCTCATCGTCTTTCAGCCATTAGAAATGCAGACAATATTGTTGTATTGAAGGCAGGAGAAGTGATTGAACAGGGCACCTATCAGGAGCTCATTTCTCGACCAGGATTATTTGCTGATATGGTTAATCTCCAGGCCCTCAACCAGTCTCGCACGAGTCAGGACGATGTGCTGTCGACCGTAAGCTCGGTTCAGACTTCTATGGGAATTGATGCGGAGAAGAAGACCTCACATCGTGATGATGTTACCTCCTTACGCCGATCGACGCACCATGGACACTCGGATGAGAATATGGCTTCCAGGGTACCATCAAAAGAGATCGATTCTACCCTGTCTTCCCGCAAAATCTGCAGAGACACAGCTCGCTTTACCAGGCCAGATTTAGCTTGGCTCACCATCGCGCTGATTGCTGCAGTCGTCGTGGGTTTAACATTTATTGCTGCTGCCCTGATATTTGGCCATGTGGTGGATGCTCTGAGCCCCTGCAGGGCTACATCGAGCCGCATTCTTCATCTTGGCCGGTTCTACGGCGGCATGCTCTTTATGGTTGCTGGTGTGGAGCTGTTCGCGAACTACCTGAGCTGGTCATCCTTTGCAATAGTCTCGGAGAGGCTTCTGTATCGGCTGAGGGTGTCCTCGTTCAGCTCGTTGTTGTCCCAAGATATTGACTGGTACCAGGCTAGGAGCCATAGTCATTCCACACTGCTATCAATCATCACAAAAGACGGCAGCGCGGTAGCCGGATTTAGTGGCTCGACAATAGGTACCATATTCTCAATCCTGATCAGTTTCTCAGCGTCCCTGATCATGTCGCATATTGTTGCATGGAAGGTCGCGCTTGTATGCTTGAGTATGGTGCCTATTCTTTTGGGATCAGGATTGATGCAACTATTCAGTTTGTCCCGGTATGAAGAGAGCAGCTCAAAGGCATTTGCGAAATCAATCAGTATCTGCATAGAGGCGGTAGCTTCCTTCAAAACTGTTGCTACATACTCTCTTGAGGACGAAGTCATGGGCACTTACAGGACGGCTTTAAGAGATCCACGCCAGAAGATAACAACGGCAAGCATTTACACGAATGTTTGGCTGGCTATCTCGCTCAGTGTGGGCTTCTTCGTTTATGCTTTTGCATACTGGTGGGGTTCGCACCAGATCATTCGGGGTGAAAATACTCAACAACAATTTTTCATCGTACTTGTTGCGATGCTCGTGAGTGCTCAGCTATGGGGCCAAATGTTCAGTCTTGCACCTGAGGTCTCGCGGGCTCGTACGGCTGCTTCGCGAATTCTGTCTGTCATTAGCTTTCAGGACTCACACAGAAGCCCACCATTGCTTGAGACGCCATCATCTTCGACCACTGGTCGTGACGTCGAAAAGGCAGCAGCCGTTCAGACTGCCACGCAAGGTGGACCCAGACATGGTGCTCGTGTTGACTTCTCTGCGGTCAACTTTGCCTACCCATCTCATCTCACTACTCTTATCCTGAAAGATGTTACCTTTTCCATCCAACCAGGCCAATTTTGCGGTCTAGTGGGACCTTCAGGTGCAGGTAAATCCACGATCATGAGCCTGCTTCAGCATAGTTACCGTCCGACATCTGGCCACATTAGAATTGACGGCGTAGATATATCGGACCACGACTTTCGGGATGACATTGCTGTGGTTCCACAAGACAATATGCTCTTTAGTGGCTCAATTCGATTCAATGTCGGGCTCGGAGCATTACCGGATCGTGAAGCTACAGATGGAGAAATTGAAGATGCTTGCAAGTTGGCTAACATCCACGATACCATCATGGCCTTGCCGCAGGGGTACGACACTGACTGTGGGCCCAAAGGTACCCAACTTTCGGGTGGTCAGCGCCAGCGACTGACAATAGCGCGTGCTTTGGTGCGTAAACCGCGACTGTTGCTTCTGGATGAGAGCACGAGCGCCTTAGACGCCGAAACAGAGCACATCCTCCAAGAAGGGCTTACCCGCGCAGTCCGTGGGTCCGGTACTACCGTCATTGCAGTCACACATCGTTTGCATACTGTTATGAGAGCTGATATCATCTTCATGGTCGAAGGCGGTATGATTGTGGACTCGGGAAGCCACGTTGACCTCATGAAAAAGAATGAACGCTACAGGTTGAATGTACAGTACCAGATGCTCCAATAGGGAGAAGGGGAAATAATTCCAGGTCAAGGTCAAATAACATAAGACAATTTCCATAATCTGATTTTTAAGTTGTAAGGATCCCGGGGATGTTATTGGCAACTGGAGGAGTAAAAGCTTATTATCGTACTGGAATTCTACCAATGTATCATGTTCACCTTTCTCAGGGAAAGCTCCCATACTCTAGTAGGAATTGAGGAGAAGCCATTGCCACCATTAGCACCTTAGATTGTAGCGGCAACAGTGAGCGCCACAACACCGAATAAGGCTGACACGACGACGGTGTTGATCTTGCTTCCGGCGCCCGTGTATTGTGCAGGTACGCTGGAAGATGTGCTGCTGCTCACTTCAGGGGTCTGGGTTGTTGTGGGCGAGTTTGTGCTCTCAACCACGGCTGTACTGCTGGAAACGGTAATGGAGCTCGTGGGTGTTGGTTCGGCCGTTGCAGTAGTAGGCGGTGTCAATTCACTGGTTATAGCAGGGGTGGTGGAAGCTGATCCACCGGATGTGTCTGGCAGGTTCAGAGTCACCCCATACGACGCGCACAGAGAGACAGCAAAATCGATAGTGGCTGTGTTGAAGCAATTAGCATTGATGGTATCCCCCAAGGATGTCACGGCAGGAGACAAATGGAGCCCGCCCGAAGTCTCGAACTGAATACAATGATAGTCAGGACGTACCTGTAACTTCAGCTGCCGTACACACGCTTGGAATCAATTGCACCAAGCCGTTGATGAATTCAGTATTATTGCAGACACATGCAATATCCGTCAAACCACACCCGGAGGCGCTGAATGCAGTTAGGATTGGAGATTGCTAATTGCACGAGCGTTAGTAAAGAATCAAATATTGTTTCCCGGATGTTCACTTACAGCACACACAGGCAAGCTCGTAATGTCCTGCGCAGAAGCCGTGAGAGCCAAAGCCAAAGCAACGGCACCAAGGGCAACAGTCTTCATTTTGGTAGTCTTGAAGAGCTGAATGAGATACATGTAAACGAGTGGTTGAACGAGAGTCTGGCTTGTCAAGCACACTAAATTTGTACACCAAATAACAGTCTGATTGGGTATTCATGATAGCTAATCAATTGTTATACTATATACTCAGATTCTCCCGGCCGAGGTCCGAAACCGGATGTTTTCTGAACCTGAATTCTCTCATCACCTGCATAGGGTCAGAATCATCGAAAATGCAAATCCGTCGGTCTCTAATAATGCAGTAACAACACCCGTATCATTTCTTGTAATGAAAGCGCCACGTCTTTGAGGGCTAATTCAATAACGCCAACGTGGACGCAACCAAGTCATAATTCAAAGTTTCGCGACGTTGTACTTGGATAGCCCCGCAGTTCCCAGTGGAATCACACACATACCAAACGATGACTTCGAGATATTAGACCACACGGAAACCGGAGAGACTGAACGGAGGAATAATAGATACGGAGCTTTGATCAGACAGCAGCCATCGCAACCTGAACAAGTCGTAGTGAGATCCTCGGAAAGCCCAGTCTTAGAGGGAACTAGTACATCGGCAAGTAGCAAAGCTAGAAACAATACGAACCCTCGCGGTATCGCTCTGATACAGCCTTCAACCTTTCCGCCGTCTGACTGATCCTTACGAAATCGAGACTGAAAGGTGACAGGCACGGAGGGGTTCGCAGGAGCCGAAGTGCCAAGCCATATTGATCGTGCGGGAAGGCCATTCCGCCGCGAGCGCCAGCATCTGGAGGAACCGTCGCCGCGATCGGAGCACATATCAGAGTCCTTTGGCCATGGGAAGAAGCGGCACGCTGTGAGGGTCGAGTCAAAGCCCCTGATTTGCCGAGCCTTTCCAAGGCTAGTCAGCCAAGCCCGTAAGCGAAGGCTCCGTCTTATCTTATCAGATTTAATCCTGCTAAGAGCGCGAAATCTCGGCGGCGAGCTTGGCGGTGCTCGGCGGAACAACCCACTCCGTGTTCTCCGCCCCGTTCACTTACGCTCGATTCAGAGCCGCTCCTGGAGCAGCAACAGGGACCTCCTCGTCCATCAATTAGTTACCAACTTGTACCCGCTTTGCTTGGGATGGCTACCAAGAACAGAGAGTCCAGTGCCGGGTTCAGTCATTTCGTCCGACTATTGGCGTCTGTCTCTGGCTTTTTCGCCACCTAGCATCCGAATCCGACGACAGCAACGAGGTCTGAACTAATTGATGGGGCATGCGAAAGTTACTTGCTGGGCCTTGCTGCAAGTACCTGCTGTGCTCGAGGGGCACTGAAATGCGGTACAACGACCTCGATACCGCACTCACTTGTCGGATCGTTGTGCTTGACCGAGAGCGAAGAAATCTTCTTGAACGCAGGAAAAGGTATTCTCGCCATACTCATGAAATATTAATCTCTTTCTGTGCATGTTGCCTAGCATTTACATGCACCTCTCAATTATTCGTCTGCGACTAGGATGTCGGCGACAACGACGGATAGTCTCCCTCTGGTCAGGTTACCAGAACCTTGGAAAACAACATATCAGATTTTTGTGTCGCAGTATACGGAGCCTGTTCCGTTACTGAAGCTCACTCTCTCTCACAAACAATTATCAGGTTCCAGATTACCACCAGAACCACTTCATCTCGAGTCACTAAGGTTCAGTGACCTTTTCACCAACTCGACCGTTTTCACTCCCACGCCTGGTGACAACTCTCCTTGGGCTCGCTTTCACCAATCTCCTATTTCTTGCGTCTCATGGAACGAAGCTGATGTGCCGAGTATTGGAAACATATGGAATCTGACCTACGCTATCGTAACCCTATATCCGGAGTTAGAGGACTTCCGTCTGGAGCTCTCTGGAAATGGCAATGCAGCATTGACTGAAGTTTTGTTAGCTACTGGCTTGGGTAGACCACCACCACCACCAACACGCCCTGAGCACTCAACTTTGTCAAGTTCCAAGACTCCTCAGGTCTGGATATCTCGCTCAGCATTCTGGCAAGGAGCAGCATCACCATTTGGCACTCGCCCTGTATGGGTCGTGCATCCAGAGTTGTTTGGACACCTTTCCAAGCCATTGAAATCCAGTCCGCCATTTCCCTGTCATTATACTGTGACATCCTCTCTCGAGGGACGGCCTGTATATGCACAGCATCCACTAAGACCACCCAAGCCAGCACGCAGTGCCGTAATTTACAGCCGCTACATTCCCCATCTCGATGAGTTCTTTTCCATGGTGCACCTTGACTGGAGAAATGAAGAACACCTCCGATTGTTCCACCAATGGCAGAACGACCCTCGCGTGGCTGCCGGCTGGAATGAAATAGGTACACTGGAGCAGCATCGCGAGTATTTGCGCAAGATCGACGAGGATCCACATCAAATGGCTATCCTGGCTAAGTTCAACGATACCTATTTTGCATACTTTGAGATCTACTGGGCAAAGGTACGTGCTCACAGAGTCTAGTTGTCCGGGGGTCATATATCTAATTGTCTCGTGTTTCCTAAGGAGGACCACATGGGCATCTATCTATCTCCACGAGCCGGTGATTGGGACAGAGGTCGACATTCTCTCGTTGGTGATGTCCGATTCCGAGGCCCTCAAAGAGCCTCAGCTTGGTGGTCTAGTCTGATCCATTATCTGTTCCTCGATGACCCGAGGACCATGACTGTGGTTGGGGAGCCAAAATGCACCAACGCCAATGTCCTTGCATACGACATGGCCAACGGGTTTCACATTCAAAAGTTAGCCGACCTACCCCACAAGCGTTCAGCAATTGTGAGATGCGAACGGATTCGGTTTTTCCAAGTCGTAGGATTCGGCTTACCAACCTCAGCGGCGCAGAGCAAGGATGGAAAATCCAACGATACTGGTGCAGTAGAAGATCCTCCTGCATCGAATCAGAGTAGTGGATTGTTCGCAAAACTTTGATAAGAGTGAACATGGCAATGTGCGATGTTTTCAGCAACAATCTTCACCGATATTTTTATCTTGAGAACATCCCACCAGGATATACGCCGAGCTTACCGAATCAAGCGTTCGCCCTGGCAGCAGATCTTTCATTTATTTACCGTTAATAGACTGCAAAAGCATGGTCCATACCTACCTTGAATGCAGATAGGTTCATTTGAGTTCCTACTGGAGCTTAGGAATCGACGTAGTAGACTCCGTGTAGTCACGAACAACACAGTGGGGCCAGAGTGGGACGCTATCTGTCCATCGCATTCCACGTATACTACCCCTTAGAGGGATACAACATGTGTCAATGTCTTATGCGGATCCTGCGTGGCCGTGAACCTTGGTCTTGACCCACTGGGCAGAGAGGTCGGCAGGTTACCCACAGTCCCAAGAATTAGGACAAGTCTTTTCAGACCCACTGTCACAGTAGTGGTATCAGTGTTTCGTAATGACCGGTGCTCTTGGGCCTGCTTGATACACCATCGGTGCTCCACAATGTGACTACAATACTTTTGGGTTCAAGTGACCTAATCCAGTCGCGAAATATCATCCAAATGAGCATCATGCACGTGGTGTGCAAATTGATCGTACGCCGCTTATCGGAGCTTCATCCCCAGTTGCTAGAGGCACGCAGATACTGCCATGCTTTCGTGCCTAGAGAAGCCATACTCCTATCCTCGGACTCAGCAGGTGATTATTCTGATAGGACACAAGCAGACTACGATATCCTTCTCACATTGGTTGCCCCAATGTAGAAAGGAAAAAAACAAAGATTCACCAGAAGGCCACAATATTGCAGACACTGATAAGCAACACCGAGCCGCGCACTGGATTGTGCCAATACGAAACACCATCTGTGGCCCAAAGTGAAGGTGAAGATAATATGGATACCTCCAATCACGTTCTCGAGAGCCAGATGAACTGCGACTCTGAATCGATAAAGATACAAGTTCCAAAAGATGTAATACATTGCGACAAGGAGGACACGATAGGCTTGGAAGGCTTCCTCCTCCTGGCATGGTGCCTGCTTCTTTACAGGGGCAGCATCGACATGCTAAACGACAACTCGACAGTATTCTGGGGATGCTTTCCAACCTCGTTGTCAACAGATTCACGACCACAGTATAAAAGGACAGCGAAGCTACGCGACCTCATCTCGAACAACAGACACAATGTCGCATTCCTTCTGGAACAGATCAAGAGTCTATGCAAGAACATGGGTCCAGTATCCAACCCTCAAAGCCAGACCCGGCTCACCTCACTTGCAACACAAGAATACTCATCCTCAAGAGCCTTTGGGCTGAATGTCAGACAGGAATGCAACTGTTTGTACATCAGCAAGCCTAAGTGGGCTACCCTGCTGTCTCCGACAATGGCACGAACCCAGATACAGGCATATGCAGATATCCTAGAAGCAGTACTGCACAATCAGCAGCAAATATCTTCCGATGTTATTAGCACTCTAGGCAGACGAGAACTGACGAGTCTTTCGAATTGGAATGCCGTCGTTCCCCCGTCTATCAGCCAGTGCATGCACGACATAATTGGAGAGAGAATGACACAACATCCAGGACAACCCGCGGTTACTTCGTGGGATGGCAAATTGACCTATGGTCAACTGGACATTATATCCTCGCAGCTTGCAGCACATTTAATTCAGTTAGGGGTGGGATTGGGCACGGCCGTTCCTCTCTGTTTTGAAAAATCCGCATGGACAATCGTAGCAGTGCTCGCCGTCATGAGAGCCGGAGGTGCATTCGTTCTCACCGACCCGCAACAACCTGAAAGCCGGCTCGCTACAATCGTGTCTGAGGTCGACGCGCACATCCTGATAACGTCTCAGAAACAAGCTGCTTTGGGAGCTCGAATAGCGCAACATGCCAGAATTGTTACCGTCGGTCCCGACTTATTCCAGACACTGTACACAAGTGGCTCTATGACCTTAAAAAAGGTTCCGCCTACAAGTATCCTGTACATCATCTTCACATCAGGTAGCACAGGCAAGCCAAAAGGCGTTATGATAACGCATGAGAATTTCACTACTGGTGCAGTACCGAGAGCTGCAGCAGTGGGATATAAACCTCACTCACGAGTTCTTGACTTTCCATCGTACGCATTTGATGTGAGCATTGATTGTATGCTCTGCACACTGGCGAACGGCGGTTGCATATGTGTCCCGTCAGATGACCAACGAGTCAACGACCTAAGCGGTGCTATCCAGGCCATGGATGTCAATATGGCCCACATGACACCCTCGGTTGCCAGAGTGCTGTCTGTCGACGACCTGGCGCGGCTGGAAATTCTTGGATTGGGTGGTGAATCGGTCTCTTCTGTTGATGCGGGTACGTGGAGCAAGATCACTAAGATCATCATTGCCTATGGGCCATCAGAATGTACTGTGGGGTGTACCATCAACAACGAAATCGATGTGAAACTGCCATATACCAGCATTGGAAGAGGAGTTGGGGGTCTCGCCTGGATCGTGGATCCTGAAAATCATGATATTTTGACCCCAGTTGGCGCCGTGGGAGAGCTTCTCATTGAGGGATCGATCGTTGGTCTAGGCTATCTGAAAGACCCAGACAGGACTCGACAGGTGTTCATTGAAGATCCAAAATGGCTGACCACTGGGTTCGGAAGCTTTCCAGGCCGGCGTGGCCGTCTGTATAAGACGGGTGATCTTGTCAAATACGACCCTGCCGGCTCAGGAAACTTGGTATTTGTGGGTAGAAAGGATCGTCAGGTCAAGATTCGAGGACAGAGAGTCGAACTTTCAGAGATCGAGTATCATCTGGGAAAAGTTCTTCCGCAAGATGTTAGTATCGCGGCAGAGGTAATTACTCCTGGAGGCAAAGGGCGAGAGCCATCTCTTGTGGCTTTCATCTCGGAGCCAAAGGATAAACAGTTGTCACGGACTGATGATTCAGGAGAAACAATTCACTTTTCCGATGAAATGCTTCGAACCCTGTCCATAGCTGAGAACTATCTTGTCTCGGAGCTCCCAGTCTATAGCGCTCCAACAGCCTATATTCCATTGCGCAATATGCCACTCTTGGTATCATGCAAGGTTGACCGGAAGAAACTGCAAGAAATCGGATTGGGATTGACCCTGCAGACACTATCAAGCTTCCGTACAAAAGTGTTTCCAAGTGGTGAACCAAGAACTGAAGCTGAACTGGCTTTGCGGGATATTTGGAAGGCATTGCTAAGCAACGACATGAAAGTCCGTGTCAATGACAACTTCTTCGCACTCGGTGGTGACTCGCTCAAAGCAATGAAGCTAGTTGCCGGGGCTCGATTGAAAGGGTTTTCTCTGACTGTTGCTCAGATCTTTGCCAACCCTACACTCTCGAGAATGGCGTCAACTGCTGAGCGGGTAAGCAAAGCCATCGAAAATGACCTGCCACAATTCTCGCTGCTTCCCCCAGACTGGCCACCGCAAGAGGCAAGGGAAGAGGTAGGAGCTCTGTGCAGAATCAAAGGTCATGATATCGAAGACATATATCCTTGTACACCGCTTCAGGAAGGCCTCATGGCGCTGTCGGCCAAAGTTCCTGATGCTTATATTGCCCAAAGAGTGGTCAGGATGGGAGATCTCGAGTCGGCATATCGCCTCAGAGCCGCTTTAGAAGCCACAACGGTGACATCCCCGATACTGCGCACCCGGATTGTTCAAGTCCCTGGGCGAGGTTTGATGCAAGTAGTTGTGAGAACTCAGTTGGACTGGTCTTCAAGCAATAGTCTTCCAGACTATCTTCGGCAAGATCGTGTGTTACCAATACAGCTTGGAGACGCACTTGCTCGCTTCTGTCTGGTAATTGAGGACGATAGCAAAGTGCATGTCGTGTTTACAATCCACCATGCATTGTATGACGGATGGATGATGCCGTTAATCATTAACCGGGTCAACAGGGCCTACCAGAGACTCGAGACACCAGCAGCTACTCCCTTCAAAAATTTCATCAGATATATTCTCGAGAGAGACAACAAAGAATCGGAAGCCTTTTGGGCTGAGCAATTGTGCGGAGCCACTGGACTACAATTTCCTGTGGTGCCATATGCTGGCTATCAGGCCAAGGCAGACTCACTGCTTGAGCATCGAGTGGAGTTCCACAGCCGCCCTACGTCAAACACAACTATCGCAACAGCCATTCGTGCAGCATGGGGCTTAGTGGCAGCAAGATATACTTCGTCCGAGGACATAGTATTTGGGGAAACATTGACTGGGCGAAATGCACCCGTTGCAGGCATCTGGGAGATGGAAGGGCCCGTCATCACAACTGTACCAATGCGGCTGCGCGCGGATCGCTCCATGCTGGTATCCGACTACCTCCAAAGTGTTCATGAGCAGGCTATCTTACGCATTCCACACGAGCATATGGGTCTCCAGAATATACGTCGACTCCATCCGGAAGCTCTTCAGGCTTGCGAACTGCGGACTGGCCTCGTCCTGCATCCCAGCTCCGACGAGGAAGAGGGAGCTGTAGATACTGATGTATGTCCCGCAAATGGGTTCGTTCCCGTGAATGATCGAGAAGCTGCTCAAGAAGCCTTGAAGTTCAATTCTTATGCTCTGATGCTCGTTTGCGCTTTGGACAAGAAGGGCTTCCTCACAATGGCAAGCTTTGACGCAAATACTCTCGACAAGATTCTTATGCAGAATGTATTAGCGGAGTTTGGACGTACTGTGCAGGAGCTCTGTGATGGTACGATCGAGAGAATCTCTGATCTCTCCATCATGACTGCTGCAAACCCAATTGACCTACACCATCTAAGCCAAGGTTACCTAAAGTCTTTACCTCCTGGAACACAGCACCTTCTTCAGTGTCCTCCTGAAGATATAGAGCGAATCTGGATTGCAGAGCCGGACAATCACCATACCCTCTGCCCGATGGGTGCTGTAGGGGAGATTCTGATAGAGACACGTCCAGACCAGCCACTCACTCTGATTGAAAAACCACCATGGCTTCTCGACATAGCAACAAATCCTGAGTCTGTCTCTACTTGCCTCTACGGAACTGCGCAGTTAGGTAGATACCAAAGCAACGGCAAACTTATCGTTCTTGGTCCAAAAGGCGCAAGTCTTCTCACTCCAGGCCCGAAGAACATTTCAGGTGGCGTTCCAAAAGCCACGTCACTGTCAAAAAGTGGCAGAATGGTCGCTCTCTCCCGTATCTGGAGCAGGATCCTTAACATACCGGCAGATACCATAGACCATGAATCCGATTTTTTCGCACTTGGAGGTGAATCCATTGCAGCCATGAAGCTTGTGTCAGAGGCAAGAATGGAGAACCTTGAGTTGACCGTGGCACAAGTGTTCGAGCACAGACAGCTGAGCGATATGAGCCGTATCCTGAGAGAGGTTGCCGCCAGCAATACCCATTTAATAAGACCAGTTCCGTTCTCATTGCTTGATTGCGTCGATCTGGATAAGTTTCTTATGGAGGAAATCGTACCGACTTTGGCTGATCCAACCTGGGAGATTCTAGATATTCTGCCCTGCCGACCCATGCAAGAAATTGCCGTGAGAGGAACTACTCAACTTCCGAGGTTCTCGGCGCGATACGAGCTGTTCTACCTGGAAGACAAGATTGACCGCCAGAGGCTGTTCAAGAGCTGTAAAGAGCTTGTATCTCGCAATGAGATCCTTCGCACCATCTTCACCACGTGCCGGGCCACTTGCTATGGGGTCATCGTGGAGAAACTAGACATTCAGGTGGTGGAGTATACCATCGAGGGCGATTTGGCGAGTTTTGTGACGAGGCTCTGTGACCTTGACATTCAGTGTAAAATGCCCGAAGGTGCTCCTTTCATCCAGTTCTTTTTCGTCCAAGGGGAAGGCACCCGAAGTTGCTTGGTGATGAGAATATCACACGCCCAGTACGACGAAATCTGTCTCCCTCGGTTGCTACACCAACTCACAGCCATATACGAAGGAAAGACTGTCCCAGAGACGGTGGCGTTCTCGCATTTTGTGTACCACACCGTCCGCCACAATATTCCCAAGGGCATCTCTTACTGGCGACGTCTCTTACAAGGGTCATCAATGACCGCCCTTCGGCCGAATATCGAACTATCCTCGAGCAAGCCAGCAGCGGTTGCTACGACGATTGATCTATCAGGTCGACTCAAGACCATTACTCCCGCAACCCTCCCAGCTGCCGCGTGGGCATTGTGTCTTGCGCGCAGGCTCTCTGTGCGAGACGTGACATTCGGAGAGGTTGTCAGTGGGCGCAATGGCAACTTTCCAAACTGTTACAAGGTCATGGGTCCTACTTGGCAATACGTTCCGGTGCGAGTCAAATTCGAACGGGACTGGACAGCGCTGAGCTTGCTCGAATACGTCCAGCAGCAACACATCGATACTTCCAGGTATGAAGGGATTGGCTTCAGGGAGATTGCTCGTGACTGCACGGACTGGCCGGATGGGGTCAATTGGTTTGACTCGGTGGTCCACCAGGACGTAGAGCATGTCGAGACGATATCACTCCTTTCGACCAAGAGTCGTATAAAAACGTATTACCCTCATCTTGAGCCTCTTCGAGAGTGGAAGATACAGGTATTCCTCGAAGGGAACTCAGTCCGAGTGGAGATTGTTACATTCGAGGACTGGATGGAGTTTGCAACCTCGCTTTTAAATGACCTGAGTGGGTGTTTCAGGCAATTGGTGAATGAGCCCGCTTCGGCGCTCTTTCAGGAAGAAGAAGGAAAGCAACGTGTGACAGGGGAGGTGGAGTGAGTGACGTGAGGAGGTTAATTGACTACCTAGCAATAAGGGGTGGAAGCACGTTGCCCTTCTACTTTATACGGAAGACCATGTACACCACTGTAGCAGTTGGAAAGAAGTATCTCACACCCCCCTCCAGAAACACTTCGGCTAACCTGCCTCTGTCTTTTGTCTCATCAACTCAGCCTCATCACCAGACGGTCAACGATGAGTCCCTAGCACCTGTACTTAGCCACCCACTAACTCCATAGCCTCAGATATATAACTAGGCTCTGCCTCCAGACCCAACCTGAGACCCAACAAGGATCCTTTCACTCTTCTTCTAGCTCTATACGTCAAGCCTCAGGCTCCTGGTCTGTTGCGGTCTCAAACAGGGCCAGAGACCTACAGCGCCCAGACAGACGGTCATGGCGCTCTGTAGCGCCTGCAAAGGCATACCTGCAAACTTCTTCGAGCCTGTGCCGGGTGATTTTTTTAGCCCTGCTGATAGGCAATTCCATTACCGCCACCTTACAGTAACAGCGCTGCGCCAGTCCGCACGAGTCGGATGTCCTATGTGCAAGATCCTCGCTTGTAACCTCCATGATGGATGGCTCAAGCAAGAGGATAGAGACACGAGGCCCCTTACACTCAAACGCGCGATTGTCGACCCAGTAGAGGGCTTCGCACTCTTCATTGGGCAGGATGACATCAGCCACAATCATTTCTACCGAATCCCGGAGTCCTATCGTAAGTTGTTGTCACGACAGGCGTCGGGTTTAGCATGTTGACATCGAGACTGGCAGAGAAGGCGCTTCCAGCTGCATGTGTGGATGAAACAGTACGTCGGCTTTGGTTCCTTGATCTCTATCCACATACGATTTAGACATCATCTTCCAAACACTACTAGAGGATACCCGGTGTCGTGCAATTTAGGCGCATGAAGGCGAGGCCGCTGATACCGATCAATATATTCAGGATGATGAAGAGTCACTGATGCGGCACTGGCTAAGTGAGTGCAAGAAGACTCACGGGCGTTGTGATGCACACAATGACACAGCTTCTTGTCCCACCCGGGTTCTGGACGTGAGCTGCTTCCATGATTCCGACGACATTGTTCTGAAAGATGTGGACGAAACCACTCTGCATATCCCCTACGCTGCACTGAGTCACTGTTGGGGCGACCCATCGCATCCGCCTCTGAAGACAACCACAACCAATGTAGCAGCTCGCAAGACCCGCATTGCTTTCGACGATCTGACCAGAACCTTCCAAGACGCCGTAACCATTGCCCGCAAGCTCGATATCCCTTTCCTTTGGATCGACTCCCTCTGTATCATTCAAGATTCCAAGACCGATTGGGAAAAGGAAGCTTCAAAGATGGCTACCGTCTACGCCGGGGCTGAAGTCACCTTATCCGCCTTGGGCTCACCTGACAGTAACGGCGGGTTCTATCTACGTCCTCCAAAAGAAGAAACCGATTTTGTGTACCGACACGACATTACACTCGGTTCTCAACGCTATCGGGTGTTTGTTTGCGAGCCGAATACCCCCAGCATCTCGGGCCCCCTGATGGAGCGTGGGTGGACGTATCAGGAACGCGAATTATCCCCTCGGATCCTTCATTTTGCTCGTCGCAATCTGATCTGGGAGTGCAAGCAGTTGAAAAGTACGACCGATTTGCCTTGGCTACATTACAAGGCTTATGATAGCGATCGCCAGCCTGCTTTAGTATATGATAGTAAAGAGGAATCTCTGGGGAAGTGGAGGTATTCGTACGATAAGCGCAAGCACTGGTTCCTGACTGTCACACGGTATTCTCGCCGCTCGCTCACCTATGCTAAAGATAAGCTTATTGCGCTCTCAGGGCTTGCGCACGATGTGCATGATGCTGAGAAGGGTGGTGCGTATCGCTTTCAGCCCGGTGAAGAGCGTGGAAGATACTTCGCTGGGCTTTGGGAAGGTAAGTTAAATTCATTGCCTGTAACGGAGCATGAAGTGATCTCCTTAGAATTCTTGCTGACTTTTGCATTCAATCAGGCGACATGCCGTCGGCTCTCCTCTGGCAAACTACACAGCCTCCGTTCAACGAATCCCAAGCTATCAATGCCTCACCAAGAAAGATGCCGTCTCGACCTGCGCAATATCGCGCCCCCAGTTGGTCCTGGGCAAGCGTGGAGGGGGAGGTGACTTACAATGCCCTCTTACTGGAGCGAGAGCAGAGTTATGGTGGCATGTGGATTGAGCAAGATCCGCCGCACAGACCCGGTCGTGCTGAATATGCTTTCACGGATCTGAAAATCACGGACGTCAAGGTCAAGGCGACGACAGATGTTGACCCCATGGGCTCGGTGGAGGAGGCGGTTTTGACACTCAGGGGTCGAGCGGCACTGGTTATCGTGGATGACGAAACCGAAGTAGTTGAGGCGTACGGGTATGCGCCAACATCGTGTTCATGGCTCAGAACACTTAACGGGGAGGCCGTAGGCGCGCTGTTCGCGGATGTGGCGAGCGAAGTTGAGGCGTTCCAAGACGTTTGGGTTGTTGGCGTGAGATCAGAACCAGAGGGTGCAGCAATTACCATGCCGAAGAAACTGGGAAACCATAACTTTGGACAGGTCGGCGAAAAGTGGGAGAGAGGCGGTATGGTTATGGGACTTGCGCTTGTGAAGAGTCAGACCCGCGCTGAAGGGAGTGACGGAGTTTGGGCGACCCGTCGGGTAGGGCTTGTGAGATGGATTAGGAAGGAGTTGTTTGTGGGTTGCGAGACGAGGAGCTTTAATGTCTACTGATTGTCTACTCGGAAGCTTTCACCCCCGTGGGAGGGCCGAAGTATTGCTTGGTACGGGACCACAGAGCTTACAATTTAGATAGAACCCGCGTCTATTTCACCTATAATCCCACCCCCCAGTTGCTCCTGAAGCCCAACGAACCCGACTCCCCCTCCGACCAGGGGAAGCTGTGACACGTGTAGTAAAGCTTCCGGAACGTCGTCGAAGACATGCCTGACCTCCACCGTCGGCTGGGGGCTTGTGAGCAATAGCTTGACCTTTGCTCTGGTGTTATTGTCGGCCTCCTCAACCAGGTCGACTAGCGCCATGACAATGCCGTCCATGTCGTGCAGATATTCTTCGCTCTCGTACTCGTTGATCCCATCGATGAGGCAGAACAAGGTCGTCTTGGGCGGGAGTTGGCGTACCAAATGCACGAAGAGCCTGCACAGCTGGTCTGCATCTCCGTTACCAATGGCTTGCATTGAGATCCCGGGGTCCGGGTCGATGGAGAACGACGGGAATTGGCGCAATAGCTGGGCGACTAGTGAGCGGAGCATGGCAGTGCCGCCGTGGTGGTCGTCCAGACTCAGGTGGCAACCTGTCAGGACCTTCATGGTGAATAGCCTTGCGAAGAGGTAGTTGATGCAATGTAGTCTATTGAACAGTCCTATGTAACAACGACTCATCGCTTGAAGAGCGAGGAAGTCGTCTGCGCCTATTTCGGGAGGGGATCTTCTCTTGTATCCTCTCACCGCCTTGGAAGTGTACACTCGACTATGTCGAGTGACACGCCTCCTTATTGGGTCCTTTGTTCACCGAGGCGCTGAGGATCTGGCTATTCTAGCCAATCACAGCGTCTCGTAACACAACCGCAGAAGAATACGAGGCTGACGATCCCAGGAGTCATACGCAGTGCTTGCATCACGGTTGCGCATAGAATTGAGGACGGTGGCACCTTTTTCACGCCACTGAAGTCGCCATGGACGAGCAGTCTTGCGGAGCCGGGCGTGAGGATCCAGTTTCGGAACAGAGGCGTCTCGATGACTTGGTCGGCGCGACCCCGGTCTTGGAATACAATGTCCGCGGCGCTGTCCACGACGTTGTGGAGATTTGTTTCGTCGAGGTTTGGGATGTGAAGACGGGTCCACATGTCCCGAGGAGTCCAATGTGGCGCTTCACCTAGCCTGGGCGTGGTCGATCTGGACGACATTGGCGACCGAGGTGGCCAGTTTCCTAGAGGGTGTAAGTATCCTCCCAGCAGTGGGATACGGGGGTGAACCTCCTCTCTTTATCTTCGAGAAGACTCAATGCCCTGTTGATGAGATTTCCTAGCCAATTCATCCTGGTGATCCCGACTCGGCCTTCCTGTATTATTGTTCCAAGAGCTTGATGGGTTGCCCAGTTATCTTGCGTGAGCGTCGTGTGTGACCTACGAGTCTGCTCGTTGTCTGGAAGACAAAGTCAGTAACACACTGTGGTAAGTCTTCTTGACGTACCCGATATCATGCGATGTGTGAATGACATCCTAGCTTCGTCTTCCAATGCATCGGAACCCGACTTAATCTCCTGGAGGCACCGCCGCAGGTTCTGCTGGTATTTTGGGCCACTAAGTATCACGAGGCCAGCTCGCTGGGCTGGAGACTGGTTAGACCCATTGTGCTCGTCTCTTTCTCATCCGGAGGGAGGCGATAAAGGGTTATGCTTGGGGTCGTGGCAGTTTCCTCGGCTGAAACTTACCTTGATAGCTAGTATAAAACCCAACCGCTCCTTCTACTCCCTTGAAGGTAGTAAATCCCAGGTTGACGCAGCTTGTGAGGATGTTGTGATCGTTTGGGTAAGTCTTGAAGTAGAAGTCTATTCTTGCGAAGCAGGCTGGCAAATAGTCAAATTCAGAGTTGACAATTTCCCGTACTTCGGCTGCTTGACAATATCCCTGGATATTTGTCAATCTTGCGCGATCACGATCAGGAAGATACAAAGGTTCAAAATCACTCACGTCCAGGAACATATTGATTACGCTGATGACTGGTGATGTGATGTCCACCGAGGGAACTATCTTCATGCCGTGCTGAAGGGGTACATTGGCCTTGTTTAGAACGTCGCGCAGCTTCCTCCTAAACTTGCCGACATGTTGTGAGCCATGGCAGAAGTCATATTCTCTTTGCGCCATGTCCAGCACCGCCTGAACATCGCGCCATACTGTCTTGTTCCGGATTCTCCAAGGCGATTGCTGGCGGCCTCGTGGCTATAGTTCGTCATTCAGTCATTTCATAACCTTGGGAAAGACATCCTCCCAGAACCCCATATCGTTAATCGAGCCTGGTGCTGGTCGAGGCTGAGGCGATGAGGCTCCTCCGGGGACCGCAAGGCTCGAGGAGTTTCCCACGGCCAGGTGTGGAGCGAGGGCAACATACTATTGTTGGGCACGATCGTAATAGAAACCGTGCGTATCAAATGCCGGGTGGTATTGTAACATCCTGTTCTGCATGAAGTCAACGGCTGGCGTATAGAGTCTGATCGATTGAGATGTGCGACTGAGTGGGACTTGACCAGACATTGGAACTGTCGGCTGAGTATTGGGACCGGGTAAAAGCAATATAGGCTCGATCAGCCGACGAAGAGAATCTCACCCAGGCGGAACTCCTATTTGTTGCGGGATAATGCTTCTCTTCGCTTCTGATAGACCGGAGAGTACGTCGACATGGTGGCGGTGGCACACTGTGAAACTTCGGCAGGGCTCAGATAGCACATCACGAGTACTTACATTGACATAGCCCGCATCAACTGCGACACTCTTGCACACTTCTGGACTTCGTTCTCGGGTGCAATGGCGAAAGAGGACACGCCAACGGGCCGGACCCTTATGGGCACTACAGTATCTTCCTCGATCATGGTGTGAGCGGGTCAACAGGGCAGCCACACTAGCCAGGCGAGTAGGCCCATTCAGGCCCCCGGGTGTAGCTGCGTGCTGAGGCATCCCTACCTTGATTATATTCTCAGAATCAGCGATACCTACAGTATGGTTCGATATTTTGACTTCAGACAAATTTCCCCACGAATCATTCTCGCAAGACTACAATACGCACTTCCTGATCCACATTGCCTTGTCGAGGATGGCTACAAAAGTTTAAGAGAAGTTTCAGCCCGAAGAGCTGATCAAACCCCCCCCCTAACCCAGCCGCAATTTGAGACAAGGTAGACGACGACGCCTTGCGGGTAACCCTCCAATGATCGACCTCCGCGCACCTCTCTGAAGCAGCGCTACTGCAGTCCTTTCGAGTTCCCAGAAGAGGCGCCTTTGCAATACTCTGGTACACTGTTGGCCAGTAGTCTGGGGCCACGTGGAGCCGCACGTGGGACCTTTGCAAACAAACAGTCTCTCTTAGCATTCTGTCCGTTGGACACCAAATGTGCCGGGTCCTGAAATGCTTCTCGCAGACCGGTTCGCAGCACATGCGGCTCAAGTAATGTTTCGCTGAAGCCTCCCATGGGACCCTTTCCGACTTCTTACATATAGAGGGGAAGGGGGCCTGCTGCCATACGCGACTTCTCTCTACTCATCTCATACCTTGACTATCGTGGATTTCCGGCTTGATTGACCTCGGCGAGGTCACTACCGTGCGATGAGTGAATTGTCTGCGTAACTGCCAGATCCTTCACTCCCTTGCCGGTGAGACCTTCAAACTGCAACGAGTAAGAGAGACGATGGAGAGTCCGGCGGAAGGCACAGGCGAACAGCCTGGGCCTACACACACCCCAAACTCAGACCCAACATCCAAGGGTGACATGGACTCGACCCCTGGTCAAGCTGCCTCCAACTCTCCTAACGACAACAAGGAATCTGCCCGCGAAGAAGGGAGCCTAGAGGCCAATGAAAGGTTGAGCAGCAGCTTGCCTAACGGTGAAGCCATGGCCCACCACAGTCTTCGTGAACAGTTGATCGCAATAGAGACAGAGCTCAATTTGGTCGATAGGCTGTTTGGTCTTCAGCAGTGAGCGAATATGATGATGATCATATTTATCCGGTCGCTGATGACCTGGATGCGGAGCTCGACAACTCCACGGTTTTCAGCTGGGGATTTATCTGGGATTCAATGTTCTTCATGCGTGAAATGAGACAATCGTACGAGTCGATAAAGCGTTACAAACAGTCGCAAAAGGCAAAGGACAACAAGATGTCAACCAAACCAATTACCCCTGAAGAACCAGAGTCTGCAAGGCAGATCAGCACCGCAGCCTTCTCGAAAGGCGAGCCATCAAGGGTATCCTGGGTGGATTTGGACATCTTTCTCGAACCCAAAAAGATGTTGGAAATGTCCATCATGAGCCCGATCGAAGCCGTTATTAGTGAGCCAGAACCGCAAATTATCCGTCAATTATCATCCCACATAATGAACACCTCTGCCTCAGCCTCGAAACCTTCGAGCAGCCGTCTACTGGACTGACCGATCAGGACAGGGGATCCTCGCGGGCAGTTGCCCCTTCCTGAGAGAGTCAGGATTCATTCAGGAGCGCTCCTCTCCATCTTCGTGCTGCTCTTCGCAGATATGGTCGCCAGGGACGTTGCCTCCGATGCCTCTATGGTGTTCCTGCGTCCATTCAAGGGAGCTCATTTATTACGAGAATCAATTAAGGGACTGCCTCATGAACTTGGGGAGGTGTTTTGGAGTTCACAATGGGGCAGACAACAAATCCTTTCCTACTCCAGGGTCGGATCGTCCAGTAGACAACAATGGTGATACGATCGAAGCAAAGGAATATCAAATGAGCTCCTCATTGGGCCAACCCACTATTCGAGGAGAAGAAGAGGTCCTGAATGGTCACGACAAAGGAGAGCCTGACAAGGATGAGCACATTGACGAGGAAGAGGGGACATCGACCTCCATTACAGCCTTGCTGCACTTACCCTGCTTGTTAGGTTTCATCGATGATGAGATCAAACCAAAACTTGCATATATCAGCAGTGATAGTTGTCGCAAGATTCTCTTCCACGATCTTTGGCACTTGTTCAAGCAAGGACACGAGGTCATTAGCCAAAAGGAGAAGCAGGCATATCGAGTTATTCGAGTCCAGATTCCCCGGCATAAGGTCGAGGACCTCCTGGATGAGGTGGTGGAAAAAGCGGCCAAACGACGAAGAGGAAAACAAGGACGAAACCCCAGTCACCATTTTCTGTGCCTATATCGACTTTGACGGTAAGCATTTCGGCCCAGTCTCGGTCAAATTCAACATTTCGCCCTTTGGTGGACTTAGGGATATCAAATCTCTGCCCATCTACCCACTTCGGCTCACCAAATATACGGAGCTGCGACAAAATCTCATCAAGCGAGGGAAGATGCTTCTAGACGTGTCCAAGTTTACGCCCATGTATTATATGGATTTGACCTTGGATACCAAAGACGAGATTGATAGCCGAGTGGTCGTTGACTTCAGCGAAGCGCTAGCAGATGAGCAAAGGCAAGAATGTACCCCAGCAATCGACGCGCTCCAGACTGGCCCAGACGAACGGGGTGATGAGATGTGTTAGTCGGCGTGTTGTCTTCATCAGGCTGTGCGGCGGGACGATTATGTCGACTCAGCGCTCACCGAGTATTTCGTCAAAAGCCTGATACCCGACACGGCGTTTGGAGCGCCATTCCTGATTCTGGCGCCTCGGTCATTGGAAGAGACCCAGGGTGCGTCGGAAGAGGGGCCAACGGACGAAGAGTTCGTGATTATGACATATCGGGTCTTTGCCGTTGTACTTCGCAGTCGAAAATGGGGTGAGTTTTCCTTTCATCCAACAGTTTCTCCACAACTATCTCTGTTGTGGTGAGGCTGTCACACGCAGTCTGGCGACCCCAGAGTGCATGGCGACTCGAGAACCTCATATACGGACTGAGCCTCACCGCTGACAATGATTGGCTGCCCAGCTCGATCTCACTTTTCTGAGATATGAAACCACCGATGCGATAAATTCAACGCTCAGGGCTTTCGAACGACTTGAGCTGCCAGGCGGTCACCGCGAAATGGTCAAGTCGCTGGTAACACAACACTTTCGCGACAGGCAAGCCGCATTCATCAGGGATGAACAGACGGATTTGATCTGGAGAAAAGGTATGCTTGCTATTTCAGTGCTTCCCCTACCCGACTGTCTGTAGTGCTCACTCTCTCCAGGCAAGGGACTGATCCTCCTTCTACATGGGCTCCCGGGGTTGAAAAACCACCACTGCTGGTTCATCTCCCGTCTAGAATAGAAGAATACACGAGGAAGTCTCACTGACTTCTGGACAGAGGGCGTGGCAGAGCTGTTTCAAAAACCGCTATTCCAGATTACATGTGGCAAGTCGCCAATGTCTTGAATTTTGGACAGTGTCGAAGGCTGACTCTGTCCAAAGGTGATCTCGGAACTACCGCTCGAGATGTCGAGACGGAGCTGGAGAAGAACTTCGCGCTGGTGAGTCGGTGGGGCTGTATATTGCTTCTGGACGAGGCTGATGTTTTTCTATCTGCTCGAGAACGGACTGATTTCAAGAGAAACGGCTTAGTAGCCGGTGAGTGCAGTGATGGTCCCTTAACTAGACGTCGACCTGCCATGGCTAACTCAATCATCAAGTGTTCCTGCGCGTTCTCGAGTATTACACCGGCATCCTCTTCCTCACCACGAATCGGATCGGGGATTTCGATGAAGCCATCGCCTCTCGAATCCGCGTCGGCCTATATTATCCAGAGCTCGATGAACTAAAGACTAGAAATGTCTTCAAGCTCAATCTCGACCTGATTCGCGAACGGTTCAACCGCCACGGCCGTAAAATCACGTTCGACGCGTCTTCGATTGATGATTTTGCCAAGCGGCATTTCCACGAACATAAGTATACCCGGTGGAACGAGCGGCAAATCCGGAACGCATGCCAGACTGCCCTCGTCCTAGCCGGGTTTGATGCCCATGGGGCTAAGACACTTGGAGAGCTGGACAAGGATGTAGAAGTTGAGCTCCAGCAGAAATACTTCACATTGGTCCAGACGGCGTATCTTGGCTTTGCACGGTATCTGGGCGATATTCGAGTCACACAGGGAGATCGGAGGGCCATCGATTTGCGTTTGCGAGCGAAAACGGATACACCATACCAAACCATACGGAGCCGGTTTTCTGTAGGCGTGGAACCAGTCAGGCTGGGCTTAAAGGACGGCTGGCATTCACATTCACACTCAGAGGCGCATTATCCCGTTAAGAGCGATCCCTTCCAGCCTTTGGTAAACCAGGGGTACCCGACTGGCTCAAATCCAGAGATGGGACCGGTGTATGGCCAGTACCCCCAGCAAGGACAACCCCTCGGACCGATGGGGAATACTGGAGGAGGCTATGAAGCTCAACAAGGATTCGCACATCCTGGAAGCCAACCAGGTCAGGTAGACCCAAGGCTGTACCAAGCTCATCAAGCGCGGCAGGTGGCGCAGATGGGAGTCAACCAGCAAGGCCAGGTTTGGGGGAATCCTAACTTGGGTGTCAACTACAGTCCCGCCGCCACCCAGACCATTCAAGGACAATCCCTATACGCACAGCAGCTTCAGGGACAGCCACAATACGGCTATGTTAGTATTCAACATGGCGTCAGTACACAGAATGACACTATTCCAAGCACGGACGCTTCCTTGCAGCCGCCTCTGACAGGAGGAGGAATAAGCGACGGAGCTGGTTTGACAGGACGGCCAAAGGGAGAGTGAAAGGGCTGCAAATGCTGTGGTCATCGAGTGTACATTTGGAGAGCATCATCAGGGATCAGTGATGTCCCTCCTATGTCGCTGGAAACACAGGCTGTTTGGCTCAGACGGGTCATCCATCTCTGTGCCAGCAATTAGTAGAGGCTGGTACACAATCAAAGAGCGGAAGGGCAGAATTCCACTATCTAATGTCAAACCCCGAGAAAACCTCATACCTACCGTTTGGGAGGCCGGCATGTGTATCTCGTACCTTGATATCCAGAAAGCTTCTCGAGAACCTACCAGAGCTGGACTTCACCCACAGTATCCAGAACATGACACTCCTCTATCCAGAGTTCGTCGAGCGGGTAGTGAGACTACCATGGTTCCCGTGCAGACGTGAGCCCGGGCATTAGAGAGCTCTCTGGTTAGTCTAGGGAACGTTAGCTGTGCCCATGCAAACCGGGTTTATTGATAAGCGCGGACATACGTGTGTGGCTTACTAACTAGGGTGGAATTCGGTGAACGCCGCAGCGTGGAGGTTGCGGCTATCGTGTTCTTTGGATTACCAGGAATTAGCATGGGTGGGAGTTATTCCTTTTCTTGGTCTGTGTGCGTTCCTGAGAGTACAGTAGTAGCTCTCGCGTACTGCTGGGGTCGATGCTAAAGGCATGTGCATCCACAAGGACCCCAGGAGAAGGTCAACCAACAAAACTTTACGCCATCAGCTTTTCTGTGCAACCTGTCCAAGCAACACCACTACTGCGTAGTGCAAAATGGATATCACTTCCAAGGCCACTTTGGTGACTCGGAATGACTCAGCAACTGGAACTGGTCTCTCATCTGGCCAGCAGGGTCTCCGATATGCGGCATTCAAGGTTCAAAGCAGCGACACTGAGCGGATAGGCTCTTTTGATGCCGACTCCGGGAGGTTGACACAGCTGACCTACGCTTCTGGTACTCGTGTCCGTAGCCTGTACGAGGTGATCGAGGCCCGGAAATCAGATATCGTGGAGTCAAACGAATCATTCTCTGTCGATGAAGTAGACCTTCTACCGCCCATCTACGGGCGCGACGTACTAGCTGTCGGCAAGAACTACGCGGTAGGTTGTTAACCGCAACAGGGTCACTAGCCAATGCATTGACGAAAGCCAGGAACACGCAAAGGAATTCAATGCCTCGGGATACGATAGCTCTGACAAGGTCGATCAGCCAACACATCCAGTGATATTCACGAAAAGGGCGACCTCAATTGTCGCTCATGGTACAGACATCTATTTCCATCCTAGCTTCACTCACACCTTAGACTATGAAGGTGAAATCGGAGCCATCATTGGCAAAAGGGCGTTTCAAGTCCCTGAAGAAAATGCCTTCGACTACCTCTGGGGATACACTATTATCAACGATGTCACGGCAAGAGAGAAACAGCGCGACCATAAACAGTTCTTCCTGGGCAAATCCGCCGATACCTTCTGCCCAATGGGTCCAGTGGCTATGGCAAAGGAAGACTTACCAGACGTACTGGAGGTGGTGACGCTTGTCAATAGTGAAGAACGACAAAGGGCAACGACTAAGGACCTCATATTCAGCGTCCCTCACCTGATATCGGTCATCTCTCAGGGTCAGACCCTCCTTCCAGGAGACGTGATAGCCACGGGCACTCCAGCCGGCGTTGGCTTTGGCTTTAATCCGCCGAAATGGCTTCAGCCTGGTGACGAGGTAGAAATATCAGTGACAGGCCTAGGAAAACTGAAGAATCGAGTTGGGAACAAGAGGCCGGCTCAGCCATTCCATCAGCCAGCTACGATCTCTACAAAGAACGATAAAGCTCTGAGCCAAGGTCTGACCAAAGTCGGCGCAACCAGCCTATTCTACAAGACGGGTGGTACGGCGTCTGGAAAACCTACCATCTTTGTCCACGGCCTCGGCGGAACACATGAGTACTTCAACACTCTCGCTGAGAGACTACCGCGGAGATGGCTGCATTTGTTCGACTTCGAGGGTCATGGTCTTTCTCGCATCCAAGCATCCCAGTCTGTGTCCATCGAGTCGATTGCAACCGACATCAAAGGCATCGCGGCCCATGCAGGGATTACCTCTGGTCTGACGGTGATTGCTCATTCCATGGGATGCCTTTCTGCAATGAAGCTCGCGGCTGAAGATTCAGGACTTGTGGACGAACTCGTGCTTATGGGCCCTCCTCCTTCTCCGCTTCCCGCGGGAGATGCGACCACAACGCACCAAAGAGCTTCGACGGTTCGAGGTCAAGGCATGCACGCGGTCGCTGAAGCTGTAGCTCGCATAGCCACGTCTGCCTATACACAGGAGCACAACCCGCTGGCCTTTATCGGAGCAAAGTTGTCCCTCCTTTCTCAAGACCCCGAAGGATACGCCAAAGCTTGCCATGCCCTCGCCGACACGTCCAAAGACGACGGCATCGACATGTCCGGGATCAAATGTCGGACGCTGATCTTGACTGGTCGAGAAGATAAGGTCTCGCCTCCAGCACTTTGTGAGAAGTACGCTTCTCAGATGCCCTTGAGTGAACTGACCGTCATCGACAATGTCGCGCATTGGCATCTATTCGAGGACCACTTGAAGACGATCGATGCCGTGGATCGTTTTCTGTCTTAGAAGGCATATCTACGATTCTAGACGTTCTCAAAACATTTAAGATGTATTTAATGGTGACGCTGGCCACCGTCATTAATCACCGTGCATCAGTTCGTCAATTGCATCGATGATTTTGGGAAGGACTGGGCAAGCAACGCGAGCACCACGCCTATTATTGAAGGACAGGAAATGAAGCAGATCCAAGATCAATGTCAAAATCGACAACGACCAGGCATATGCTCTATCCAAAGGAGCTGTGCGTCATAATCGTGGATGGAATTACCAATTCGTTATTTTGTGATATCTCCCTCGACCATATGGTCGGCCACAACCAGGGACAACCCAGATTTGCCAAGATATAAGTACATGATAAACGAAACTCGTGCGAGTGAGAATGACGGGAAGGCAATATTCCCCGGTGTCTACTTTTGTTCCCTTTGGTATACATTTCCATAAGTCGCTTGTAATCTGGCACTCAAGTAGTCGCCTGAGGTCAGTGTTTTCATGCCGTCAGCATCGACAACTCCGCCACCGTGTCCAATCACCTCTTTGCGGAAGCTCTCTGCTCTGTCAGCGACTAGTGGCGAAGGCATAGGAGTTAGCTTTGTGTCTTCATGAGGTTGCACAAAGATGGCGATCGAATAACGATCTGTTCCTGCACCGTTACTCTGGTGTCCATTTGTGTCGGATCCATTGACGGCATCCGTTCCCTTAGTAGGTGGAGTAAGCACAACTCGATGGATGGTCGACTTTAGTAGGCCGTTGGTCCAGTAACTCAACAAATCTCCAATGTTGACGACAACCGGGGGAAACGTCGCGGAATGGTAGTTGGGAGGAAATACAGGAACCGCTGCCCACTCTCCGTTTGGTTTCAGCAGTTCAAGCCCAGGTTGACCAGGCCTGGTGAATAATAGCGTGATGCTACCGTAATCGGAATGTGCACCGGCTCCAATATCGGCCTGAGGGTTGTAGTCGGTATTTGGGGGGAGGGAAGGGTAGTACAGCAATCGAGATGTGTTCGGTGCATTGTCATGCGTCCGCGCTATCCAGTCGACATCTAAGATTTCGAGGCCCATAGCGATGAGCCTGAGAAGCCGCGTTGCCATATTGCGACACCTGGTATGAAAGTCACGAAGTGCGGCATCTTCTCTCTGGAAAGTGGCGGGCATTGGCTGGTTCCATTCGCCAGTGGTGAGATTTGGTCCCTGAAGGTTGAATGCTTGTTTGAAATCGCCCCGTGCGTGCTTACCGGGGTCGAGGTTCTCGACATGCATCCCGACATAGCCGCGATTGTGTTTGATGGCACACGCTTGCTTCTCTTCGAGGGGTGCTTCCGTGAAGAAGCGGCGGGAGACGTCGAAAATGTGATCGACCGTTGACTCATCATAGTCGTATGTTCGAGCCGACGTCGTCTCAGTGCCATTCTGGGACTTTGGAGACCCCGCAATCCAAAGGAACCCCCATTTTGCGGCCGCGTCTACGATGGCTTTACCAAGCTCCGGGGTTTCTTGGGAGATGTCGAACAAGGGTAGATCCACAGTCTCGTCGGAGGCGGCAGCGTTGCCGTTCGGCACGGATACGGCAGGCATGATGAATAATGGGCACGCTCTCCGGCAGTTGCAATCGTAGTCAAGGTCGATACGGGGAATTGTAGAGGTTCAGGAACGTGTCCGAGGAGTTAAAGTTGATATGAAGATGAGCTTATCGGCAGACACGGCCGGATCCGGCCGTCAACGAAAATATCTCTGCCAATGGTAGCAAAGTGGCGGTAGTCGAGGTCAAAGTTCCGCCTGCGTTGGTTGTCGCGGCCATCTCCAGGAATTATAAGTTTCAATAACCAATTGTTTACGTCCAGCATGTAACGTATATGACATATACAGCAACACGACAGGCCCAACTCGCCCGAAAGTCCGATGACCGCAGAATCACGTGCGAAGAGGATGTAGTCACGTGATGCTCTATACCAGGTATAGTTTAGCTTCAGATGCTGGTTTCGCACTTCAATTCCCGGTCAGTATAGGATCTCGTTCTAGTTAGAGACTCGTTAACCCACCAATTGATCCCTCACCACCCGCGAGTCTGCAAGATGGACTCCGCTGCCCAGACTTGGGCGGGATTGTCAGCGTTGTGTACCGAACATCTGGAAGGAGAACTTACAATATTTCTTCGCCGTTGGTGACTAACCTACCCACGGTTTTCCAGGTAGGCTATCTCAGTCTCGACATTCTGACAAGCCATTTGCGAATATTGATTGGGGGGTTTCGTCAGTTGCCCACTGAGTCTACAGTTTCTGAAACTACCATGGCGACCATCCACATGTCAGAGGTGACGGTACTTGGCCCCAATTCCTGACTAGTATCGCCAGCTTCCCAGGTGCATGGTGGTGGCCGGATCAAGAAAGTAATGTCTTTGGCTAACACGCGACTCAGAAGATTCGCAGTTGTACTCGAAGATGGTTGGCTAACTAGTTCGATTCGTGGGTCAGGCTTAGGACAAGTGGAGTTTTTCAAAAGGCCCGGTTTGAAACATGGGCTCATGATCCTTGTCTACTATCCAAAGATGCCTGTCGCCGCTAATCTCCTAGCTGCGTATCGAGCCGGGCGTCGGACTCGATGAATCGATTTGGTTGCATGCACACTTGCGACAACTGATTTCTTATTGCCGGACGGAACAAACAAAGGACACGATCGAGGCATACAATCCAGTTACAAACTTTGGCCCCAAAGTCGCTATGGGCCAAAGTTGTTCTCTACCTTATTTCGACCAGATCAACTGCAACAGCAAGGACTATGTCAGTGACTTGACATCCTTTTCGCATTTCAGGCGGCGCTGGTCACCACGCGGCGCACGGTCAGCAGAATCAAGAGAGCAAATTGGGCAGATACGGCCATATCAAGTCCGCAGGTCCCTGTTCCTCGCTTCCATAGAAAACTTGTTTTACTCCTCGTTGCCTGGTTCTGATCTGACCAACGAAGATGGTGCTTCCGACCAATGAAAGTCACTCGAAGCTAGTACAGACCTCCCACATTCGGTCTGTCTCAAATCTGCCATGACTACTCTCGCTAGGCATGGCGGCCTGCTATACAGATACGTTTACCAAATCTCAATGTGGCCGTATCTGGGATTCGTACTCAATATCTCACTCCCTGGGTGACCGAGACTCCACAGTGCCCTGGCTGTCTCCTGACTCTGCTGTTACTTTACGACACTCGAAGCTCTCTCTCATGGTAGAGCTTTCAAGGCGATGTTAATCTCCTCGTTCTCCCTCGGCACATCACGCGTGAGGGAAATCAAATGCGACACCTGTCTTTGGCAGGCTCAAACTCCGAACTCCTGTCAGGATATCAACGCCAGAATTGGGTCTGCGAGCCCCTGGAGCAAGCATTATGGAGAGGGAAGCATATGTCGATTTGCAGCTGCTTTTCTCTCTCAATACTGTGTTCCTGTTAGATCCTCATACTCACCTCATCATTGCAATGTTTTCCTGCCCCCATTTACTCTCACCCACCTAGCACCTTTAATTTCACACCATTACTCCAAGGTTCGACTCTCACGAGAACCAGAACCCGACGACTCTCTTATAATCAAGGCCATCGCTTTTCTGCTTCTCAACTACTCGAGATTCGTCGGACTACTCACGCCTCATTATGGAGATGAACCCTGTGCCGCGCACGCCTGAGTCGGTATATTCCAACGACAGATTTGACTCTACTTGGGAGCCATCTTTTGCTCTACGGTCACCTTCGCGCATGTCGATGGCTTCCCAGGCCGATTCTAGCGCACCTCTAGGCACAGCTGGTGCCTTCAAATGCGACATCATGATCAAATTTCTTCGTCAGCGACAAAAGGAAAAGCTGTGGTCAAACAATGATACCGAAGAAGGTGTAGTCCTCAAAAGAGCCAAAAACGACTTCATTTGCCAGCCTTCCGAGCTGTTGTTCGCTCGGAATGGGCTATTCGAGCAAATTAGTTGCCTGAATGTCAAAGTGTGTATAGCGTATTTCGACCGCAATCATACTGACCACAGTAGGTCGCCATGACCGTCCGCACAGACGTTGTCCAATCGTTTCTACAAATATCGCAACTACCCTACATCCCATACCTCGACGGCCTACGAATTCAGGTCCTCCCCAACATGAATCTCCTGTCGAACTGTAAGAAGCATCATTTTGCGGCCTTCATTCGAGACCCGGCTCTTTTGGTCGTCTGGCATGACGACCCTGAACAGATCATCAGCCGAGCTGAGCAAATCGAGCAGCACCTGGTATCCCTGCTCTGGAAAGACGATAACACTATTTTCAAAGGTGCATCACCTAATAGGACACCTTCAATTAACGTCGCAGAGAATGTGGACGCGAGTTCCGAGGAAGAGGGGCGGCGCTACGACGACAAGCCCAGGAGAACATTGCTATATCAATCTATCCTCATGTGTTTCGTGGGAATCTTGGTCGTCCTCACCATCGGCCTTGGTTGGCGCAAGGTGGTGGTTGAGGTCAAAATCGATCACAGCTACCTTCGCCTTGTCCTGGCTATTGTCATATTACCCCAGATCTGGCTAGGATGGTTCTTTTTCCAGACGCTGGTCAATGGAATCTCACAAATCATCGGACCAGTAAATCAAATGGACTCCAACTCCCGGTCATTCTCAGGGCTTCGTTCGAAGCGCATCGAGACTGAGTCTTTGCCTCATGTGACTGTACAATGTCCCGTGTATAAGGAAGGGTGAGCATGTTCCTCTACTAACCATTAGCCCCGGAAGCAGCAGCTGACTTCTGAAGTAAGGCTGTGGAGTGTCATCGACCCGACGATGGTGTCCATCCGTGAAGCCATCTCCACGTACGAAATGCAAGGAGGTAGCGTCAACATATTTGTCAATGATGACGGGATGCAACTTCTCAGTCCAGATCAAGTTAAAGAACGTGAAGAATACTACGAGGAACACAACATTGGCTGGGTTGCCCGTCCCAAGCACAATCCAGGCCCGAACTTCAAAGACGGAGAAAAGCCCTTCATCCGACCTGGAAAGTTCAAAAAGGCGTCCAACATGAACTATTCCATGAACGTCTCTGCTCGTATTGAAGACGGTCTAGCCAGGATTCCCCGCCACGAAAAGCGGTCACAGCAAGACGAAGACAAGGCCTATCAAGAAGTGCTCGACCAGCTCCTGAAAGAAGATCAGGGCCGAACATGGGCCCAAGGCGACGTCCGCATAGGCGACTATATCTTGATAGTCGATTCAGATACCCGCGTGCCAGCCGACTGCTTTCTTGACATGGTGAGTGAGATGGAAGCGTCGCCGCAAGTGGCCATTATCCAATACAGCTCGGGAGTCATGAACGTGACTTCTAGCTTCTTCGAAAAGGGTATAACGTTCTTCACCAATCTTGTCTACACGGCGATTCAGTTTGCGGTAGCGAACGGCGACATCGCCCCTTTCGTCGGTCACAATGCCATCCTCCGATGGTCTGCTATCCAAGACATTGCGTATGAGGATGACGGAGTGGAAAAGTATTGGGCCGAGACGACAGTGTCGGAAGATTTCGATATGGCACTCCGACTGCAATCCAAGGGGTACGATCTTCGTTTCAGCACGTACTTTGGTCCCGATGGTTTCCAAGAAGGTGTATCCTTGACAGTATACGATGAGTTAGCACGGTGGGAAAAATACGCCTACGGTATGTATGACATGAGCATGAACATGAGCATCATGCTCGTCCCTAGAACCAATGCTGATGCTGATCATGATCCTTGCTATGTGGACAACATAGGCTGCTCTGAACTCATCTTCAACCCGTTGCGATATTGGCCCACTAGAGGACCCGTGACACCCCTGTTTCGCAGGTTCATGTAAGTTTGGTGTTTTACCTCCTTCCTGCTACGATCCTCCGGTCTCCGCTTTACCAGATACCGCATACCAGTGATCGCCGTACTGACTCCTTTTCTTCCTCTCGTGGACTAAAAGGTTCTCAAGCATGTCACTGATGGCCAAGATCACCATCATGTCATACATCGGCACGTACTACGCCATTGCATCAGCTTGGTAAGTTAGAGAATCCTCCATGTTTATAAAGACCTGCTTAAAAGTCCGACACCCGCCAAACCATGCTCGATGCCACGACACACAAGTTTGAGGAGCTCGCTGACTTTTGTCCTCGTCGTCCTCCGTTACGACTCGACTAGGATCCTCACCGCCATGAACTACTTTCTCATCGGCTGGTTCAACGGCTACCTCGACCACTACTACGTCGACTCATTCAAGATCTATTTTTCCATCGTGGTGGTGTTCCAGGCTCTCGGCACAATATCACTTGCGGTGTTGCGCTACGTAAGTCTTTTTCAAGCTCAAGTCCCGTCTCGTCTCGAGTAAATCCAATCAAAGCAATGCAACTCAATCACTGCCCTAGCCGGTCCATTTTGAAGACAATGGAAGATACCTTTCTATCTCCGTGGACGGACGTGGTGGTTTGAAAGACTAAAGATTCCCCCCGTACATTCTCAAAGGTCACTTGAAATTCAAAACATTAATATTCTGATCTTCACACAGCGCGTTTCGGGTCGCTCGCTTCTCGGGTCCCTTTTCGAAAACCTCAAATGGCTCCCTCTCCTGACCATCTTCCTCGGCGGCATTTCCCTGCACGTGTCGCAGGCCATCGCATCGCACATGTTCTCCGTCGACATGACCTGGGGCGCGACAGCCAAAGAAGCGACGCGGACCTCGTTCTTCGCCGAAGTTCCCGTCATTCTGCGCCGGTTCAAATTCACATTCACCTTCTGCCTCGTCACCATCACGACCATGATCGTCCTCGCCGGCGTGGGGCCTCTGGGGCGTCTCGTGCCTCACGACTGGCTGATCACTGGGTTCACCGCCATCTGGCCACTGGCGCTGGTTGTGGCTTTTCATTTTCTTCTTCCTTTGGTGTTGAATCCGGGATTGATGCAGTTTACCTTTTAGAATTTCTTTGATTTGACTTATGAAGTCCACATCGAGCGGGCGGCACCACCACCCATGTATCGCTTATATTCGTTCCTTGTACTTGTGTGAGTGTCGTTGTTGATGCGATCCTTGTTGTTGTCGTATTACTTGTCAAATGAAAAAATAGCGGATGACGACTGTTGTACATTTACTAAACTCCTGGCCAGAAATCATACTTGGTATATATCACGCCGGACTTGGACCGGTGAGTCTCATAAGAGTATCTAGGTTATGTAGCACCATGATGGGCATGGAAATTTGGCAATCGGGACAGGCGTTTAACATCCACGCTTCAATGGGCGCAAGAGAGAACCAAGTCTAGCGTTGAAAGATATTGCGTGTTTGAGGAGGATATTATTAACTCAGTGATGACCACTACATACAGCCAGTCCACCATATTATTTTGTACACTTGTAATCTTCCGTCTCCCTCTTTTTCCACCATCACGCATGAGGCTCGCACTCAATCAATCAACCATCCAGGCAAGCATGTACTGGCACGGACAGAAGACCCATCTCATAATATCAGGGTCCCAGACCCATACTGCCTAGATGGGCGCCCTGTTGCGGAAACGGTGCGAAGCGCAGTCTCGACGCGGGCTGGTGGCTGAGTGGCGACGAGCTAGCCAGTCCCGTATGATGCCGTTCCAGGTCTTCGTCCGGTCTGAAGAACGTGACAGAATGGGACAAGGCCATGCCGTCTTCGTTCTTGGCCAAGGCATAGGGGACGTCGCAGTCGTCCTCGGGGGCCAACTCGAGCTTCCAGCCGTCCAGAAAAAACTTGCAAATCAAGATCGCGCGGACGGCAAATGGATGTGCCAGGGCCAGTTCCCTCAGGTACCGTATGCTTGGTGTTCTGTAGACTTCGCGACCCTCGGTTCGTGTCTTGTGGTCCGCCATGCGCGCGAGCTCGGCAGACATGATAATGTACGGTATGAACGCCGGCGTCCGGCGGAGGGTGTACAAGTTCCGGTAGGCCTTGAGGAGAGAGAGAATGTTCTCGGTGGCTTCTACGCAGATCTGACGTGTAACCGGGACAGTGTCGAATATGCCGGTGTTGAAGAATGGTCTGAAGAGGAGTAAAACGGCGAAATGGTAGAAGATACTGCAACGAAGAACCAGATTTTGTCAGTACACATTAACTATAGATATAGCACATACACACGAACATACACAATGAGTGTAGTGCAAATCGGGAAACACTCAAGTCGTTACTTACTGCGCAAACAAAACAGGTGGTGTCGAGTTTCTGCCGAGCCGGAGCGCATCTGGTAGTGAGCTGTAGAATTGGAGATGCTCTGTGTACAGGGCCCGAACTGAGAGCGTGATTTCTTGTGTGTCTTCCGACTGCAAGCACAGGTTCGTCTTATGCACGAGCTGTGCAAGCTCGGCGAACACCTTGTACACCGACCTAATATTGCTCGGCTGGTGAAGGGTGGGATCGGGGTCGACGCCTTGGTCTGAATACGGCCTCCAATGTTCGTGTTCAATTTCGTCGATCTTGATCGGTTTGTGAACCAATACCTCCTCGGGCGTTACTTGAGGCTCTCGTCCCACACAGAGTGACCAGGCCCTAAAGGGAAAGCATATCAGCAAGTGATACACGGAACGTACCTGAAGAAGGCTCATACGTACTGTTCTAGAGTATAACATCCCCAGAAGGTGGCGGCACTGACTTGGCGTTCTGGATTCGAGTACAGCAATCGGTCTGCTCGCCGGTCTTGCGAATCTGCCAGGTGCAATCCGAGATCAAGCGCCGTCCTCATGGCAATTCGAGAGAGGTGCCAACCGCTCATGTCATTCCCGCAGCTCGCCTGTCTCAGCGACATCAGACCAAGTGCTTGGATCTTTGTCAAGGTGGGGACATCTTCGTAGCCTAGCAGCCGTTGCGCCTCTTCGTAGAAATGGTCGCCAGCTGACGACGGGACATCTTGAAATTTGCGTGCCTCTGGGAGATCACTATAGCGAGCGCCCAGAGCGAGGATCGCGTTCACAAGTAACGGCGAACAAAATCTCTGGTTTCCATTGTGAAAGTCGAGGAGGAAGTGCTCCTTGGACAAACTCGCAAAGACTGGGTATTCCCAGCAGAAATATAGGGTAATCAGATGTTGTACTAGATTATCGTCGTTGGTTGCTTGCGTCCATGACGAAGCCGGGTAAGAATGCGGAGCCGGTTCGTTGTCGGTCAAAATCAACCGAGACAAGTAGGACAGGCGCGATGGACCGACCAAATTGAATGATGAGAATGGCCGCTGTTCCAAATCGCCAGTATGAACCGGTTGGTCTTGAGGCTTTTCAGGGTCTTTGTCGCCTCTTACGGGACTATTGTGCCCAGCGGTGTCTCGAGGCATGCTTGTAGATCCCGAGTTCGACGCAGAATTCGGTAGAATATCTTCATGCTCTAGATCCTACATGAATAAACGTTAACACAGCCGTGACCAGAAAAATAGCCAGGGTCGGATTGTATTACCTCCATGAATTGCACAGCCTGTGTCCGGGCATCCGAATCGATCTTGGTCTCAGCAATGAGGCCAGACAGCAGGCTCGCCAATCTTTCATTTTTGGCCTGGAGGTCAAGCACGCTACTCTTGCTCTCGATGAGTTCTTTCCTGGCCTTCTCACGTTTCCTGTCACTGTAGACGCATTCGACTCCGTCGATCTCACACTTGGCGCATCTCAATCCCCCGGAACATTTTGTGCGCATTCGACGACATCGGTCGCACGCGTGGGCAACACGGCCTCGTGAATCCATCCCCCTTGTAGACCTGATCAATCCAAGACGTGTCGCGATTAGGGTGACGCAAAATCATCATGAGGAAAAAGACCTGTTCGCCGCCGACACAACTTGTGTGGCGGTGCCAAAGTGTCTGGACAGCGTTGATCCTCCAGTTGGAGATCGAGATTTGAAGTCTTTCGATGCCGAGAAGCCCGACGTTGAAGTTCTGGAATCAGGTCGAAGATCGACCTATTACTGGCCGGATCCCACCTGGAAAAATGTTTCCGAGGCGGAAAAGCGAATATTCGCTCTGCGTTTTTGATACGACTTACCTGTGATCTTCATGTGGCCTTTCCAGTCGACGTCATCTCTGGAGCTTTTCTTTCCATCTCAAATTCGTCCGCATTGTCCTCCCGGCTGTTATATCCTGGTCACGAGACCCGAGCCTCCTTATCTTATCTACAATCCGAGTACGGCGAATCTTAACGACCATATCATGCAAATCGTACCTAATCGCAGTATCAATGTTATCATCCATCATTCCAAGACTCCCTGCGAACACCAGACCTCCCTCGCTCCTGAGCTGCTTGCAAAGTACATCTCACTTATCGTGTATTCTGGGAAGCAGATGTAGCCATCCCAGCGGAGCCCATCTTCGCTATCAGACATGGGTTAGTTGCGAGAGTCTGTACAGCGGTCGAGTGATATTTGACGCATGCTTAGGAGAAATCTCAAGATCCAATGAGGTATGTCGTTTGTCAGGGACAATGAATCCCGATGATATGTGTTGATTCACATTCCTGGAGTCTGTCCAGACGCACGTATATCATAAACAACGCGTCGAGGACAAGTATGGTGTCGAAACATGGTTTCTCTTCCTCTGCAGCAATGCTGACAGGACCGAATCAACCATCCCATACCAAATTGTAGCAGGATCAGAAACCAGCGAACGATGTCCTTGTAGCGAAACATATTGAAAAGTATTCTCACCGGTTATCAGCTCATACCTCAACCTGTAGAGCAAGTACGTCAAAAACGGTTGATGAAAGAAACGTGAGGAAGCCTCAGCACCACGTTCTCAGTGTAACAAGAGAACGAATATAAAAGAGGTCTCGGTTTAGGAAGACATATACCAGTACATTGATCTCCATGCGAACGGCGGGATCTTGCTGCTCCCTCCTGTAGATGAAGAGTCCATCGAGATCAATGTGATCAGTGACCAGCGATCAGCACAGTGCACACGTTGACTTGGCTGTCGCGGACATGAATATACTAGACAACAATGATTGACAAGAGACAGATGGATCGTGATAGTTCCCTCAAGAAACGTTGCTCGTAGGTCACCTCCCTCTTCGTCTCCCAAGGCAATCAGTCACTGATCAGGCGACCGAGATATCAACTTTTGATTTATCTAGTGGCAATCCCATGAGAACTTTCCCGATCAGAGAGGGAACATGTGTACTCACAAAAGGCAACGTGGTCCTTGATATTCTTCGCCTTGTCCTTGGGATCTGGATAATACCACGCGGCGTCCTTCAAGGTTTTGCCGTCCACGGTGAGATCGTAGTAGCTGGCGGTTCCCTTCCAGGGACACACAGAGTGGGTATCCGAGTCACTGAAGAGTGACTTGTCGATGGCGCTTGGTGGGAAGTAGACATTTCCCTCGACCGTCTCATATGTGTCGGCCGAGGCGATCACTTTGCCCGAAACTTTGGCGGTTGCGGTCGGCATGATGGGAGAACTGTGGGCAGACTTTGAGAAAGGTAGGTAGCAGTGAGATAAGTGGAAAATTGTCAGTATTGAAGAGACGAGGGCTACAAACCAGGCGAGAGTATTCATATGTACATAGGAGTAATCAAAGTCGGCGTCATCTTGAAAGAAATCACGAATGCGAATGACAAATCCACCAGAAGAGGCTTACGGAAGCTGATCTGGGGCCGCTTAGTTCTACGCCTACAGGATGTAGAAAGACCGAGGTGATTATTGGTACAAGATTTGATATTTTGTTCAGTCCTATCATTGAGGTGAGATTTAGGGCGATGCATGATCGGTCAACACGACGAAGCTGATTGGGCATCCTCCTGGAGACCCCCAGGTCTCATCTCTCCTCCTTGTATTAAATGTAAGCACGATATAGACAAGATATCGTCTCCCGGCAGGTCGGAATTGCTGTGGTTTCCGCCCCCGGCTTCTTCGTGGAGGATCACCAACACAGGGTAGATATCCCTTATTTCGACGACTGAGAGCTCGAAGAGGTTTCTATGCGTCTCTGTGGCGCATCTCCGGCGATGTGCGCTCCCTTACTGGCATCTGCTATATTCGATGTCAGACTCGTTGATCGAATTCCTGTTCGAGGCCATTTTCAGGTGCCAGAATGCTCCTTAGAGGTCAAAAGTACAGGTAGATATATGTTCCCAGTCCGAGAAAGGTGGCCCTCGTCGCCAGTCGCACTAGAAGATGGGGTCTGGCAGCTCTGTTCCAGTGCAATGGAATGCTTCATTCCTTGACAAACTCTACCTCCGTAGTGTCTCTGGAGACTCTGGAAACACTCGATTCCTCGATATCTCTCCACAGCTTCATTCCATCGGAGTCGTTCGTATATTCGAACCACAAGAAAAGCTTCAGATTTTCCTTCATACTGTGCCAGGAGTTGATGTCTAGCTCTCTGGTTAACCGATCGAGCGTCGCCAGATACCACGGTCGATCGGAAGTACCGATACTGGCGACTGCTCCCATGACGGTAACCCACAGCATCAGATCCGCCGCTTCGTTCCAGCAAGCCTGCACATCGGGTAAGCACAACTGTTTGATGATATCTGAAGACAACCGGCCAAAGGGAGCTGCGACTGCGGGCAATGGAAACACCACGAGCAAGCTATAGACGACAGTCCCCAGGAGCGCTAGGCGACACAGCGGATGCTCTTCGCCGTGTGGGAGTGCATCGGGCATGAGCTGCATTAGGTTATGTTGAACAAAATTTCGTTCATCCATCAGGACGCGTTGTATTTGGCTCTCAGGACGTGCATGCACATGATCGTCCACCGCAAAGGTGTATTGTATTATCCACTTCAGGACTACTAAGAGTTTGGAAACATCTTCATGCGCATGCCCCAGAATTTCGGGCAACACACGGAAACCCCTCCCTAGACCGACCAGGGGATGAGTCTTTCGTGATGCCGAATTCAGCAGGCTGACAATGTCATCATGAATCGTCACATACGGTAACATGGGAGGGGCGAGATTCTGACAAGACAGTACGATATCACCGCTATGAGCAGTGAGTATGCCGGACAGAGAGGAGGAGAGACTTGTGGGCACTCACAAGGAGATGGTCTGAGCCAAACCGGGCAACTTGAGCTTGTTTAGTCCGCCACGTAAAGTCAACATTTTAGCGAGGCCTTGGAGATGGACTTGCACCGTCTCTAAACGGCCGCCATAAACGTGAAGGAGTTGCAAAGTGGTGAGAGGGCCCTGAGAGGGAGCAATCGCAGGAGCGTGGCGTCTCAGATCGCCATGATATGTGAGAGAGTGGACTGATAGGATGTTTTCATCCTCGCAGCTCATGGAGCTGTCCAGAAATTTCTGATGAACACCCCGTATGGTTTCAGTGTAGCACTGCATCGTCTCGCGTGACTCTAGAAAGACCGCCGACGGATAGAAGATACGATTCCGAGTAAGCTGGCAAAAGAGAGACGCGTGGAACAGGCCTCGGTCGCGAAAAGCCATCTGAAGCCAAGTGCTGGCAAGGGGATGGATGGTTTGACCTGCTTCAGGTGGGAACATCAAGCCCAGGAAGTTTTTGACTGGAACATGTTAGCAATCATTCGTCTCTGCGAATGTGTAGGACCATGGTACCCTGATCAAGAACACGGCTGACGAACTCGGTCGGCAAATCAGAAGGATACGTTCTGAATGGGTCGTGATGTGTCGATACCTGCAGCGTTGACAGTGCCGAGTCAGGGAGTATCAGAACGTCGCTGTATGCTGGTGAATCTGCGACCGCATGCTTACTTCGCTCGTCTTCCGTCTTGGGCGGAGACGTGTCGCTTTCCGGCGAGGTAGAGGCATGCTTGTTGGGGGTCGCAGGTGCAAGGGGACGGCGTCGGCTCTTGGACATGCTGCTCGTCGAACACCGTCTGGCTGGAGCTGCTCGGCCCGGCGAGAGGGATTCAGACCTCTTCTCTTTCTTCACTCGGCGCCAGTGAAAGTTGGAGGCGTTAGAGCGAACGAGGATTTTGTTCTGGCTGCGCTCGGCTTCAGAAGAAGGAAGCGCCGTCACAAACTGAAAGGCCTTGGATGCAGGGCGCGACGCTGCACCGCCCGCGCTTTCATCCGGCCGACTCTTCAGGGCTTTCGCCTCGTGCATATCCTTCTCGTTGTAGACATAATCCCCAGGAGCAAGGCGGTGGTGGTTCGAGGGAGGAGGAACAGCACCCTGCCGGCCTTCTGTATGCGCAAGGAGCAAGGAGGGAGAAGGACTGCGGCGACTACCTAGGCTCAATGGCGCATAATGGAACGAAAATGAGGGTTGTGCTCGGTACAAGGTACAGACAATGCTTGTAGTGGCCAAGAGGGAGACGTTGCTCTCACGCAGAGGCAGAGTCAGTCACAAGGCCGTCCAAGAGAGAGCTCGGATATGGGCATGGTCAGCCCGGCTCTTGACTGGAAGAACCTCATCCGGGGCCATGGGCGTTCATTGTTCGCAGTTCAGAGACTGTGGTGTGGTGGATGGTGGGCGCAGCCATGGTTGGAGTGGGTTAAATCTCTCCCTCGCCTCCTCCCCCTCCTCCTCCTCCTCCTCCTCCTCCTCCTCCTCCCCCCCCTCCACCTCCACATCGGTCATTTCAGCAATACCGGGGACTAGCCTAGTGGCCTAGGTCCTAGTACTCCATAGAGACCTAGGTTCCCCTGGTCTATCTTCTGTCAATGGCCGCCTAGGTGTCTTCGCACGTTTCGCGGCTTTCCAGTCCAGCCGTACCGGGCGCTTCTCAACCGAACAACCTCCCCAGACTGCGAGGCTACCAGACCACCTACAGTACGGACTCCCGCTGTCGATTCAGCCAACTACTATCCGCACCAATGACCCAAGAACAAGGAGCAGACGAGAGATCACCGTCACTAAGCACCTCGCTGGGATTCTGCTAACTACAGGTAAGAGTCAACTTGACAAGACGTTCGAGAGATGCTTCATCGGTGTCGTGCGTTTTTGAGCTGCTGAACTCTCAACACGCCTGGCCATTACTCATCACGAAAATCTCGCAGAACCAATTAGAGAGATAGACTCGGTGCTGCGTATTCATATATGTAGATGGTCATCAATCATACGTGGCTCCGAAGCTGAGCAAGTTCTTTGTTTTGTTCGTAAGCTCAGTCATACCCGAGGCTCATCCCAGACATTCTTCCCATCCATCACAGAACTGCCTTCGCCTTCTCCTGCCCGTCTCTATGTAGATGCGGAAATACGTGCCGAAGATTAGGCTCATCGCTGGACAAGCTTGACTCAGCCTCGCTGCCGCTGCCACTTGACAGCTGAGGCACCGTACTCGTATGGGACGAGTTGTTCTTCCCTAGGTCAGCCCTCATCCGGTCGTTTGCCTCACCTGTCAATTTCAACGATGCATCAATGTCCTTGGTCAACTTCTCAATCTCGTCGTCCAATGCTTCTTGACGACTCTTTGGCTCCTGCGGCACTTGTCGGTCTCTCGATGGATTCGTCGTTTCCCACAGTTCCTCAAGCTCCTCCCGCCAGCCAAGGGCATCTGCAAATCTCCTGACCCCTGCATCGCAGTCGCCGAGGAGCAGCACATCATCCGGGCGCGAACCAAGCCCGCCTACTTTCTCTAGATTGATGAGCACTCGGGGAGTGGTTTCGCCGACGAACGCTGGTAGGCTGGCAAACGGCTGAACCGTGAGACTTGTGCCCATAATGATGGCCAGATCAGCCTTTGCTGGGAGACTGCGGTTGCGGAAAAAGGCCTCGGGCAGCTGCTCGCCGAAGAAAACGATGTCGGGCTTTACGAGACCACCACACGACTTGTTCACACAGTGCGGCACCTCTTTCCTGCCGACCACCTCTCTCATCAGATCATCTGGGTATTCTGTACGGCACTCAATGCATCTCTGCGTTGCAAAGGAACCATGAGCCTCCACGATCATATCTCCCGGAACTCCGGCTTCCCGCTCCAGACAGTCTATGTTTTGTGTGAATAGCTTGAGCAGTTTGCCTTTCTTGTGTAACAGGCTGATGAAGGAGTGCGTGACGGTTGGCCGGTACTTTCCTGGATACAGTTCGTGGGCGAGGGTATAGAATGGGTATGGGTTGGTACGGAAGTAGGAGATATCAAAGACGGCCTCGGCGTAGGGAAGATTGAGACGGGCGAGGTTAGAGTACAGGCCGGTGTCAGGAGAACGAAAGTCTGGGATGCCTGCGCTTGTGCTGATGCCGGCCCCAGTCATGACCACAATGTTCTTGACATTCCTCTCCTTGATGTATCTGGCGACTGCTTCAATGTTGCGCGCATAGAGGGTCGTCGGACGTGTCGACTCGTCTACCGGAGTAGACGACTCATTGCCCATCTTGAAGGGACGCCCATAGAGCGGCTTTGAGGCACGATTTCGACGGCGGCGACCAATGATTGCGACGGGCCGAGCGAGACTGGAGGTTTCGAGGGATGTCGGGAGAGTGAAGTGATGCGACGTCAGAACACAAGAGTATGCGCGACACCAGCAAGTAGACTGCGTTTGTGTAGACAGAACAGCGCTTGAGAGACGCGGTAGAAACGTTCAACTTTTTAGAATTGGTACCGAAGAAGAAAGAAATCGAATCTACTGTAGATATGACGATGCCCAAGATGCCCGGTTCAGTATGTTTTATTTTCTTAGCGACTCGCATGAATCAAGATTCTTCCCCGCGAGCCAATTTGTCGACTCAGGCATTGATACTCTTTATGCTTTTCTTCGCCGGCTTCAGGACACGTTGTAGCCCTCCATGCTGTACGAGTGCACATGTTCGTGTTGGACCCAGCAACGTGTCCCTCACATCTCTCATCTGGGCGAATATCCTGGCTCGTGTTAGGCATCAAGTGCGTCCACAGCCATGACCACAAATGGCCACGTCGCCGTTCACGAACCCGAGACTGAACCGATCGACATCTACAATGCAAAGTCGGTCTCGGAGATCAAGGAAGCCCTTGCCCATCTACACAGCAAGGAAGCGCGTGTGACTGTCCAGCTTGATGCGTTGGTCGCTGCGCAAAAGGACTTGCAGCGAGAACTCGGTCGCCTTGATCTGTTCCGCGCAAATGCCACCTCTCAAGCCTCCAAAGCTCGGGCAATCACCAGTGGGATTCTGGCAGACGCGGCTTCAAATGCAAAGCATATTTCGAACTCTGTGAAGCAGCTTGATCTGGAACAGGAGAGGGTGCAGGCGACTCTGACGGTTGTCGAGCAGGTGAGAGAATTGAAAGCCTGTGTCCTCGGGGTCTCTGGATCTATGGGCGCCGCACAGGACTGGGAGACAGCAGCTAGCTATCTGAGCAGAGCATCCAAGATACCGAGTGACGTGCTCAACAGCCCATTCGCTGCCAGGATTGTTCCCACCGCCGAGGTTCCAGATGCGCCAGCTGTGACACTTGAGGCTGCTTCAGAGTCTCTATGCATTCTGTTTCTGAAGGAATTCGAAAAAGCCGTCAAGGACAGCGACGGTGCAAGAATCACTCGATTCTTCAAACTGTTTCCACTCATCAATCGATCAGACGTGGGTCTAGACGTTTACGGTCGCTATGTCTGCCAGGGCGTTGCGTCTCGGGCCCGAACCAACCTCAATGCAGGCACGGGAGGGAGCCAAAGCAAAGACGGCTTCTTCTATGCCAATGCTCTCACGAGACTCTTCGAGCACATCGCACAGATCATCGATGGCCATGGGGGCCTAGTTGAGCGACACTACGGTCAGGGGAAGATGGTCCGCGTCATTGAGCGACTGCAAGTCGAGGCTGATTTGCAGGGCGGCATCATCTTGGACACATGGGCCGACGAAAGACGAATCGATCGTCAACTGACCGATATCAAGTCGTATGCGTTCACGTTCCTGGTTCAAAGCTTCATGCCTCCGCAACGAGGTTCAACCGCCACACCACGAGCGGGCTCTCCTGCGCCCGGTCGAGGGAGCGAGGACGAGTCCGTCGATATGAAGCAAGTCGATGCCCTCCTCAATGAAATGACGCTGATGCTGGGGAAATGGTCTCTCTACACAAAGTTTGTTTCCGAGAAAAGTTCGGGCCCTGTCACAACGCCGGGTATGGTACATATGCCAGCATTCCTCCTCAATTCCAGCTTGATGAAGAAGGTCCAAGACCGACTTATAGCACCCTTCAACACGATGACCATGTTCTTTTTCCGCCGCTCCGTTGAAAAAGCATTCCAACTCGACGAACAGCCGCCCGGTCTGTCTCTAAATCCACACAAACCACTGATATCAAACCCCCCACATGTCACGTCGGCGATCGAGGATATAATGTACATCGCCAACAAAGTGCTCCAACAATCGTTGGCAACTTCACAGAGAAGCGTCGTGGCTAATGTCATTCCCACTCTCGGCCGCGTTCTCGGATCAGACTTTGTTGGCATGGAACAGCGCAAGATGCGCGACGAAAGCTACCCCAAAGCTTCAGTGCAAGGGCAACTACCACCTGAAGGGACCATTGTCTCTTTCCTGGTCCTCATCAACAATCTCGATGTGGCAAAGGACTATGTTGAACAGATTGTGGGAGCACGGCTCAATCCTCCTCCCGACTCTGCCCATCGCGCTCTGGCAGAGCTATTTCCAGAACCTGGCGAAGCCGAGTTCGTGGCCAGTACACTGTCGACTCTTTCTACCAGCTTCTCGGAGAAGACCAGCGAGCTGATCTCGGACGGCATCAACGTCGTCTTCCACAACGTCATGAAACCCCGTCTTCGACCCATTTTGCTAGACGCATTCCGCGACACCGACTACCAGCTTACCAGAGAGCAACTGCAGGAACTTGCGGAGGAAATGGATGGCGACGGCGAATCGGACGGATTCTCAGACGAGGTTCGCATGCGCTTCCAACTCGGCTGGGACGCCCTGACGAAGCCCATCGGACGGATCATGACGGAGCGCACTTTCGATCAGCTCCTCACCGTCGTGGTGACGTACCTGAGCAAGATGATCGAGAAGAGGCTGTGGACGTATCACGGGCGCATCAACGAATCCGGCGCCGCGAGACTGGAACACGACATCAACGGGATTGTCAAGGTCGTGGTCAAGGGTCAGAAATACAGTTTCCGCGAGGCGTTCCTTCGGTGCAGTCAGATCTGCATGATTATGAACATGGACGAGGAGGAGTGGGAGGAATCTATAGCTTCTGGCGGCGACTTCGCGGACAAACTCAAGCCAGCTGAGAGGACGCGAGCCAGAGACATGGTCACGGATGCTACTAGCTAAAACGTGATGTGATGATGCCCGGGTTAGCATCTAGTTACGTAGATATGTAGCACTCAAGTTTGACCTTGGGAACTATTATGTGATTGAACGTTGACTTGATCATTTCACTTCACGTGCGCCATCTTTCTAGCACAGAGCATAGCATGCCCACCAACGAAAAGCGCCGGCTCCGGCCCTGTTGAATGATGCAAACGGCTTTAGTTACACAAAAGGTTGCAAGATGGCACCCCTTACGCAACCCTCCGAACTTTTGCCATGCGAGTATGGTCCTCTTTTTTTCTCCTTGCCTCGTCTCTCTCTTCACATCCTTGAGTTCTGCACCATAGGCATAGCCCCCACCCCCCATTCCAGGTTTCTTCACTAGCCCTTAGTCAGGTCAGGTCAGGTCGTCAACAACAAATCAGCCCCAGTTGCAGTTGCATCGGCACCTCATCTATGCGCGAGACATGACACCCCAGGCGCGAATCTTGTTGTCAGTGTATCCGGAGAACAAGGTCTGGCCGTCAGCGGACCAGGCCAAGCTGACGCAGTATGGCTCTTGAGACTTCTTGCCCTTCTCGACGAAGTCGGGCTTGAGTTCGTCAACCTTGTTCTTCTTCTCAAGGTCGAAGATGGTGATGGAGGAGGTGGTGGCAGCACAGAGCCAGTATCGGTTGGGGGAGAAGACAAGAGCGTGGATCTCATCGCCGGCCTGGAGAGAGTAGAGGTGCTTGGACTCGTTCAAGTCCCAGAGCATGGTGGTACCGTCCTTGCCGCCTGAGGCGCACAGGGATCCATCGGGGGAGATGGTGACGGTGTTGATGTAGCCGGTGTGGCCGATGTGGTCGGTCTGGATGCGGCAAGATGCGAGTTCCCAAACCTACAACAAAGCAGCCTGTCAGCATTGAAAGTGCAACACCATTTTTTTTGATAGCATAAGCTTTGCGATTTGAAATCGACGCTCATCATGAAACAACCCTTTTGCCTCAGTCCGCCGGTGAATAGTTTTCTCATAGCCATGTGAAAATGGCTCTGAAGTAGCAAATATTTTGTATGTGCGTAGCATCTTGGGCAGGGCTGTCGGAATGTGGACTTTCAGATCTTCTTACCTTGACCAGCTTGTCCCAACCAGCGCTCACGATGACGGGGTTCTGAGGGTTGGGTGAGAAGCGAACGCAGGAAACCCAGTCGGTGTGGCCCTTGTCAGTGATGGTGAATTTGCAGTCGCCCAAAGTGTTCCAGAGCTTGATCGTTCGGTCTCGGGATCCAGACACTATCTGTCTGTTGTCGGCGGAGAAGGAGACTGAGAGAACATCGTTGGTGTGGCCGACGAAAGTACGGGTGGTGTTGCCGGTGGACAGCTCCCAGAGGCGCAGAGTCTTGTCCCAGGACGAGGACAGAGCGTATGCACCGTCGGAGGAGATGACACAGTCAGAGACGATGTGGGAGTGGCCGTGGAGGGATCGCTTGGGGTACCCGTAGGCAGATTCGTCGCGGGTCAAGTTCCAGATGATGAGCGACTTGTCTCTCGAGGCAGACAGCAGCATGTTAGGGCTGGGACAGCGGTTAGCGAAAAGTTGCGCCCATCTCTACATGGCGGTATACTGACTTCTCCAAGCTGGTTGCGAGGGAGGTGACCCAGCCGCTGTGGCCCTCAAGAGTACCACGTTGAATGAGTTGTTCAGCCATGGCGTCTTGAAGATCTGTGTAGGTGTCTGGCTGATGTTGTTGTCGATGAGTCCTGCGACGTGGTGCACCCAAATCGACATCGAGGAATCAGTGTGGGAAAAACCGTAGTACGCCAAGATTCACCACGCTAGTGCAGATCAGGCTAGCCAGCTTTTTCTTCGTTCAAGGTGCGGCACTTGAACAAGCGACGACATTCTTCATCGTCGAGGGCTACACACGGTTGTAGAGACACCAGAGACGTCCGAATACAATCAGCTACTTGTGGCAACTTTGCATCCCGAATCTTTTCTCTCTTTAGTTGTGTCCTTACCTGCCCATTCAGCTCTCGTGGAGGTTAGCTGGCGTTTTTTGTATTCGCTGAAGCAGTCCACCTTGACGCCGCGATCATGTATCAAATCATTCGTTGTTAGAGAGATGGGATCTGCATGCAGCTCTTCTACAGAGTTTAGCTTTTGTGACTCACAATGTTGTTACTAGTCTATCTTGAGCACCTCGAGACATCCATTCGAGGCGGAGATTCTCCGTGCCACCGGCTAAATGCACGAGGTGCCTGAAAGCATTCATATATCGTCCCCAGCATTCTCCTTTTTCTCTCGGACCTCGCACCCTCCCTGCTTCTGGCTAGTCATTGTGTTCTGTTCTCGCGTGTGACCGTTGCAGACGTCTCTCCTTGACTTAACCTGAGATGCCTTCTGTCGAACAGCTGCCCAAGATGGAGTATCGTTTGCTGGGAAGATCGGGTCTACAAGTTTCAGCAATATCTTTGGGGGGGTGGTAGGCCATATACCAGGGTGTATGGTTGCAATCCGGGCTGACATTATTGATATAGGGTGACTTACGGTGGTGCTGTTGGTGACGGTACGCACGGCATAGCAGCGTCCGGCTAGGATCTCGATGCTGACCTAGCAGATATTGCCTTTGACTGTATGAAGGCGGCCTTCGATGCAGGAATTAACTTCTTCGACTGTGCTGAAGGGTATGCCGAAGGCAAGTCGGAGATTGTCATGGGCAAAGCTATCAAAAAATTCGGCTGGAAACGAAACGATCTTGTCATATCCACTAAGATCTACTGGGGCGGCGCTTTTGGGGACAATCCAGTGAATAATGGAGGACTCTCTCGAAAGCATATAATCGAAGGCACGGAAGCGTCCCTTAGAAGGCTGCAGTTGGACTACGTCGACTTGATCTACTGCCATCGCCCTGACCGAAAGACCCCCATCGAAGAGACTGTCCGCGCCATGAACTATCTCATCAACACTGGCAAAGCATTTTACTGGGGTACCTCTGAATGGAACAGTGAGGAGATTGCCATGGCCTGGGCTTGTGCAGAGAGGCTGAACCTCATCGGACCTGTAATGGAGCAGCCACAATACAATATGCTAGCTCGAGACAAGGTGGAAAGAGAGTTTTCTCTCTTATACGAAAACTATGGCCTGGGTTTGACCATATTCAGTCCCCTCAAGACTGGGATCCTCAGTGGCAAGTACAATGATGGCATTCCGGAAGACAGCAGGATTGCCAAAGCTTCAGAAGGCTACACCACCAGCCAAAGGGAAAGCTATGGAAACGAAGAATGGAAGAAGACACTGGTCCAGGTGAGGCAGTTGAAGCCCGTTGCTGACAAGCTTGGGGTTGATCAAGCAACACTAGCGTTGGCGTGGGTCCTCAAGAATCCTCGAGTCAGCTCAGCAATTACTGGCGCCTCGAAGGTTGAACAGGTATACAAGTCAGTCAAAGCATTGGACCTCGTGCCCAGGCTAAATGACGATGTAATGGCCGAGATCGACGACGTTCTTGGGAACAAGCCGACCCCTCTGTACAGAAGGTTGTAGACCAGCTTTTGAGAGATCGCAGGTAGCTCGCCTTTCCAATACGCTTTAATATTGGTTCTTTTCTAAACGCAGATCTTGCACGCTGAGACCGTTGAGTTGGCAACTGATATATAGAACCTTAGTTGATCCGTGTGTTTTTGAGGAGCCTCACGAGCCGGTGAGCCCTCGGCTCAATTGCCCTTGGGAGACTACGCTAGTCTACATTTGGAAATTTATGCCTCCGTCAAAAACGATCGAACCAACAGGAAAAAGCGCGATTCAATGATGTCAATGATTCCAGCCGCAGTCTCGACTACGACTCCGACTACGAGAGCTGCATCATTTCTTCGCAGCCATCGTCATTCCTCCTCTCAAGTGCTGTAGTATTTGAGACTCGGTATACTTGAACACCATGCTTCAACCCACCCTATTCTTCGCCAGACGAGTGGCCAGCCGTGGCTTCACTCCTTTGGTTTCTCAACGCTTCAAGACTTACTCCGAGCCTAGCACCAAGGAAAGTGAAAGGGCACCCTCAACCGCCGACGAACATCGTAAATATCAAAAGGAGAAACCGTTGAATCCTCATCTGACGAACACAAACTCGACCATCCACAATGACTTGCCGTCAGTTGGTGCAGACAAGGCTCCGCCAGAGCTCATTAGTTCGGTCGGCAAGAGCACAGCTCCAAAGGACCATGTCCCTGAAAATACGGACAGAATGACTGGCGGAACACAATCGGGTAGCCCAAGCAAAGTAAGCCCGACAGAATATGGCGTTGGTGAAATGGAGGGGATTTCGTTCAGAGTTGACCCCATCCGTCGAAGTGGTGAAGACGTGACAACCATGAGAGCAAGATTATTATGTCGGTGCAGTCCAGTGCACAGCTTCGCACGAGTGTGAGCCCTACTGAGAGACCTGACTGACAGTATGCGTAGACCAAAGCAGGAAGCGAGGGACACTAGAGTCCGACCTCCTACTCTCCACCTTCGCGGCTGAAAACCTCTCCTCCATGGACAAGGCTCAGCTCGAGCAATACGATCGGTTCCTGGACGAGAATGACTGGGACATTTATTATTGGGCTACTCAGTCACCAGCAAACACGCCTACATCCCTCGAGTATGCCGAAGGGGCAGTGAATGATACGAAGAGCGACGTATCTGAGCAAACAACGCCAACAACCCAAGGACAGACGCAACATCCTGATACTTGGAGCCCAGGGTCTTCGACGAGTGGAGAGTGGGCACAGACAATTGGACGATTCAAACCTGCTTATAGACCGGTTCCACAACGATGGAAGGACAGTGAGATATTGAGCCGGCTACGAAAACATGTCAGGGAAAGGAGCGCGGGAGGCGTCCTCGAAGACGTCAATGCGCAGCCAAAAAGCAAAGGAAGTGGCAGCGGTCTTGGGCGGATGCCAGATGTACAGACTTTTTGAGTGAAGTTTTCTCGCGCCCATCGAGTCTCTACTATGTGTACCATCCAGCTGTATATTTAGGTCTTGAAGGACATACACGTCCTTGGGTATTGATAGGTAACTACTACCGTCCTCCTCAACGATGCAACACAATGGCCAGACGAAAGGACTAGTATGTTGTACGAGCACAGGTGATAAAACCACAGTTGAGGGTCGTACATACATGAAGCATGTACAATAAATAGCCGGATGATGCGCCGATAGCCGGTTCTAATAGACCCGGTCTTGTCCGCCGAATCCACGACGCGCATTCGACCTCATATTCCATCTCCACCGGTTACTCGTACCTGGTTATCGGCTAAGAACAGTGTGGACATTTACCGTGGTTGCTTGGGGGTGAAAAGCGTATCTTGTAGAAATGTGAGTCAAACTGGCTTTCCTTCGACTCTGAAAAATCGAAGACGACGTCGACCTCACCACCAGGCCACATGGCGCGAAGCTTGTTACAACATTCTCTGGAGTGGTGATTGTCCGTGGATCTGCTTTTGGGACAAAATAAAAGTCTTTACGAGGTTATTCGAGTCGGAAGGTCCCCGAACGCCATGCTTCAAAGTCCTGATCGTCACCTCGACGGCCAGACACCTCGCGTGAGCCACGGAGAGGATGAAAAGTCGTCTGTTCGTCCTAGCAGCAGACATTCCTACGCATTGACGCCTGTTGCTTCCCGTCCAAGCCAGGATCGACCGTCGTTTCATCACACTATCTCGCGTACCTCCCATGTCGACGGTCATGGGTATTTTAGCGACGATGGACGTAATGCCAGCCAGGATGGCGAGCGACCGGTGAACATCGAGGAGAAGGACCTCTTCGAAGTTGGCTGGGACGGCCCTGATGATCCCATGGATCCCAAGAATATGAAAGTGTTCAGGAAGTGGATGATTGTGATCATTAATGCTGCTGGAGCCTTGTGTGTCACTTGCACATCCTCCCTGTACACGGTCACCTATGGTAAATTCCACCTCTACGGGTTCATCGTCTGCCATGGGGTACGAGTACTAATATAGCCAACAGATCAAATGGACGCAGAGTTTGGAAACTCCCGCATCGTCGCCACGCTGGGTCTAACGTTGTTCATCAGTGGTCTAGGGCTCTCACCTATGATTCTAGGCCCCTTGTCGGAATTCTACGGTCGTCGACCTATCTATATATATGCCTACGTCTTCTTCGTCATCTGGCTCGTTCCTTGCGCTGTTGCCAGAAACATCCAGACCATGTTGGTGGCTCGCTTTCTGGATGGCTTCTCGGGGAGTGCTTTTCTGTCCGTCGCAGGAGGCACCGTGGGTGACATGTTCAGCCGCGACAAGCTCCAGGCCCCGATGATGATATACACAGCAGCTCCGATGATAGGGCCTAGCTTGGGACCCATCCTTGGCGGCTTGATCAACTACAACGCGTCGTGGAGATGGTCGTTCTATGTTCTACTCATGTGGGCTGGAGTTATGCTCATAACAATCACAGCATTCGTTCCCGAGACCTATATGCCAGTGTTGCTTCGCAAGAAGGCCCGACAGAAACGGAAAGAGACCGGCGACGAGCGATGGAAGGCACCGATTGAGATTTACGAAAAGTCTTTGTTCTGGACTGTGGTCAGATCGTTGTATCGGCCGTTCTTGCTCCTCTTCATGGAGCCCATGTGCTCCAATTTGTGTCTCCTATCGTCTATTCTGCTGGGCATCCTGTATCTGTTCTTCGGGGCTTTTCCATTGGTCTTTGGAGACGTGTATGGCTTCAACCTCTGGCAGGTCGGCCTCTCTTTCTTGGGCCTCATGATCGGCATGATACTCGCTATTTGTTCCGATCCGATATGGCAATGGAATTATCTTCGCCTTCTACGAAACGCAGAGACAAGAACCGGTGAGCGCAAGTCAGAGCCAGAATATCGACTACCACCGTCTATCTTCGGGCCCTGGATATGCACCGTGGGACTCTTCTGGTTTGGCTGGTCCTGTTATGCTCGCGTCCATTGGATTGTTCCAATCATCGGCACTGGCTTTTTCGGATTTGGGACCGTCTTGACCTTTTCTGGCGTATTTACGTTCCTGGTCGAGGCATACCCCCTGTACGCAGCAAGTGCTTTGTCCGCCAATTCCTTTGCCCGAAGCTCCTTTGGGGCGGCCTTTCCGCTGTTTGGACGACAAATGTACAAAAGATTAAACTATCACTGGGCTACCTCGCTATTGGGATTTCTTTGCTTAGCCCTGTCACCCTTTCCATATCTCTTCTTCATCTGGGGAAAGAAATTACGGCAAAGAAGCAAGTATGCCCACCTGTCGGCCTGAGCACGGAATCAATCCAGCAGCCTGGGGATCTTGATCGATATATCAAGCCACATTGCGCCATCATATGAAACCAATTTATGTCTCGAACGTATCTCTGGTTCCGTCTGGCTGAGCTATTGAGATTCAGTCTCCACACAGAGATTAGCTTGTGTCAACACCAACTGAGGTAAGTCATGGTCAAAAGGACTGCACAGCCGACGTTCGGGACTGCAGCTCGGCTCTATCCTGTTGATGCTGGTTTTGGGGGTCGCTCGTACTCGTCTAAGCTCAAGTGGCGTCGCGCATGTGATGGTGTCTTTTGAGTCAGGCAAAGGTCTAGGGTCAGGGAGATGCAGTTCCTTTGGCGATTGCAGAATCATCGATTCTCTACGCGTGGACTGGTCAAGATGTACCCAGGACGGTCACAGATGGCAGGGTTTAGAACTCCCTGGTCGTAAACCCTACAGACACGAAACCGAGATCATATCGCTGTGCAAATAGGAGTATTGTTCTTGGGGTTTCCCGGGCGCACAAGGTGTTCCACAATATACAATACGTGCATTGATCACTCGGTCAGGTCGATCAGGAGCCAGGTCCAGGGAGACAGGACGATGTCAGTGATTAGTCGGCTGAATTGCATAAAGGGGGCCTTCATGACCAGTGTGTCCTAGGTCGTTCGATGAAGCACTAAAGGCTGACATGCTCCTGCACAGGTCAACTTCCCAGGACACAGCTTATGACACTGACTCGTTGAGTACTGGTCCTGTCGCCTTAGACTCGGCGCCTCGGCTTCGGCTTTGGGGGTTGATTGAGCCTGTTCCGTAGAGCTCCGAGGCTCGGGATTTTGCGGGCAGCCTCGCCTATTGAAAAAGAGTTTCAACTATAGTAGGTACTCTTAAGGTACAAGTCAGGGTCTAAAGAACCGATCTCGCTAAGCTAGCTGTGGCTGCACTTGGATGAAAAAGTTTGCAGAGGGCCATATTACGAGGAACTGAGCCTGAAGCATCATCCATTGCCCCGGCGTGTGGAATTGGGTCACGGCATAACAGGTAGAGAGTACCTAGTACCCTGAACCGGGTCCATAGTACAGTACCCAGTTGGTACAGGGAATACATTGGTCTTCCCTTGAACGTGAGTCACTTGCAAACTACTGGACAGTACACCAGGGCCCCTCCCCCTCAGACAGGAGCTAATTCAGTCGAGAGCCAAAAGGGCTAGAGGGCTGGCTGGCATGGAGATGAATGTGTGGAGACACTTTGCCGCGGTACAAAGTGAACACTGCCTGAGCTGGGAGTGCGAAGGGTCACGGCCAGATTTCGGCGAGACGAGGTCGGCAGATTACGATACAGTAGGATAGAGTGGAAGATAGATGAATCGATAGGGATTACCTTATGCGAGCAGTTGTTTGAGCAGCGTCGCAATATATCGTCGACTCAGCTCATCATACTTGTCCTCGCATTGGAGAGCAATTGTGTGTCCCCGTGCAGTAAGAGAAGCAGAGTCAGGGTCAGATTTGTGGGATCCAATCCAAAGCAGCCAAAAAGCCATTAAACGGTCCGTTGGAGGCAGCTTGTGATGGGCCGCGCCTCGTGGATGATCTAGATTCTTGGACAACATCTGTAGCTGCCTGCGCCTACCAAGATACCTACAGTACCTGATCTCAGTATATCAGAAGCTGTCGTAGAGGTTAATAGAATTTCTTGGAGTTGAGAGACAAATGCCAGGTACCTGGATCTATAGACTCCCTACCCCAGGTACTTTGGTAAGCCCTTCTAGGCACTAATGAGAGCCCTCTGCGCCCGAGAGAGTGCAAGTGTTTAGGCGTGGCTGGCTCCAGGCGAGCCCTGCGTAAGGTAATAATTACTCCCAACGCTAAAACTAAGCCCGGCTATGGCACCTTTGATGCCCAACGCCCGCCTTGCCAATTAGCACCCTAGTAAGCCTCACTAGCCGGAAGAGCGCCTAGCAGGAGCCCAGGAGAGGCCTAGGAGGTATCCTGTAGGTATCTCTTCCGGCGTAGCTCTAGTTGACTAGGCTAAGCTAGTTGGTGAGGCTGCGGTCTTGACCCTCCACCCGCATTCTCTCTTTCTCCTCCTCCTCCACCATCCCACAATCCTCACTGTCAGTCTGTCAGTCCTCAATCTTGCGCCATCGTCCTCGTCGTCGTCCTCCGCCCAGATCCTCCATACCCAGCTACCTACTCATATCCTTCCTCCAGCAGCCGACGCCCTCAATCCTCCCTCTCGTCACCACCTACTGATCCCGCTCACACCGCCGGTCGAGATCCCTGCTGTCTACTGTGCGACTCGCTCTCTCTTCCCCTCGCAACGACACCTTCCCCGCGCCCGCCATCTGCGCTGTTTCCGGCCTCTCTACCACCGCCCAGTCGACGATCGCGCGCCTCTGTGCTACCAGCCGAACGTCGCACCGCATTCCTCGCTCTGTGGGCCGTACAATCTCTGGCCCTGAGCACTTCACCTCCCTTTTCGTCCTACAGAAGCGACGACTTTCCGCTGCCCAACAGCAGCTCCTGTGCTCACCCGGGCTTGCGTGAGAGAAACCAAGCTCCTGGACTCCAGCAGCCTGCGACGGCGCCGACTCGACCTGACGTGTCCTTTCATTGGAATTCTGGCTATTCCTGAATCTCCGGGTCTACATGTCCATTGGATCCCTGTTTCAAACCACCAAAGGCCCAATCAGTCCTGGTGTCGTGTGACGGTGGGAGTTTTGTGCGCGCCACAGTGCCGCTTGCGCGCCCTGGGCCTCCTTGATGGTCTGCTTATAACATCATGGCGGCCTCTGATGTCGAAGACGGGCACTCTCGCTCAGCTTCTCCCGAAGACAGCGGGACTGAGAATACTCAAAATAACATGGCCGAACCACCGTCCAAAGACGAAAAGCAGAAGCAAAACGGCTCGGCCTCCACTAACCCCAAGGACCCCAATCGACCGAGACGTAAGAAGGCACGCAGGGCATGCTACGCCTGTCAACGTGCCCATCTGACCTGCGGTAGGTCAAACTAGAATACCGCAAGATTCCTGTGCTGACATGTCTGTGTATAGGTGACGAACGGCCCTGTCAGAGGTGTATCAAGAGGGGTTTGCAAGACGCTTGTCAAGACGGAGTCCGTAAGAAGGCAAAGTATCTCCACGATGCGCCAAATGAAGCTCTCATGCCGGTGGTTGGCGGGAATTTGTTCAATCGGTCTGCTGCGAAACAGCGGAGTTCGACCATCACAAGTGATACTTCTTCGCAGCAACCATACTTCCAACAGCCGCAGAATTTCAACAACTTCCAGAATACCCCTCAACAGCAGATGCCCCCTCCGCTGGTGCACGAACGGAGCATGAGTACGACGAGCTTTTCTCAGCACTCACCTCTGACCACCAATTTTACTGGCATGACCTCGCAAGTTGCTCTACAAAGTCCTGTCATTGGTGGGGATCCGGCGACTACCAATGGCATGGGAGGTGCTCCTTGGTCCGGAGCGCTGTTTGAGGAGCCTTCGCCGTTTAACTTTGATATTGCCAGCATGAATTTTGGCAATCATTACGGTGCGTTAGAGTTCGGTATGCTTGGACACATGGCCACAAACGCTGGGGAGACTCCGCCTAGCGACACCACAACACATCGAGGTTCCATGACACAACAGTATCGAATGCCTCTGGGTAGCTTCAGCGACAGTCCCACTGCACGTCAACAACTGTACAACGAGACCGCCATGTTGTCGGACTGGTCCAACAATTCGGATCCGTATAGCGCCCATAACCGCCACATGGCTCCAAACGCGTTCACCATCGAGTCCAATGCGGCACATTGGACCTCACCAGACACCAGCGGTACCCCGGGTAATGGTGTCAAGTTTGAAGATTCACCACTGTTGACCAACCAGGGGTTACAAGCCCCGCCGACTCATCTTGAGAATGGCAACCTGACACAGCCGAACAATTCTCTGGATAGTCGACCGAAGCAGCCCCCTCCAATATCCACGCCACAACTCAAAGCAAGGTCTCAACTGCCCGCCAAACCGTTAAAACGGCCTCGAGATCCCTCGTCAATCTACACCTCGGTCACGCAACCCCATTCGTACACTGCTGGCTTTCACAATCTAGTCGCATATTGCCGGAAACGCTTCGCCACCCAACCTTCAAAGACACTTGCAATTGCAAAGTCTCTGGCCTCTATCAGGCCCTCATTTATTGCTACTACAAGGACGTTAAACCGCGAAGATCTCATATTCATGGAAAAATGTTTCCAGAGGACCTTGTGGGAATACGAGGGCTTTATTGAAGGTGTGGGCACGCCGACCATTGTGGCTCGGAGAACAGGCGAAATCGCCGCAGTTGGAAAGGAATTCCAGATCCTCACGGGCTGGACTAAGAGTGTCTTGCTTGGCCGAAGCCCCAATCTGAACGTGAATCGAGGGCATTCGGGTGCGACTCCCTCGGGCGGGTCGGGCACAAATACTGCGAGCCGGACAGCGGGGTTCAATACGCCCACGCAGCGCACCACCGAAGCCGAAAATGGCGAGAAACGGTCTCAGCCGGTCCTTCTTGCAGAATTGCTTGACGACGATTCTGTCGTTCAATTCTACGAAGACTTTGCAAGACTGGCCTTTGGTGATAGCCGGGGCAGCGTATTGGGAAGAGGCAAACTGCTCAAGTATCGTACGAAAGATGATGAGCTTTCCCAGAATCTCAATGCGGAAGCCGAGGCACGCAATGAAGATGGCAAACCCAATGGCACAGATGGTCGACGGAAGGATAGTAACCATTCCCGGAGAAACGACATGAAAAAGGATGGCATTTCGGGTGAAAAAGGAATGCAGAAACTCGGATCAGCCGATGGGAAGGTGGATTGCACTTATTGTTGGACCGTCAAGCGTGACGTCTTTGATATTCCCATGCTGATCGTTATGAATGTGAGTTGTTTGATGGGTTTCCATGAGAATCTTTTGGTGCAGACATGCTAACACTCTACAGTTCTTGCCTTGTATATAGGCGATAAAAAGTTTCAGATGGTGTTGGCATTATATGGACGGTTGGGTTAACTTTGGTGGTGGTGTTTTGTGTACACACGGACGGGAACTTGACGTGTTGATATTGAATTGTGAGGTTTTTGTTTTCTTGGTGCGCGATCTGGTCTTTACCAGAGTCCCAATTACGAGGATGAGTATGAGTATGATTGTCTGAGGGATGAAGTATGAGTTGTCATCCCTATCCGTATCGCGTCGACCAACGTTGTTCGTTCTTCGACGTTCGATATTCGATATTCGATAGTAACAGAATAAACTGTTGTTGAGGGATGAAAGACGCACGTTTGATTATCTAGTATCTACCTGACTTTGATGGTGATGATGGATAAATGAATACCTTGTAGGTACGCCGCCGAGGTGAAAAGAAAGAGAACGAAAGAATAGCGTTAAAGTCGATGTCAAGATCAAGATCAAGATGAAGATGAAGATGAAGATGCAACTGGATCGGAGAAGGTCCCTTTCCTGACAGGAACTTCCTCCTCCTTCACCTCTTCACCACCCCTCCTTTCGTTCTCCTCTACCTGTGGCTATACCTTTTTGTCCGTAAGTATTGTCAAGGCGTCGGGCAGTGAATGACATAGGGGCCGTAGTATGGGTGGTGGTAGTAGATCCCTTTCAACCAGGCATGTCCTTTCCTTCTTCCCTTCTTCCCTTCTTGTCCTTGAGATGCTTCACTTCTCAATCAATTGCAAGGGTCGTTGTCACATCGATGTCAGGGTCTTTCCTTTCCTTCACTTGGGCAATATGATCATTATCGATATCGTCATCGACATTGAATGTGTGTGTGTGTGTGTGTGTGTGTGTGTGTGTGGGTGTGTGGATGTTTGGATGTTGAGAATTCAATTATCAATATCAATGTCACGCTCGATGTCGTGTGTGTGTGAGAGAGAGAGAGATAGAGAATCAAGCCTTTGCTTCCTTTTTCTTCAAAACTTCCTTCTCTATCTCGTCCGTATTCGTGGTTTTCATCCATTCGAAATCCTGCAACCACGGATCACCCTTGAACTTTTCGTACGCTTCACGTTGTAAGCTCCGTCCTGTCAACAACAAAAAAGCAAAAATGGCAAGTATCGTCAGTTTAGGTGTCTGCGGTATAAAGAACACAACCGGAAAAGTCCAACAGGAACTTATAAGAAACTTACTGGCGACTTCACAATCGGTCTTGATATCTTCCACCAAGGCCTCGAGACTCGTGTAGTCGTACTCGGGCCGGATAAACGCCAACATCAGCAGGTTCAGCGCGGCGCCGTAAAAGTCGAAGTCGAAGTCGTGTAGGATGTGGATCTCGACGCTGCGCATGGTGTTCTTGTAGAAAGGGTTGTACCCTATGCTCAGCACGGCCGGGTAGATCAGCGGCGACGGCGACGGGGACGACGAAGACGTCGCGGACGAAGCCGATGTCGACGAAGGGGTGCCGTCTTTCGACGGCGACGACGATGATGACGGCGCGAGAGACAACCCCACGAACCCGTAGTACACGCCGGACGCCAGATCAGGGTAGGCCGAAAGACCTGAAGGTGGGATGTTGGCGGTTGGGATGCCGAGCTAGAATTGTGAACACACACACCGTCATAATCAGAATCAGAAATCACAACCAGAATGAGCAATGAGCAATAAAGAGAAACCAACAAGACGCAAAAGAAAAAGGCACAAGAAAGAAGCTGTGAGTACGGAACACACCTCTTTACTACCGCGTCCAAACCCATGGATGACTGGCCCTTGAAGCCTTATCGGAAACGGCTTCTCTGGTCCATCTTCTGGTCCGGCGTAGGGATCGCGGGGACCGTTTGGGGCCATGGCGGTTGGTTCTCTTTTTGCAGAAGACGCAGAGTCCGACTCCTTTCTTCTCCAGAATACGACCGAGATCTACACCTGCACAGAGTCGTCCAAAACTTTGGTGGGTGTTGGTTTTGAGCTGGAGCGTGGGCGGTGGTGACTCTTGGTTGGATCGAGGATTGATTACCAATGGTCGGTTATTGGTTCGATTGGGCTGTACGGAGTAATAGGGAAATGGAAAATGAGGGAACCCAAAAATCCCGAGCAGGCGGTGATATATTTTAACAGTGGTGGATTCTTTTTTCGACAAGAACTTCCAACTAAAAATCAATCAAGCGTTGAACGTAGAAACGTAAAGAAAAAGCCCCTCAATCTGGGTGACTATCAATCAACAAGACCCCCCCAAAAACCAGAACAAACAGTGTGGGTGAGCATGAGCCTTCTTTACCAGGCGTGCCAGACATAGATATTTGTATCTCCAGTACTACCAGCCTCACAATATCCCTGTAGGTACGACACAGATCTTCGTCTTTCATCTCTATTCTCCAATGTTTTACTCCTGAGGTCAGGCCGGTGGGCCAAAGCACCTACAAGATATAGATAGGCCCCTGTCTTGAAGAAAGAGAGGGTGTACACTACAGCCTCAGCTCGACCATCTACCTACCTTGTAGTTAAATCTATACACTCGCCGAGTAACCAACACTCGGCGCCAACCCTGAAGCTCGTCTCTTTTCGGTCCACTTCCGTAGCTCGTCGGCCCAGAAAACAGTACTTGTTATACACACCAGCCATATGAGGTCCGACAACCCCAAAGCCTCGGTCTGGAACACCCGCTGCAGGAACGGGAGATAAATAACACAGAGCTGCCCTGCAAGACTGCCTGCAACGGCATAGTTGAACATTTTATTTCCAAACACCTTGATCTCACCAAACAAAACTGACTTGGTCTCCGAGCGACACGTGAGGGCATTAAACATGTCGAAAAGCACAAACGTCGTAAAGGTCATGGTGGTATCGCGTTTGGTCACCACTCGGTGGTGGAGCGGTGTACCAGAGCTATCTGTTGTATTGGGATCGTCGATGTCGACCATCTCACGGATATAGATGCTGATGGTACCAAGCATAATGATGAGGGCTTGGGTCAGGACACGGCGGATCAGGCGCTTGGTCAGGACGTTCGCGTTTCGAGCTCGAGGTGGCTGGTTCATCACACGAGGATCCACTGGCTCAACTCCAAGAGATTGAGCAGGAGGACCATCCATCAAGATATCTGGAACGCGGTTAGCAAACATCCTCTCGCGACACACCAACACACGTACTAATCCAGAGGATCTGCATCGCGTTGAGGGGATTCTTGAAGCCGAACATCGTGCTCAATAAAACCAGAGTCAACGCAGCCACACTCGTGCTCAATTGGAAAGTAATAAAGTTCTGGATGTTAAAGAAAATGCCCTTGCCCTGTTCGATGGCCCGGAGGATGGTCGAAAAGTCGTCGTCGGTCAGAATCATATCCGCAGCCTCTTTCGCCACGTCAGTTCCCAACATGCCCATTGCAATGCCAATGTCCGCTTTCTTCAACGCGGGAGCGTCGTTGACTCCGTCCCCGGTCATTGCAACCACATCGCCGCGTGCTTGAAGTGCTCGAATGATCTTCATTTTATGGTCTGGGCTGGTTCGCGCAAAGATGGTGGTCTTGCCGATCGCCTCTGATAGCTCTTGTTCTGTCATACGATCGAGCTCATCGCCTCGTAATACTGAAGAAAGAGCTGATGATGACGGGTTGAGGGGCATGCCCAACTTTTTGCCGATCGCGACAGCAGTAGTTTCAGCATCACCAGTGATCATGATGACTTTGACGCCGCCATTCATCAGCCTCCGGATTGACCTGTGGACGTCTTTCCGCGGCGGATCGTTCATGCCCACCAAGCCAGCAAAACACAGCCCATTAAAGACATCTCCCCCAGCCGATTTCTTTTCAAATCCGGCAGGCGTCGAACTTCGACTGCTGTGTCGGGCTTTGCTTCTGATGGCGCCACTCGCAAATGCAATGACGCGGAGCCCTTCTTCGGCCATGGCCCGGGCAGCTTCGGTGGCCATGCGTCGACGGTTCTCGTCAAGAATTACTTCTTGCCCATCCTTTGTCAAGTAAGTGTCTGAACGACTGAGGACTTGCTCGAGGGACCCTTTTATGAATGCCGTCTCATTTCCGCCTCCAACACCGTTGGTCAGCTCGTCAAGCGCACTGGCGATGACAACACCCATCCATTTGCGTTCCGAACTGAAGGGCGTTTCACTCGTTCTCTGACCTATCTGGTCACGGATATCATCCTCCCCAAATGTATCCAATAGGTCGAGCATAGCAATGTCCGTGGGTTGACCAAGCCATCTGCTTTTGGTGTTTGTGGCTGATAGGTCTCTGGTGGAAGACAGTACCGCGGCCGATGCTGGAGTTCCTGGGTTGTTATGAGACAAGCGCCCATGGTTAGCAATATTGCCTATTCGAAGAACCGCCCTGATAGCCGCAGAGGGCTGCACCGAGGTGTCCACCGCGAAAGGTTGAGAAGCGTCAAAATGCCATAGCTTGGTCACAGTCATGTGGTTTAGTGTCAATGTGCCAGTCTTGTCGCTGCAGACAACATTCACTGAACCGAGAGTCTCAACACTCGGCAACTTTCGTACAATGGCCCCCCTCTTGGCCATGCGCAACACTCCTAGGGCCAATGTCACCGTGACGATAATAGGAAGACCTTCCGGTATGGCAGCTACAGCTAAAGACACACCGATCGTAAACAGATCCAGCGGCTTCTTCCCCTGAAGCAGTCCAATGACCATAATTATTCCAATGACCACAAATGACATATAGCTCAGCTGCTTTCCGAGAAGATCCATTGAATGTTGAAGTGGTGTTCGAGGGGCTTCGATCTCCTGCAATGACAAGGAAATTGTCCCAAACTCAGTTGATCCACCGGTCGCAATGACTATGCCTTCACCATACCCGGACCGGACCAAGGTGCCCATGAAGGCGATGTTGTGCTGCTCGTTCAAGCGAACATCCGCCCCCACAGTACCAGCTGCATTGAAAGGCTCCGGTGTACCATGGTGCTGAAACACTGGAGCCAGCCTCTCAAGCGCAGCTGCGTGCTTCTCGACAGGCTCATTTTCGCCGGTCAAATTGGCTTCGTCGATGGTGAGATCTGAGGAAAAGGTGATTCGGATATCAGCAGGTATTCGATCGCCAGTATGAAACAGAACTAGATCACCAACGACAAGCTGGGAAGCAGGTATTGTCTTTGTGGCTTTGGGTGTTCCGTTCGCCAACGGTTCCAGTTCGATGTCCCCTTCTTCAGCGTCACTCCCCAGCGGTGCTCCAGAAGGGGTCGCAGTACGTCTCACATGGGCATAGTGCGGCACCAATCGATTCAACGCCTCCAGAGACTTCTCTGACCGGTATTCTTGCACAAACCCGACGGTGACAACGATGGTGACTGCGAGCGCAATGCTGACAGCGTCGTCCTTGTTACCAATGAAGAGTGAAATGGCAGCCGAACCGAGTAAGAGAAGGATCAAGGTCTCCTTGAACTGTTTCAAAAATCTCAGCCATAAAGGTTCCTCCTCTTCGTGTGGCAGCTCATTCGGCCCATCTTTTCCGAGTCTCGCATGCGCCTCGCTTTGTAACAGGCCTTGGGTGAGGGACGTCTGTAGGCGGTCCGCAGTGTCCTGAGGACCGAGCAGAGAGTAGACGGAGGTTATCGAGGACGAACCCGGAGCTCGTGCTGGGCTGCGTTGTCGACTGATGGGAGTGGCTTCTGCATTGAAGACAGGTAGTGCAGAAGCTGATGGTTTTGACATGATTTCATTGTGCTGCTTTGATAAATGACATGCCGTCTCCCTCAATGCAAAAATACGCCGACTGGGACTTTTGACAAGGAGAGGTAAAAAGTCTAAGAGGCACGGGATAATTTACTAAATAAAGAGCGAAGACCTTTCCTCGTCATGGATATGAGGGACGAAGTAATTACCTGACTGTCTGTCCCCTGGAGCGCTGCGAATTCCATGGTGAGGTCCGCCTGGGAGAGCCTGCGATCTAGCCTCAACGGTGGCCCTAAACCCCTAATTTCTAGCCGACCTATAGGCTATAGAGGCTCGGGACTAGTCGCCTGCTTAGTTCACTAGTTAGTTGGTTAGGGTTTCATGACGAAGCCTTTGGGCAGATGAGGGCAAGTAGACGCACGGCAGGTAGAGCGAGGACGCTAACCAACTTAGTGCCTTAGCGCCGAGCAAGGCTGCTAGCGACGCTGGCCGCAAACACCAGCAAAAGGCACGAGTCACGAGTTCCCTGATTCTTAGCAAACAGGCCTGCGCTTTGGTCGCATTCCAGCCACTCACCACTGCTTCACTTGCATCGGCCTCACCAACCACCTCTTTTGCGTCTCAACATCGTTGCGTGTTTAATCCTATACACATTGCAGCGTTCTCTCTGGTCGCTGTATCGCGATTTCATTCTCTCTTCAGTTCTTGATTTTACTGGGCCCTTTTGCGCCGCGATCGACCTCAAAACATTGACCCCTCAGACGCGTCGATTGGCTATTCCTGTGATATATTTCATCAACAACATCTCCTTCTACCACCCCTGTATTTCCATGACTGCGTGATCGACCTGAAGAAACTCAGATTCGAATCTCCATGTTCTACGATCCGTCTTTGCTGGCCAAGACCGGGCCTTTGGCTCGCGTCTGGCTCGCGTCAAACGTCGAACGAAAGCTTTCCAAGTCGCAGATTCTTCAGTCAGATATCCCCGGCAGTGTGGGAGCCATAGTTGACCGCGGCGATGAGCCCATGGCCCTGCGGCTGAGCGGCCAGCTTATGCTGGGGGTGGTGCGCATTTACGGGAGGAAGGCGAGGTATTTACTGGATGATTGCAACGAAACACTGGTCAAGATTCGCATGGTATGCTCACGAACTATCTTAGGTGTACACCTGCTAATCTTTTACAGACCTTCAAGTCAACAAACAACCATGATCTGCCTGCTCATGCGACAACCACAGTCGACTTGAATCTGCCAGAATTGTTGACCATTGACGACCTGTTTTCCACCATGGATTTCGCCTTCCCCATGACTCAACAACCCACACTATCTGCACCTGACACACAGGATCTGGATGAGGACTGGACTAGCAGTCTCAATCCACAGCAGAGCAGCACTCAGTCTATGCTTACACCCGGCGAGGAGCCACTGTACAATGAAGATGATCTCAACTTGAACTTCGGGGATGGCGACGAGATGGATCTCAATGAGACGACTGTGAGCATGAACATTGGCCGAGAAGCTCCAACGCCCAAGGCCGATCATGGCGACCTGCTCGCGGAGGAGGGCCTCATCCACGACGACGGGGATCTCAACTTGGATTTTGGAGAGGACGTTGAAATGGCGGACGATGCTGAGTCGCCTCGCCTAGCCGAAGAACCCCTCGCAGATGTCATACCTGATGCACCGTTGGACTTTGGTGACGACGAGACTCTGAAGCTGCGAGAAGCTGCGGAAGCCGAGGCCCGCCGAAGAGACACAGACTCTCCTCTTTCAGATGCTGAGTCCGATGTCTTACGCAACCTAGATCAGACTTTTCAAAACCTGAACACTGAGGAAGATGTGGAGGAAGTTGCGGTCCAGCAACGCCAGAGAAGTCGGAAGCAGAAACCCCTCGCCCCCGATGTCGAAACGGTCCTGCACAACAGGCAGATCAAAGCCCAGGCAGAGGATCGATCGAAAATCCTGCGTGCTCCATCCTTCCTTCCCCGCGATCCTATCCTCCTCACTCTCATGAACATGCAGAAGAACGGCGATTTTGTAAGCAATGCTATGAATGACGGCCGATCGAGAAACTGGGCTCCCGAATTACAGGGTTTGTTGTCCTTCGAAATGTTCATGGGATCTGGTGAACGCAAGCGTAAGCGAGACAGTGGCATTGGCGGGTTGAGTGAGGATGAGCACAACGAGAAATCCCCTCGGTTGGAAGGTCCTGATGATCTCGTGGAAGATGAAGGCGTGCAAATCGAAGAATTTGAAGCCCAGGTCCCCCAGATCCCTGCCGATGATGGAGTTCAGCCACTTATTGGTGATGGCGCGCCGGGGTTAGAGGATATTGTACTCGGGGAGGACGATGCAGGTATTTTCGACGGCGAAGACACGTTCGACGAGACGACGGTGCCACTGCTTCACCCTTCAGAAAGCGGCCCTGTCTCGCTTGGCACCAAACATGCTGTTCACTTACTGCGAGAGCATTTGGGTGGTGCAGATGGCTCTCAGACTTCGTCACCTGCGAAGAAATCTGTGCTCCTTACTGAGCTTGTTCCTGAGGGCCGAACCAGCAAGGAAGATGCGACCAAGATGTTCTTTGAGGTACTTGTGCTGGCGACGAAAGACGCCATCAAGGTCGAGCAGCCGATAGACAAAGCCAACAAGGAAATGGGTCTGCCTCTGAGAATTCGAGCAAAGAGAGGACTATGGGGCAGCTGGGCTGAGACGAGCCCAGGCGATGATCCGGCAGCGGCATCACAGCAAGTCGAGGTTGGCGCATGAGCTGTGGTATCGTGGTGCTGGTTGGCCATGAGCAGTACGAATTTGTTCTTGGATTTCAAGGGGTCGGGACGGGCTAGGCTGGCAATTATTGTATTCTTACCTATGGAGTATTGGGCTCGGGCTTGGATCCTGAACGACACAAAATGGGTTCCGGGGGAAGTGGATGGGATTGATTATCAGAACCAGCGACGGCGTCTCTTGGAGTAGATAGTTGGGCGACCACCGTGGTCCTAGTTGGCGCATACATGACCTGATGTGCTGCCGTCAGCTCTTACCAGGATATCCTATCGCACTTGGAATGAATTTGGGAATCGCAGACGCAGCTTTGGTTGATCTTTTCACATTCCTGGCTCTCCTCATTAAGGGAGCGACTCTCGATTGTTCGTTTCTATGTGTCTTTTACCCAGCTGCCGTCCTCCATCTTGCCTTCTCGTTTAGGGCCTTCCCTCAGCCAGGTCTCGGCCACACCAGACTTGGGATCCTCGTCCGGTAGGCCTCGAGACCGTCTCACTTCGAGCACTGCGTTCCGTACCCTCCTGGTGCATTCCTTTCTCAGTTCAACGGCTTCTGGGTGACCCTTCAGTGTCTCTGGCACAATACCCAGCATGATTTCATTCCAATGGCCATTGCCCCTTTCTTGGGCGTCTTTGTCGACAAGTTCGCGCCATCTCCTACGCAAGTCTCCAAACACCTCTTCCACATCGAGCTCTTTGCCAAATGTGACTGTTATCTTCTTGCCTATCCGCGGCAGGAAGCGCGGGAATGTTCGGCTTTCGTGCATGACCTGATCTGTCCCTTCGATAAACATGGGCACCACGTCCGGAGCTTCCAGCGGCTCCAGGATCAACCGCGCTACTCCCCACTTGAAGTATCTCATTGTTTTGTCTTCGGCCTGATGGATCATGCCCTCGGGGAAGATGTGGACCCAGCTGTAAGCATTGCTCGCATAGCGGGATGGCGCATGGTACCACCGCACATCATTTGGCTGCGAAAGGTATGCAGGTGCTGGCGCCATGTCTGAGAACGGATCGACGCAGTCTCCCGGCCAGCTGGGGTCACGGGTCGTCGATTGTAAGCGGGGGTTGCTCAGCGGGCACAGGGCAGAGTTTTGCGTCGAGATCTTTGAGAAGAGGCGCACGCCTTCGGTCATGGTGGCTTGGAATAGTCCGCCGTGGGGAGAATGGGCACCGCGGTGGGTGGGAAGCACCTGGCCCATGGTGAAGAAGTGCGAAAGAGGACTATTGGTAAAGCAGATGTCATGACTGCCAAAGGACCACCGGTGGTTCATGTAGCCATGGACGGCGGCGAAGGACAGAGGAATGACACCCCATATTAAAGGGTCATCAACGACGGAGATGTGGTTGGAGACGGTCAACAGACCCCTGCGACGGGTCTTGTAGTCTGCGCGCGACTTGAGGAGATCGAGGAAGCGAGGAAGGCCATGGACTTCGGTTTTGTTCAGACCGTAGATGAAGGCGCGCGAGATGGCCGAGACGACGAGGAGCGTCTGGTGCGTCGCGGTTCGCCAAAACAGGCTGGGCTGCTCTGCATTGGGGTACAAGTCACCGCTGCTGGGGACCATTGAAGCTGGAGAAGGATGTCTACGGGTCGTCATCCATCGAGACCGCGACAACAAGGTACGCACGGCGCTGCGCACAGCAGGGAGCATCAACCAGCAAAAGAATTCTGATCCGCGACGAAAGCGTTCTCCGTGTCCCTAATTTATCAACTACATGCACTTGTACCTGAATTCCCCGAAAAATTAAAAACGTGTAAAGCTGGCGCGTTCCGCATTGGCTGCCGCTCCCGAGCTCCGTCTCCGATTTCCTGCCAGTAGAACTTCTATCTGCGCCCGATCATACAAAGTACGCAGTATTCGTCGGCTCATCAGTCAAACACCCAGCTCACTCCTGTGACACACCATGTTCAAGCCTACGTCCGCCTTATCGGGCGGCCTGCTATGGTACGATCGCTTCGCCCTCGTTCTCGTTCTCGTTTTCGTGTTGCACGACGCTGACTGCGGCGCAGGAAAATCCCATGGCGACTCTCCTCGATGCAAAAGGCCCGACAACGAAAACGGCTGAAGCTGGTCGATAAAGTCGTCGACACGGTCAGCATGGCGCTACAAAATAATGGCGGCATGACGGCAAAGGCCGTGGACAGATGGTACCAAGAGATGCCGCGGGAAGAGGAAATGCTCCCCAAGGACAAATACACGATCTTTGACCGCAAAGAGAAGAGATATCGCAAGGGCATTCACAGTACGCTACTAAGAAAAGAAATCTCGCTTCTGGACCATTTTGCTGACCTGGATTTTCAGAGCTGCCGAAGTGGACAAGAGTCAGTCAACGACTCAATCCACCTGGCTTCTAGTTCGGACTGGAGCAGGTTTTGTATATATGGGAGGACCTTCACGCACGAAGCCATCTAAGACGTTGAGGCTTCTCCAGTTGAGTCAGAGGCTCTCAGGCGCAGTGCCGCCGTGGCCATCCCGTTTTGCTTTCAATTGTACGAACAGCAGCGAATTACGAAGTATCATATCACATGGAGGAGTGACAATACCCGGCATGCCATATGCCACATGGGCTTCGTATGAGCAGGAGACGATCACAATCTACCTATCTTGACTATGGAACGAGAAGAGCGTCGATCGTGGGCAGGTTAAGATGAGGCCCCGGAAAATCTCTGGATTGGAGTTAAGGGCAGGGTTTTTGACTGTATGTACGATTATGGCTGGCCCGCGAGCAGCGAGAAAACAAAAAGAAATTGGTAAAGGCGAGCCAGGAGGAGACGTGTGTTCTGCCATGTCTTCCATGAGCAACTCTACCAGAATACTTGGTACCTGTGTCTGCACGCTCCAGAATCCGCAGACAGTTTTGCTGTCCAAAAGCAGCGTCAGTCGCTGTTCGTTTTGGGCGCGGCCAATTGATGACGCAGCATTTTGCCCGCATCGCTTCACACGTTCAACTCGGTATATCAGAAGCAATACACTTCCTTCTCATTTGGTGCTTGATTTTTCCTCTTTTCCCCTTCATCGCTTCCTGCGTCGTCGTCGTCGACCGCCTACTTCCTTCGTGATAGATGCCCAAAAAGCATCAACCAAAGGCTCTCCTAACTAAACCGCAGTCGAGTACGCCACATACACTATCGTCGTCCAAGGCCTCTCAGTCCAACACCACGCACAATGGCCCTCCGCAACGAAGTGTCAACGATCTGATCCGCGAGTCTAGACGTCTGCAGAGAAGAAACGAACCGCTCCCCCCAGCGCCGGGCAATGCTGCTTCGATCCCTCCTTCTCTGAGACGTGTGCTCGATCTCCCTCCTCTCCCGCCAGCACCTGTCCCCCACGTCCGTTCCAATGGGCCTAGCCGGCTGCGGCGCATACCTGGGCCTCCGCCACCTCGCAGTTGGCTGACCGACAGCATTCACGCCCCGGATTCGGCGAGGGCTACAGCTGACACTGAGTCGAGGGGCCACCGGATCCAGGTTCGCGCGAGTAACTTGCCGAGCGGCTCATTCCCTCCCGCCGGATCGTTGCAGCATTTGGCGCTGAAGAAGATAGCGAGCAACTGGTCGTGGCATGTTGAAAATGATCAAGTCTACTTCCCGGCTCTGCCCACAAATTTGAAAGAGACTCTTCTGAGTTATATTGCTGTCTACAACGAGGCGCCGATCAACCCACTTCGTCCGTTGTTTCTCAATGACAATGATCCCGGAGATCGCCTTGAAGTGCACCGACTCGATCTGAGCAACGGCCTTGGCTTATGGATGACTTTGAAGCAATTGGAGCGTGATTTGGTGCCGAAGCAGGCACCCGTCACAAAGTCTGTCTCTTCCACACAAGCTGCCTCACAAGCTGCCTCGCCATTTGAAGCGCTGGATAGCTGGGAGGCCGAGTCTGACGACGTCGACCGTCTAAGCCCGCTGCCTCTCTCAGTGATCCCAAAAGCCATATCCAATTTTGTCAACCTAAAGCACCTGTCACTGGCTGTTTCGCCAGCAAACGTAAAAGCAGCCTCGTGGCCTTCTTTGCTTTCCTTGGCCACGGAACTTCGAACGCTGACTTCGCTATCGCTAGCTTACTGGCCCCAACCGACCTTTACCCCCAATGCCGCGTCGACCAGGGCAGTTTTACACGTCCCTGGATCTCCCTCGGTGGTTTATGGCGGCTCCGATATGTACACAGCGTATGACGACAACTGGAGAGAGGCTGCAGGAATCCTTCGTACCCTGAGCAGGTCTTTGTATTGTCTGAAATGGCTCGACCTCACGGGCTGTGGTGATTGGTTCGCCGCGCTAAAATGGCGGCCGGAATCTTCCTCTGAGTCGTCTTCTCCTGAAAGGTATGGCCCCGAGTGGAATTCTGGGTGGAGGGGCCTTGAAAAGCTCATTCTGGAAGTTGGTTGGAAACCTCTTCCGCCATCAGCTCACGATAGTTTGCCGACTTCCGGCCAGCCACCTTGGGATGTCGAGAATGAGCGCAGGATATACCGTTACAATAAGGAGAGGCAACGGTTCGGCGAGATACGCAGCATGGCACAATCAGTGTCTAAGTACTTGCGCACGATCCGGAAAGAAGGCGGAGGGAGGTGGATCGAGGTTGAGATTGGCGAAGAACTCCAACCCTCGGACTTTCCATAGTAAGCATGTAGGTCCAACAAGCGGCGTGTGGCCCTTGTGGTGCAGAAATCCAACATTACTTGGTAAAGAAGTTTGTTATTCGCTGTGTGCCTGTCTCGGTTTTCTTCGCTGGACTGGTCTTTTTTAGAGTCATTTCTCTGTTGCTGGTTGCACTTCTTGGTTTCTTAGCCGTGGATTTCACCGGCGAGGTAGATTTGACAGGTGGTGGTGCAACTTTTGCATGCTTCTTAGCAGGAGACGACGAATCGTCGTGGTCAGGACGATGGCGCTTCTCCCCAGGACTGAATGCGAGGGAGTCGGAAGGAGCAGGAACAGGAACAGGAACAGGCATTGGCGCCTTGGTCTCGCTCCCATCCTGGTCTACCGTAGTAATATTCGTACTCTGTGGCTCGTCTGCTTCCTCCTTCTCCAGCTGGGACTGGGGTTTGGGCTTGGGCTTGTTTGCATTGCCGAAGAAGTTGGCAATATTCTTCTTGTTGTCCTTGCTGTCGACGGGGACGATGAAATTGGGCGAATTGTTGCCGACCTTGCCCACTGCACTGTCGACGGGGTAGCACAGCAGTTCACCGTCGTAGGGCTTGAGCACGGACTGCAGTTCCCTGGACCACTTGGTCCTCGTGGGATCGAGCCACATCTTCATGGCGTCGGTTCCGGGGTCGAGTATGACGGGCATGCGGTCGTGCAGGAAGCTGAGCTGCTTGTTGGAGTCGGTGGTGATGATGGTGTAGGTGTACAGCTTCTCCCTTTCCCTTTCCCTTTCGCCTTCCCGCTCGCCTTGCCGATGCGAGTCTTGTTGTTGTTGTTCCTCGTACTTGACACAGTCCCACAGACCGGCGAAGCACATCAGGTTGCCGTCCTTGCGCTTGACGAAGTGCGGCACTTTGTCCTTGGGCCCCGGACCCTTTTTGAGCCACTCGTAAAACCCCTGTGCGATAACAATGCACCGCTTCCTCTGCTTCATCGTGGTCCACATGCCGCGGTTCTCGATGAGTGAGTCGTCGCGACAGTTGATGGTCCGTAGGAGCGAGCTGTACTCGGGAGACCGTTTGGTCCAGAATGGGACCAGGCCCCATTTCATTGCCTTGAGTTCATACTTGTAATGGGGAGAGGCATCACTGGTAGTGCTACTAGCACTGGTATCAACAGCAGTGGTAGTAGTATCAGCAGTAGTGGTATCTGCAGCAGTGGCATCGTTGCTGAGGGCTTCAGCGTCGACCGCCCCGTCCCCAATTCCATGGTCGGGCACTTCTGCGCGGTATACTAGGCCATAAGCACCGGGTGGGAAGTTGTATGTCTCCCGGACCTCGTCGTCGGCGGGGGCATCATCTACAGGGAGACCTTGTTGTTGTAAGTGATATCGCACGAACGCGGCTCGGATCCCCAAGGCGTAACGCCCGCACATGGCTGAGAGCCTGATATGGAATGGGGCTTCTTTGTTAATACGGACAGCTTAGTCGTTTGATTCTCTCAAGATGCACAGGATGGTTGTGCCTTGACACGTTTCCTCATAATCTCAGTCGTGAGATGGATGAGCGTCTGGGAGACTGATGTTGGATAAGATACGCCGTCCCTCTCGTTAAGTGTTGTGAATCATGGTCGGTCTGGTCGACCACCAATGAGATCATAAATTCGCCGGTCTGACCAGGCAATAGTTGCTGCGCATGGCAGACGTATCGCTTGGCCAGTTTCGTCAGACAGACTCAGAATTTTGAAGCATGACGGCAGACCCAATCCAAGGCCACGGCAATCAAAGTTGGCGCCACATTATGCTTATTGATGGGGAAGCGTTTGTTGGGTGTTTCTCAATGGACATTTCGTGCGCGTCGTGAAATTCTGGTGCATGTTCGTTTAGGGAACTAAGAAAAGTCCCTTGGATCGGCACGTACAATATACGGGGTGCATGTACTAAAAGGATGCGTACAGTACCTCTCTAGACTCTACACTCTACAGACTCCAGCACCACTAATCAGCACCTGGCTAGTATTGCATGAGCAATTCCACCCCCCTGTCGACAACCCTGTCCCTACAAGGCCTACAGCATCCACCCGCAGATTGACCATCATGAAACTCCATCCTTTCTCTCTAGTATCGTACTAGTCTACTAGGCGAGATACTGCAGACGGGTTACTGACAGCATGGTAGCCAGACGCTTCTCTTCACTGTGCTCCATCGACCTCGTCCCAAGGATCCCCCCTACCCGCAATCAATCGTAACCACCTCAACCTTTCTCTGGACGGTCAAAAGAAAAATGACCAGGGAGAGCAGAAGAAGAGTACTCGTACTGTCAGAGGAAATAGACGCAGAAGCAGAAGAGTGAGCCCAACGCCATGTCTCGTCCCGCCGCCGACTGAGCCCCATTAATTGCAGGTCCCCGGCCCCTTTTACTGATTCGTTCCCTTTGCTCTTGTTCCTGGATCCAACTGCACTAGGGGCGTCGGGCGGCGGCCTCTAGTTAGAAGTTAGAGAGTCGCACGCTCTCACTCGCCGCCTGCGCCCGCGAGTCCCCAGTTCAATTCCCATCCCAAACTCACACTCTCACCACCAGACAAAAGACACTCGCGCGACTTTTTGTTTAACTCTCTTTTTCATACCGATCCTTCTCTTCCTCACTCTCCTTCGTGTCCTTCTTTTTGCTTACCTCGCCGTCGCCGTCTTGGTCCTGCCATCCTTTCTTCTCTTCCGACATTTGCTTTCCTTTGCTTTTGGATTCGCTCGTTACATTCACATTCACATTCACGACACTCGCTATCCCTTGTTGAGGGCTCATTCGTTGCATATTCACATCCATCCCTTCGTTTTTGTACAGACTCGACCCAGACAGCCATCCGTCGACTTGACTTGAATTGACCGATCCCTTCTCCTTTACCTTCACACGGCCGTGTCCGACTACCCACCTGTCCGCCCTTCCTTCGCTTGCTGTCCTTGGACCTGGTTCTGAGGGCACGACAAACTGGAGCCCCCTATGCTCACAATGCAGAGTCAAGACGTGTTTGCAGGAGGATTTGGCAATCGTTTTGCTTCAAAATTTGGAACCGACACTACTGGCTTCAGCCATGGCGCGTATAACTCGAACCAGACTCCCTACCGCGGCGGCTTTGGCGACCGGAATCAACGCAAAGGCTCCATGGCTCCCCTAGCCACTTCGGCCAAGGAGCAGTCACAATACAATCCCAACGAACACACCCCTGGCGGTGGTGCCGCTTTTGATATGAACTTCACTCCACTGTTGCCATCTCAACTTTTGCTGGGCAGCCCCTTTCAGCCGGGTTCCCCAGGTGTATTTTCATCGCCGCAGTTTCCCAGCTTTAATCGCTTTCCCCAGGGTACCAATGCTCTGCACCAGCAGACCCAGCAATACCAACAGAACCAGCAAGCCCACCTTGGCAGCCCGACTCAGATGAATGCTCAGCCTCTGTCGCCCCAGGCATTCCAGTCCGTCCTGTCACCGGACACCTTCACCACCCACTCTCCGACAGGCTTCTCTGGCCTTGGCGGTGCTGCGTTTGGACATTATCAGCCAATGCTGGGAATGGGCCAGACATGGATGTCGAGCACTAGCCGCACCGTCTATCTAGGAAACATTCCCGCTGACACTACTGCTGAAGAACTTTTGGGTCATGTTCGAAGTGGGCAGATTGAGTCGGTGCGTATGTTGCCAGAGAAGAACTGTGCCTTCATTTCGTTTCTTGACAGCAGCTCGGCCACTCACTTCCACTCCGATGCCATCCTGAAAAAACTGTCCATCAAGGGCCACGACATCAAGGTTGGCTGGGGGAAGCCTTCTGCGGTACCTACCGCAGTGGTCGTTGCCGTCCAGCAATCTGGAGCGTCACGGAATGTCTATCTGGGCAATCTTCCCGAAGACATAAGTGAGCAAGAGATTCGAGAGGACCTGAGCAAGTTTGGGCCCATCGACACGATCAAGATGGTTCGCGAAAAGAACATTGGATTTGTTCACTTTCTGTCCATTGGCAACGCCATCAAGGCTGTAGCACAGCTTCCTCAGGATCCCAAGTGGGGTCCTCCGCGTCGTGTCTACTACGGCAAGGACAGATGTGCATATGTCTCCAAGACGCAGCAACAAAATGCTGCTCAATACCTTGGTATTGCGCCTGGCTACGCTCATGTGCTGAACGGGGCCGACCGCGACTTGATCTCGAACGCTCTCGCACAACAGTCTGTGGCTGCAGCTGCCGTTGCCACCACCGCTGGTGGAGTAAACAATCTCGGAAACCGGACGGTGTACCTAGGAAACATTCATCCAGAGACGACCATCGAAGAGATTTGTAATGTCGTCCGTGGAGGTCTCCTTCATCACATCCGCTACATCCCTGATAAGCATATCTGTTTCGTAACCTTCATTGATCCAACATCTGCTGCATCGTTCTATGCATTGAGCAACCTTCAGGGCCTCATGATCCACAACCGACGGCTCAAGGTGGGTTGGGGTAAGCACTCCGGTGCATTGCCACCTGCCATCGCTCTGGCCGTCAGTGGAGGGGCGTCGCGCAACGTATACATTGGTAATCTGGATGAGAGCTGGAGCGAAGAACGACTTAGACAAGACTTTTCGGAATACGGTGAGATTGAGCTGGTCAACACGCTTCGAGAAAAGAGCTGCGCCTTTGTCAACTTTACCAACATTGCCAATGCGATCAAAGCCATCGAAGCTATGCGAGGACGAGAAGAGTACAAGAGGTTCAAAATCAATTTCGGCAAAGATCGTTGCGGCAACCCCCCACGCCAGAACATTGCTCATGTCAACGGCAACCAAGCTCGATATCAAGGCAATACAGAGGGAAACACCTCTCCAGGGGGTATGAATGGCTTTGAGAGTGCCGTCTCGCAGTCGGAGTCTAGCCCAACGAGGTCGACGATGCCAGGCGCGCTGAAACCGATGAATGGTCATTCTCAGCCCCAGCGCCAACAGACTCTCCCAGCGACCTCGTCTTCTTCCATATTGAATGGCGGCAACAGCAATCCACTCACCATGTACTTGACGCAGATCTCTCAGCAGCAGGCTCAAGCTGAGCAGGACATGCGCGAAGATGGTTTTTCATTCGCTTCTTTGCGGCAACAGCAACAAAATCAGGCTCTGGCCACGCCTCAAACCTCATTGTACGGCGAGATGCCCAATGGTCACGGTGGCCTGGACATAGCACCCCCGCCGTCCCATGCTCCTCGCCAGAATAGCATCGGCGGTGGTTTCGGCACCAATGCGCTCAACAAGGGCACGTCGACCACCATCGGTGGCCTCCTCGCACCAACCAACACTGGACTCGGGGCCACCAGAAGCTCCCACTCTCGGGCTGTATCACTTCCGGCGTTTTCGCAGGAGATTTTTGGCCAACAGTCTACACAACAGGGCCCATCATCGTCCCGCGGGTTCGGCGGACATGCACCTCAGGGCAGCTTTGGAGGATTTGGGTCTGCATTCGGCACCGGGTTTGGCACCAGTGGCTTCAATGGGCTCGGCCTGACGAGCGACACCCGGTCTGCACTTTCAGGCTGGGCGGAGGAGGAGATTGGAGCAAAATAAGTGATACTTAATCAGCATTTCTTCTGTTCGTCGCTTGGGGTTGGTTAAAGGATATGTAGTTGATTTTCACATGATTTTTGGGTCGTGTTGGGAGATATCTCTGTTTTAATATTCCGGCAGTTGGACGAGTCAGGATTTCCAGTGGCGATGGTATCTCCGCCTAGTGATGCAGCTTGGATCTGCATCATGTCTTTGTACTTGTACGAGGGCATGTCATATTGGAATGTATATATATATTATACAAGCGGTCTAGGGACAGGAAAGTGGCAGATGGCGAAGATGAGCATGACTTGATCGCGGGCAATGATTTGGGTAATACTACGGTAGATATATATATATCTCTGTACCCTTCCCAGGGACCTTGGGGCAAGCGTAGAAAGATGTCCTTGCTGTCTTTGATCTGTACAAATTCTGCACGCTCGTGTTGTTTGCCTGGTTCGTTACCCCTTTGTCTCGAGCGACCTACAAGCTACATTACTCATAGGTTCCAAGGGCACCAGTCTAGGGCTCGGCCGAGGGTCAAAACTTGGGATCATGATCATCCGGGAGATAGGAATGGTATCAGTAGGCCCAAACAACGCGCACGCACCATGCCAGATTGATCTGTACGCGCCATTCCTCGTACTATTTGTATCGGAGCCTATTGAACGGATACTGTAGTTTTCCACTGTACCTGAGGGCCTAGTGTGCCGAAGGACTCCGTAGGTTCACTAGGCTTGACTCGTTTAGGTAGCCTGAGCAGCGCCGATAACAATAGGGCGAGGGCAGCAGAGAGAAGCACCCAGTGAGAAAGGCCAAAGAGTAGACCTCGAGTTGGAACTACAGCCTACAGGTATAGGTACCACGTAGGTACTGAAATAAACAAATCTAAAATGTACATACAGTAATGTACAAAGATCATTGTCAGTCCCCCCTTCAGCTTCTGTTATTGGGCTGGCCGAATGTTCGGGGCGGGTGTTGTTTGGGCGGTACGAGGCATAAGAGGGAGCCAGCTGTAGTTAAAGCGGTACCTAATGCGTCTAAGCTACGGCACCTAAAGCTCCTGTAGCGAGGTGGCTGGTTTAGGTGCCTCCAATTACTCCGTACTGGACGTGGGTGAGCAAGACTTACTCGTCCTGGTAAGTGAGCATGTCCTTCTCTCCCTGCGCCGAGCATTTCTTCACTGCTGCCACTGCCACTGCCACTGCCAGTGTCAACGTCCGAAAAGACAGAGAGCATTGGACAAGAGTGTTGTTGTTGTCGCTCCTCGCACACCCTCCAGTCCACTTCAGCCCCCCGTCCAACGTCTGGTGTGCTACTACAGCCTCCTCCGTACATAAGGAATACCCCAAGGCCTCTACGGTCTACGACTTCGACCGCGCCCCCAAACCTCCCGATTCGCAATACGAGAACTCACTCGTATCCATCTCATCTGCATTCTTTCATCCATCCCTCCTTTTCCTCCATACTCTCTCGGTTGGCTCTCAACGCATCATTTCCGGCAAATGCTTCTGCTCTTCTTGACGAATCGAATTCATCTTCTAGCTTGAACATATTATCTCGCTCTCTTGCTGGCCAATTCCTTCATTCCTGGGACCCGTTGACCGCCCTGTCCCACTCTTCCTGCGCCCTTGACTTCGACCGTGTGAGTGTTGACCGATCATAATCCTTCTAGAAATACGGGAAAAGGAGAAAAAAGAAAACGTTTGGAGAAAAAGGAGACATGGATTTGTGAAGATGTGTATGCTGATATTCAATTCTTCTTTCAGTTGCACTGTTTTGTTCCTCCGCCGGCTTGCCTGCAATTCTGCACAATCGACAATAGAAGTCCTTGTCCTTCCCTAACGACTCTGCTGACCGCCCTCCTGTCGCGGTGAAGTGAGAATCTGAGAGCCTGCCGGTCCTCTGAACGCCGACCTCTGCACGCTAGATTGAATCTCCTCCCACAACTCCACTTTTGCTGGTAAGCAACAACAATGTCAACCTCAATGAAAAAGGTGGCGCTTGAGTTGAAACACAAACTAAAACATCCAGGTGCAGCTCCTCGCGCTCGCAAGCCCATTAGATTCCTCCAGGAAGCCGAGCTACGATTTGAGCAGGTCAACGACCGCTACTACAACACGTACGGCGGGATGGTTGTAGCAACTATCAAGTGAGTTGGCACTTTGTAATCTGTCGACTCAACAGACCGAGAGTAACATTCGACTAGATGTGTGGTCGTCGGTGACGGTGCAGTTGGAAAGACATGCTTACTGATTTCCTACACGACCAACAAATTCCCCTCGGAATATGTCCCTACGGTGTTTGACAATTATGCAGTCACTGTTATGTGAGTTGAGATTCAAAAGCCGCACCTATGGGACCGGGGTTGGGAGACGTATGCTGACACAATACACACAAGGATCGGTGACGAGCCGTACACCCTGGGATTGTTCGACACGGCCGGCCAAGAGGATTACGATCGACTTCGACCTCTATCATATCCCCAAACCGATGTCTTTCTGGTTTGCTTTTCCGTCACTTCTCCGGCATCCTTCGAAAACGTGCGCGAGAAATGGTTCCCCGAAGTCCACCACCATTGTCCCGGGGTCCCTTGCTTGATCGTCGGAACTCAAACCGATCTAAGAGATGATCCGTCGGTCCGCGAGAAGCTTGCCAAGCAGAAGATGCAGCCTGTCCGCAAGGAAGACGGAGAAAGGATGGCCAAGGATCTGGGAGCGGTCAAATACGTCGAGTGCAGTGCCCTGACGCAGTACAAGTTGAAGGACGTCTTTGACGAGGCCATTGTGGCTGCTCTAGAACCACCGCCCAAGAAGAGTAGTAAAAAGTGCGTCATTCTGTGACGGACTGTTCACTGCTTTCTGTCTCGCGCGCTGTCGCCTATCTGTCTGAGCGGCGGGGTTCCTTTACGAGGGTCGGTGATACAGCAACTGTGTCAGATTGTCCACACTAGTACCTGGTGTGCAGCCACCCTGGCAGAGTCGCAGGCAGGTTATTTTCCTTTTCTTCTACTTTTCTCATTTTCCGCTTTCCGATAGCGACAGGCAGGCATGATGATGTTGGTTGGAAAGGACTGGACTGGGCTGGATGTCTGTCTTGGACACGAGATACAATGATCAATCGGCTCATTTTTTTTCTCAGAGTACAATTGCAGATTGACATTACATTTCCTGCTGAGAGGACGACACATTTCTTTTTATTTTGTCTCCTTGATCCGACGGTTGAAGATTGATTGAAGGCGTCCAGGGCGTGCGTGTCGGTGTGTGCTGTGGCTCATACAACCAACAACAACAATAACAACAATGAACAAGAGGGAGAGGAACTCAAGCAGAGGAGCGGTTCTGTTTCTTTTTGCTGGTTTTCTTTTCACCAGGCTCTCCTTCTTTTTCTTCATGTAGATTTGGATGGAGTCGAAGGCGTCGTTTGGTTCAGCTCAACCCTTTTGTTCCGGCAGAGAAGCAGAGAAGGAAATTTCACGTTATTTCTTTCCATTTCCTCTTTCTTTTCGTCTCTCTCTCTCTCTCTCGTTCTCTCATTCTCATTCTCATTTTCCCATGACTCTGGTTGCGTTGAGGATTGGTTTCTATGTGTTTGTGATGTGGCAATTAGCGCCATTCGGCCCGCGGCACGTTCCCTCCATTCAACTCCGAGCTTCGATCTTGATGCGTCGTCCTCAGCAATCGCCACGGTGACTACTACTACATCTCCCACGAAACAAGCCCTCACGTTCTCGCCGTCCCAAATACCTGATTGACGCAACGAAACCTTCTTGTCGTCATCATTCTTCAAAGGAGGGTCTACAACGCGCGGCAACTACCACCTACGCCAGAGCAAGTGAGAGCACGCATCTCTGCTGGGGACCGGACTCGACGCGCGTGCTTGATAAAAAGAAACAAATGAGTTGACGATATATATATATATATATATAGGGGAGTGGGTTTAAAAAAAAGCATCGGTACCCTTACTGATTTAATCACCCACGTACCCATCTACCCATCTTGTTACCTATCTACCCACGTGTGTAACCTTCCCGGAGAACCCCTTGAGAGAGAGGACCGGGACCTACTGTACTACTGTATGTGGTAGTACAATCGAAGGAGGCGGACTTGGGAACGCCTCGCTGTTGTTCATTTCAATCTATGTTTGTAGAATTACACCCATCCTCTCTCTCTCTCTCTCTTTCTCTCTCTCTGTCTCTCTCTCTGTCTCTCTCTCTCTCTCTCTTTCTCTCTCTGTCTCTCGCTCT